GAAGGGGAGATCCTGCGAGGGTCTGGTAGTCCCAAGGGAACCGGGTTTACTGCGTTGTTTGACGTGATGGTGGATGAGTTGTTCGACTAGGTAAAACTAGGAACGTAGCTTAGAAAGTTCGACCTTTTGATACAACGGTCTATACTCCTATATCGATGCCTGACTCGTAGACGACGAGCGAGGACTTATGGACAGTACGTCGTCCTGAAGATCGAGCGAGGAAGTCGAGAATGACCACTACCCCAAGCGAAGAGGAGCAGAGACTTGAATGAATAACCAGGTCGAACTTAGGGTTCGACCGACTAATGGTACAACTACTTATACAAGTACCAACTGCGCACGGACCATCGTGTCTATGTGGTCGTGTTAGTGAAGAAAGAAACATAGTGGTACGATACCATGCACGAAGTGCGCACGGACCCCATTATGTAAGCTACATAATGTTCAACCTGCGGGTGAGCGCTAAGACAGGCGCCAGTATGGGCGCTAGTAGTACATGGAATAGAACGGAAAGACAAATGTTTCAGGCACGGTTGTCGGTCACAACGGAAGAATGGAGCTTTGGATCTGTCGCTCTCTGGGTTGTCGCGGGAGACGTCGATCTGCTCCTGGGTGTCAAATGTGTGCTCAAGTTGAGAACAGTCGAAGAATTCGTCAGCCACGGTGATGGGGGGAGGAAGGGGAGGTGCGCGTGCTACAAAAGGCCATACTAGCTAGCTTACACCTATGGTGCCCGAGATAACACTAAGGTTTGCAGTTCACATGGGGCCCAATACTGCTTTTGGCTAGTATGCAGCAGGAACCTAGTCCACGTGTCCGTGAGGACAAGTATCGCCCACTGAAGTGCAGATACCAAAGAGTTTGTTCCTTAAGTGGTGGTGATGTATTGTAGGCTATCTAAGTATAGTAGGGTGCACACCACCCAACCTGTAGGAAGTGAATGTGAGTGTGGGAGTTTGGGGGAACACCGGCAGCAGTGAGGAGTTTCGACCTAATGTCGCGACTTGGGGTCAAGCGACAGGGGAAAGCCAGACAAAAGGATGCTGGGGGTGTTTGACTGATTCTCACCGAAGTGATGGTGAGCAATGCTCAAACCTAAGGCTAGGGACAAGTTAATTAGTATAGGAAAGTAAGTAAGTACAGGGGCTTACTGACCTAGGGACAAGAGGTCAAAACTGAGATCCCTAGGGCAGCAGAGGCAGGCTTATATACAGGGGGGGGATAAGGGCAGGCTGTGCGCGCTGGTCCGTGCGCAGCTGGTCCGTGCGCAGCATGCTGATGCAGCCCCGGGGGCCGGTGAGTCAGAGCGGCTGTGTTAGCGGAGCCCGAGCTGTGCTGTGCACTGCCGTCCCATCTAATCTAATCGTACAGTAGATAAGGACTTGTCTGTTTGAGCGTATGGTACAGAGGTCGCAGGTTCGAGCCCGCAAAAAGGAAAAAATTAAAAAATGGCTAGACGCTGTGCCAAGTCGTGACAGCCGCCCATCTAATCTAATCATACAGTAGATAATGACATGTCCGTTCGAGCATATAGTATAGCGGTCACAGGTTCAAGCCCGTGGAAAGGAAAAAATTAAAAAATGGCTAGACACTGTGTCAATTCGTGACAAGCAGGGTCAATGTTGAAAGCGTGAATGATATTGTGAAGGTGGTTTGATGTCATTTGACCAGGTGTCATGCAGCAGACTCCTACATGAATGAACAGGTCTCCCACAAGTCTCAATGATTTACCAGTTTGATGTGGCATACTTCAAGTATCCCGGGTCATATGAGAAGAGGATCCTGAAGGATGTACTCAGTATTGCTTGCATCAGCTCAAGATGCAGTTGCAGGTCTATGCACAATGAAACCATCACCCACACAAGGCAACCTCAGGCTGTCGATCCCCTGACAACCCTGTCTGTCTATTCAAGAAATAGCTATCAGGAGATGGTTGACCTGTTTGCACCACATAGATTGTGCTCATGTAGTAGTCACCTTAGTCAGAAGTGTGTAAAGTCAAGCAATGATGCAGGCAGTCATTAGGACACGTACAACTCAGTCCAGGTGGCAAAATGTGCACCTAATATCTGCTGAGCCTCAATATTAAGAATGTATATTTGCAATAGCTACGCGAGAGGTGAACTTGCATTGTATCAGACATCAATGTATCAACCAAATGTTTGCGGCTGCCCCCTGTTAAGCATCAACGTGCCATCCGGGAGACAAGCTACAGGCTGATAAAAGTACAGCCTGAGGCTCAGACATTTAGTCTTGAACCCATACCAAGGAGAAGACAACCTCACATGTTGGACACATTTAATATTAACCCACGATCAGTCGTTATATTCTATCAGGGGGCAAACAACCTGTGTTTCTGGACTCACAGGTGGGGCATGCGGGTGCCTCCAGGCTATCATACAAATTGAGCTATCAGTGATGCTCTTGATGTTTGTCAGCTTACATTTCTAGCCTCTGGTAACCAAAACTCGAGAAGGCATCAGTTGCAGACTGGTATCAAGCACGATGCTGTTGGAACAACCAGGCAAGTGCATGCCCGACTACCGGCTTGCTGATGTGCTGCGCTGTGGCATGATAGTGCCTTGTTGCTACTTACCTGATTTAGATAAGCATTTACTATATTAGGCCGAGTTCCCGCATGTAATTACTTCACATGTTTGCCTCCCTGCCCTGAGAATGAGACAAACCACTTTGTATTTGATCCTTTCCCGCACCGCTCACTTCTGTATACCCTCACACTTGCTTGTTCGAACCCGACACCAACACTCATTTCTACAGAAGCAATGTCACCAACTCACTGCACCACGACAGTTGATACATGCTAGGTGTCCCGCAGACTCTGCTGCCTTCGGTGACACACAGCTTCAAGGCTGGCGAAAGTAAGTGGGGGTCATTGCTCAAAGCTATAGCTGTAATGATTTTCATGTGAGAACGACACCGGAAAGACTGCCGGCAGACAACGTCCTCGATGGACAGGGATCAATGGTGGATAAGGTTACAAACCAATGGGGCTACCTATGGCGCACGACGCCTACATAAGTCCTATTCCCACACCGGCGCACGACCACGTGACCCGGGCCGGCAGCGACGCTTGCCCGACGTACCCAAAAGTCAACACCAAACTCGTCCAATACTACACAGCGCGATTCTCGCTCGGAGCGAGAATCGCGCTGTCTGCAATCAGTCGCTACAAACAGGTCTGTCAAATATCCAGACTGTGAGCGTCAGTATCTTTCTATCTTGATTTCTGCAGTTTGTATCGTTGTCCAACAGAACACCCAGCTCAGGTTGGGCTCCTGTCACGCCCGGAGCTCTGATACGATTTCCTGTAATAGTGGTCATCCACACGCCATCCCGTAGGTGTGTGACTGATTATCTATGAAATGTGACAAAGGCGGATACAATCACCGGATGTAGCAGCTGCTTGCCAATGATTACTGGTGGCTGACACAACCAAGTTTGATAATATAGAGTAACCGTGTCACCTCACCCGTCGTCCTGTGATCAAGCGTGGAGCTTCCTGTAATGTTGCTCGCGGAGTATCTACAGAGGCTTTTGTGACTAGAACCCGTACTCAGCTGCAATCCTGTACATGGCGAGGATATTAGATCGCTGGCGAGATGCGACGTCACGGTCCTGCGCACTCTCAGCCATGTAAGCTCGTACTAATCCTTCTCAACTAAATTTTTCACTCGTGCTCAGGCATGGTACACAATACGATTGATTGTTTGGGGACTGATCTGAATCCTGACAGTCTCAGATCGACATTGATAAACTGATTGCGTACTGTAACGCCCCAGGATGTTCAAAACAACGCAACTGGCCTCTCATGCCTTTGATGAGCAGCGATATGATTAGATTACTTCTCACAGGCATGGAGTAGAAACATGCATGAATAACCATACGATGGGATACTACATATTGGGGCATATATGGCTAATCATAGCAAGGGGTGATTTTGGGGCTGGTCTCCTCGACTAACCATTGTCGGACGAGCCGTTCAATTCCACTGAAAGCACGGATCGCTTCATAGTCGACTTTGTGCTGCTTGTAGAAGGCATCTAGAGCCTTCACGAAGCCATCTCGTCCACCCTTCGACAGTGCCAACCCCACATTGTATATAACGAGATGGGGAGGGACACGGGATTCCACATAGCCTACGGTCTTGACATCCCTCGGGAACGCAGCGTTCTTCTTTGTAACGGGAAGGTCGCAATGGGCAACGACACAGTATCTGTAGACGGGGAAATCGGACACTTCAGATGGTTCGTCGAGCGACTGGGTAGCACCATGAGCAAGATACGAGTCGAGGTCATGTCCTTCCACTCACCAAGCCTCCATCTATGGGGACAATGTCTTGTTCGAGATATTCGTCGATAATATGAGGCTCAGGTACGAACATGAGGAGCCCTTGGTCCCACAAGCAGTGGATGTCGGCTCTCACTATGTGGGATATGGATCAGGGCTACATGGGCCGATCGGGACATATACACTCACATAAGAAGATATTGAATGGGGAGTCGACGTCGAATTTATCAAGCCCCCACCACGCCGCCAATTGCGCACACTACATGCATGAGAGCATCCAAGCCATGGTCACACGGGTATCATGAAGAAGTATTGGCGACTTACCGTATCGTCGTCGGTCCTTCGCGGGACAACGTGACACCCTTGGACTGACTTGTCCTCCTGAAGACTCAACAGGCACCGTGACCCGGTAGGCGCCAAATAAGCAGCAAACAACTTGAGATTGCTACCGCATGATTCACCTTCAGCCTTGTGGGCCTTCGGTTTGGAACGTTTCTCCATCTCCAAACCCCCTGGACCCATAAGAGCGGCTGCGCCACACGAAGATGTTGAAATAAGTCCGTGCCACATGACAAGACAAAGCATCCCGGCATACCTTTTGGGCGTTTAGGGGACATTGGCTCGCCTGTAGGAACCGTTGCTAGAAGACTACGAACGAGATAGGTGAATGCGACGCCACGGCTCAAACGTGCTCACTGACCTGGATGCTTCCTCTGCCGCTTGCTCCTTCTCCTCCTTCATGACCAACTCTGCCTCCCCGGGTGGTGGCGCAGTCCACACGTCAGACAATGTCAGGAGCTCCTCCACGAAGCGGGATGCATCGACTTGAAGATGTATTCTCTCGTAGAACACCTTCAACACCTTCACCCACATCTCCTTGTTCTCCTTGAGCTTCATGGCCGCGTTCAAGGCCATGAAGTGCGGCTTCGCATGGGACCGGATGATCCCAGCCTTGTTGAATCCGTAGCCGAACCCTTCGCGGATCGGAGAGTTGCCAGGGGGAGGTGCACCGGCCACAAGGTCTGGGTGAGGGATCACACAGTACTCGTGGATCTTGGCTTCGTCGCTAGCCTATACACATTGTGGCGACGACTCGCATCAGTCGTATATTATCAGGTTGCAGCGACTCACCTCCAGAACCTTGTGCCTGCCACCATCGCGCCACTTGGCCAGATAATCTTTCGTCACGCCAGGCATTGGCATGATCGCAATGTATCCACGATCCCACAAGGCATGGAGATCGGCACGGACTGTATGCAAGTAAGTCCACGCGTATCGGCATGCCTGCTGGAAAGAAGACGCACGGAAGACCTGATTGTGGCGTGAATCCACGCTGAGCTCTTTAATGTCCCACCACCACTCTAGAGCCGTAAGCTATGTATGTGTGTATATACATCGTCAGAGACACCATCTGCGCGCAAGGGCCACTTGAGCTTACCACATCCGGCTTTGTGGCCCGTGGCAACACATGGCATTGCTGAACGGATTTATCCTTCATGCCTGATATTATGCAGGCACCCGCGTTCTGCGATGCATCGACGGCTCGCTGTCGTGAACTCCTTGTAATAGCGGTCTTGCGTATCACTCTCCGTGATGGAGTCCTCTGATTCCCCGGCGCGCGTGTTTTAGTCCTCTCATTCTCCGGCGTACCTTCCCGGGACGGCGTATACTCGTCTTCTTCGTCTAATGCTCCCCTTTTTCGTTTTCCATCCGCCGTCTTGTTCTCGCAGTAATCAACTGTGGCCGGGCCACCGTCAGGGCAAACCCGTCAACGGTAACGACGAGGACCCATACCTTTCGGCAAATGTTTCAGTCTATTAGATCGTCTCGGTTTGAAGCCGTCAACCATGGCGAGGGCATTTGGAGGTGAAGTGGAGGTTGGAGGTGAAGAAATGGACGGAGAGAGTGAGTGGCTCGAGCGGCTTTGGCTGAGTTCATATTATGTTGTGAAGCGCGTGACCACAGGCCACAGAGGCCATTGTATTCCAATTTGGATCTTGTGGGCATCGTCGACGCGGGTCAGTGACTGGTGACCTCCCGCATATTACCTAATCTGCATGGTCTGTGCGAGGTGAGTCCTTGTAGTTGTGATATCAGATGTGCCGTCTGAGGCGCGGGAACCGTGCCTCGCTGATCAGAGAGACGCATTGTTAAGGTCGCATATGGAAGCACGCTTGTCATTTGCTAGATCGGAACCGCACAGTCAATCTGCGGAAGACTCGACGAAAATACACGAAACTCACCTAGATCATGTTGAACGACCCCACTGGCGCGAAGCATTCCCAGGTGAAACGTCTGTCTGTTCGCCTCAAAACCATGTTCTCCCCGCAAGAATATCAACCGGCTGACAGTGAATGGAACCGCTCAGAGAAGAGTATATCATGACATCGACGACAAAGCTACAGTTATTGACTCATTGAGAGTTCGCAAAAGAAAGCTGGAATTGACACGGCACACCGCCCTTGTCTTCCGAGGGCTACACGCATCTCTCACACAGAATGACGCGTATGAAAGGCTTGTACCTACATCGTGTACAAGATCAATCCTCATACCCAAACAGATCCAGATGGATTCTGATATGAGAGGTCAGATACGAATGTCCTCACACTGTCAACGTTTGATGTAGCGACGCACTGTCCATTGAGGAATCGTTCCTAAGGTGGTGCGTCATAGTGTATAATGATGGAAGCGGCGATTGCAGCACTTTACGACACTCTCAGTCGAGGTGAATGTGCCCGTAGAGGACATTCTGCATCATATGGGAAACCGAATCAGAACACCGGAGCAGCGACGCAGTGTCCTGTGATAACAAAGACCTAGGTCTCTGCAGGAGTCTTATACGAGCATTTTTGAAATAAAAACCAGACCGCAGAGACAAAACCAACGCACCCGACATGCATGCCAACTGTGCGGTCCTCACACAGGAGGCTTGAAACGTATTCTGGCATGAATCAATCAAAGATGCTGGCTCAGAAGGCTCACAAAGACCTATACGACCACATAGAAGTGGTGTGCGCACCCGAGTAAGCCCAAATGCACTGTACAGTACAGTAAATCGACTACCCCAGTCAAGACGTGATTGGCCTCGGGGTTCTCCGAGGGTAGCGCTGACTAAGCACCCGCTAAGGGCACTGGTGGCGCGCGCTGTTCGCGCTACACCATCGTCACTACCTCGCTGAACTCGCGATAAAGTCGACACAAAAATGAATGGCCTTAACATCATTATTCCTGACATGTTATATGCGCTCGCCACTGAGCACTCCCCACGCGAAAATACTCCTGCGCTTTCGGACGACACTGGCAGCTCCTCTTCACGCGAAAGCTCTCCACCGGCTACACCTGTCTCTGGACTCAGCCGTGCACCATCTATCTCTTTTGATGACAATTTTAAGCATATACCCACTGGCGATGGCACCGACATCAAGATTGTTGAACCAGACGCGGACTCCTCGCCACCAGAAGATATCACGCGTCCGCTGAAACGGAGACGGTTGGCGGAAACAAGGGCTGCCGAAGTCCGCGCAGAGAGTGTGCTGCCGCCTGATACCTCGAACGGCATGACCAAGGCCGATGACGGCGCATTTTTCGGTCTTGAGCATATATGCATCAGCAACTGCACGAGTGTCGGGGACGTCAAGCCCAACTCGGATGAGGGGCACCCGTCTCTTGCATACGTCTCCCGTCCATTGAAACGGAAACGATGCGCGGACACGAGCCCTGATGACGTTCGCGCAAAGAGAGTGCGCACATTTAGCATTTCGAGCGACGCAACCAAGGCTCAGGACCGCGCTTCTTTCGGTCTTGGGTATATACCCATCCACGACTGCGCAAATATCAGGGTCGTCGAACCAGACGCTGCTCATGCGGACTCTCCCGGTATTGATCTACACGCGCCACTTGAAGCCATCGCTCGCCCGCCGAAGCGAAAACGGTGTGCAGACACGACGACCGATGAGGTCCGTGTCAAGAGAAGGCGGTTGTCTGACAGTCCGAGCAACGCGTCAAAGCTCAAATATGGGGGTCCTTATGGACCTCACCCTAGATGCATGATCACTGGGTGCGTGTCCGCTGAGGTGGAGGCGTGTTATATCCTGCCTCCCGACACGCCTCAACCGTCGGTGAGTATGGTGGTTACTACCTCGGCCTTGCAGCTGATAATGCAGCCCTGTAGGACGACCTCCGCACGCCTATTGATTCTAGCTCCGCCTATTGTAGCACGCCTGCAAACATCATATTCCGTGCGTAGTTGCTCATCTACAATCCGTTTGCCCTTCTCTTACAACCTTCATGTAGTTCGACACGACCTCCGTATACTATGGGAAACGAACCGCCTGCTGATGATACCCCATCCCGACCATCTAGACCACCGCGATACCCGCCCTGTATGTATCGTATGTCCCCTCAAATGGTCGCTGCACTCACCGTCAAGTAGGTCTATAAATACTACGTCATTGCAGAAGATGAGCACCCTCCAGACTCGTGCACCCCCAAAGATTATACCCTCACACCTCCGGTCGCGACGGCTTGTAGCTCGTATCGCTCGCTGGGGTGGCATGAACTGGGTGCGAATTTGCATCTAATGACAATTCGAGTGGGCCGTGAATTCATGAAGCGACCGCTCCACTACGAGCATCATCTATCTAAGGACGCTCTTGCTCATATACCCACTGTCACGCCCGTCTACGCAGATGTGATCGAGCCGGTCCTCTCCCATATCAAACGCGACTCGCCAGTCGAAGTCATCCCCCGCCTGCCAAAGCGAAAATCGTGCCCGGACACAGAGACTGGTGCAGTCCCTGCCAAGAGAATGCGAATGTCGGTCTCTACAAGTGAGACATCCAAGGTTGAGGACGGTGTTCCTTTCGGACCTCACCCAAGGTGCATGATCACTGGCTGCGTGTCTGCTGATGTGGAGGCGTGCTATATCCTGCCTCCCGACATGCCTCAGCTATTGGTGAGTAGACATGACCGTTACTTTAGCTTTTGTGCCTGACGAGGTGAACCGAAAGATTGACTACATGATGTTCAACATGCGCACTAAATACAACGCCCTCCGTTGTCACATACCTGCGAATATTATATTCCGTGCGAACATTATATTGTTCTACACGTCCACTGAAGCCTCACATACCGCATGCAGTCCGACGCGACCTCCGAGAGCTTTGGGAGACAAATCGCTTATTGATGATACCACATCCTGATCATTTGCAGAAACTCGATCGTTGCGCTGTATGTATTATGTGCCGTCTTCGCCAATTGCCGTGCTCACATTAATGCAGGCCTACAAATATTGCATCATCGCAGAGGAAGAGCACCCTCCAGACTCGTGCGCAACCATGAATAATATTATCACGCCTTCCGTCATGACGGCTCCTTGCTCATATCGGTCGCTCGGATGGCATGAACTGAATGCCCATCTCCATCTGATGATATTCCGAGCGGGCCAGAAATTGAGCAAGCGACCATTGCACTACCACTATATCTTGCGTGATCTGCTGCCCCATAAGGAGGTCAATCATGCATACACCATCATCCAATGCCATGGGTCATGGACGGCCCCCCTGCCTTGGGATTTAGTACCCGACAGACGTTTGTGGGCAACGGGCGAGCTCACACCTTTTCCTGATGGTTATTTCCGCCGCCCCCTAACGCAGTATTGTTCTCCCCTGTTGGATGACGACACTGTCCGCTTTTCTCGCCGATTTTGGCCAATCGTCTCAGGAATAAAGAGGAAACATTTCAGCGACACCAGCCTGGGCAGACAAGCCTACACCGTGGATGAACATACTCAACGGGAAGTCAGCATTCGCCAGTGGTGTCTAGATTGCGATCAAGCTCGAGACGAGTGGACGATAGGACCGCCTGCGGAACCCGAGAACGCAGAGATGGTCGCCTATCGACAAGAGCAACCTGGCGATGTGCAGCTTGTTGTGCAAAAGCTTTGGTCGGGGGAAAGCTATTTCTCAAGGTAGTCTCTCTGCTACATTTGCAGACGAATGTGTGACTGACGTTCCTTATTGAAATGCTATACAGACGCGGTCCTAAATTTTGACACCTAGCCCCGTACCTTATGTTGCCACTATTTGCACATATCCGTCAAGTCGTGAACATCCAGCATGGGTACTCCGTCAACCCGCCGCCACGACCGGAGCTTATGTGATCACGTTGATCCCTAGGCGCAAACGGCCTGATCCTGGCATCTCCAATCGCACGGATAAGCCATATGTACTTCCGGCGCTCGCGGCGATTGTCGGCAAGGGGCGGGAAGTGCACTTGTATTGGACCCTTTCCTCCCTAGTGCATTCCCCTACGATATCCATGGTCCTCGAGCTGTCGGCTACAGAGACGGTATGCAACTGCACACGTGGTGTTTATGAGATGTCACGCGGCGTCTACCGGACGTCGGTGCATACCACCATACTTCCGATGAGAACATTCGGTATGTTCAAGCCGTGTACCGTTTTACACCATTTACTAATGTTGGAACACAAGTCCTAGTTCCTCAAGTAACAATCCCCTCGCAATATGGCTGAACGCGGTGTGACCACGAGACATCAAGCTCTGGCTTATCTCGCGAACTCATAGGACAATATACCCGTATGTGCAAGCGGCAGAAATTCGATGTTGGTGACTGACCGGAAGGCATTCCAGGCCCAACCCTTGGGCATCGGATTTGCGTATGGCAATCTGTCTTCAACTAGCAGGAAGCAGCAGTCGATTTGTGGAATACAAGAACTGCAAGTATGTGGGATCGTCGATGCTCATCGGTCCTGCAAATCATCCTTCCAGACTCTCGATTTCGCACCTATAAGCGGCAGGCTCACAGCTTCAGACAGGATTGTAATTCCTTTCTCTGCCGTATTGGCAAGGCATGACGGCTGATAACACTTTGCAGAAATGGCGGTCACTGTGGAGCAGCCTTCTCTGCGTAAGTAGCGCTAGTCAACCAGGTGATTCGAGGTATCTTACAAACGAGACAGGCGATATTGTTGAGACAATTCTGGGGGAGTACACAGCTTCGCGTATGATGAATTTCATTCCTAAGAGGGACCGATGATACGATTTTTCAAAACGCGTCTGCAACTTCATCTTACACGAGGCTCAGGATTTGTTGCTGCAGTACCCAAGCCACATGTTGTACAATCAGAACAATGTGTCAGTATTTCTTAGCCATGCGCATCACTCGACTCATCCGGACAGCCGCCTCAGATACCTCCTCGTGTCTTTATTAGCAGTCGCATTTGTACTTCAGTTGGCGGCGGCGGCGGCAGAGATGAGGTAAGAGACGCATCTGTTGAGCTACACACGCGTTTCCTTATTCAATTACATGACTACATCTAGGTGTGCTACGAGAATGGGGCAAGCACAACCCTCCATGGCAGCTCAACTCAGCTATAACGCTGCACTTATATACCCGCTCTTTGACGATCGCGACTGAGTGCGTAGCTTCTGGTCGAACTTGTAGTTTGTCCTTATCACTGGCGTGAGACCTATTGTATATGAAGGCAGTGCTGTAAGTTGATTCCTTGACCACAGCCTACACACCACTACTACTGTCCCCAAGACTGTCGCCTTCATCAATTTGGCGTCCTCCCAGTCGTAAGTCCAGATCTTCCTTATGACCTTGAGGCTTGATTGATCTGGTAGTCGGACAGACAGACCATCTTCGTGGGAACTTTTCTATGACAGCAATGCTGTAAGTTGACACCCTAATTAAGACTGTCGCCTCTATCTTTTGGGCATCCCCTCAGTCGTAAGTCTAGATTTTCCCTGTAACCTCGAGGCTCGATTGATCTGGTAGTGGGCAGATACGCGTCCCTGCATGATCAGGTGAACGCTTTATACACCACCACTTCCTCGCTGGACAGGTTGAATGATGGCATCGGCGCGCTCTCTCGCTCGGCCTCGCACTCCAAATAGCCCACGTACTGGGCGCCTGAATGGCCTCGACCCTACCAAAGATGATCGGCGCGACTGGCACCGATGATACAACCGCCCAGTCTGTAATTCGGCTCGCTTAAGCTCATGTTCCCTGGCCTTCTGGATAGTCATCCAAATTGTTTGGAATTGAGCTGTACTATACATGAGATGTAGATACTCAGTTTTCCCTTAGGAATGGGGTGACACGCTCGAGACGCCCTCGCTCGACGATCCCTGGTGCCTCGTGCCGTGCTCGATCTTCCTAGTCGCTATCCTCGCGCCGCGCATCGAGCCCTCATACGGCGGCGTCGGTGCTCTCGTTCTCGTCGATCTCTTCGAACCCGACGGCACATTTTTCTGTGTGAGTTGTTGAGTTGTCATCAGGGCCGTCCCCGCGATACATTGACGAGACCACGAAGTCAGCCACAGTTGTCACGAGCACGTCTTGAGTAATAGTATTCGCTCGTCCAAAGTTCTTCTATCATGGACAGCACATCGCTGGCTCTCCCCTGTCGATACCTTGCGTCTTTGGTTTTCGCAAATGGCCCTGTCGTCCATGCATGTCGAGCTTCCTCACACCCACGATGCCACCGGCGAATGTTGGCTTCCCGGTCAGCGTCTTCCTCGGCCGTGTAGGTGTTGCCGTCTGAGTTTGCGTCATCAAGGACGTTTTCATCTGAGCTGGCGTCATTTAAATGGTGCGTTCCCTTTCCTATTTCTCCTGAAATCCATAGCAAGGAAACTAAGCTCCTTGATCATCCTATGAGGGATAGCAATACCGTCTCTTACGGGGGAGGTCGACATTATCAGCAGGGAAATCATCAACAGGCTTCCCTGTCACCCGTAACCGCCTGTCTCGCAGCCTCCCCCATGCAGGGGAAACGTCCACGACATATGCCGTCAAATTATACTGTCTGAATGAGTCACCACATTGTGAGGCAGCAGATCCTGCAAGACATGCTGGCAATGGAACGTTCGCTTGCCAAATTTCTGGCTTGCTCGGCATATCATCATAGGGCGATTAGCGCTCGGCTCATGCCATCTGAGTGAGCGATATGAACTTGGGGCCGTCATGACTGAAGGTGGAATGGCACAACCCATTGACGTGCACGAGTATGGGTGCTCGTCCTCTGTGAATGCATGGTATTTGTACACCTGTCTAGTTGTCACCATGGTAATTAATGAAGGCGGCATATAGATACACGCAGGGCAAGGCTCAAGGCTCTCCAGGTGATCAGGATGGGGTAGCTTCAACAAGCGGTTTGATTCTGTGGGTCGCGTCGAACTGCACGCGACACGTGAGGTACGAGAAGAGAGGGCCTAACATGACAAATTACGCACGGAATATAACATTTGCACGCATATTGCAGCGGAAGGCATTGTAGTAGTTGGTATGCATGAAGAGCGTCGTACAGCCGATCTTCGAAGTCGCCTTATCAGCCACAAGACTAAGTGGATACCCTGAAATGCTCCCAATTGCTGCGACATGTCGGGAGGTAGGATAAGTATAGCACGCCTCCACTTTAGCAGACATGCAGCCGGTGATCAAGCATCTCGGGTGAAATTCGACAGGAATGCCGTCATTGACTTTGACCGTGTTGCTCGGGGTGCCGGATATTCATACTCTCCGTATGGATTCGCTAACTTGATGCTGATGAGAATCAGAACCCCTCTCCCAAACAAACACTTGTCGTCCACAAGCACCTTCTATAGTACACGGCCAGAAGATACTTTAGCCTACGTTTGAATGGCCTGCAGATGCCCGGGGGACAAATGTCAAGTTTGCACCCCGGTCAAAATTGCTTGATCCTCGTGCAAATCTATCGATTTGACCTACGGCTGGCATGCACGGGTGACCAGCAGCTACCCATATCGCAGTTTAACCCGCGGGCAAACACTGCATATCATGTGACTTGCACAAGACACGACAAGGCATGCGCGACAAATCTGAGAAGTTTTTCATCTTGCCCACCCACGTCTCAAATGTCTCAATATTGTCTTGCATGTATTTTGAGCCCCGTGCTCCTGGTGAATGTACCAGTACCCTGATCTTATGATCAGGAGCCTGTTATTCTGACCTTTTCTGCCTTAGATCCATATGCCAGCTCGCCTTCTGCTTCATTCTGAACCATCTGCAGAGTTCGGTGAGTTACTTGTTATTTTTGTATTGCTTTCTCTTAGAAGCTACAGTCTGGTATCTTAGGAGTTGAATGTATATGTACATAATTAAGCAATTACATCTGCGACTAGCCATTCTCTGTATGTTCTCGCGCGACAATATGGTCAATGGGACCCTGGGAGACTGCGCTTGTATCACGTGAGCAGAAATCTGCTTTGCACGGGGGTTGAACGAATTTGCCCGCGGGGCAAGCGTGTGAGTGGTTGCACCAGGCATAAACTGTCGTGGTTTGCACAGGGCGCAAAGCACTTTGACCGACGTGCAGCTTGTCAGCGGTTAAACCCAGTTTATACGGATCTTCTGGCCGTGTACTGAGAACATAACTGGTCGTCGTGGAGCACAATTTGTAGGAGATGGCGCGGTTGAGCGTAAGCAGGACCGTGAAATAGCACCTCGCCTCCTCTCAGACATGAGACCTAAGCACGATAGGCGACCCTGGCCATATTGCCAGTGACTTGATTCTGAGCAACGACGCAGACGGAGTGCGTACGGTAGCTGTAAATCCAGCTGCCTCCCTGTGATAGTGATGGGGACGACCAATCCATCATTGATTGTAGATCAACGGCTCCAGGGGACCGTGAGAGATTCTGCGTGGGCTAAACCCGTTTGCATTCGACAGGCGACAGACATGGAAGATGACTTGACGAATCAAGAATCACACCCGTCAGTCCCTTTCTTCGAACTTGTTCACGTAGCAAGGTTGGAGCATAAGGTATGACTCACTTTTCCATCAGATTTCGTATCTGGCATTTCGACACTGACAGTCGTCATCGCCGCATCAAGTGTAGCATCTTTATTCATGAGCGAAGTGTAAAAGTGGAACAGTGTCTCGTCGCGCATAAGACCTTACAGACTCAACGTACGTATCTTGTCGACAAACGCACGTAGTAATGTTTCCGCGCCGTGCCCGGTAAGACAGTTGTCCGCTCATTCACGACAAATGAACGTGCGCAAAAACTAGCGGTGCGAAAAACAATACCTGCGTAACTTTCACAATCGGAATTGACAGCACCCTCTGAATGCCGATTCGAAAAGCTGGAGAAGATGGCAGTACGACGCAGGTCATTGTCACTCAAGAGATCATTCTTCCACTAGAGCTTTTTTCAGCATGTCTTGCCAGTCCATGGCTAACTTGGTGAGCGTTTTACTTCGAGCTGCAACGAAAGGCGCTCAGTCTACGGGAGTGATGGGGGACGAGCAAAACAGACCGAAGATAGCGAGCACGTCCCTCAACAATTCCCGCTTTGACATGCCTAGTAGTGTAGGTGACCATGAATCATCGCGACTGGGTCGCCTAATACCAGCACGCGATCAAAAAAACAATGACTGCTTCGTAGAAGGACATGGAACGTACCAGTAGACTGGGCCATATAACTCTTTGACGAGCTCCTCTGCCTTCCCTCTAAACCCTTCATCGGCGATCCGTTTTGCGTAGAGAAGTAGAGCTTGCTTGTATTCTTGCGGGCTGTCGAGTGTCTTTGCAGCGTGTAGCTTCGTCTCAAGATGACCTAGTGTCAGCGCTGTATTCCACCATGCCGGCCGTGGTTGGTCGGCTTTCGTCGTGCCATCAATCGAGACGCGTTCACTAGTGTTACTTTCCAGAGTACTGACAACTCCGCGGGCGGCGGTTGAGTTATTAGATCGTTGACGACCTTGCCATGCGTCAGATCCTTCTGCCCACCACGGATCGCTGAGCTTAATCCAGGAGGAGAGAGCCGCATCCCACGAGAAGGATACTCCAGTTGATAGCTGAAGCACGGGGGCACCATTAGACCGAACAGTCGCAGATACCAACGTTGTATTTGGCGATGAGCCAAGGATAGGCAATACAGATGTTGGTGGGAATACGGCGACTTGCTTCTTGGCATTCCTAAAGAATATTGAACTACGAATGCACAAATGGGAGACTTAAAGGCATACCAAACGTGGAGTATGCCAATAGATGTTAGGAGCATAAGGAAATTCTTGGACCCACTCAAAGATGAGCAGGCCGAGCCAATAGCAAGTGTAGGCATCAATCTGTGAAGCAGATTAAATGGTAAACGATCGTTTCTCTGCCGAGGTGCTCCGCTCACCTTCTTCCGGTGTGCGAGTACACATTGACAGAGCCATCCTGCGTCGCAACTGCGCAGAAGACAGTGGTGGCTGTGAGCGCTAATATAGGTGATGGTAGATAATCGAGCCATTGTGTCTGTTTTCCGCTGACAAATAGAACCTCGGTTGGACCTGTAGAATGTTATCCATCAAGTAGGACTACGATAGCAAATACGCACCATCGCCTTCAGAATTGCGACCCTCGAAGATATCTTCTGTCCCTTCGACCGTCGCCTTCACGTAAGTTAGCACTGACGGCACATCGAGCCTGCCAGAGAAACTGGACGGGTCGTTCCATAGGCCCAGAGTGCTCTGTGCAGTGCCGAAGCCCGCATTCCCGCCCGCAATCTCCCGCACAGGCACAGCATCGCGCACGCGGTCGCCGCCCAGTGTTCGTGGTCGGCTGAGCACGCGGTCATCGGTGCCATCGATCGTCTTGCGCTTGCGTCCCGTCTGCATGCTGGTGTCCAACGAGCTGATTCGTACGTCGGTGTTATCCGCTAGGAACATTTCCACATCCTCGTCGCGCTCCGGGGGCCTGTCTCTGCTTCCATCGGTGAGATCGGCTATGTCGACACTAAACGGTTGGGAGGGACCACCCAGCTGCGGTGCGCTGGAATGCGGGGCAGGGGGACGATGGACTGCCGCAGAAGTCGAAGCCTCGCCAATGGAACGTGTCGTTGATATGCCCACGCCACCCGCGGCGCTTAATGGCGCGGAGGTGCTAGGGCCTGCCATACTGCTGGTGCCGTTTGCCGCAGACGGTATCGAGCTGCCAAGGGAGCCCATGAAGTTGGGCTGGATGCGCTTCTTATCCTTCTTCCGTTTGGCAACCAGTTGGTTCACATGTTCGCCACTACCAGATCCATTGACAGAGGCACCAAAACCGGTCTGTGTCTGCGCAGGTCGAGGCTCGGACACAGCACGTCCTGGAGATGGTGGAGGGGTCATGCGACCAGCAGACGGTTGGCGGGAGTTGTCGACTACGACAGGGTTCTGATGAGAAAAGCCTTCAGGTAATGGGGGCGGTGAAAATCCAAACTTCTTGAGGTACTGCTCCTGTGCAGACCTGGGAGCGATGCCTTCAAGCTCGTCTTGGTCGAAGCTGAAGACCGCCATAGTGCCATCAGAAGAGACTGCGTATAGCGTGAGGCCGTCTTGAGACCTGTTTGCATGTTTAATCGTCCATAATGCTTAAGGAGAAACTATCGCGCACCAACTCAGGTCCATGATTTGCCTCTCAAACACCTCTTTGGCAACAATGAGTGGCCGTGCAGATTTGGTCTGCCATACAGACACCGCGCGGTCATCTGCACCTAGTGCAACTACGGAACAGATGTTGGATGCTACTACAGGCGACGACGGATCTCGGAGAAATATGTGCGGGTTATATGCCTGCAATATGTCGTTATTACGACCCCGGATAGAGCCGTCATATGAACTCACAGCGACTTCCACCGTGTTCTCGTGACCCACGAGACTAATCTCTGAGGTCCAAGTATTTCGTGCGATAACAGCTGCTATAAACACGTAACCGTCGTTATTGGTTGCGTTGGACGCGGTAATATGGGCGCCATCTGGAGACCAGCTTTATGACTGTATGAATGAAATGTGATTGTGTCAACACAAAAAGAGTATTTACCTTAGTCGTCGAAAGAATGTTCCCGGAGAGTGGTCAAACGGCTTCCTGACCTCAGCTTCCAAGCTCCAATCCGTTGTTCTCCAGATCCTGACAGACCTATCGTCCGATCCAGTCGCAAGGAACTCGCCTACGGGATCCCAACAGACTCCCTTGACGAACCCTTGATGCTGGTCTATTCTCATCAGGCGCTCTAACAAGAGGACGTAACGCCGTCGTTAGTAGATGCACACATCTATTCCAACAGCCCTTACCCAGAGTGTAACCACACCAGATCAGGACCTGCGAGTCGAGTCCCACAGTGGCAAGGTACCGGTCACCTGGAGACCATGCAATATCCGTAACATCTGCGGGGGGAGCAGAAGATGGGTTAGAATCTCTTGCGTGGAAATATTTCTGACGTATAAGGCCGACTGCCGCAGAACTCCTCCGTGATCCAGTTAGGCAGCTTCGGCGTTACCGTGCCAATCGGCACCTTGACAGGCATCTTACAGAACGTTTCTTAGATACTCCGAAGAGATAGGCCCACACTTGGGAGAAATAGGAGCAAGCCGGGCATCAGCTGACCAACGGCGCGCATCCGGTAACGGAAGATGAGGTGACCCTCTCGGCCGTCCCGAACGATACGCATTCAACGAGAAAGAGATTGAAGGCCCACGACATCCTCCCATGTTGTGCAGGAGTATGCCATGTAGGAGATACCCCAAGGAACAATATAAAGCGTAAACACTCACCACTCTCATGGCCAGGCAACCTCTTTAAGGGTTTCCATCCCTCAACGTTTACTTCATCTGAGCCCCATACTTTCCCCTTCGCTGTTCTGGGACAACCTTGAGTACCGACAGCTTCACTTCTGTCCGCCAAAATCCTCGAAGAATGCGACTTACGGGTCGAGGTCCCAAATCATCACAATCTGGTCGTCGCTCCCGCTCGCTAGCCATCTGCCTGAGTGCGCCCATCTCACGACAAGAACAGGTCCGGTGTGCATCATTAGAGTGCAGAGTGATTTCGGTGGTCGCCCAGAGAGCTCAGATGCATGGTTGAGGATCGGCTTCGTACTCCAGACCCGGACCTTTGCGTCGAGACCGCCTGTTGCTATCCGAGAGCCATCCGGGTGGACATGTACAGAGAATACAGATACGCGTTTCTCTTGGTCGCCTCGCATGGAGGTGTCTAAGGGCGTTTTAGACATCTTGTTCGAGTAGCTAAGCATGGAGGATGCCTCACCTTTGTGCATTACCCATGCGGGCTTTGTGAACCTCATATCTCCAAAAGTCAAGTATTAAATCAGCGGCTAGAGAAGTATATGCGACTAATAGCACAGGCGAATAGCACGAGAAAGTAGGGATAAGTGGGACTCTAGAGCGCTCAGACGTTTGCACAGACTCAGATCTCGATCTTCCACGTGATTGAACATGGTCAGATGCTTAATTGCGTCGCGAACCAGCCTGAGCCCGCGGTTGCTGAAACTCGCCTTCTTACACTACTCATCTGTCGTGACATCGATTTCAAGGTACTCCGAGTGCCTTGAAATCGATGTCACGACAGACGAGTGAGTTTTGTCACAGGCAAGGTCATTAATGATGAGGTCTATTCATTCGTCATATTGAAACAAACACACTGTCGACTCTCTGAGACCTCGATCATCAAACAATCCGGCCCAACCGTAGGACATGAGGATACAAGAAGATCCAGCTTCTCATTTTTGGTTTGTGGTAAGATACAATGAATCGCGTGGTAGATTGGAGTATGCATGGTACGTTTGGGTATATGCACGATGAGATGGGTAAAGAATAGTCCGTGCCTAGCTGGCAGTAAGATAGATTTTTCGTAGTTGAGTTGGTACAGCAGGCGTGCGGCACACTGGACAACTCCTTTTGAACTTGAGTGCCTTATGAATGCATCTGAAGGAATATAAGACTCGGCCTCCGCATCTCAAAGAATGAATTGACGCTTACGGTGTGCAGAAGACGTGCCCGCAACGTGTCGTGCTTGTATTCTGAGGTGCCTCCAGGCAGAGCGAGCAGGTGAATGTGACAACAGGCTCCTCCAGCTCGCCCTTAGACGACTTATCATGGTGGTGGCTAGCATTGCCACGCAAGTCGTCTGGCTTCTCTTGTATCTCAGCCGGAATGCCTCTGACTGTGTCAGTGAACTGCAGGCGACGTCAGCAGAACATCACGATGTGCGAGGAGAATGTACTCACGAAGTAGTGGGCGTCCCGGCGCATGGCTGTAGCGGCTCGCACAGCGCTATAATACTGCTCCCGCATCTCCTCGAGATGCTCGGGCTCATCAGGCTCATCCCAGAAGTCGTCCTCATCGATGCCATCCAGCGGTGGTGATTCAGGAGGAACTTCTGGGACTACCTGGACCCCCGGGGGAGTGTTGAAGTCGGCACGGGCGGGTTGTGTCACCTCTGGATACCTACGATGCCTGACGTTGTCTATCCAACTGGGTGTATCATCCTCGAAAAGGTCGTCATCCCAAGGAACATCGTCGTCTATCATGAAGTCACCGTCATCTAAGTCACTGCGGTGGACCGTGGCAAACTCGAGATGCTGTAGAGCCAAGCGTATAAGTCGAAGCAATTGTGGCTGATGGCAGGTAGCTTACCACTCGAAGACTTGCCAGAGTGTGGTACTCTATATCGCAGACTGCACAATAATGGTGTCTCGGCGAGGAATTCAGATGCTAGAACGTGAAAGAGAGATTTAGCATGAACACCCGTGACGGCAGCGAAGACGCATACGACTCTGAGAGCATTTTTGTTGATGAAACGACGACCACAAGGCCTGCATAGAGGGTGATTCTCGGAGAACTGCACATGTTGGGTGCGAGCCTCGTTAGAGACGAAGTACTGATCGCACAGCGTGCAGTACACATTAGGTAGGGTGCGGAACGTGCGCATTGCGAGAGAATATAGAAGTACGAGAGTATGCAATGAGTGGGATGAGGTTATGAATGTAATAGTGCTGGACTGACGGGGTCTGGCTTTTATGCCGTCGCAATGTCCCTCGTTGTCCATCCTAGGAGATGGATGATTTCGCGTGGGCCTGGCGCATATCCGCACATCCGCATATCCGCCTCCGTGTGCTTTCCGTCGCAGCGGCACCGCAAGTCCATTTCCCAATACCGTCACAATCAACTGACGTTAGTTGGACTATTATTTCCATTGGCGCCCAATCGAAATAATGATGTAATAAAACATTGGTCGACCGCGGCGGTCGCAATTGCGACGGGTGTGTGCGATATTGCTGCGGCAGGGCCATTCGTCCCATTATCCCGCCCGGGGCTAGTCAATAAGGTGCAATCTTCCAGCATTGGAAGATTGCACCTTTTTGACTAGGTGGTCGTGTGGTGCTACACCTGTAGTGACTGTAGTCCCCCGCGCAGGGATCATGTTTGGATGCACGTGCTTTTATCTCAGCGGACTGCTTCAAGCATAGTTCAGTATTGGATTAGGTCACACTATTCGGGGCTCCATGCTATTCACGCCATAGAAGTCAGCAGATACCTAATTGACTATGTATCTGCTGACTTCGAGGGCTGGGAGCATGTCTGGCGCGTCGCCTTCAGCGGAGGACCGCTGCCAGTGAAGCCAAAAGGTGAACCCTAACCCCAGCGTGTTGGGCTGTTGAACATGCGTGCTATACAACTTGCGAAAATATTTATCGGTGTTACTCTGTGCACGAACTGCACAGAAACGCGAACAAGGCAAGCGATGGTGTGGCCGTCGCGGCAGGTGATGAGGGGTCCGTGCGTCAGCTTGTGGCCAGGCGTGGTCCAGCTGCGTATTTCCAAGCGGACTTTGAAGCACCGCACCCGTATATAACGCGTCAACCGCCGAGCATCGACCGCGAACTCGAACTCTATCTCTTTCCCCCACACCCCAGCACCTCTTTCTCTGCACAATGTCTGACCAAGAAGGTGATAAGAAGTCGGGATACCGCTTAGAATATGCCGCTAGCAACCGTTCGGTCTGCAAAGGTTCGTTCTGTGCTTGCGTTCAGGTTCTGCAAATTGGTCGTCGCTGACCGCGTCTCCGGCGCGTCTTTCGTGTCACCAGGGCCCAAACCGTGCAATGGTATGCCTCTGAACCATCCTTTGATTTTCTCCCGCTCATAGGTGCTCGTCAGGTACCAAAATTACCAAGGGCGAATTGCGACTAGGGTCCGTGGTTGATTTTAGGGGGAACACGACCATGTGCGTCATTATTACCTCCTCACAATTCCGCGCTTCTTGGCAGACGTGTTCCTTGAGCAGTTTGCTGAGAGGCATCTCCTTTTGCATTCATCGGCGACCCAGGCTAACCTTGAGCCATCCTTAATGTAGGGTCTGGCGCCATTGGGGTTGTACTACACCGCGAATCATCCAAAACATGAAAAAGTCTTTTGAGGAGGCGGACGAGCTCGACGGTTTTGAGGACCTCAAGGATGAGGACCAAGACAAAATCCGCAAAGCATGGGAAGAGGAAAAGGTGGCTGACGAGGACATCCCTGAGACAGCGCGGAAGCCTGAGGGCGAGGAGGGCGAGGAAGAAGAAGACGACAAACCAAAGAAGAAAAAGGCTGCTGGAAAGGCAGCAAAGAAGGAAGATGCAGATGAAGGTGACAAGAAGGGCGTCTTCAAGCTAGAGTATGCATCCTCGGGCAGAGCGAAGTGCAAAGGTGCGTGATCATTACTTCGTGGATTTGACGTGAGCTTACCCTTCTTTTCGCTCATTCCTTTGGATAGTCTGCCAAGGTGAGTACGTATGACATGATGACATGCACGTATCTAATAATGAGCCTTAAAGAAAACATTGGAAAGGATTTTTTCCGTATAGGCAACGAAGTGGACTTCCGTGGAAACAAATCTTTGTACGCTTTGTTGTTGCCTTCAGCGGTGTGTCTGCATTCTGATATAAAACCCATCCACCAGCCAATGGAAACACTGGGGATGTATCGACGCGAAGACGGTTACGTCACTGAAAACGTCGTATGGCGAACCTTCTGAGATCGAGGGCTGGGGCGAACTCAAGGAGGGCGAACAAGACAAAGTTCGTCGAGCTTGGGAAGAAGGTGCAGTGCCGGAGGAAGACCAGGGTGCCGGCGAAGCTGTCGATACTGGCAAGAAAGCCCCTGCGCGCCGTCGCAAGAAAGCCGAGGACGCTGACGATGCTGAGCCTAAGAAAAGGGGCAGGAAGCCCAAGGTACGTGCCGCGCGATTCATTGAATGAGTACAAGCGGACTCAATCTGGCCCACAGAAGGTCGAAGATGAAGATGAGGATGCGGAGGAAGAGAAACCGAAGCGCAAGCGTGCGCCTGCAAAGGCTAAGAATGGTGCAGGCGAGAAGAGCAAGGCTGCTCCGAAGAAGCGCGCTTCGAGGAAGAAAAAGTCTAGCGACGAAGAGGACGAAGCATCGGCAGAGGACTTCGAGGATGAGCTCGCCGCCGTCGGTGATGACTTCGAGGACGACGAGCTGGAGGAGGAGGAGGCGCCTCCGAAGAAGCGTCAGGTACGTGCGGATGAAGTTGGGCGTGCAATGGTGCTGACCAACGTGCAGCGTGCGCCGACATCCAAGGCTTCGGCCAAGGCATCGAAGCCCCCCTCGAAGAAAGCCTCGAAGCCTGTGTCGCGTAAGAAAAAGCAGCAGGAGGAGATCCCTGAGGAGTCCGAGGTGGAGGAAGACTGAGCAATGCATCCTCGCGTGCCTCCGCTTAACTGGCCTGACTCCATCCTCTCCGCTGTCGTCGCTTTGCTATCCGTTCGCATCGTGCCCTGACACCTTTGTACATAGGATAAGTATACTGTAATATCTGCTCACATCTTGATCGTGCTATTCTCCCATCCGCGCCTGTTCCACATCGCGTCTCACTGCCGATAGTATTGCTTCATAGACACTGGCGCTACATGACGCTATAGCTACATTATGTTTGTGCTGGGAGTGTAACAATACATATACCCGTATGTCCTTCCAGAGGAGCCCGATATAAAGAACCTGCGCCGTCGTCAAGAGCGTCCCCTCGAGGTGATCCTCAGCACCTCGTTGTCGCAGTAGGGGCAATGCTCGTCAAAGTCCCGGAGCTCATGGCATTGAGGAAAGTGTCCGCGAGCGCGGTGGTGGGAAACACGCTATCGCTCGCATTCGCCACAACAGTGGGCGTCGGTTGGCCAAAGAGAGTAGTCACAATCGAGAACGCGCCGTCCGCGGAGAGGCTGGACAGGAGACTCGACGCCTGCGAGGGATTCAGCAGCGTCGTCTCGGCAAACGTAGAAGCGGGCGTGGCGGTAGTGGCGAACGACGAGCTCGCAGAGGGTTGTACGGTGGAGGTCACGGTGAGTGTGTGCGTGACGACCACGAAACTGCCTGAGGCCGCCAAAGACTCGGTGGCGGTGGCGGATGCCGATGAGGAGGCTCCCGCTGTAGCGTTGGTACCGCTTGTGACGTTGGGCGCGGATGCGAGCCCGCCTTCAACGCCCGTGGCGTTGATCAGGGCTAGTGCGATATCCTCTGTTGTACAGGAGAGCACCTGTAAATGTGAATATTAGCCTTTCACGTTGTAAGTCTTCCCCAGGTGGTGCAGACGTACAGTGCCGTTTCCTCTGAGCGCAGGCAGAGCGAAACACTGCTCGGTCGCAGGGCATGCCTCAATCTTCCAGCTGCCGCGCTCACACTGCGCGAGCGACCCCGCTATGCAGGCACTCGTGGTCGCTGATTAATAGTGGAATGGCGTGAGCGCCGTTACCTTCGATATGCACGCGACCACTCACTATTGCAGGCGGATGTTGCGTTCAAAGACGCAAACTCTCCGTTCAGCATCTGTGCATCCAGACCGTTCTGATAAAAGGTCGCAGCGTCAAGCGAGTTCATCGGCGCTGCTTGGATCAGCATAGCTGTCCAGAGGGATAGAAGCAGGGCTACGAGACGAGACATGGTGGCCAACTGAGCAAAACGGATGAAGTGCGTGTAGCGTAGAGAAAACCGTGAGGGGCACCAGGCCCAAAGTAAGCGGCAGAAATGCAATCTGCCTTGAGATGCGTCGCTTTATGACTGTCCAGAATTGATGGGCCACATCGAAGAGACAATACGGGCCCCACTATTGTCCTCAAAGCGCCCATCCTTGCTGTTACTAGGTAGACACGCGTTCTAGAGCTGTATACCAGAGGGGTATCACTGACTTCAGATCATGAACGGAGGATGACTGTGAATGTCTATTCACGAGCGGCACGCCTTGAAGGACTATATGCAGTGAGCAGTCTCACCGGCAGAACGCTTGTATTTCTCGATAGCGCAGTTGGTATTTTTGTTCTAGTTTGACATGATAGACATCGCTACATGATTTATCTGCAAGACCGATGCAGTGGGCAGGTGATACAGCAAGACTGAGAGCATTTCGGGATCGAGAGAGACCAGGGAGACCGAGCATTGAAGCGCCCCGAGCATGGCGCGTCTCATCACGTGCGCTCCTCAATCTAGGGCCGGCATACTGGCGGCAACGCCGAGCGCCTGGTTAGGATACACAGCAGTACCGTCGGTCGGGCACAGTCTACCACACACCTCAAGACTCCCGGTCAAACATGGTGAGCACACGCCTTTGCACTCGTTAATGCCCCTCCAGACGTTTTGCGTGGCGGAAACCCCGAAATCGTGGCGAAAAGAGATGGATGGCAGCGTCTTGACGCGGATGACTCTCAGTCCTCGGTGCTGACTCTGCCCCGCAGACGAAGAAGAGAAGAAACAACGGACGCAACAAGAAGGGCCGCGGCCACGTTAACTTCGTCCGCTGCTCGAACTGCTCGCGATGCGTGGGCAAGGACAAGGCGATCAAGCGCTTCACAGTGCGCAACATGGTTGAGAGTGCTGCTGTCCGGGATATCAGCGAGGCGAGCGTGTACCCTGGTGCGTCTCTTATTCCCCGCAACAGGCCCGAACAGGGGTGCTAAAGTGCTGCCTCGCGTGCAGAGTACGTTATCCCCAAGCTCTACATCAAAATCGCATACTGCGTGTCATGCGCCATCCACTCGCACGGTGCGTTAGAACATATGCGTACTGAGTGCTCAAGAATCTGATTTTTCTCTCAGTCGTACGTGTCCGCTCCCGCGAGGGTCGTCGCAACCGTGCGCCCCCTCCCCGTGTCCGATGGAAGGATGGCAAGAAGGTCAACCCTGCTGTTGCCGCAGCAGAGGATGCCAAGGCGGCGGCTGCGAGAACAGCATAGGCTTTGTACATCGCAGTTAATCGTATCTCACTTGCATGCATGATCTTCGCACGTCTGACGTGATTGCTCGTCCCCTTGTGCATCATCGCCCTAGCGCAGACCACGGTGCCATATGTCCTCATGTATACTAGGTGTAGAGCATATGAGGCTCGGAATGCATGATCGCGGTGCCATGTGCGCTCAATCCTATTGCGCTGCCCCAGGCCTTCGATCTCTACTTTCAGATCAAGTTCCTCCAAGTTGTCGACCTCACCGCTACTTTGATTTGTCCTTGCCTGACGTAATAGTCGACGTGTTCCGCAGTACAACATGAAGCGCGCTAGGTATGATATCACAGGATTCTAGGATCCTGTAGCTTACATATCATTAGGCCTTTTGAACTCGATATGTGCGCAAAGGACTTCTCCCGCATCAACCCTGCCTGCGCACAAATATTCTCGGGTGCATTTCACGATATAGAATTGGCTGTAGAATTGCCGCACACTCGCCGCAAGGAATGCCTTGAAGTTGCGCAGGGCGTCCTGATGGCCGGACGGGGATGCTCCAAACGCCAGGTGCGTTACATCACTCTTCCATCACGGTGATTGGTAATGAACTTGCATGACCCACCTCAGACTCCTCTCTATGTACCTCAGCCTGAATGTCTCTCACCAGAACCATGAGAGCCGTCGTCTGTCCCCGCGCACCCATCGCGCCGTCCGAGCTCGTCTACACAACCAACCACCCGACGCCATCGCCCAAGGCCGGCCATGTCCTCATCCGCGTCAAGGCCTACGGACTGAACCGCTCGGAGCTCTTCACGCGCCAGGGCCACTCGCCCGGCATCCAGTTTCCACGCGTGCTGGGCATCGAGTGCGTGGGGACAGTCAAGGATGCCGGAGGCGGCTCGCTGTGGAAGGCGGGCGACGTCGTCGCAGCATGCATGGGCGGAATGGGCCGTCAGTTCGATGGTGAGTCCCCTCGGCGCATCGCTGTCTCTGTGCACTCAGCCGACGACCCTGCTAGGTGGGTATGCGGAGTATGCGCTCGTCCCCCATTCGTCGGTGTCGACTCCTATCAAGCTGCCAGAGAAGATGTCGTGGGCCGAGTTCGCAGCGATCCCGGAGACGTTCCTCACAGGTACGTACAGCCATCATCGAGCGGTCCATAGCCCTCACGGACCTCCCTCGCAGCTTGGGGCACGCTAGCAGAGTCGCTCAAGCTGCAGCCGACGGACACACTCCTCATCCGCGGCGGCACAACCTCCGTGGGGCTCGCATGCGCCGCACTTGCCAAGTCCACGCTCTTCGCGCCGGACGTCAAGCCGACCGTCATCTCCACGACGCGCAGCGAGGCGAAGTCGCGGGCAATCAAGGCTGCGGGCGCGGACGTCGTGCTGCTAGACAAGGACAACGCGGTGAGCGAGCAGGTTAAGAAGGCGACGGAGGGCCGGGGCGCGACGAAGTGCGTCGAGCTTGTGGGGGGCACGACGGTGGCGGACTCGTTCCAGAGCATGTCAGACGACGGCATTGTGTCGATGATCGGATGCGTGTCGGGAGAGTGGACGCTCAAGGAATTCAATCCGATGTCGTCACTATCGCCGTGGAAGGTGCGTGGCCGTCGCATCGGCATCGTGCAGCGCGCTGATGGGGTGTGCAGCATTTTACAATCTACTCGTCGCACTATCTCGATATCTCGAAGGCCCCACTGCAGTGGATAGTCGATGCAGTCGCATTCGGCGAACTCAGTGCAAGCCTGGACAAGGTGTTCAAGATGGAGGAGACGGGCGCTGCGCACGCCTACATGGAGGCCAACTCTGCCGCGGGCAAGGTCGTCTGCCTTGTTGACCCAGAGTAGGCCTGTACAACTAAGCGAAACGGGTTCGTGTCAGAAAATGTATATCTGGTCTGTTGTACAAGTAGTCCTAACATTGATGAGTCTCCATACTTAAACAGCTGTGCTCCCGCTTTACTGTGCGTGCCCGTTGCTACTGAGTGCTTGCTCCAACAGATCTAGCGCAACTGTAGCTGATCCCCAGGAAGACTGGAAGCCAGACCCGCTGTGCCTACACCCGCCGTCAGCCTCTGCGTCATCTCGACCGACTGCAGCAGACTCACCCGTAGTTGAACACCATTGGGATCTTCCCCTTCTTGCCATCGATCCACTCTACATCCAGCCTCAAACCGCCCTTCCTCGCCGGCCGCAGCCCGACGCCCTGGTCGATGATCAACGGACGCACGTCGTCCACGGTCGGCTCACGCGCCGCGCGCACCTCAGGCGGCGCGATCTCCGGGTGCAATGCGAGGCAGCGGCGGAGGATGTCCTCCGTCGTCTCAGGGCGCGGTGCAGGGTACCAGTCGTCCTCGAGCTTCGTCCCGCCGCACACCACCTGTCACACACGACGATCCAAACGCCCTCGTGAGTGCCGCGCGCACATACACAACGAACGTATGCGCTCACCTCGCCGCACCGCCGCGGGATGACGTACGTCCACACGCCGTCCGCCGCGTGGCTCGCCGTGCGCCCGCCCGCGACCCACGGCGCCCGCAGGAGCACGGTCTGCCCGCGCACGGGGTACATCGCGGCGTCCTCGACGCCCCCCAGCGTGCGCGCGCCCAGCCCCGCGCACACGACGAGCGCATCGACCGGCGCGGCGGACGCGCGCCCGCGCGCGAAGAGGCCCGGCCCGCCCTCCGCGAGCGCGGCGACGTGCTGCACGGACCCGTGCACGGGCGTGCCGCCGCGCGCGACGAAGCGCGCGAGGAGGTAGCCGACGTAGCGCGGCGCGTCGAAGGTGACCGTCGTGAAGGACACCCCGGTCTGCGCGCCGGGGACCAGCGCGGCCTCGGGGAGCACTGTGAACTGCGGGAAGGGGGCGTCAGCGCGAGGGGCGGGTGTGAGCGGGAAGATCGGACGTCAGGCATCCAGTTGAGACGGGCGTCGCGCCCGTCGTAGAAGTATTCGGTCTCGTGGATGCGCTTGAAGCAGCCCTCGGCGTCCCCGCCTGGTGCGGAGAGCTCCCACATCACCTTGAATGTGTCCTCGTCGATTTCTATAATGTAGATAAGCACGCGTAGACGATACGAGTCCTGATTGCCTCACTCTGCATTCTCGGGTCGCCGCTCGCATGGCTGACATGGTGTCCTCCCTGATGATATGTCCGTGTTAGTACGAGCTCAAAGTGTAGTAGGACCGCTGCGCGACTCACTGCCCAGTTGCTACAATACTTGATAGTCCTCGGGTCGCCGGGGAACGTTTCGGCGACGATCGTCACATCGTAGCCCCCCTTCTCCAGGATCGCGATGCCCGTAGTAAGGCCAGCAACTCCTAGAAGACACGATCAGAAAGGCATAGCTCCTTCCCTTGGGGAACCCCCACGACGTACCTGCACCGATTATCACTACATTCTTGTTTGTGGTCGACATATCGATGAATATATCTACGGCTCAGCAGCAAAAGACCTGTTCGGAACGGTGCACTGCAGAAGTCTCGTGAGTCTGGGAGACGGGATATACACAGGCCCAAAGTGATTCCAAACAGACTCGCTGGTGCCTTGAACTCAAGGGTAGAGCCGAGTGAATCCGAAGCATCTTCGGGCTATTAGTATCAAGGTGATTCCTACTGAGATATGACTCGAATGACGAGTGATCGAGCCTCGATTGAATATTCTCCGCTAGACCGTCTAGGTACGACGAGACTGACAAGGGATCTCGGCGCCAAGCATATACACAATGTTTACGACTCTGTAGGTAATTGTGCACTAGTACTGTAACCGCGTCAATGAGAGGCTGTGGCAAATATATGTATACGTTCATAGCAACAGATGGCACGGCTTGGCATAGTCGCTGATTGGTACTGGGGGTATCAACCCGTCAATAGAGTCCCGACAGAGATGACAACGACAGTACTATCTAAATGGTAGTGCGAGCAGACTGTAAGGGCGGTCATGCACAACATATCGTTAGATGTTCTTGATGAATTTTACTAAATACCGTCCTTCCGTGTCGCCGTTAGAATGCACAAGCATGCAGACAAAGGTGGCGTAACGCACCTGCTACAGCAACAGCGCCTCACGAACATCGTACACCATCTTACCCACTAAAAAGTCGAACCCCAGAGGGTAGTGATGCAGCACGACCGCGGACACGGACGTGCCTCGCAATTTAGGCAGGCGGCCTGCCAGCAGGTGCACGATCTCGCACACGTCGTAGCTCCCTCTCCAGCAATCCTTGAAGTGGAATGCGACACGCACGCCTTGGCGCGTGCTGCACAGGGATGCTATGACCTCGTCGAGGTGAGCCCAGTCAAGGAAGTCAAGCGCGAGGTTCTCCTCTGCATCCGGGACGAGGTCAAACTGAAATGAGAGCAGGCAAAGCCCCATCGACGTCAGCCTAGAAAGGACATGAGGGATCCAGGGACAGGGGTACGTCTCCTCGACGTCTCCCACAGAGCTATGGTAGATGGCGAGTGTCTCGAGCTGACTGAATGAAGAGAGGTCCAGCTGCCCGACGTCAGCTGCCTGATTTGTGAGCGCCCGCACTCGAAGTCGTAAGCCGTGTCAGCACGTACGGTTGTAGTTATTAAAGAAGCTCAGATCGAGGTGCCTCAAGCAGTTATAGGGGATCGCTTGCAGCACTTTTGTCAGGAGGGGCACAGATGTATCCCTTGCTTCGACCTTCACCGTCTCGCCGAACACGGGCATTGGGTCTTCCCAGACAAGGCGGTTCAATGTGAGATCAGCGGAAGCGGCGAAGAGCCAGTGAACGAGCAAATACGCAAAGTAACTTTGCACTTCCTTTAGATGCAGCTCGGTAAGAATAATGCGCCTTGTGGCCAGGGACTGCGTTGGTGCGCCACTGTCTCTCCGACAGTGGATACCCGACAACCGGAGGGCCGTGAGCAGCGGACACGCCACAAGAAGGGCAAAGAAATCGTTCGGATGATCGAAATAGCTGGCGTCTAGCTGCAGAGAGGTGATCCTGGAAGAAAACGTGTAGATGACTTGGCGCGTATCCCTGAAGGTTTGTGACCAGTCGTATAGGTCCGCCTTCAGATGCTCTACTCCGTCGAGATGCGACAGTAGCCGCGGCACCCAGTCATTGACCCACTCAGTCGCAACTTTATCGTCATAGACGATAGAAAGCGTGCGGAAGTAATGGACAGCAGCCGATGACGAGCTTTGACCGGCTTCGATGAGCTTGTTGAGGCGAGCGCAATCCTTCACAGAGTTCAGAGTGACTGTGTGGAATAGATGATGGCGACATGTCGGCACCCATGCACGGCAGACGAGGGTGCAGGCTGTGAGAGTGCGGACATCGTCCCAAAGGTGGTCCATGATGTGTTCGTACAGTTCTAGCGGGAAAGTGCTCTCCCCGACAATTGCGTCATGTTCCTCAGCCATCAGACCTAACGAATGCGTGCGGATACCTGTCGCGCACATCCACGTTAGGCCTGGATGACGATGACAACCACTATAAGAACGACGCACGAGTATAGAAGCCTTGCTAGCTAGCAGCGAGTCCGATTAGCTCGATGTACGCAAGGATAGACTGACAACTCAAGGTCAGGGAAAGGTATGTTTGCGCAACCTACGATATTGACTCGGAGAGGACCGTCGTGGGCGCTCGCACAACCGCAGCTCTATGCACCTCGAACTAAGTCGTTTGGCGCGCTGATAAGGGCACGAGATACATGATCATCTCGAAGGTGATGCGTCGGCGGTCCCGGTCAACGATGGCACGAGCTAGTCGAGCTTGGTTGAGTTTGTGATTGTCTCCAGCGTTGCTACCACATTGAGAAACTTCAGTCTTCGGATATGTCACAACGCTGAAACAGATGACGGGCAGCTCGGCATAGACGATCTCTCCTCAACACATGTTGTTTGACGGTAGGATATGACGAGGACTAAAAGAATAAATGTGGGCAGGCATTTTCCCGGTTTGCATCGCAACCCTGGTGACTCGAGTCCCTAGACCAGTTTATTATCGCTTGTAGCAGATATTCGTACACCAGAATCGGCCAGGTGAGATGTTGAGCCGTGAAGTAAAGCCAATCATTTTTTGGAGTTTTAAAGTGTTGAGTGAGAGGGACGGAACAAACACCTCATCGGCGCTTGTTTCTGTCGAAACCCCAGCAAGTCACACTAGCCCGATTATTCATTACCGTCGCGTTGATGTACATTCTCCGTCCCATGCAGTGCGCACCACTGTACGGGCACCAGTTTTGACGTTGAAACCTAGAAGGCCAGAAGTAGGATCGCTGATGAGGCGAACGAGGAGAATCGGCACACAGCTTCGTGCAGGAATCAATGGAACATGAACGATCGCGACGCGATCGTGAGCCGCATGCCGTTCAATTGATTCATAGATATTGAGGCCATGTGCATTGTCTGCGAACAGAATCCGCAGAGATATGATAGGCGATTCCTTCTCCCGTCCATATTGAAGCAATGACCCCGCAGACAATCCTTTCTGTAACGCCATCCGACGGAGTCATTCAGCTGAAGCCGATCGCTGCTTCCCCTATCCGAGTCGCGCCTATCATGTGAAACTCGCGTCTACATAACAAGCGGTTTAGGGCCCCGCAATATAAATACGTCACTAGTCTAAGCTAGCAGGCAAGCTACGCTACGTCAGCGAAACCCAGGAGCACTTACGGTTCTCTGATCGACTTATCGCGACGATGGATTTGGACCTAGATGCTAGTCGCAAGGTTTGGCTCGTAACTGGTAAATGAATCCTCGGCCAATTGCAATGCATCTACCATTCACATTCGGTGCATCTTCGCACGCAAACACTGATAGTGCGTTGTCTATAGGAACATCGTCAGGTTTCGGAAAACGGCTTGTCAAATCCATTCTAGCACGAGGCGACTATGTCATTGCCACAGTCCGCGCTCTCGATCGTTTCCAAATCCCGCTGTCCGATGAGGAGCGCTGCAGGGTGCATGTGCTCGTTTTCGATCTTGCAGATACCCACGAGAATATCCAGAAATTGGCAGCCAAAGCTGCTGGCTTATGGGGACGTATCGACGTCCTTGTCAACAACGCCGGAGTGGCGCCCAAGTCACTCTTGGAAGAACTAGGGTGCGTGGTGCCGCGAACTCCATGGGTTTTCCATGATACCGAAGAAAACACTGGCTGCGTAGAGAATCCACACTTTCATCAGCGTTCCAGACCAACTTTTTCGGCGTTCTCAACCTCACTAACGCGATCCTGCCTTACATGCGCGCGCGACGCTCGGGCACCGTTGTGTTCATGGGCAGCAGGTCTGTGTTCAAGCCGGACATGCCTGTAGGTCTCATACTTTCTGTGAACGATCACACGTTTATCAATGTAATCTCAGCTGACGGGAGCTTACGTGGCATCAAAAGCCGCACTGCACGGTTCGCCGATATGGGGATATAATGCGAACATGCTAACCTATCTTGCAGGCGCGGCTGAGACATACTCAAGCGAGCTCAAGCCGTTTGGCGTCCGCGTGCTCATTGCCTGCTTCGGCGGCTTTCGTACAGAGGGCATCCATATTGCTCCTGTCACTGTTGATAACCCTGCGCCCGGACTAGATGACTTCCGCCAGAAAGCTATACACTCGTTCGATGGCGCTTGGGAACGGGCACCTGGCGACCCGGATAAGGCGATGGAGGTTCTCGTCGATGCCGTACGAGGGGAAGGCAAGGCGAAGGGAAGAGATCTCCCCCTGTACCTGTTTATTGGCGGCCCAACCTACACGGCGACGCGGGAGCATTGCAGAATGCTCCTGAAGTCAATGGATGAATGGGAGGATGTTGCAAAGGACCTGGACTTCGACTGCGCTGCTCCTGTAGAAGCACCATCTCACGGATAGTGCGTAGGTGAATTTCATAAAAACGTACATTGAGGGGATCATTGAATCATGGTCGTCAGGTAATTAGGTCTGCTCCCTCGACCTCAGTGAACGAAGGCTGCCCAAAACACCGCAATGGTCCACAACAAAGCCGTTCCTATGAGAGATCTGACTCGCAAGCTCATGGTAGACCAAATTTGTTTGTCACGATACGAATCATGCATGCGTCTGAGTTCCAATGTAGTGGCCGCTATCACTGACTACTCATGGTGTGCCACAATCCGGATAGTGCATTTAGCGTGCACCCGTTGACGGGCGTCTACTTATGTTTGCACTTATTGAAAATAGAAGCTTTTGGACAACAAGTGTAAACAAACGACTGTCGATGAAATCCGGTTCTGATATCAAGCTGTGTGACCCTGTGCGCATCTGGGCAAGGCCTCATCTGTTCGGATCTTCAACTTTGAGATATATTGTCTGCATGGTGTCTGAATGCCACTATAGATGGATTGCAAGTTTTAGAGCAAGTGCTGACGTTTGTCTAGCTTGGTGTCAATTTTCCATGCAGTGTCTTGACATTAGAAGGGCAAAATTTGTCTGCGACTAAAAAGTCAGTGGAGGTATGTATTAATGTCATGTCGTTGGTCTATCATGACATCTGAAAGGTACAGGCAGCATGCGAGCCATCGCAGAGCGCAAATGCACGACCATGGAGCAAGCCCTTCCGTAGTGAATGTCTCGCTCAGCCCCGGAGTTGTGATTTGTCTAGTATTGGAACTTCAGATCCAGCATATCGAGCCGAGTACAGTGCAGCACGATCGGCACTCTCTTCCGCCCGCCCCGCCCTCGGGAGTTCAGCATCTAAGTCCTCCGATGGTTCGAGAATCTCAGGACAACATCAGCATGCGTAAAATTGACAAGGTGAGACCACTTCGAACCAATGGGCATTGATTGGATCCGGTACCAACCGTTTTTCAACCGGTGTCAGCAAGCCGCCGTACGAGTGTACTTACTGTCGCTTGCAGAAGTGCCGCTGATTCCGGCGTCGTTTACGATACCGCCCGTGATGTGACGTGACGACATGAGCGTAAATGACGCCGGAACCAGCTGTACTTCCCGCAAAGAATCAATCCGAGAACGCCGTCGACACTCGTCGACGCCGCGATAGACAGATGGTTGAGCCGAAGGGAAACGGACACATCGGGCAACTTTGATGCTGTGATCAAATTATTTGTCATACAGAAATAGAAACAGGCGGATTATGCCAAATGCCAGAATGCAACATGCGGCGCCTTTCATACTCTCAACCTCCGTTCTTGAGCAGGTACAGACTCAATTGATATACTCATCTGCGCAGACAATTGGGTGCTCACCAAACAAGGCAGCTGCCTTCATACAGATGGATTGAGGAATGCTGATTCGGCCATCGCTGGTCCTGCATGGCAATGACGATATTCTCGATTGGGTAGAACCGCATCGCGGCTGTGAAGATTTATTTGATCTACCGGGTACAGGTTTACTGCCTCACATGCCAGCATCGGCTTTAGCACTGTTCCCAAACAGAAGAGAGCAGGCCTCGAGCACGGCAGACACCACAAATGTACGCGGGACCTCGGAAATGACTCTTTATTGATGACGTTCTCTGACACTCATCAGCCTCTTCTCAGCTATATATGTGGCTTCATGCTCACAACCCATCCGCCAACCACATTACTTGTCTCCTTCTCCTGTCTTCGTGATGTCCCAAGAGCCCCGTATCGCTGTCATCACCGGTGCTGCGCAGGGGATTGGTCGAGCTATCGCTCTTAGACTAGCCGACGACGGAATCGATGTCGCCGTCAACGACATCCCGAGTAACGAAAAGAAGCTCTTAGAAGTCGTTGCCGAAATACAGGCGAAAGGCAGGCGATCGATCCCTCTCATTGGTGATGTGGCCGTAGAAGGCGAGGTTCGGGGCTTCATCGAGCAGACTGTATCCGACCTGGGTGGAATAGACATTGTGAGCCGCAACCATCCGTACCAGACTCGTACATGTTGACAGAGACATTATTTCGCAGATGGTAGCAAATGCTGGAATAGCAAGAAGTGTAGAGCTTATCGATAGTATGTGTGTTTTTCTCGTTCACATATGCTATTCAAATGGGTTGTTCGATGCTTGAAGTGAGCGTGGAGGATTGGGACTGCATGATATCTGTGAACCTCCGCGGTGTGATGTTATGCTACAAGTATGCCGCGCAGCAGATGATCAAGCAAGGGCGTGGTGGTAGGATCCTTGGTATGTAATAGTCCTGTCGTTTATTGAGATATGTGTTGCTTAATCTGTGTCATTCTAGGCGCCTCGTCGATCTTAGGCAAGAAAGGTGCACGACGTTCTTAGTCTTATCTGTTATCTTTATGCCTGACGAAGAACTGAAGGGGCCATGACATTTTCCAGCTATTGTGCAACCAAGTTCGCAGTTAGAGGTCTCACACAGTCTCTTGGTGGGTAATGCCGTGTCTACTTTTTGCGAGTCCCTCATTTGGCACGTGTGACAAACACAGCGCTTGAGGTTTCCAAGCATAATATTACTGTGAACGCTTATTGTCCGGGCCTCATCCACACATCGATGAGTATGTCGCTATTCCCTTCGTCGTGCCATGGCTTCTTGATCATGAATATTTCGCAGCATCTGCATCTACAAGTGGACAATCTACGGACCAGCATGGTAACGCGGCATGTATCTCTCGTCGTCTTCCAATCTGCAGGGATCTCTCACTCATAAAATATGCTGTGTCTACGGCACGCATGAATCTACAGGTGTTACCGGTTCCGCCAAGTATGCCAGGCGCCGGGCCAGAAGTCATTGCGAGCATCGTCTCGTATCTCGTAAAGCCTGAGGCTTACTTTATCACTGGTATGCCACCTTACGTTCATTAGCCTTTGGCCTACTTCCGGGCTTACCGCTTTCAACACGACAGGTCAGTCAATTGACGTAAACGGCGGGCGTTATATGTCATAAGACGTCCCAATTTACGTCCTATGCTGTGACCGCTCCGAGGATGAATTGCATGATCGTCCGTGAAACATGTTTCAGGATGCCGTTTAGCAGGCTATATCTGCTAAGAATGTCAAAATCAAACACGAAGCCGCCGCAATCGATCTTGTTAGCCACACAGTCATATCTACGCTTCAGACGATTAATCTATACCTGTGGTCATGCTCATAGTGATTACTGGGCGCGATGTTTCAATTACTGGCCAGATTGATTCCGTGTACCCTTTTCACCCGTAACCCTCTACTATGAGCATCACGGTAACGTCCAGCCCGATGCATATTTTCACGCATGCACTCACGTTACAGCATGGTCGGGGATGTTCTGTATCGTTCAGGATGGTCATAGGACACAGTGGGCATGCCGTATGCCATTCGCCGGAATGTTCTCTCTTCGTGCGTTGTGACAGCGGGACGCCATGTCGAGGCACAGTCGAGGCGCAATAAGACCGTGCTTGCCTACTTTCGTTGCCCCCACGGGTTCAGAAGTGGCCTGTATAAAAACAAAGAGTGATTGGCATATACAGATTACTGGGGACAGTCTTGTCACACAGGCGAATTTACAGGGCGATCATCAGCAGACTAGGTACCGTGACCAGTCTTCTCGCCACTTTGTATTGGGTATTACTGACAGCGTTGTAGGGATTATGGCGGCGTGGTTATTTGACGTGTGTCATGGCAGTCTGGACACGGCTGTCGAAGCCGATCGTTTGTCACCTTGTTGGTACAAATGACCCTTCGTGGTCAGACTTGTCAAACCCGCGGCCGCTTTAAGTGCGCTGCTCGCCTTAATCCTTGTGCGTATCTCACACTGCTTCTACTCCTCTTGTGCAGTATGTCTGATCAACAGCGCGTCGCGATCATAACAGGAGCTGCGCAGGGTATTGGCAGGGCAATCGCCCTTCGACTAGCAAAAGACGGAATACATGTAGCCCTCAATGACATTCCAAACAACGCCGATAATCTCGCCAGAGTCGCAGAGGAAGTACAGGCCCAGGGCGGGCGGTCGACGACAATCCTTGCGGACGTCTCTGTGGAGCATGAAGTCAAGGCAATGGTAGCAAAGGCCGTAGAGGACCTTGGAAGCGTGGATGTTGTATGTGATGTGTATGGACATCACTCCTGCTGGCAGACGGTCTGATCATTTTCCTAGATGATAGCAAACGCAGGAATATCCCCAGTGGGATCGATCCTAGACAGTACGTTGACGTCTCCATTCGGTATTGATTGGTATTTGGTGATTCCCAGCGTTCTTCAAGTGAGTGTGGAGACATGGGACCGTATCATGGATGTCAATCTACGCGGAGTCATGTTGTGCTACAAGTACGCGGCATTACAGATGATTAAGCAAGGACGTGGTGGAAGAATCCTCGGTACACATTTGTGTCTGCTATTCCTGTGCTCGTGATGGGCCTACTCACGCCCTGTGTTTCTTGCAGCCGCATCATCCCTGTTGGGAGGGCGAGGTAAGGTGGTGCATGTAGATCTCTTGTGTATCTTATGGTTGGAGTGCCAGGCGCTATCAATTTCTCCGCCTACAGCGCCTCGAAGTTCGGCGTGAGGGGCCTCACTCAATCGCTCGGTGAGCCCTTCTCCCGCTTGAAAGTGTCAAAGAAGTTCACAGACGCAACATGATAGCACTCGAATTGGCAGAACATAACATCACTGTAAATGCATACTGTCCTGGGGTCATCATCACGCCCATGAGTACGCCCAGCCTTACATTTCATTATTTGCGGTGCATGTTGACATACAGTATATCTCAGCATCTGTGGAGGATGACGCACAGTACGGAGGCAAGCCTGGCGCTAGGGTCAAGGCGGTACAGTCAACTCTGGATGTTTCTGTGCGGGATTCTAATCAAGACTGTTCTGCCTTCGCAGTGGATAGGCGCTCCGCCCGATGGTCCAGACGCTGGTCCAGAGGTGATCGCCAGCATTGTCTCGTACCTCGTTAAACCTGAGGCGTATTTCATCACCGGTATACAGAATCAGAGCTTTGATGTCATTCTGTACTAATGATATATTGTAACATAGGTCAATCTATCCATGTGAATGGGGGTGCACATGTTGGATAGTCCTTCAATGGTTCAATTTACGCAAGGGAACGGTTATGCGATATACTGAAGGGCGATACTGTATATCAACATTTACTATGGGTGTAGCTTGACACAGAATTCCAAACTTGATCACAATTCGATGAGCAGTTGGCTATCGGCCCGGAACTGAATGGGTATACCATCACTACGACGCTAGGAGGTACGAAGAATACGGACGGTGATACAGCGTACAGGTTTGACCCCACGTCCGCTCATATCCGCATACAGTTGACCCTTTGTGCAACTCACGCGACCGGGGCAAGGTATGTCTCAGTGCCCAACAGTCGTTTGCTTACTGCGCCAAGAAGTGAGGCATCAGAGGCATCTGGCCCGGAGGTCGTCGCAAGCGTAGTGACCTACCTCGTCCAACTGCAGGCATACATCATTAGTGGTCCGTGCAGTTGGCACCTACTCGTATTCTGCTATCAGCGTCTCACGCAGATGCTGTGCAGGTCATCCTGCCGGCGTCAATGGGGCTGCAAGGAATTAGCTTTTGATTACCCTACCGGCAGCGATTGTGCTGGTGCACCGTATATGTACATTGACTGCTACAGACTGTCCCAGGCAAGAAATTACGAATGCTGTAGTCGATTTTAGAGTCCACTGAGCATGGCACGCGCTCGTGAATAAAAAGGGTCACGCATGAGGCCGACGAGGGCTCACGATAATCTCTGTTGTACGTGTCCATGTCCGGAGCGGCTGCTTCCGTTCACGGCGGCTGTGGTCTCAACCTCGGGCATACCTTGGAGACTCCCCCTTCCAACGCGGCCCCGAGGCAACAAGGAGCCCGTCTCTGCGACCCGGGCACCTCTCTCCACGCTCGTACGTCGACTGTGGCTCGCGCCCCTGCTGCGTCCGCGGCCCATAAAATGCTCCCCCATCATCGGCGGAGGCGAGCCAAAAGACGATGACAGCGACGGCGGCGGGACAGAGGGGTACGACAGCGGCGGCGGTGGCGCGGGATACGGCGCAGGCGGGTGGGCCACGAGGGGCGCGGACGAGGGTGGTGTTGTGATCCCCGTGGCATAGCTCGCCAGCGGCGACACAGACGTGGAGAACACGGTGGGCGAGGACGGCGAGTGCGAGAGCGGCGTGGTCGCTGCAGATGACTCGAGGGACAGCGAGGCTGCCGGGTGATGCACCTGCGACGGCGGGCGCGGAATGGGGACCCCGGGGATTGGCCATGCCGCTGCAGCCGTGAGCGGGTGTTGTCTCTGTGGGCTGGGGCTCGCGAGGACGCCTATAGACGTGGCGGGCGAGGACGCGGCGGAGCTCGCGCGGCGGTGCGTCGGCTGCGAGTACGGCTCCGCGGATGCGAGGCCGATCAGGTTGTCGACGGGCAGGCCGAGCTGAACAGCGTCAAAGTCGTCTCGCGCGCGCACACAGAGAGGGGAACCCGGCTCACCCGGCGGCGGTGCTCGATCAGCTCCTCGCGGTAGATCTCGTTCAGGCGCGTGATGCGCATGTAGTCGCGCTCGGTGTCGACGAGGCGGCTGCGCAGCTGCTCGTTCTCGCGGCGCATCGCCTCGAGCATCATCTCGGACGATGGTTCCGCCGGGTTGCGATAGCCCAGGAAGGTGTGCAGCCCGAGGCGTGTATCGACGGGTGAGCCGCTGCCGCTGCCCATTGTGCCGCCGTTCACTTGTGCTTGCTGCTGCTGCTGCGCCAGACGGAGGGCAGAAATCTCCCGCGAGAGCCTATTCACATGGCTTTCCGACTCAGCCTCCAGGGTGTTCTCGAGCGCAATCTTCTCCTCACGAAGCTGCAGCCGAGGTGAGTGTGATGATATACCCGGGCCGCGAAGGAGTACGCACCCGCTCAAGTTTGCGAGACAGAACGTTGATGATGCGCTCTTCCTCCGCCTCGTATTGATTGATAAGGTCCTCCCGACTGCTTGACGTCGTAGACGAATATCTCCGGACGGGCGGCGAGACTGACATGGTGGCGGGACTGAGAGGTTCAGATTGCTTCAACAAGACTTTAATGCTGTATCACCTCCGTCTCCTCAATATCGGGGGTTGGACTGGCGGGTTGCAGGGTATATCCTCTGCTGATGAGTTCAATTCTCGGACACGAAGAAACGTTGAAAGGACCATGCCTTTACCATTGCAAGGTCCACCACAGGCGTTCCATCACGTGCCGACAATCTGCAAAAGGATAAGGGGTGCCCCAGAAAAGCAATATTTAGTGTTAGACCCTAACCTCACTTCGCGTCAGCCTGCAAGCGGTTACAGCAAGCTCACAGGCTACAGCTGATTCCGACTTGTTGAACTCGATGTGCGCGCAAGCGGACTTCTAGCAGAGATAGGCCGCGACGATACTTCGCCGGGTCCAGTCAGGTCGAGACCATAGTTCCGACTGTCGATTCCGAATTCCCGCACCGGCGTATCCTCGGGTAAGTCTGACAATATAGAATTAATTAACTGCAATACTCACTTAACATCAGACCTACTCATTTCACTGCAGCTTACAGAAACTCGTCGCTCCGTCGCATAGCGCATAGACACTCGACACGGCCTCGCAGGACAGACTCAGTACTCGGCCTTCGTCTCTCCATTTCAATATTTCAACCCATGTATAAGTCTACGCAGGCCTGTCGTCATTGATTGCTGTTAATACCACTAATAGGTCAAAGGACAGGCACTCATTCTACGATCTTCTCTTGCATTGCACGAACTGCGGCCTGCCCGATTACCTGCGGCACAACGCTGAGGCTAAATGGCAGGTTCCGTGATATCCCGAACAATGGGTGCGTATTGTCGTCTTCTTCAGGAGCGAGATAACGACGAGCCGAACACCTCGAGGAGGACTCGTGCGCGCCGCGGCCAGGGCCATCGCCGAGAAGCGACGGGTTGCTATGTTACTTATCGCGGGGTTTCCATATTAGGCAGGGCGGGCAGCGCCTCACGCCCTAATACGCCAATTCTGGCGGGCCCGTGCGGATCACGGGAGTCAGGCTCTCGCGCGTATATAACCACGCCCGCCCGCATTGGCGATATGCCTTCGCGTACCCTTCCTTTATCCATGAATCCACAGCAAGCCTGGAATGAGTGGGATGAAACTCACAGGTACCAGACACAGCAAGACACTCAACCACGGCCCGGATACGCGCCCACTCCTCAATATTATCAGCCTGCTGCAGAGATCCAGCTCCAAGAGCGTTCAACAAATAGTTTCCGGTTCGATAATATCACGCCAGCGCACTTCCGCCAAGATCAACAACCGCAACTGCTAGTTGAGAGCGTAAGAGATGCATCTGCGGGGGCGGGGCCCGTTCGCACGGCACGTCGATCTGCGCAGGCGTACGGTACGCATCCGTACCAGCGTCCTCAGTCCGCAGCGCCGCTGCGCACCGGCACCGCAGCCAGACTGTCCCCAGTGCACGAGCGTGAGTCACAGAGTCCGATGCGCCCTCCCGCCCTGCCTGCGCGCACCATGCCCAGCAGCAGCAGAGCCGCGTTGCCCGCGAGTACCCCCGCTGTATCGTTAGGCTGCCCCGCCGCCAACGTCTGGCGGGAGCGACTACTACTGAGCACGCTTCCCGGCGCCGAGGCGCCGAGCCTGAGGTGCGTCCCAGATTGCCCGTGCCCCAGCCCTCCTCACACCCGAGGACCCTCCCTTCGCCCCCGAAGCTTCGATCGCCCCGGCACCTCAGCCGCATCAACGCCCACCGTCACGCCCGCGCACCACGCCCAAGGCCTGCCCGCCGTCCCCGCGCACGCGCACGCGAACATGCCGCGCTACAACATCCGCGCGGACGTGCACTTCGACGCGGCGCGCGGCCTGCTCATCGCGATGCTCGAGCTGCCGGGCGTGCGCAAGACCGACGTGCGCATCTCGCTCGCGCAGTGCCCGCACTCGCGCATGAAGGTGCTCGCGGTCGCCGGCGTCGCGTTCCCCTCGCACTTCATCTCCGACAGCGCGCACGGCGGCGCGCTGCACGCCGTCCGCGAGCGCAAGTGCGGCGCGTTCGGGCGCTGCCTCCCCGTGCCCCCCGAGACCAAGGTGCGCGTGCCCGCCCGCCCGCCGCGTCTACTGACGGACGTGCCTTTGTCTTTGTCTGTCCCCCTCGTCGCCCCGTGTCCCGGCTCTCAAACAGGCCGAAAACCTGCACGTCTCCATGGAAGAAGGCATCCTCACTCTGAGAGTTTTCTGTGGTCCTCCCGCACAGGCGGTGCAGGCGCAGTCGATACCCATCCCGTGAACATGTCAGTCAGCCACCGCCGTTGTGTGCTTCAAGTCCACATCAAAAGGTTGCACGTTTCGCAACAGCTCTGAATTACAAGTACAACGCATTCGCTCTGAAGAATCCCCCTCAAGTCGCTCTCCCACCTGCTTTCGACTCGCAACAAAATGTATCATATACCGTCTCGTCCCAGTTCCCCGCGTCGCTGAACATGTACGTTAGATATTTACCTACTAGTACTACTGTAGTGGTATCCTGCGCCCTTATTTCTTGGCCACGGCTCCTGTTCTCATGGATCATTTACCTTACTGAACGCTCGCGCTTGGCCAGCCCGTAGATACTCGTACGTCATACGTAGCTTGATTGCCGCAATGCACACTGCTGAATTAATAACACCGAGCCGTAACCTTCAAGCGCTTTCGGCGAGTAGTCGTGGATTTGTCGCTGTTCGAAGAGGAGATGAGATCCTCGTCGCCTTTCTCCTTTGTTCTTGCTCGCGAGATTTAAGCAGCAAGCGGCAGTTTCGTATGCACCTATCAATAATCTCGACCTGGTAGTACTTGCGAAGACTATGAGCTCACGCGCACAGCTCAATTCAAGTTGATTAGACTAGCCCAAGAACTCTACATATTCAAAAATGCGACTACTATCCTACGAATATCAGCGATAAATAGATACATACAAAGACTCTACAGATCAGAACGAGGACGACGAATCTCCACAGTAACATACAGACAGGGCGGCCCTAGTGGCTCGTGTGGACGGGCACCGGGTGGCGCACCGCCCGCCGACATGATTTTTCTAGTTCGACGAGCATATCGTTCACGCGGTCCCGCGCCTCCTCGAGCGCGTTGGTAAGCTCTTCGTCCTCGAGCTTGCCGCCGCTGCCGTATTCAAACGCTGGCGAGCCCAACGACGTGCGCAGCGCCATGTGCAGCGCTGCGTTTCTCTGCGAGGGCGATGGCGGCGGCGAGAGTATGAACGCGACCGACGTCGCGCACGCGGGGAACGACGAGGGGAAGATGCGTCGGTAGATGATCGTCGCGCTCAGCAGCGCCCGGATCTCCGCCTCGTCCGTGCTCGCGAGGTCGTGCATGTCCTCGCAGTCCACGTCCTCGTCCCGCCCGCCCGCGCCCGTCGGCGACGGAGGCAGCAGCACGTCTTCGTGCGTGAAGAAACCCGTGTGCCAGATGCGCTCGAGAAGCACCGCAAGCTCCGCCGTGCGCCCGCCAATCGACTTGCCGGCCTCGACGGTCTCCCTGCGCTCGTGCTCCTCGCACAAGTCCTTCTCGGCGTCGTAGATGTATGCGTCGCTGTCGCCCACACAATCGCCGGACGCCGCGGCGCGGACTTCATCGCGCACAACGGTACGGACGAAGAGTGCTGCCGCGTGCTTACGCAGACGAGCCCGGATGAGGATCGCAGCAAGGACGCCCAGCGGAGTGCGCTTCTCGCACGCGGCACAGCGTCCTTTGCGCTCCGTCTCGTGCCAGCGCTGCCACTTCGCAAGCCACTCGGCTGCGTCGTCGACGCTCATATTGTCGAGTACAATCTTCTCGTATGGACGGATGACTTCGGGCTTGCGAGCAGCCTCCCAGAGTGCGGCGGCTTTCGTGGTGGACACGGGGCGCATGATAAGCGCAAGCGTTGCCAAGTCCTTCGTCTGCGCGGCAAAGGTCGAAATATGCCAGGACATGCACCAGTAGGTCTGCAGCCGAGTGGCTTTGCCGACTTGATCTGGATGGGAATGTTACTTTGCACATAACAGATCACTCGATACGACTTACCATTGAAGGCAACCAGCTCGCCCAATCGCACCCACGCTCTTTGCTCGAGCTGGTTCAACTCGATTCCACGATCAACGCGCCCCGCCTTGATCACGCCCTGCATCAATCCCACAAAGCCGTCCATCACACCCAGAGCCCTGCGCAGCTTGACAGCCTCGTCGGCCGAGCCACGGTGCGCAGGGTCGAGCGCATCCACAAGCGAGTCCATCAGCGCGGCCTGGTGGTGCGCCCGTGGCTTGACAATCCGTGCGCCATCCGCAAGTGCGTGTGGGTCCGGCATCGAAGACGGCATGCATGTCGCGCGTGCCCGCGCGAGAAACTGCGACAGAGCGGTGCGGCCCCTGAAACGCCGAAGAGTGCCAGAGAGCCACGGAACGAGGACGTAGAAAAACACGAGCGTGGACACCAATAGATGCGCTGCCTGCACAGCCTCGTACCATCCAAATGCGCCAATATCAAACGAGGACGCCGGCACGACGGGCGGTGCCTCCGAGTGCGGCGGTACATGTGGAGTGAGGACCTGCCCATGATGCGCATGCGGGTGCGCAGGGTAAGCTTGGGAGCGTGACGATGCAAGCGGGGAGTTGAAGACAGAGAAGAATGCGAACACCGCAAGCAGATACTGCTGCGCGGGCGCCTGTTGCGCGTTGTTGTCTGACTGAGTCTGCACAAGGTTGTCCTGCATCTGCGTGTCCACTGGGAAAATTGGTGGTGCAGTCGCCGGTGCAGGCTGTGCGGGTGCTGCAGGCGCCAATGGTGTTGGTGCAGCTGAGACAGGCGGGAGAGGTACCTTGCGTGGCCGTCCACGCTTCCTCTTCTCCGGTGCAACACCAGAAACTGGCAATACAGCAGACTGGGGCATGGCCGCAGGCTTTGACGGCTTCTCCTTCTTGACCGGCTTTGCGACCTTCGGCTTCTTGCGTGCACGGCCGTCCTCGCCGTCCTCCCCATCACTGTCTTCACCGTCCCCGTCTTCGTCGTCGCTCGCTGCAGCTGCCCCTTCTTCCTGGAGCTCGTCCTTCTCCTCTCCTCCGAAGCGCTCCCGCCATTCGCGCTCCCACTCCTTGAGCAGTGCCGGGCCGCCGACGAGACCGGACACAAGTGACTTGAGCCCGTCCTGCTCTCGCTTGAGGCGCGCTTCACGCTTCTTGAGCACCCTGGAAGGCCATGAGGATTGATCCAGTCGGACAAAAATTGATCTCTTACTTGATGTACTCAGCCGCCTTGCCTAGCACATTCGCCTTACTCATCTTTCTGGCAACTTTCACACCGTCGACGAAACCCCTGGAATCGACCACGTCTCCGTAAGGGTTCTCCTGGGCATTCACCTTGGCCTCCAGTACTCGAAGCGCAGGGACCGCCTGCTTCAGACCGGTTATCCGGGCGTTCAGGTTTGTGCGATACCGACGCTCAATCGTTGTATGGCTGGTCTTGGGACGGCCGATCACAGACTGCACGGGAGGCGGCGTAGAACCTTCTGAAGACCCCTCACTCTTAGGCGAGGAGGCAAACTCCGAGGTGGGAGGCGTCTTCGGGCTGTTCTTGATCATCACCGCGGGACTGGGACGAGGAAGACGGGGGATCGGAAGCTTGGCCTGGCCGCCTGCATAGCAGAGCGCTGTAAGAAATCAGCGCGAAACAATTGCGTAGGATTGCAACATACCAGCGGCGGCCATTTGCTGCACCTGCGCACTCACAGGCACGGCCCATGTAACACCAGCCATTTGCCTGACCTTGTCCGCCAGCTCCTGCGCAGGATCACTAAGGCAACTGTCGCTTGGCGGCGAGCTGCTGACAGAAGCTGGCTCAGAAACGGGGGAGAGCGAGGCGGCAGATACAGACGAGGAGGACGAGGAGGTGACACTCAAGCGTCGACCAGTATCAGGTTGGATATGGGACTGCGGCATCCAACTCATGTCGTCTGACGTAGGATAGACCAAGTCCGCAGACATGTCGGCCTGCGGAGGCATGAGGAACGAGGTGCCATCTGGCAAAGACAGAGTATTTGTGTCAAAGATTGAATCGAAATGCAGCGAATTCGGGTCGATCGCCATGTTCTGGTCAAAGTCAAGGTCCATGGGCAGGGAGAAATTGAAGTCCCCGAAGTCAAGCTTCCCATTCGCGTTGCCACCGTTCGCCCATGTAGAAAGGCTCCCGAGATCTGGAGGAGTATTCACTTGCGATCCATCTGGAGAGCCAGACGCATCGACGTTCTGGCCGTGGTTTGAGATGGCCTGCAGCAGGAGCTCGAGGGACTCGTCAGCGTTAAGCTGGAATGGCTCCGACTTGGGCGACGGCGTGCTCGCCGACGAGCTGCTGCTCGACAGCGGGGGTGTAGACATTGTGGAGGAGCAGACGAAGAGGGGTCTGTCGTCGGACGACGGGATATGAGCGACCGCGCCCCATAACATCAGACCACTTTCTATTTACCATAAAAGGCAAGTCCCAGGACGCCGTCGATGCGGAGCGGGAATTGTGGCGTGATGCAGACGCTTACTCGCTGCGTCCATACCATGCACTGCGCCCCTGACAGTTTAGGGGCTAAACCGGATCGCGTAAGTCTGTCGAATCAGTAAAGGTAGGGGCGCGAGGTATAAGTATGCGTAGGGCGTATCACGTGTGGATGGACAGGGGAGGAGGTAACATACGAAGTGGCAGAAGGAGTGCGAGATACGACCGAGGACGTCAAACGTCCCGATCGTCGATGTCAGAATCCGACAGACAGTCCAGTGTCAACTTCTCGAATAATGCAGAATTTGACACATAGATGTTTCCGCGTACTCGGAGCTCGCACAGTTTGCGGATACAGCTCTTTGTGTGGCGAACCACAAGCGTTTCTGTCAAACAAGCCCGCAGTGGGTCGCCCGCGCCACGCCTTAGACTTCGGATCATATCTCGATTAGACTGCGGCGACTGGGAGGCGTCCACTTGGTCGCCCGGCACAAGATGACCCATCCATGCATGATGACTAGACATTGATATATCCGCGGCCTGCGCAGATGTAAGGAAACACGTACTCTGCTCTTAGGAGACTAGCCGTGATGCAACCTCATCCCCAACAAGAGTAGCACATCAGAGATGGAAAAAAAACTCACTCGGCGCGCGACACTCGACGGCGCCACCCTTTCGTGAGTGGGTGTCCGGGGGCAAGAATAGAATGGCATATATAACACATTCGACAGGTATGACACAAGCCCAACAAGAACGCGGAATGACGTAGAGCAGTCCTTGCGAAGAGCGATCGATCAGCACGACTTGAAATGGAAATATACCTTCTAAAACGGTAAATGAGACAGGATGAAGCGACACAGCCAGCATCGTGCCTGGTCTCACGACTGACCGTATAGGCCTCAGAAGACATTGCATACCAATCGAGGGCACATAATTCAATATGTACACGGGCACCCGTCATGCATGAATGAATTACTAGTAGGGTGCGCTGCGTGGGCCACTAGATTACTGGTGCGGTGCAGACAACCACACTAGACGCAGACGACGCAGCAGAAGCCTGGAAAACGCTGACGCACTATAGAAGTGGACTATGCTTCATGCAGTGCGACTTCTGCAGCCTATTTTGCCTTTGGAACCACTATATCCGTGGAAGCGCCCCACTGCGATCATGTTGTGGAACAAATAAAATAGCGCGGCCTTGGATCCTGGACCATGTGCATGAATGACAACATTGATCAATACAGACTCTATATGAAAGACAGTGATACACGACGGAGAAGAGACACGTATAGATACAAAACTAATATTGCACACAGACAAGCTTTCGTGCCACGCCCACGCCACCTTACACAACTTCGACGAAATTGGCAGGGAAGATACCTTCTCTACCCTCGAGCTTGCCTCGCCACCATGTGTTCACGTCGTGGCTCTTCTCGGTGACCGTGATAACCTGGCCTTTCTTGAAGGACAAATCGCCGGGCTAGAAGCGAAGTCCTGTCAGCGTTCATCCACCAGCAAACGCACGGATGTCGTAAGGCGGCTCTCATGCACAAGCCAAGAGCGCTAGGTGCGCTCTGCCTCCGTCGACAAACTCGGGACACCGGGCAAACCACCCACCTGCACGGCGTCAAAATTGTACAGCGCAATGGCGCGCGCTACACCTTCGTGCGGCAAGAGTGGCCTCGTCAACTCAGCCTTGGGCGTCAGCCTCGGCGGCGGTCCACTCGAGTTCAATTTTACCGGCGGCTTTCCACCGTAGTCCAGCGTGTTCAAATCGTCATCCATCGATGCAAACGGATCACGATCCGCGCCCGGCGAGGGCGGTGCGTAAGCGCTGTATGCTCGCCGATGACTAGTCGCATCCGACCCCCTGAGACTCGACTGTGCAGCCTTCACCGGGGACCCGACCGGTAGTCCACTATAGAGGTCACCGCTTGCCATTCCTATCTTCCCGGTGCCGTCTATAGAGCTGAGTCGTGGATGCCGCCGCAGTTGCTCGTCAGTAACAAAGTCCGATTTAAACTTCGTGTCGAAATAGCCCGTAGCTGGGTTCAGTGCGCGAGTCAACCGAGGTGAGGGGCGGTCCTCCCACGCGCGACGTGCCGACGACGGCGGCATCACTTCAGGAGGATCTACAGGGACAGGAGCGCGATTCGGATCGTGGAACTCGTCCTCAAAGTATGATCCCGCCGGCTTGCGCTTCCCCCAGCTCGCCGGCGGGAAACCGAAACTGCTTGAACGGGATTTCGACTTCTTGGTCTTTGACAGCGAGTCTGGCCTGTCACCGCCGAAAGCATACGATGGACTCGAGGCTGCTGAAGAGCGCGACGAGCCGAATTCGTCGCGGGGACTTTCCGTACCGTCAAAGGCATACTGGCCATTGTGCTGCGAGCGGAAATCTTGTATCCATGGGCGATTGCCCGGCATTCCCGTACATGCTTCCAGAGTCTTAATTAAGGGCTGCGCCCATTCCGGTGACGGAACGGCTCCGCTAAGCAATTGCTTAACAGACACGTCACCGTGGTAGGCTTGTGCATTTGCATCTTGACGCTCGACAATCACAGAGCCCTCGATTGAAACACCGCCGAATAGGCCTCTTGTTTTTGAGTAGCTGTACCTGCGTGGGAATTAGTACATAGCTAAAATCAATCTGGATATGACATACATAGCAGCCACCTTTCCACTTGTGTTGAGGGAACCAATCGCCTCTCCATTCCTGCCAAGGGGTCCGACAGCAATGCTTAGGTTGCCACCAAGGGTCAGCGATCCGGCAGACATGAAAGATTTCTGCCACATAGAGAATTAGTATGTACTCGCCATGAGGTTACGCCTGAGAACGCGTATGCGAGCACTCCCAGTCGCGGAGAAGGTCTGCTTCGACTCGTGCTCAAGGTCGCTTGAAAGTCCGAATATGATCAGAAAACGTGGCTCTGACCATCTCTGGCACTGCGAAGATCTCTTCTACAGTCGCCGCCTTACGCCTACTTGCCAAGGCGACGAAAATAGTGGGAGCACATCTGACCTCGCGCTGCGCAGCCAGGGGCGCGGACGTGGTACGATAAAGGACATTATACTCACCACTGCCTGATTTGAACAATCAGTACAACAATAGTGCGGAAGCGGCGGACCACTCACGGAACGAGAATTCAAGACCACGAGAAAGTCAGTCATCTCCGCTCCTGCCTGCCCACCGACACCCAGACCAGCCGTGCCAATCGCACTTGGCGCGGACCATGCTAAAACATTGTTATTGGACTGTTCGCAAGAAGGTAAATCTGCTACTTACTCCCGTCCTCAAGCCTTGCAATGACTACTCCGGTCCCTGCTCTTGCGGAGAACAGGAAGCCAGCTTTGAATATTGTGAATATGGCAAAGCCTTTTGCATTGTGGAGTACGCTACGAGGGATGATCTTGGTTCGTCTGTGAGCATGCGGACCATGCAGGGTGTTGGTCGACATACCCCATCGAGGCCGTTGTTTCCGCTGTCCACAAACGACTTGACTGCATTCGTATGAGGACGCTAGGCTAGAGAGTACCAGAGAAAGCCGTGAGCTCACAGATGTTAGCTGCCTTTGAGCATTCCTTTGGCAAAGGCTGCGGTAGAGGTGTATTGAGCTTCATGAAGGTTCGAGACAAAGATGAAATTCAATTTCCGAGCGTAGGTTGCCCCTCGCTCATGACATCCAGAGCATGGTCACATGCAAGTTAGGGGCGGAAACAAACGTAAATTACAGTGGGGGGATTACATCACGGAGAGGAGTCGCCGGCGCAGCAAACCTCTTCCAGTCAGAGCGCCCGGCGCCACCGGATTTCAGCACCCGACGAATCGGAGTTCCTCTCTGCGCCACTCACGCTCAAAACTTGCTCGTCGCGCTTGTTGGTTTTTGTGCCAACACCTTATCACCTCATTCCATGTCGCTCACGGGAAGGAGGCCATTTGTCTATCGGCGCAGAGAGATTTAGCTCCGCCTTCGCTAGCAGCTCTAGGCTTTGCAAATGCAAACGCAATGATGGTCTTCTAGATAGTAGTGAGAGCTACATCGTCTATTGTAATTCGTGCTGTCCTTGCGCAATAAATGTTCCATTGGCTACCTCTATACTGATGCAAGTGACTGCAATATATATTTCGTCCCAAGCGAAAGATTCTATTGTGACTACAAGCAAGTCAATATTGCTATTGGGAGCGGTATGCCAAAGGATTCGGCTGCATTTCTCATTGCGCTTACTGTGGTTTTGCATCTGACCACAGATGCGAAGAACGTTCGTTGCACAGCTGCACAGCGTCTCGCTCATACAGACGCGTACGTCTTTCAATAGACTTATAGTCACAGTGAAAGCGCTATGGGACCCCTGTCGATGTTTTACTCTCTGGCGCATATGCCAATCGTTAGGTCAATTACTTTTCTCAGTCTGCATATGCGGCTCGCCGCAGCCGACACAGACCACACTTGCGACTGTCAGTGGGAAAGTGATAAGGTGATGTAAGACTGTGCTTCGGTGGATCTCAGTAATCTGAGCATGGTTCGATACAGAAAGGCGAGAACACCGGTCTTCGAGTGATATGGTGATTGGCAGAGCCCGCGAGCTGTTGCCCTGGCTTGAGTCTGCGGGGGAAGTGAAGTTTATCGGCCTCTTCCTGACATAACAAGCTGAATGTGTGGCTACCTCGAAAATACAGCCACAGCAGCGCAACATGCTGATGCGTTTTTCCGAAGGACTACTGTCACGACGGGTAGGATATGTAAGCGCTGTTTGGTCTTGGAGCTGATGAAGAAGCGCTATTTTTGCTTCAGGTTTACCTGACCATATCAAGTCCTGGCATATCCAAGGTGCAAATGTATGCATCTGTGACAGTCTAGCGTCGAAACCTTGACGCGTTTGCCTTGTTCAGGCATACTATTGTGCACCGCCGATGAGTGAGTCACCTTCCATGTCTCCTGATTATAAGATTCAATTGCGTGGTATCATTTTGTGTGATTCAACACATTTCACAGGTTCTAGAGCAATCAGAGTATCGTCATTGCTTTGGCAGCCGCCTGTCACTGTGGCTCTTCTCCCGAGAACATGCCTGGAATTCCAGGCTCCGGCGGTGAGTAGCAAGCCTTCATCCATGAACGAAGCATATGGGGTTAGAGGACCATCAGACAAACGCCGTAGATTGATAGCCGAGAAGAGAACGCTCATCAATCTCGATTGGTTGAGATTGTGCAAATGGGCGTATGTATCTGGACGCCTCAGCTGGATAGGAAGTTTACAGCGTCAATAGGACACGCCAACGTGCGTTTATGAGACAAATTTTAAGAGGGTAACAAGCCGCGGCGCAGTCAGTGAAAATGGCCAGCCTAGACAGTGGGTAACGTAGAGTTCTTGCCATGAAAGTAGACCCCGCTTCGACTTCCGGACCTGCGCAGAATAGGCTCGCCATTGCATCCGCACGCGGATCCGTATCCGAACGAGGACATGGGACACCACACGGGGCTGCTCGCGAGTCTCGTAACAACCTTCCGTGCGCTTCTCCGATGAAAGTTTTACGGGCGGCCATGATCTCTCTGGGGCCGCGAGTGTTCCGGAACGGCAACATGAGATACATCCTATCTGCAGATATCCATTAGAATCGCCCATGCCCGCATTTTGCCTGGTGAACCTCTTCCTCTGTTGAAACGCCGCAGATACGCTACCCCAGCACAGTCTGCCGTACACTTCCGTGCCTCAGCGCAGTACAAACCCGCCGAGCATATGTCTCATCTGGGATCTACTGCGACTTCGATGACGGTCACCCGGATCGTAAGCTCCGATGACCGGTCTAATATACATGCCTGTGAGTGCGTACTTATATGGTTTGGACCACGAGCGTCTGTAACCTTTTATCCATCTCTCTGTGCAGGCATGTCCATATATGCATTATCAAAGGATCGCAGCAAGCAAGCCGCGGGATAAAAGGGATGGGCCGATAACGCGACCATTCACTCTCGTACTGTACAATCATGTCCCTCTCGAACTCCTTCAAGAACATTGTCGTCGTTGGCGCCGGTATGTGGCTCATTCATCGCTAATCCGTCCGTTACCCACACGACACCAGGAGTGGCAGGTCTTACCACTGCGCTCTTGATACAGGAGAAAGGTGGCTATGAGGTAACAGTCGTCGCTGAAACACTCCCTAGCGATCCCAAGACGGTCAAGTACACCAGCCATTGGGCAGTATGTTCATTGTATGTTATACTGGAGAGAGAGAAAATGCCTGACCGGTGGTCTCAATTTCCAGGGAGCATACCATGTCATCTACAGAGGTTCTGACGAGAGAGAACGAAGTGCGTGTCAATATTATGTATCTAACCGTTCTCTCATCTGCTCTCTTGCAGAGATCCAGAACGACACGTTCAAGGTCATGTGGAATCTGTCTGCACCGGGAGGGGAAGCCGAAGGGTGCTTCCGTCGCCTCAAAACGATGGAGTACTACTATGACAAACTGGAGGTGAACGCTGACGAGATGCCTGGTGTACGCCCTTGCGGTTCATGCGAAGTCTACAGACTTATCAGTCGCCTTTCCAGTTTCAAGAAATTCCTGAACATGCGCTTGCACCAGGAACCAAGTGCGGCTACTCCTTCGACACCTACGTTATTGACCCTCCGGTATACCTCAATTACCTCATGTCTCGCTTCATCGCACATGGAGGCACCGTTATCCGCGGGGCAGTCCAACATGTCAACCAGATCGTTGAAGGGGGAGCATTTATTTATTCTCGTGGGCGTGCTTCGCCGGCACCCGTTGATGCCGTTGTGATATGTGCTGGTCTGGGTGCTCGCACCCTGGGCGGGGTTGAAGACAAGGATGTCTTTCCCAGCAGAGGCCAGGTCGTAATGATTCGAGCGCCTTGGATTACCAAGGCTATGCGGGCAAGTGATTATGGAGGGACTGTTTGGACATATATAATCCCGCGAAGGAACGGCGACGTACGTCCTTTACTGCTTAATCTGTTCATACAACTCATCAATGCTGTCTTACAGGTCGCCCTTGGAGGGACTAAGGTAGCCAACGATTGGTGAGCAGAATTATGAGTGGCTCGCTCAGGAAGTAATACAGAATTCTACTCTTGCAGGTATCCAGTGGCTCGACCGGAGACAACGGAGGATATCCTTCGCCGTTGCCTCGCTCTTTGCCCGGACCTCGCTCCACCCGAGGTGCGGGCTCAACGTGAACCAACAGTCGACGACATCCGTCCCCTTATTTTCGAGGTCGGTTGTGGGTTGAGGCCGTCCAGGACCGGGGGAATCAGACTAGGCGTGGAGTCGGTCGATACGGACCGCGGTAACGGGAAGATTCCGATGGTATTCAATTACGGGTACGTCCGCTGCAATAACTTCACATACGAACAATATTTACAACGGTCACATTCATAGACACTCTGGGAGTGGGTACGAGTGCTCCTGGGGATCAGCGTCGATCGCCTTTACTTTATTAGAGGAAGCATTGGCTAAGACATCGTCAGGTAGGGCTCCCAGTAAGCTTTAATGAAGCGGAAACCACCATTTAATGGTCACAGTTTGACTAAAGTGTATTCAGACACCGTTGGTCGTTAGTAACGTAGCTTGCTATGTTACAGAGGCATGTACACCGAACCACCATTTTTGCAAACATCTGTCTGATCCGAAGTCGACACGCCCCACGAAATGACGACCCGCGAGCAAAAGCGGCAACCACAACGGGTCGTCTTCCCACATCTTATCGTATGGTATGGGAGCCAAGGACCCTGCCTCGCCAAGCTCTGCTGATGAATGAAGCTTCGGCACAGCTCGGCTAGCGCACGCAGAGAGTTCAACTGTATTGTCAATGGCAAACCACTGAGGCCGCATCTCTTCTGATCTGATAGCAGCTGTCAGCCAACCGCTACACGCGCACACCACCTGAACCACATACTCTGTGACAACGCCGCTATATGTCTCAGCGTAAAAGATTTCGATGTGTGCAGCTTCATTTGAGTCCGCACTCATAAAGAATAAAGTGCCACGGTGCTCGAGCGGTGCGGTAATACCAGCTTCTTCCTATTGCATGAGTCAGACGACGCCCGTTTCGTCATTGCGATAGGCTGACACTAACCTGGAGTTCACGAACAGCAGCCGCGTCGGCCGTCTCCCCTGGGTCTATCTTGCCGCCGAACCCATTGAACCTGGGATTTCCGCTTGAGTCCGAAGCTAGAAGACTGGTACGCCGATAACCTACAAGTCTTTGCCAAAGCCTCGTTTCTTATACCCGAGCAACAGCTGTATTCTCGTGCGTCAGTAAAATAAAGGACAGGTAACGGGTTTCCCATGTCTGATAAGCTAGCATAACCCTACCTTGTCACCTTTCCTGATGAACGCGTTGGTATATAGCTTCATTTTGTCATACTGCATCCACTCTGCTGAGCCACCTGTAGCCGCTTCCTCGAAAGGTACGGAAGCTGATAGACCTGGTGGAAGTTGAGCGGAGTTCATGATTGGGGTGCGCATCAGCTAGAAGGTCTAGTTTGTATTCAGACTATCTCCGTGTAAACACGAGCTGGTTGCGACGCGCCAAACGCGCGCACGTGCATGTCATGTGAGCGCGCTTCCCTGAACGTCGCCTTAATTTGGCCGTGCGGGTACACACGATATTGGGGTCTTTCATACGGCAGTGCAATGCATATGTGATCATCAAGGTCCGCTGCGAGAGATCAGCACACCGTTGTTCTGTGGACAGTGACCGAAATGACTATTTATAGTGCACCGGAACACCAAGTGACCGGACAATACCCGTACGTACAAACTACGTATGAGCTACTTCGCGTCATCTGAGATGTCCGAGTCCTCCTTCTCACCTGCAACCTTTGTATCTTTTGTACAGGCACTCGCAGGCGGCGCCCTGCCCTTCATCGGGCGCTTGATGCGCGCAAAGATGCCCACCTCAGAGTCACGAATAAAATTGATGGTGACCATGGGCCAGGACGGATGCGAGGGGATCGTGTCGTAGAACTCTGGTGCGAGTGCCCGTAGCGCGGGCAGACGCGTCCACGGAACTGAAGGGAAGTCGTGGTGTTCATTGTGGTATCCCACCTGCAAGAAGTAATTACAAATTAGCAAGTTTGGGTTATGTCGATGCGGAGTAGACTGACGTTGTAAGCGAGGACATTCAGTGGTCCATAGTAAGAGTACGTCTCTTGATATAGACCATCCCAAACATAGTGCTCTGCGATGAAGTGACCAGCCAATGGGTGAAGGCTTCCCGCGAAGAAGCTGGACGCGAGCAGGTATATGAAAGGGCGGACACCACAAGTCTTGACGAGAACATAGTCAAAGACAAGCTGCACGATGAGGTTGGCGATGTGCCACTGCGTGAGTTGTTGCGTGCGCACAAATCCGGGACGCAGGGCGTAGAAAAATATTTGGAATGTACTATAAGATCTCTCAGTCGGTGATCTATCTCGGATGTGATAAAAACACGTACGCAAAGAATACTTTCCCTAATACGTTATTCAGACATAACAGCTCTAGCTTGGTAGGGAGATCAGTATCTATGCCGTCTTCTCCCAAATACTTGTGGTGCTCTAGGTGGTATCTCTGCCGCACACTCGATTCGTCAGCTATGTTTCATTGATTTTGCGGGGAAAGCTACCTTGAAGGCCGCACAATATGGAACGCCGATAGGTATGTTAGCGAACATAGCCAATGCCTTATTAGCCTTAATGCCTTTGAAACCGAGGTTGTGCGTGATTTCGTGAATGGCGAGGAACAAGTTATGGTTGGCAGAGCCCCCGATGACATACACACAGAATAAGAACAATGGCGACAAGATTTTGGTGTTCCGTAGGAGGTATGCAACGAGTAGCTGAAGCGAGACTACTCCGAGCACAACGTACTTGGTGAGAGGCTCATGGCCCATAAGTTTGGTTACCTGAGACGAAACCGCGCGCATAAGCGTGACTGTCGGCAGTGAACATGAAAGGAACCAGGAGATTGCAAGTCTAGTCAATATAGTACACGTCATTTGACGTGCGCGGTTCAACAGCAGCATTTGAGGTTGGGCCTAACGCGCAAAACAGCTCACGAGTGGTGACGACATGCTGCGCCTGAAAGTTCCACTTTATCCTGCCGCGTCACGGGTACGCGGTCAGTCCAGAACATATAGCTCACCTCCGGGTGCGCCTTCAAGATAGCCATACGCCTGCTGCGGTGAGGTTCCTCGGTCATGATCCATAAGAAATCGGACGGGTCTTGCGGGGGAGCGATGTGGGATTTGCCGTCGTCTTGAGCGGTAGGAGAGGCAACGACAGTCCGCCGAGGAGACCTGCCCTCAGACAGAGACTCAGCACCGCCATAGTAGCTGAAGTCTTGAGATGAAGGTTCAGGACGCGCAGTCTAGACGCGACGGATTGTATGCGCACCGACCGGAATGTCCACAACCTTCGTTTTGGCGTCAGACATGAGTTCCCCTCTAGTCGCGCAGCATCTACCGCGTGAAGGTCGTGGTGGTGGTAGGGAAAAAGAAAGCGTGCTCGTTCCACACTGAGAGAGTCCTGAGAGATCCCAAGGCGCCCGTTGATGCTGTTACCGTTCCAGGTCGGGCACGACGGCGCCCGGAACGGTCTATTTGTACCTATTGTCCAAAGGCCTCCGATTCTAACAACGGCAAACAACCCTTCTCAATACTCTGTCATTTGTAATTTGCGCCGTGTTTCGCCAGAAGTTTGTTCAGCTAAGGCACCACGTGCATTCTCTTAGGCATCACAGGTTAACTTCGGCGAATTTCCACCATTTTGAGAACTATCTGGCCGCGATAGTTCGGAGAAAGTGAGTCTGCAAACATTGATTTACAAACGTATGTAGCATCTTGTACGTAGGACCCCTTCGACTCCTGGCAATTATCCTCGAGAATCAAGAACCTTTGATGATTGGTCACCCATCTGTCTTTGAACTTGATAGATCAGACTCAATTTGATAAAACGTACTAGGCGCGACATACAACGCCTTTCACGCCCATGGATCCACGCAATCGTGGTCAAAACCCTGCTGTATATGACGACCGCCAACCTGGTCTACCCAACGTAGCCCGCAAGTCAGCCAATGCACCCAGAGCGCCCGCACGCAAGGTCGCATTGGGACCTGGCGCAGCTCCAGTTCAGAGAGTTCCCTCTGGTCATGGTGCGCCAAATGCGCATCGGAGTCGAGGCATTGCGACAAAAACTATGTCCCGGCAAGTGAATGCTCAACGAGACGCTCGCCCCGTGGCAGATCAACATGTGCGAGCGCACTCACCGCCGCGCCTGGTATCGCGAAAGCGCGCATACGTTGACCAAGGTAGGAACGCGCAAGCACAGTTCACTTTTACTGCCCCGCTTCCCTCTCGCCTTCAACGGCCTACGAAAACCACGTCGCTACGACCTTGGTGGTTCACGGAAGACGAACACTCTAATATCCTAGGAATCAGGCGGCGCCGCGATCAGAACGATGTGGGAGGGCGACAGCCACCTCGTATGATGGCCATGTCAGCGGGAGGCTCAAGGCGCGCGCAAGCGCGAGCTCGGAGTCCGGCACTCTTGGTCCGGCAAAACGGACATGCAATTCCGATGCCTCGTAGAGGAGGGTTTATTGTGGGCCCTGGTGGTGTGTTGCACAAGCTAACAGACAGCGACGATGACGATGAGTGAGCTACTGAAAAGGCATGATTGTCCTATGTACCTATTTCTGATGTGCGAGCATAGAGACCCGTCTGCCGCATCCAGGAATATACGCACGCATCGCACGCAGCTTGCCACAAAAGCAGCGATAAAGGGCGGGTTACAATTTGGTTCAGACTCAAACCGCACGTCAAGATATCACAGATTGAGGGCCAATGATGATGACGACGAGTGAGCTACTGGAATGGCATGATTGTCCTATGTATTTATTTCTGACGTGTGAACATAGAGACCCGTCTGTCGCATCCAGGAATATACGTACGCATCGCACGCAGCTTGCCACAAAAGCAGCGAGAAAGACCAATGAACCAATGCATTCCGATTCAGACCGCACGTCAAGATCTCGCAGCTCGAGGGCCAATGCTGAGGACGTCGAGGAGCTGATGACGGCTCTCGACTTACTCACACTAGGTACTACCCGCTTAAAGGACTATCACCAATTGCCATTCCTCCTCAGGAACTTGCGGAAAGGGTTCAGACATCGGTGTCAGTTGGCTCACATACCCGTAGCACCAAAGACCCTGCCTCCCGCGCCCGTCAGTGTGCTGTACAGGTATCAACTGAATAGCGATAGCAGTACGGACGACACAGACCAGGAGGAAAGTTATGAGAAGCGAGAAGGCAGGATGCTCGATTGGCGATGCCCCCTCTGCCAATTGCATTCTCCTTTCGATACACGCGAGATGCTCAACTTCCACCTATGTTGTGATCACAGCGAAGTCAAGGTGATTTGGTCAGAAATCAAAAGCCGTCGTGTATGCTTTCATAATTGACTGGCTGCCGGTTGTGTCCTTGACTCCATGTGACAGATATCTACTTGGCGCATCACGCTTACAATTCCCGAGTTAGATGATGAGTTATCGGAGGAGGAAGAGACGACAGAGGAGGAATCGTCGGACGACGAAGAAGTGCATGAGACACAGTCCGTAACTCCATGCATGCTCAGCCACTCGTATTGAAACGCGATTTCAGTGAGAAGCTGCAGCCTGCACCCTTGGCTCATCCGGAGCCCGTCAGCTCGCACAACCGCCCTTCGTCAGCTCGTGGCGCAGGCCCCGATCACGCGAGCGGTCAAACGCTGTGGGAGATGAGCCGTGAGGTGGAACAGCGTATCGCCTCAATGCATCAGCGTCTCTCTGACCCGACGCTTCTCTCTGACTCGGAAGACAACGACACGCCTGAAGCGACGCACCCCCCGCCTGAGCCCATGGTATTAGTCCGGGTCGAAGAAGAGGAACCTCGCATACCAATCTCGGAGCCAGCTGCGCTTCCCCGTGCTCCCCAACCGATCTCTGCTGCCCCTCCCGAGCCGGTCCTGATTTTCAAAAAGTTCCGCGCATTTTCACCTACACCGTCTCACACCGCATCCGCTGGAGCCCGAACACGTTCAACTACTACACAAACACGCTCCTCTCGGGGGCTCCGTGAGGGTCGCTATCCTACGCCACCGCCACCCTCTGATCCTTTAGGCCCAGCTGCCCAACCCCCTTTTCTACCTACAGAACCAGCCGCGGACGGGGAACTATACTATTCATGTCGATTAGGTGGACCTCGCATCTTTGACCTCTTGAACACGTTGCCTTTAGACCGCTTCGGTGTGATGGCGTGGGCAATCACCGACAGGGAGGAAGACCTCTTCGAGCTGGACGATGTACGCGACGAAGATAAGGTGATCCTGGCGCTATGGAACAGATGGATAATGCTCAACAGGTCAGCGTTCCTCATTCTATGTCTCTACCTGGTGCTGAAAGACCTTCATACTGAAACAGACGTGAGTTCAGACTGAATGACTACTGCAAAGGTGTCATCGACTTTGTCGACGAGTATTGGTTCATGATCCATCGTGCGGCAGGCTGGGATGCCCTTCGTGCTTTTCTATTAGTGAGCACTCGCACGTAGTCCTCGCTAGCTTTCTGCTTACGTCTCGCAAGGTACTTGCTGCGAACAAGTTTCTCGATGCACCGGAAGTAGCCAGGATTCTCAAGCATTACGAAACTCACACAGGGATGGATTATTGGTACCAGGACGACGACGACGACGACGACGACCTCGATGATGCCTCTGCGGCATAGTATGTACACCTACCAACATCCGCATCCACAAATTATGTTCGGAATCCAGGCTTTACTCCCTCGTTGGCCATGGTTCGTTCAGAATGTGCAGTAATGGTGAATGTCTTTTCGAGACTACCTAGCATGTTGATGCCATTTTCGCAGTATTTACGGCAGATCCCGCGAATTACCCGCAGTATATAATATTCAAGCACGCGGAGGTAAATCCAGTCCGTGCAGTTGCTAGTCAGTTGGTCCCTCGTTTGTCTCTACACTCTACACTTGCAAGGCCTACGACTATCTATAAATCACAATGCAGGCGAATGATTCACCTGCATTACTCCTGACAGGGATACTGTGGGCGATGCCCTGAGTTCTTGCTACCTCTAACAGTCGTTTTATATGATCGTAGCAATGGTTTCCGCACGGGTGGACTCGATATTGGTCCTTCAGTCAACTCTCTGTCTATGGATTTACGAGACATGCTGATTGTGAACTTTTGACTTGGCATCAGATGTGAAGCGCGACCTCAGGCATGACTTCCTCGACCAGGAACGCTTTCAAGATGATGACATAACACCGTTGCGCGCCGCATTTGCAGAGGTTTCACCGTCGCATTCCACCTCAGATCTCGCTGGAGGAGGAACTATGGGCTGCGCGACGTCACGCGAACTCGCGGGTTGCGAATCCATAATCCTGCTACACCACTGTATCTTGTGCGACGGCTTCGTTGCTGGTAAGATGGTCTACGAGCCCTGAGATCCTGAGACCTCGTACGCATGAGATGACCTTGGGTTGTCTAACACATGCTGATCAACTTGAGGCATATAGCAACATCGAAGGTAACGGTATTTCGCAAAAGCATGTCAAGAGGTCCGTCTCAAAGTTGTGAATGAGCACCTCAGGCGTTTTGTTTGGAACATCCGGGTACCCATGTTGGTTTGTGTATGCTATTCATTTTATAACCCCTGCGGGTGATTATGAGTGCGATGACAATGCTCATATGCCCTCCTTGAGAAGACATTCGAGTATCTTGCCAGCTGTCACGCTATCTGATCTCTCAAGCCATCGCCTTTCCTTGGAACTCATTTTCAAGATGCAAGCCGAAGTACGCGGGGCGCGCTCCAGCATAAGCACAACTATGCAAGCAAAACTGACATTTTTGCTTAGACTGTTTCACGACACAAAATCTACTTCAAAGTACAAATTCGATGTGATGCATACGTGGCTACCATTGCAAGATCACTAGGTAAATGTCACGCAACCGTTCTATGCTTGATGTCTAAACGATCGTTCGTCATCGCTGGGGACGGGACTGTCAGCGCAACGCGACATTGGCTGTACTTGACTGCGGCTCACCACCGAATGTAAGGGAAGCTGTGAGAAGATCCGGCAGTGAGTACGGTCCCGATGGCAACGTGAATGGATCCTCACAGATTTCGTCTTCAGGAGTAGTTGAAAGACAACCCAACGGAGACTGTGGAGTTATCCGGGCTAGCGGCTAGCATGAAGCAAGGTTAGCAACAGTTGGTATTGGCGCAGAACCATTATATTGACTCAGGACTGCAGAAGCAATGGGGGCGCCAGCTAGAACATCTTCATTTAGCGGCTGCAGAAAGTTTGGAGCGCGCATAGTACTTACTGGGCTCAGGCTGAGGGAGGGCAGAAGCGGCCACCAGCAAGGACGCCCAGGCAGCGAAAACCACGGTGAGGTACTTGAACTGCATGATGATATGGGTTGGGGGATACGATGAGAGACTAAGCAGGGTAGAAAGTTCAGCTCACTGACGATCCCTCACAGCTATCTACCGCCGCTTTTATACCTTCAAAGTGTGGTCTGCTTTGTCCCACCACATCTGAGGTCCATACCATGCATACGATCATGTACTGCATAGAACAGTGTCTCTCCTGCGTTGACGGCTTGAGCCACTGGCCTCAAGTAAGGGAAGATGACACTCGTCCTGCAGCAACTTTGCAAGCGCCCCGTGAAATTTATGGGGCTGGGGACTCGCAGAAAGTGATGTTGGCTCTTCCAGACATCTTCGTTAAGGATCAACGTAAAGATATCAGTTCCATACCATCGATGAACACATCTACCTCTCTCGAAAATTCCTAACCATATGGCGTGAAACTACAGCTTCTAGTGTCTCAATCATACATGGTGTCGAGGGGGCGACCGCCACGTTGGGGCAGGTCTTGAAAAGAAGACATTCAACCCCAGAGTCATCTATATATATCGCGCATTGCGGGAGTGTTATCAGGGCGGTTCCCCTCAGGCTGCAAGTCGAGCCAAACATGCGATTCCGTGATGCAGGCCGCTCAGCCCTAGTGCCGCGGCCAAGACCGGATTTCGGAATGGCACTCACCCCAGTGCACTGTCACCAATGACTCAGGGCTAGAGCTGATCAATCGCCATTCGACTGGTTCAATGTTCAATTTGTAGGGAACAAGCGTCGATTAAGTACATGATACGACTTACCGAGAACTCGATCGTTGTGCAGCAGTCGGTAAGGATTCGTTTTGATGCGACCACACGATGATGCTGTGGAGGCCCCCATGTGCTAGCTTACTGACGTCAATCCATTAGAGACGAATGCAATGAGATGCAGTTCCAGGAAGGTGTGGCTGACTCACTATGGGCACTACCAGCGAGCACCGACAGGCAGCATACCCAAGAGGTAAAGCTTTACTTCAAAAGTTTAAATTTGTATAAGTTTTACCAGTTCTTTTATCTAAATAAGACATTTCTCTGTCTACAGCGGTCAGTGACTCTTCAGCGTTCTTCAGCACCTGCTACGGCCAGACCGTCAATTCCTGCGTCAGCGGCGAGCCCGAGTCAGGCTTTAATTGGCTCGAAACTGGCTATCACTATTGTAACGGCAAGACGTCGCACGGCTGGGATGCTGGCTCGAAGCAGCGTGAGCTTGATTTTGGGAATATGGGCAAATAGAAAAGGCGACGGCCCTAGACACTCTCGCGTGTGTGCTTGTGCATATGGACCGTATTAGCCATAGTTCGGCGACCATGCATACGGCTTCCCAAAGCGCTCGCCATTCAAGTCAAGGTCATTAATAAGGGCGTACCCAGCGTACCCAGCGTTACAATACATCACAGACAAAGTAACAACAGTTCGATCACGCACTCCGGCGCCTGAGGCCAACCTTGCACGCGACAGGCTTGCGCAGGAACCCTTCCTTCGTTTCGAGCTGCGAAGGACACACATCAGCACGGCGGCGCCAGGCCTCTGTGAGACGGCACGCGTACCTTGTGCTTGGGCTCCTCCAGAACGAAGTGGTACCGCCGCAGGATAGACGCGATGATGATCAGGAGCTCCATGCTCGCCAAATTGCGTCCCACACAGCTCCTGCAGCACGTACCCCGCATGAGTGGCTAGCTAGACGCGCGGCAGGGGGGAGGTGGGGGGGGGGACAGGCAGCTCACCTCGGCCCGAACGAGAACGGGTTGAACGCCTTCTGGACCGCGTTCTTGTCGCGCTCCTCCCACCGCTCCGGGCGGAACGCGTCCACGTCCGCGCCCCACGTCTCCGCGTCGCGGTGCACGGTGTACGTGGGCACGGACAGCACGGTGCCCGCGGGGAAGAAGCGGCCGCACACGCTCAGCCCGCCCTCCGGCACGACGCGCGGCAGGCCGATGCCCGACGTCGAGTGCACGCGCAGCGCCTCGTTGACGACCGCCTCAAGGTACGGCAGGCGCTTCACCTGCTCGTACGTCGCCACCGGGTCGTCGTCGCTGCCCAGCGCCTCGTCGAGCTCGCGCTGCAGCTTCTGCTGCACGCGCGGGTTCGCGGCGAGGTGGTACGTGAGCGCGCAGGACGAGCTAGAGAACGATCAGCGTAGTTCGTGCAGAGCCGCAGCGCACAGCGCGCAGTGCGGGCAGGCGGAAGGGGCGTACTTGGACGTCGTGTCGGAGCCCGCGATGAGCTGCGTGAGCGCCTCGGCGGTCAGCTCCTCCCTGCCCATCGGGTTGCCCTCGTCGTCCTTGCCTTCCTGCAGCTTGCCCAGCAGATCGGCCCGGTCCGTGGGCGCCGTCAGCCGCTTGGACACTGCAGCGATGGCGATTCCAGCAAGACGCTTCACCGCCTTGCCCCCGTTGCGATACCACGGGATGAAGCGCACGACGAGCGGGCGCCAGTGCGGGGGCAGGACACCCATGGAGGCGGAGTACTCGCCGCGGTCGTTGAGCACCTGCACAGCCGGGAAGTAGGTGACCTTGGGGGCGTTGTCCGCGCCGTACGACGCCATGGCGTCCTTGTGCTCGGTGGCGACGGGCGCAGCATCTGCGCAGGCGTGGAGCATGCCGAACGGTGCACCGAATGCCAAGTCGCCTGTGGACGTGAGTAGCAACGGTCAGCGCCTGACCACGCGCGCGCAGTGCTGCACGCACCGATGATGTCGAACGCAAGGTAGTTGTACCACGGGAGACAGTCGAGCCAGACACGCCCGTCGCGGCCCTTCCACCCCTCGCCCTCCTCTCCCGAGGCGCCTTTTATGCCAAGCTCGTACAGGCGGTCCCACTGCTTCAGGAGCTGGGCGACGTGCATGCGGGTGTACGGCTCGAACTCCATGACGCTCTTCATGGAGAAGATGTGCGACACGATTTTGCGCTTGCGGGCGTGCTCGGGGCGCGACCGCGTGTTGAAGAGCCCGCGCCGGATAGAGACGAACGCGTCGTAGAAGTTGGACTTGGTTGTGCCGTTTCCGTGCGCGTAGACGTACTGGATGGCCTCTGGGTCGCTGATGGAGACATGGTTTGGTGCAATGCGAACAAAGGTGCCTGCAGAGTAGTGTTAGCGCGTCAATGTCAATACTCACAGTCAGACTTCAAAACACGAGACGACATGAAGATGCAATTGTCTCCTAAGGCAATGCTTGAAACGCCACCAAATCCAGATGTATCCAATCAAACGACACTAACCCTTGCTCGCCAGAGCAAGGGATAGTAGGAAGGGGCAGATCGTCGATGTTATGATCAGGCAATGGCAGGGATTGTCCGTCCGTTTGAAGGGTCTGCCTGCGTAAAAGTATTGCAGCAATCGGGTAGCATGCCAGATGTTTTTGACCACCGCAGAAAGCGGAGAGGCGATGGTGCAGCGACGATTGCCATAAGAGGCATAGCTCTTTTCTCCGCACTTCCCCACACTGCGAGGGACAACACACGTACCATATTGCTTGTGGAGTTCATGGACCGTCTCCGACCGATGCCCCTGTGCGGCTATCCAGCCCAGCCATATGTCTGACAACCGGGCGAGGAAGGGACCTGGATACGCTCGAATACCGTGTGGGTCGAGTAAATAGGGCACAAAGTGGACTAGCAGAACGGCCACGGGGATGACGGCCAGGCCGTAGACGAGATTCGAGGTGAACAGTGCAGCGGGAGCAGACATGGCTGCAGAATGAGAATGAAGAGCTTGGGATGTTTCTGCTGAGACCAGGGGTTCATATATAAGTACTATGCCTTACAGGCGGCAGGTCACACCTGGCGCCTCGGTGTGTGCCCGGTAAGGCATAGTACTTACCACGAGCACAGGCTCGGGAAGTCCGTGACCACCATGGCGCCTGCGAACTGGCCATTTCTGTCATATCCGGTGCGTATGACCAGGGCGGCCGTGTCCCTCTTCTTCACATCCTTTCCCAGGAACGAAATATCATATGCCACGCACGGCCATGAGTGAGTCGCCATGATGTATATCTTTTTTTCTAATGCAATGACCCAGACCGAGCGAAGTTATTTTCGAGCCCGTCGTGGACTCATCCGTGCCGCCCTCATACGCAAACCACCTTGCTGACATATGAGCGTTCGGCCTACAGAATATCACATCTGTGCTGCTGCGCCTTGTCGGATCCGCCTGCAGCGATCTCCACATGTACAGAAGATGGGTGTAATGAGTCGAGTTCTAGGCCTCAACCCAATCAGTGAAAGCTCCACCGGGGTCCTTTGACTTCTCGTGACGCACATGACTGAATGGTCCTGGCGTTCATTTTCCGAGACATCCTGCGCATATGCAGGCAATCGAATGCGCAGAACGGTGGTACATTTCGTAAGCTCGGGGGATGGTAGCGAACCGAGAAACGGAGGACAAGACACAGCTGTCTACATCCCGTAGTCATCTGCATGATTACACAGTCGGGCACTCGACAACCTGGGCTCAAGTCGGGATCGGACCAGGAAAGGAAAGGGAGATGCTATTCATGGAAGTCAGGCTTTGTGGCGCACTCCCACTGATGTCATGCGTAACGGTTCGAGCCATGTTCTAATGATTTTTGCCAGTAGTGCCGACTAATACCCTCGTAGAAAACAATCCTGGTATGCCTCCATAACTGCCTATGCTGCTCCCTACACAATTTCTCGTCAGAATCTCCGCGTCAAGATGTCCCTCCCTAATCTTCGGTTGTCCCTCAGGCTGATCAAGCGCCACCTCGACTACTCGGGGTAAGGCGTTGCGTGGACCACGAATACAAATGTTACAGCAGTGAATAGCCGCGTCGGAATCATATCACCATAAAGGACTCTCTGGAAAGAACGCTTACAAACAGGCGAAGGACGGCGACTTCCCATGTGAGGAGCGGCAGACGCTAATCCTCGTTTCCCAAGAATCCCTTCCCGGTTTTCGGGAGAGCAACGTCGGATAGCGTCGGATCTCCCATGGTAGACACGATAAGGTCAGCAGAATTAGCCCGCTCTGCCTCCGCGACGCACCAGACAGGAAGTGGCATTCCCATCACATCACGTTAACCGCCTTGCCCTCGCTGCTAGCCACTGCTGGCACCACAATCGGCAAACAGGATCGGGGAGATGTGCACCGCACTCCCGATGTCCCCTTCTCGCCCAGCGACCGGGTGACGTCGCGACTCTAGAGTCTAGCGGGGGCACAAAATGGGGGAAAGAAGGCGACCGCGAAACGCGAGGCGCCGGACACACATCCGATGGAATGGCAGTCCCGGGATGTCTACCTGTAGGCTCCTGGCGGCTCACCTTGGCCTTGGCAGGGCCTGGGTGTGCGGCCCGACGCTGCGTACTACTCAATATTCCTCAAGCGCGCTCTCAACGAAACGCCAGCCCCGTTCGAATGGGCTCCAAGGAGCGCGCCTGTAAGGAAGGGCGGTAGGCACAACAATGCCTCGAAACCGCCTCGCCCGGCGCGCCTGTACTTCTTCATTGCGCAGCTTGCACGGCATCGCGCACTCGGCCCCGATTCTTGCGCTCGACTACAGACTGGACGCGTACGCAATTGCTCCCGAGTCCTCGACCGACGGCCGGCGGTCTCCTGGCGCTTCTGAGACTGCTAGGAAGGCGTCTTCATCGCGGTTCGCGCCATTGATATCGCCTCTGCGACAAAGCCGAAGTGCTTGCTCATCCAGTCGACCAGCGCTGGGACCCTGTCTGCCTGGAGCTGGTGGGTTTTCGCTCCTCTTTGTCATGCAATGATCATCCTTAGGTCTACACACCGAGGCCTTGTCTGAAATGGAAGATGAGCTCAGGAGGCTCGCAATCAAATAATCAAGACCGCCACCACAGTTGGTGACCGGTGGCTTTTCAACTCGTTTTCCGTACCTTCTTTTCGGCAGGCGCAAACCGTTGAATTGAGCTTCTGAAAACCTGTGGAGCTGGCTGTCTTACATACTCTCAGTCTCAGTCTCTGTTCACCCGAGACATCGATTTTATAAACAAGCCTATGCGGACGAGGAAAGGTGAGGGATAGCAAGTGCAGCTCTTAGGCGCTCGTCCCGCCTGCCCTATTCGTGATCATTTCATTTATCACTTACTGACATACTGTACCATACTACGAAGTCTGCAGCTTCTAGCATAATGGGATGAATTGGCTGTATATCATAACGCAGTTGATCCAATATACTTGTATACTACAAGCTTTTACTCGACAAATGTTCATGTTTTCCTCGCGGCGAAATCACCCTCAATACAGCGGTGACGAGGTCCAGCGTGAAGCGTTAAGGCGGGGACGCGAGCGAGCGGTTTCAACCTCAATAGGAGGAGGAGGACCCGCGCGCAATTCTGCGAAGCAGTATACAATACTCAGATCGTATGCAGCGCATTGCATCCGAGTCGTTAAACAATCCATTCTGTGATAAGGCCCCATAAGGGAACAGCGCTTGCCTTTCCAGGAAGGATGTCGAGAACTTCACATATCTCACTCGTCGCCGGTGGCGAGCAACAACTTCGCGACAATATCTCTGCACGATTCACAATATGGATGCGTTATGAGTGATGGCACGTGGAGCCAACGAGTACGGTACGATAATTGCAGTGAAGTCCGACAACAACCACGACAGCTTGCAACAGTGACAACAGAACAGGATATGAATGTGCATGCGGCTCGGAGAATAAGATGAATGCTGTTAATGACATGTGCGCGAAAACGGGGGAAGGGGAAAGCAAAATGTAGTAGGTACTCTATATTACTCAACCGTAGTTTAGTTGGGTGGGGCCGCCGTTGTAGTTGGGATTCCCATTGTTGGGGAATCCGCCCGGCGCACGGTTCATGGGCACAGGCGGGCGGGGCGGTAGGTGTGCTGGCCGGGGTCCGGGCTGCTGCCACGGCGCAATTTGGGGTGGCGGTTGGCCCGGGCGCAAGTATATCGGAGCTGTGTTTTGAACGGGGGGCATTGGTCCAGGATAGCGATGTGGAGGAGGTCCATAGCCAGCGGGAGGGTATGGGGGGTATGGGGCTGGGGGAGGACCTTGGCTCGGACCGCCATAATGTTGAGGGGGTGGTCCATTGCGGAACGCTTCCCTAGGTGGCGGCGGGCGGCGGTTGTTCATATGCATCGGTGGACCGTGTGCCAATGGCATGGGTAGCGGTCGGGGGTGTCCGTCCATAGGTTGTGGCATTCCAGGCGGACCTATTGGGGCCTGGTTGCGCCTTCCACGTTTGTCGAACTCATGCGACGCCTCATACCGGGGTAGACTGTAGCAGCAGCAACCGACAAGTGACGGGTAAGAGTTCCGGTGGAAATTGACAGATGCAAGTGAAGCAAGGTCAGTGACTGGTAGAGAACTCCCCAAGGAGTGAATGCCCACGTTTTAGGGTCTGCCGGCAATGGGTCTGTCCAGAAATAGTCATGGTCCAACGCTTCCTCAGCGTTGATACGCTCTCGAGGATTGCAGGTCAGGAGCTTGTCGAGTAAATCCACCGTCTCAGGACCGATCCTGTGCAGCACGATGAGTTTCACGCGAATACAATAGGGACCAGATCGGATGAGATTGTTACGACGACACCGACATTTCATAGAAGTTCCTGAGCCGTCTTGGATAGTTGCTAAAGCGCTTGACGCCCTCACAGCCAGGCAAGGTGTCGAAGCCAGGCCATGAACGCTCGTTAGGCGTACCACATAGTTGCCATATCTTGTCTAGCTGATCCAGGTCCGACGACCCGGGTAGTATGGGTTTCCGAGAGAACATCTCCCCCAATACACAACTTTTCGGGCTCGTCAGCGCGGACGGCCTTCAGGGCCGAGCATATACGCACCCTATACCCCACATATCCACTTCACCGCCGTACTGTCTAGCGCCAAGAAGTAGCTCCGGTGGACGGTACCATCGGGTGACGACACAGTTAGTGTATTTCCGCTCTTTGCCGCGGAAGTCTTCTTTGACGTCAACGATACTCGGGTCGTACGCGCGCGCAAGGCCGAAGTCGGCGATCTTCAGCGATCCAGTATTCGAAATGAGCAAGTTGGCCGCTTTCATATCTCGATGGAGTATATGGTTCTATTGTCGAATAAACATATGTTAGACGTGCAGACGAATGGAATTGGCAAGACTTACGCGATGCATGTACTCCGTTCCTTCGAGAAGCTGCTTCATATAGAGCTTGATCTGACTCGGGGACAGCTTGACGCGCTCATTCTCAAGTAGTCCGGCGAGGTCGTGGTCCATGTAGGGGAACACCATATACACCGACAGCGGTGAGTCCTTACCCTGACCTGCACACCTATCAAAATCGAGTGAATGATAAAATGGCGATGAACGCACTTTTGAGTATAAACATATCCAGGATGTCAATGATGCATGGGTGATGGAGTGCCTTCAGTATCTTGATCTCGCGCAGCGCGGTCACCGGCATGCCCTCCTTCTCGTTGTGCATCAAAATGCGCTTCAGCGCAACGGCGGTGCCCTTCTCTCGATGTACAGCTTTGTGAACCTCACTACACAGATCCGCGTGAGCACCGCAATACAGACTGAAAACTGCGTACGTACCCGAAGGTCCCTTCACCCAACTTGGTGAGGACATCATAGTCTTCCTGCCTACCACATCCAGCAAACATTCGACCGTAGACCTTCGCCTCTTCTTCCCGCGACCTCACCACAGGCTTCCGCTTAGGCTTCGGCGGGGCAACTTTGACTTCTCCAGGTTCCGGTTGACTGTCGTCTTGCTGCATTGCGTACGTTGTCTCACCTTTCGGCACGACATTCGTCTTGGCAGGCACTGGTACAGACGGTGGAGAATACACATTCAGCGGTGTCAGTGGCTTTTTGGGCGGCAATGCGAATTTGATCGCAGTATGTGTCGTGGGCAATATCTCGACTTCAGATGCCTCTGTTGGTGGTGGCGGAGGGGCGGTAGATGGCGGCGGCGGGGTCTTCCGTCCCGACGACCGCCTCATGGGTGACAGGGGAGAAATGGGCCGCCGTGGCGACACCGGGCGGTAGTTGTCGTCGTGCTGTCCCCTGTCTCTCCATCGGTCCCGTTCGTCTCCCCGCTGAGGTGGCTTGTAATGCCGGTCCAATTCGTTGTCAGCAGCCCATACTGGCGCACGTTCTCGTACGTCTGGGCTCTCTCGCCGCCGGTCTCTACTTCTACTCCGCGTCTTGTAATCGCTGTCTCTGTCCCTGTCACGTTGGTAGTATGCGTCCGCAAGCGGCGAGATTGGGCGAGGCGGGGGAAGCCGATGCTTCTCCCTGTTGACTGGCGTGGATGGGGAATGTGAGCGAGGAGACGAAGGAGAGCGGGACCGAGACCATGCACGACGGGGTGACAGCGGTGGCCGCGGTGGATAGTCGCGCCGCTCAGACGAAAGCGAACGCGAAGGGTAGTGCGGCGGACCATAAGAAGGCTCAGGCCGCTCCCACCTTAACCGTGCACCTCCGTCGTACCGACCTGCGCTCGGTTCCCAGCGGTCAGCTCCGCGAGTGTCATGCCGTGGTGGTCTCCAGCGCCGCTCGTCGTCGTTCCTGAAGCGAAGTTCGCCTTCATCCGGCCTTTCATACCCATACTGTCCTCGGACCTTTGGCTCCCCATTCGCATACGGTTCGAGTTTGTCATCCCGCGCCGTCGTTTTCCTCTTAAAAGGAAACGGAACCTTGCTTTTCGGCGGTGTGGCTGGCCGAGGTGGTGGCGGTGGGGTTGTGTCGTCTAGTTCTCCCTCCTCCGGAGACGATGTCGCCAGGCGCTTGTATGGCCGCACGCCGTCTGGAGAGGTCGAAGCGATGCGTTTGACGGGCGTTGTGGGCATTCTGCAGCCCAGAGATGCGGTTGAAGTCGAAGAGCGTGGTCTGGTATGCGGAAGGTAAATACGAATTACCCAATATGGAGCTTGACGTAAGTACATTCACAGACAGACGGAAAAGACCAAGAAAAGACAAATTATTATAAACGGCAATGCCACATGTATGTAGTTTAGATTGGCGAATAGCAACATATTTGCACTAAACAATACACCGGAATATCTCTGGAAACGGGTATCATATTTCCGACATACCTTCAGCAGAAATATGCTAGGGACGTGTATATCAAGATATCTCTTTGGAATACATATGTCTGCACCAAGAAAATAGGGTGTCATATAGGAGGACTTGGTAGATTACTATCATTTTCTTGAAAATACAAGGTCCATTTCTGGGATATTGTAGTGCGTTTTCAGTGGAAAGACGTTGCCTTGTAGGAGTACTATTTCATTCCCGTGGGCATTGACCGATGTTCTCAACTGCTGATAGCACGTCATAACAAATTTCCTATATGGCCATTGACTACTGTTGTCCTGGTAGGTATAGGAGACGAGATTAGTCTGCATTGCTAGCCATAAACGGACATGGATGACAATCGATCCATATCTAGTATATGGTCTGCCGGAAAGCGCGCCCACTTTACCGGACCATCGCCTTACGTCCCAAAAAGGAAACGCGGCTGCAGCTTGCTGCCTTGGATGTCGACTTCGACCTATATTCTGCATCCTGTGCTATCAAATTGTGCACTTAAATTATTATTATGCACTATCCTTGATTTTGGTAGACTTTCAGCAAGAATTTGTTCTCTCCTGCAGCCCAATCTCATCAGACAAGCAGTTTGAGGCAGATTTAGGGCCTCTAGTGGAATAACATACTCGAAATTTAACAGAAATGTTACCGTAAACGAACAGAACACATAGCGCACTCTACCAGCATGATGGACCCTCAATTTAACTGTGTACAGTATCGCGACGCGCTCTATGAGAGGCGCGATTGCACTGCGAAACGCGCTTCACGTGATCCAGAAAGTGCCGTAAGGGACTCGTTCTGCAAACCGGGTCAGGTTTCATGAAGACTAAGACGAGATGCATATACGTAAATAACACCTATTTCTGGAGGCTACAGGGTATCCTACTTAACATTCATGTTTCTACACTTTGTTCTCTAGACTCTTGCATCGCACATGTTTGAACGACCGTGCTGGTAAGTAATGACCAAGTCACAGCAAACCAGAATGAAGACTAAGGCAGGTATGAGAGGCCAGGCGAGTCTTGCAGTATGACTCTGCGACAGGAGAGATGTTCTGTCTGTCTTCTCCTTAATTCCTTTAGTATAGCGGCTTACTGCTTCACAGTGGTATTACAGCGACGGCGAACCAGTCGAAAGATTCGATGGAGTACTCGGTTGTGACCGCCAGGCGTGTATATTAGCGCACCCAAACGATCCAGAATGGAGGACTGCCGAGACCGCCAGTCGCGCCCCGCCGCCCCGTCTGCCTCTCCAGAGTAGCAACAGAACTCAAGATTACGACATTACATCAAACCCAAAGCGCGATGCAGGATCAAGTCAGACCCGCCCAATCCCCACGGGCCCAAGGAAGCGAACTGCCATCACGATGCAGCCCACCCAAGTCCAAGCTTCTACCTGTGATAGCACGAGTAGTTCACTCTGCGGCCGGCCAGCTAAAGCACCACCGACTCTTCCTGCTGCACTGAGGTCCCATCTCTCTTCGGCCGAGTCACAGATGCCCGCCAAATTGAAGATCAACATCACTAACAATTCGTTTTCGGATCTACCGCGCGCCGAGGCTCCTGCTATCCCAACACCGCCGACCAGTACTCCTCCACCCCTGCCCCCGCCTAGTGAACCTGCGGACCTTTCCACACCCGTCCCGCCGTCACCGCCGCGCCTGCGCTGGGCATCGATCGAGACGTCGAAAGGCCCCGGGAAGGCACCCGCCGGGCGCAGTTGCACGGACAGCATGAGCCTTCCGGATCGACACCGAACGTGGGATGAGCGCATCCAGTGAGTCTCGATCAGTACCAGACTGTTAAGCAGTATTCACACTCTATCAGGCTACTAGCCACTGCTACCAACATGCGTTCCGAATCTCAGCGTCTTGAGAATGAGATATTATCTTACAGGCGGCTTACTTCATCGTCCGCCTTCTCATCTCTTCCCGAACCTGAGCGCACCACGATACAGTCTCAACTCAGCGCTGCTGAAGAGAAATGCACTGCCAAAGCAGAGGAGCTGAAGGATGCGCTCTTGCGGTTGGCGGAGTCCAATTTCTGGCCGCTAGTCGAGCAGTCAGAATCGAAGGCTCCTTCATCCGCGGTCAGCGAGCAGCTGGTTGCAGAGATCGGGAGTCTAAGGAACACAGTCGCCGATCTGCAAAGTTACCTTGGTGAGGTGCAGCGGCAGTTACACGCGGCTGCGTCGGGAGATAATGCAGGATGCGGCGAACCTAGCAGTAAACGCCGTCGAGTGGACCATGACGCTGGGTCATCTAGCGTCGTTTCGGAGCTGGACTCAATGCGAACACGTCTCTCACAGTTTCATGACACACTCGTGACGCTTGAGAGTTCATTCCGCGCACACAAGGACCATGTGCGCAACGAGATGGACGATGTTTTCAGGAAGCGAGATGCACTCATCGAGGACAAACGTGCAGAGTTCACGCAGCACTGTGACAAGACGGAATACGAGATAGAGGAGCTTGCCCGTGAGATGGACGCTCTGAGCATCCGGACAGACACGGTGAACAAAGAAAACATTCGACTGAAGCGCGAGGTGGCGACTCTCGCGCGCCAAATTGAACAGGTACCGAGTCCGCCATTCCAGTCCATTTGTACAGACTTATACTTTCTAACCAGCTAAAGACGAAGCAACGTGACCAGATTGATGTCATGCAACGCGAAATTCGCGAGCTCAAGGCCCTCGTCGCAGAGCGCCTGCCGGCCTCGACCCCCTCAACGGTCAACTCGCCGCCGAGGCTTGAGTCGCCTTGGGATCCGGAGGTGTTGTTCGAGGCAGTCCGGCCGCATCTCATTCAGTCCATCCGCGATGAGATGCGGCCGGAGCTGTCTATCTTCTACACGCGCATTCAAGACATCCTCCGTTCGCAGGGCGGCGAGCTCGCCGCAGTGGTCGTACCCAAGCTCACCATGACAATACAGGCAGCGGGTACAATCCGGGCATGGGCAGAGAATATCGGGGTGGTCGACGGGGATGGACTTATTGACGAGCTTAACTATCCAGAGAATTAACCTTCGCGTCAGCAGACCGCGGACGTTGTTGATTTGCCATAATTTATGAGGATGTTTCATTCAATGTAGGCCCTGTGTGTATAATATTGTAGTACTTTCATGTTTTCTTGATTGCACGAACTAGATGTTGTTAAATCGGGATTCAGTACCTTGCACGAATCTGACTCTCATAGATAGCTTAAATGCATGACATGCTTCGCGGCAGGGACTTATCAGCGCACGGAATTGGGCGCCGTCTGGTGAAGCTTGGTCCACTTAAGCTCGCAAAGGCTCTATGCAACTCTGACCCACACCCCGCAGGATAAGAATACAGTATTTTTGCAGCATTGCATATGCATGGTGTGATTGCATATCACATAGAACTCGGTAAAGCGTGGATGAAAGATGCGAGAATACGTAGGAAGGGAGAAGAGCGGTAGACAATGACCACAATCACTGTACAACAAGGTGTTAGGCAGTGCTCGGTAAGAGAACGTGATCTGGCGACATACGAATTGAAGAGCAGCACCCTTCGTCTTCTTCTCACCACCGAGCTCGAAGCTGCAGGAAATATGTCAACAACTCAATTCAGACCATAGAGCAAGACTAGAAGGCAACGCACTGTTTGCAACGCTTGAGCGAGAGCTGCATCTTGTACTTGCATACAGTACATTCTAGCCGAAGAACAACCTTCTTCGTCGTCTTCGCCTATAAACGCAGAAGGAACGACGTGAGTGGGGGGCGGAGGGACACGGGAATACACGGCACATACCTTCTTGTGGAAGACGGGCTTGGTCTGGCCACCGTAACCCGATTGCTTGCGGTCGTAACGACGCTTTCCCTGCGCGGCCAACGAATCCTTGCCCTTCTTGTACTGCGTCACCTTGTGAGGCCTGCGAGATCATACCTTCAGTTCCTCATTGTCAAATTGAGCATCACAAATTATACTAACGTGTGCTTCCTGCACTGCTTGCCCTTGCAGTCTACAAACCGATGTCAGTATATACATCGACCCCGGGACAAGTAGACTCACAGGTTCGTCGCGTTCTGCCAAGTAATTCATATCAACATAACATCTCATTGGAGGGGAAATATGTGCGTACTTGGGAACGTTGACCATCTTGAAGGCGTCGGCAGCGTTGAGTGATTTTGGACGGGCAGCACTACTGAAGGGATCGGTACGCACGGCAGTCGCCGATTTGGCAAGCAGTTGGGAGTTAAAGTTAACACTCCGACAAGGGTGTTGCCGCACAGCCCTAACCCCAGTTTCGGTTTACCCTCGATCTCCAGGCTGGGGCTCTGTAAGGCTCCGTACTGTTTGACTCTGGCTCGAGTTCCGACAGTGCACGTAGACCTTAAAACAAATCGTATTCCTTGGTATACTATCGTAGCAGTCGTCAGATTAGTTGTAATTCGGAACATTGAGCATAAGTAGATGAGTAAGGATATAGCAACTGATGCGGAGAGAGCAGCAAGATAGCGGTGCTACAGCAGACATACAGAGAAGCAGGGTCCACCTAGACATATACCGAAGAAAGCAGGGATAAGTATCACTCCTCTGATAGTGCGCGCTTTTTCCTGCGCTTCGCGGGCTTCTTGGCCTGCTGCTTTATTCGTGCCTAAGTGGTAACGTTTAGCGACGTCACAGGTTCCTCAGGTTACTACCGTTACCTTGGCTCTAGTCCTCGCGCCTCTGCCCAGTTTCTCCTCTTTTTCTTCTTTCTCAGAGGCCGAGTCGTCGGCGACCTCTTCGCCCTCGTCATCAGAGGCCTTAGCTGACCTCATTTCCTCGTCCTCATCGCTCGGCTCTGAAGGAGACGACTCTTCCTCTTCGTCTGACTCTTCAGCCTTCCTACGTTTCGCGGCCCGCGATCGCCTGCACAATCATACGTTATAAGAATGGATGTGAGACGACGGAACTCTTACTTGATCGTTCCATTTGCCTTTGAAGGAGCCTTTCGTTTCCCATTCGCCTTGCGTTCCACACGAGGCTTTTCCTGTTACAGTGCAAAGCTCAGCAGATATCTCCGGGATAAACTGCATGCTAACCTTCGGCTCATGAGCGTTCTTCCGTTCTTTGTGGCGGTCAGCCAGCCAACTAACAGCATGTTCTGGTAAATAGATTGTTTTCAGAATCTGGTGGAAGATACACTCAGTGCTTAGCAGTCTGGTATGTGTCGTAGAACCTACCTCATTTGCAGCTTCAGCGCCTGGAAGTGGTCGGAAGATGTCGTTGGGCAGGCGGACTTTTCCCGGATAGCTCTCGAGGCTCCATGAATGTACCTTCGCTCGAGCTTTGATCAAATGCTGTGCTAACTCGCTGATTGCATACAGATTCTGTCAAATCGAGAAGATCAGCGCGCGGGCTCTTCAGGCAAATTACTATTGTTCTTATACCTCGCTGTATGTATGCGACTGTGCATCGCGCACTGTCTTGGCCTTCATAGCAAGGTGGAACAACAGGGAGATATTCTCTGCGGAAACGACAAGATCGAGGTAGAACTCAATATAATTTGCGATGTCCGGGAGTGCTTCTTCGGTGAGTCCGAAGTCAGGATGGTGAGCTAGCACGTGGAGAAGGCGTATGAAGTTGATCTCGATGTCTTGCAGTCGGACAGCTGTGCAACAGCAAAGGTCAGCAACATTATACATACACACACGGCGCACGCACCTTTAGGTAGGCCGCGCATGGCCATGACGATATAGGCCTTTGCCTAATGAATGTTGATCGGTAAAATTCGATTGTCCGAGGTCGTAGCATGATACATTACCTTGTTTTTGACATCGGCTTCAGGATCGTGCACCGACAGAAACGGCACCACGTTGTACGATGCCGGAAGCTTTCGTCCCGCACGACCCGGAAGTAACACAAGCAACTTGTCCAGGAACGTCATACGGACTTGATAGCAGGGATCCTATGATCACGCGAATAAATTTCGCGCAGCGCATCAAGTACGGTGTAATCGTTACCTGAATAGTGACTGCAATAGCGGGCAAACTCAATGCTACCTCTGTTGCATACTTCTCCACACATGCAAGGTGGAGCAGGGAGACAGCAGCATGGAGCCTGAGACGAGCCTGTGTTTGTGGGCTAGCAGCTACTGAGTCAGCGAATCGCGCCTCGGGCAAGTGACAAATCATACTCACTCGTCTTCCGCCTGAGCGTTAGCTGTCAGTGATCCTCGCAATTGCAATATCGTTGCAAGCATTTTCAGAACCGGGCGAGCGATATCAAGTGCTGACTCTGACTCAGCATGCGCGAGACAACGATTTCGACAGATCTTCAGTGATAGCACTTTAGCCTGGAGCTGTGGTGGCATCGCGGAATCGGGAATCCACTCCTCGTCAATTTGCATCGCATCCTGTGCACGGACGTCAGTGGGGATGCAATGTTCATTGTTATCAACAGTGCCTCACTGATGGCTCGGTTTTCTTCATGAGGATCTGCTTGAGAATGAAGGCGGTTATGACATCGCTCCTCTGCTCAAAAGCATCCGGAGCCCTTAGAGCAAGCTGCGCGAGCACGGCAACATGTGCCACAAGAAGCTCAGGTTCTGCTTCGGGAAGTGCATCGGCCATGGTCTGTGGAGAGCAGCACAGGTCATGAATGTCCCGCCAAAGCAGGTCCACGCATCGACTTACTTCCACAACCTGCACGCAGAGGTCTTCGGAATCCTTCATGCATGTCATTATACGCGCGGCGAACTTGGCATGACGTGCATGAGAGCTCATGACAAAACGAGACACCCTCTCGGATGTGCGTCTGGTACGATGCCACTGTCAATTCAGTTAGGAGAGATGGCGATGCGGATACTTACTTGTCGCTCGGAACCAATTTCCTATCCCAGTTCGCGACTGCGGCGAGGGATTGCAGACATACCTCGACCAGCCGAGCGTTTCGCTCATCCGCAATGGCCTTCGCCAACTCCGGCACATGTGACTGGAGCAGCTGGGGACAGTGCTTGGAGATGTAGCGCATCCATGTCTCCGCGTTGTGAGCAATGAGCTCTGCCTGGCTTGAGCCACTACCATCGCCCGAGGGATCTCCTTTCTGGACCCGCTTTATCAACGTGGGGATAGATGATTGGTTCACCATTCGCAGACTCGCTCTGCGTAGGAACACTGACATGGCCGGAACGAGAGAGGAAGACGATTGCTCGAGTCTCCGCAGGAACTCATTCTGGACACACGGGGCGTCGAAGTAAGCAGCGCTCTGTGCCTGAAGAGTAAGAACTCACCGTTGCCTTCATCAGCCCCTTCAGATCCACTTGGGTGTCCATACACGTCTTCAGTAGCTTGTATAGCCTGCCCTCGTTCAGCTTCGCAAAGGCTAGTAAGTCTTCCACCGCCTTCTGGGGATCGGGGAATGTCACTAATCGAGGGTTAGAACATCTACGTTTCGGCCGACGTGCTTGTCGCTTACCCGCAATTCGCTTAACTATCGCGTTGAGATTGTTGACGACAGCCTCCTCATTTTCATCGATAATGCCGCCCTACGCGATGATTAACATGTGTAAACACGAGATCATGAGAAACTTACATTGTGCTCTACGCAGGCTTGCAGATACCTTTCGAATACTGGACGGCCCCTGCCAATAGTTGTCATTAGAATACTGATGACCAGGCAGCGCACATAAACGACGATGATGTCGCCACAGTGCTGTCACTCACGCTCCCTTCATGCCTGATAAACTCAGCAAGGCATTGACCGCCATCTCATCCAAAAACTTCATGACGAATAGCAAACGATCAGTCCACGCGCCTTCATCGACATCATTGGCGCGAGAATTCGATGTTGGTGTTGGCGACGGAAGAGGTAAAATATACTCCCCGATAACTTGCTCTCCAATAGTTCTGTGAGACGCATGAAAAAGTGAGTTGGTAATCGCCGATGACTTGAACATTTCTACTGACTTGACTTCTACCGTTGTTGCTGCCATATGCAGAATCGATTCAGGTATCCATGCGAAATGTTTCACTGCGGCTGGGTCGTTGTTCTCGCTGAACGTTGTTAGGCTTCGTAGAGCAAAGAGCGAAAGACACGTTCAATATGCTTACATTTCAGGGTAGGCCAGACTGAATAGTTTGCCAATCGCGGTCATTGCTTCGACACGGACAGAATGCTTCATCGAATGATATAAGTGTCACGTCGTTTGCGGTGCAAAAACATGGGAGATACCTTCTTGTCAAGGCCCCGACCTGCAACTGCGCGCAACTGGCTCTCCGAAACGTGATGCACGGCGGTCTCGTAGTCGAGCTGTGAGTACAGCTTGCAGACAGCTGCACGAATCTTTTCGTCCGGGTCGAATAACTTTGTCTGGAGGGCGTCTTCGATGGCATCTCGCTGCTCTAAGAGGTTGACGAGTACGCCCTTTGCCGCCTCGACGAAGGTCAGGCGGACAGCTGCCGCTTTATCGTTCTTGCGTAGTAGCCAAATATTCCATGTTGTAGGATACTTCCGCACAAAGTCGGCTCCGCCCTTGTCTGCGAACATTTCGCCTAGTACCTGGGTCGCCATAATGCGAATCTGGTTTTCCTCGACGCGCAATTCTTCCTCGAGTTGTGGTACAACGTTGTGCAGAAGAGACGGACATGAGCGGTTCAGTCGCTTGATTAGTTCGTGGGCCTTCTCAACCTCTTCGAAGTTCTCGTCGCGCGAATGGGACACGATCATATCCGTGAAGTACTGGCATACGTGTCGCTGTAGCTTGTCTGCAGTCTCATTGCACACTTGCACAGCTAGTCGATAATTGGGATGGTCCATGCCCTGCAGAAGAGCCGTCAGACATTGGTGCACGGGTCGTCAATATTGGGTAAATCTCGAGAATGGACGTGCGAGGCGAAAATGGTCAAGGTATGGCCACAGCATACATGGTTACCATTCGTCACTACGCATGCTGTGTTCGTCGTTCAGATGATGTTGGACCGCCCAAGTAACAGCAATGGTACTTCGGCCACATACATATCGGTTAGCCGATGCCACGAAGGGATACGACCCACAAGGAGGTTGTACCCATTTGTGGCTACACATTACGCCTGTGGCTACGACGCCCAACTTATGACGCGCCCTATCCTACATGAATGCTAATGCTAAACCGACCGAGATAGCACGCATACTTAAAGAAGTGTATCCGCAAAAAGAACGAGAAGGATACGGTGACATTTCATTGCAGGCGTGAATGCACGTACCGCGTTCTTCTCTGCAAATTGCGCCATGACGGTTTCGAGGACATCAAAGGGCAAGCTCTGACACTCGTCTATCAGGGCAATGAGAATGTCGGCCATGAATAGTTCAATCTTCTTCGCGAGATCGTTCCTGACCATAGAGAAGATGTTGCGGAAGATATCCGTCATGAGTTCTTCTGCGTTTGGTAAATCACAGACGAGGACGACACTCTTGACTGTGGACAAAGACTCAAGCAAATGGAAGTACTCGTTGTAGTAGGGCGAATCGGAGCCCTTGAGACCAGTGTAGAGTTGCCTGAAGAAGAATTGGAATATGTCGCGTAATTCGGATTGTGTGTAAGGCGCATCGGGAGCGTAGAGGCGTAAGAGATCAGCAATGCAGCAAGCAGCGTAGGCCTTGACACCCTTATCCTTGTGGAGGAGAACGGAGGTGTTAATAAGCTCCTTGCGGACGGCCGAGAGGGATGCGACATCGACATGCTCCTGGTCCATGTCTGCGAGCTCGGTGTGCAGGGCTTTGAGTTTCTTGAGCAATGCATCGGTTGAGAGGCCCTTGCCGACGAGTTTGTCATGAAATTTGAGCTTTCTGGGCGAGCTTTGCCCAGCGGTACGGGTTTGAGCCACCATAGCGGTGGGAGGAGGAGGAGAGGGCGCGTAGCGCGTTGTTGTGCCATATTTTCCACAACACGCGTTTGGCGGTCTGGCCGATCGGTGGCTTGCCACATCCTGAGCGCCGGCTAGCATTGCCTTGACCTCGACAACCATGCCTCCTACGCCTCCGAACCGCGCGCTGTCATCGAAGGAGGCAACTCTCTTCAGAGAGGTCTTGAATCTATACGAGACCAGGCAGCTCAAGAAGGGCCTCAAGACTGCTGATCTGATATTAAAAAAATGCCCCCAGCATGGAGGTACGCGTCAAATTGGCAGGCAATGCGGAGATTTCATATGACGGCGATCGCTTTAACAGAAACCCTATGTATGAAGGGGCTGATCCTGACACATCTGGGGAAACGGGAGGAGGGGGTCGAATTAGTCAAGCAGGGCATCCGGCTCGACCTGACCTCTCACATCTGCTGGCACGTCTTCGGCCTCATCCAGAAGGGCGAGAAGAAGTATGACGAAGCCTTGAAATCGTACACGCAAGCGCTGAAGTATGACAAGGTGTGTTGTCCGACGCGATGTCGGAGTGACATGGGTCGACCTGGGTATTGCCAAACTGCTGGTCGGAGATGGCCTCTGTCGGTCAATATATCCGGCCTGACCTATCATCTGGTACTGCAGACTTGACAGACGGTGGGCTGGGAATGAGGCAACCGAAGCTTTTACCCCAAGGTGTCACATTGAGCTTTTGGGGAGTCTTGACCCGCCCGCCGATCTACCTCTTACAGTACCACTAACTAAAAGCCGTACCAGATCCGGGTAGACTGGACGCTGTTCACTTGATCCTCGTGAACTACCCGTCTGAGCCTCGCTTCGATCGGATACGCGAATGCATCCCGGGACCATGCCTGTGTCACTCCGTCCTTCGAGTAGCGAGGGAGACGTCTCACAGGTCGATATGTGCTAGGAAAACCTCAACATCCTACGGGATGCCGCTCATCTACAGACACAATTGCGAATGTTTGACGGCCTCGTGGAGACTCGACATACTCTCCTCAGATTACGACCCACCCTTCGGCAGAATTGGATTGGTCTTGCGGTCGCTTATCACTTGAATGGAAACCTGCCTGAAGCTTGCAATGTACTAGAACTGTACCAGAAAACGTTGAAGGTATGTCATGCATAGCCGCGTGTTGGGGCCCGCTTCCACTTGCATACGCAGAATGTTCCAGACTACGATGTAGAACACTCCGAGGTGTTGCTCTATCATGTTCACCTTCAAGAAAAGATGGGCAACTACAATGAGGCCTTGACTATGCTGGATATATGCGCAAGATCGAGAGCAATTATTGATCGAATAGCGATCATGGAGTTCAGAGGTATAGCACCATCCAGTAGACAGCGCCTGACATAGCTCATGAACAGCGTAGCACGACTAATGTCAAAGCTGTATATGCCTGACGCCGAGCATTCATGGCAAGCGCTCATCGAACAGAATCCTGAGTGCCATCAATACTATAAAGGGTTTCTCCAGAACCGTGGTATTGACCTTGGTGCGCATAGTTTCGTTCAGACTCGTGATACACGACCCATCAAATCGTATTTAGATGCCATGACAGAGGAGACTCGTGGTCTAGCATTGCAATCCCTCCTCGACTTCTCACAACAACTAAACCGGGCGACAGCTCCCCGTCGCTTGGCCTTGAACCTCGCACAGGGTACGCACCAGGCTCAAATAATCATGGACGTCCACATTATAACAGAGTCTGTAGGCGATCAGTTCAGGAATTTAGCAGATGCATACCTCAGGGCCGGACTAGAGAAGGGCATCCCGTCATTGTTTGCAGATGTCAAGGCCCTTTACAAGGATGTGCAGAAACAGCAAGTCATCGAGGACCTCGTTGAAACACTGCGCGAGAGCCTACTTCCCCTTCAGCCGTCAGATTCGTCGAACATCGAGCCGACGACGTACCTTTGGACCTTGTACTTCTTAGCCCAACATCACTCCTACTTGTCTCGCCATAAGCGTGCTCTGGAACTCTTGAGGACTGCGATGGATCACACGCCGACACTGCCCGAGCTCTATATATTCCAGGCGCGCGTGCTGAAGCGATGTGGCGACCCCATCGGCGCCGCACGAAGTCTGGACGAAGCCCGTGTATTGGATCTCCAAGATCGGTTCTTGAATACGAAGTGCGCCAAGTATCGCATGCGAGCCGGCCACGTCGATGAAGCCGCCGATATCTTGGGGCTGTTCACGAAGGCAAGTGGAAGTCATGGCGGTCGCCCTGCCAACTCACCAGTGAGCGCTGGCAACTGACAGGGCTGCTTAGAAAGATGCAGTCAGTCCCGGCGCCGACCTGGAAGATATGCAATCGCTGCTCTACCTCACTGAGGAGGCAGCCGCACACCTGCGCAAAGGCAACCTCGGTATGGCCCTGAAGAAGTATACCGCCATTCAAAAGGTTCGTTCGATGCTTAAAGCTGCGCTCGGCCCTGTGTCTACGCGCGCGTTCTCTCTCGCTGTTAATGCAGTGGAAACTCATGCTTCGCGGCATCCTTCCAGGTATTCGATGAATGGGATGACGACCAGTTCGACTTCCACGGGTACTCGCTGCGCAAGTTCACGATCAACGTATACTTGGAGTGGGCATGATCCGCTTTGGCTGCGTACCGCTCTTGCTAATGCGCCGCCAGTCTCATCACTTGGGAGGATCATCTTCGATCGCATCCAGATTATATATCATCTGCGATCGCTGCTTCTCAGGTCGAGCACTCTGTATATCCTGTACCATCTGTACCACGTCCTGACGAGCCCCTTGCAGATCTACGTCCGCCTACACGACGATCCCTCGCTAGCTACACGTGGCAGCTCTACCAGTCAGTGTTATATTCATTACCGGTTCACATTATCTCATATCAATTGCATCAGCTAACATGACTGACGCTGAGAAGAAGGCGAAAAAGAAGGCAAAGAAGGCAGAGAAGAAATCGCAGGAGGAATCCAAAAAGGGTTTGTGACCTTTCCACAGCGGGCAGAGCTGATCTCTTACTGACGCTGAAGTCCCGAGCAGTCACAGCGACAGCCTCAGCCTCGCCGAATGAGGACAAGGGCCTTGAGCTGGGTCCCGCAAAGGACGACGACCCAGACGGGATGAAGCTCCTGCAGGTGCAAGACTTGCTTGAACGGGCAGCCAAGTGGTTGGCGCCACTTGGCACGCTGGCGAAAGGCAACCTCAACGCATGGATAGTCATCTACGATGTTGCCGTGCGACGAAGTAAGTCCGGTCCCCGCCCGTGGAGAATGTCGCACGCTGACCGGCGTACAGAAAAGTACTTACGGGCCGTCAAGGCGCTGAACAGTGCCCACGCGCTCGACGCCGATCATCCTGAGCTACACGTCAGAAAAGCTCATTTCAAGCTTGCCTGTACGTTCCCGTCCGTTCGCCTGCGGCGTAGCCACCGCTCTTACAGACCGGGCATGATCTAGTGTCGTCAGCACAGGAGCAGCCGGCCGAGCTCGTCGGCCCTGTAGTGACAGCCGCACTGACGAATTTACTGCCCGACGAACTGTCCTTGGAGCTGTTCAACTCGCAGTACCTCCAGCGTCACTCGACAGACGCGCGTGCCATCCTCGCCTCCGCGAAGGTGTCCCGCTTGCTGAACGCACCTAAGGATGAGGTCGAGAGTGCAGTGTTCGCCGCGCTCAATCCAGACGTGCAGCTGGACATCAAGGCGAGTGTCTACTTCCGCCTTCTCTTCAAGGGCACAGTGCTAACAGACACGTCTCTACAGACCGCGCAAAACGTGCTTGTCTTCCTGAACGATATCGGATCGTCCCGTGCGGACGAGTTCCGCCAGGCCTGCGACGGCAAGTTCGCTCTGTCGACGGTGTTCAAGCTACCGAGCGAAACGGCCGGCTTGCGCTGGTCGGCGCTGCCGCCGGATGAGCCCATGTCTGCGGGTGAGGCGGACAAGGCGGAGGTCATGAGCTGATTGCTCGGAATGCGGTGCGCGTGCGGGAGTGTATATGCTGTATCTATGTATCGTGACACACTGAATATGATGAGTCCCCGCTGTGGCGGAGAGATAGGCTCTACGCTCGCATGGAGTGCTTGGATCACGACACTTCTCGAGGATTTAGCCGATTTTCGTGTTTTTGAGCTTCGTGTTTCGTCTTTTGCGTTGATGGTGTAGACGACGCGGGTGACTCAGGAATGCGAGCGATGACATGCTCCTGACGACGACAGGACGCAGGACGTAGGTGGATATAGAGCTGATTCGTCCGGCTGGCACAAATGATCTTGATTAGCTGAGGTATTGCCGGACGTTGAAGTGAGGTTCCGCGCCGGGAATGCTAGTTTCCTGTGAGCAGAGTAGATAATTCCTTCAACCTGGCTACGGATATCCTTATCCGGGAATGCCGCTCCTAGTTCCACCAGTCTCATTTTGGAAGGTGGACTGCCCTTTTTGACATCCGCGTTCTTCTCTCATTTACATTATGCTTGTCTTTCGTTTCTCTCAGTTTAATGACTTCAAAGATGACTGCATTGATCACTTCCACCCCATGTGAGTGCAAGGGCATGTAATGGAAGATATACAATGCTGCCGCAAAGAATATGTGCCCCCACCCTCGTCATGAGTCGAGCTTCGCCAGCTGATCTACGAGGTCTTCCATGACGGACCTCGACCGCGCATGCCCCGTGTCGTCCATCGTAACTGACGATGTACCGGGCCCTAAGGACGCTCTCTTCGTTGGAACGAGCGGGCTGGCCTGTGGCTCAAACCCAGGCGCAATCCTGCGCAACGCCTCCCTTTTGCGTCGCTCCTTCTCCTCTTCACGAGCTCGGAGATATGCCTCGCGGCGCGTAGCGTGTGCGATGAGGGTGGATCGGCGTGACTCCTCGAGGCGAATGACGTGTGGCTCGAGGGTGAAGGGGTATACGAACTGGGACATGCAGATGGTTGAGCTGCAGACCTGTATGGCATAGGCTGTGTAGGATACCCACGTATGCAGTCACGTCGTCGGGGAGCGGGTGGATGTCTGGAGGCCGCTCGACCTGAAGATGCGTCGTCGCTGGGGCTCAGCCGTCGTGATATCATGTACTTACCGGGCGCGGGACGCGGAGACTGGGCGACTTGATCAACGGTACCTTGGACGCTGGAGCGTACTGGGATTGGGCTGAACGCGATGACATAGACTACATATAGGAGAATAAGACAACTCACATTTCGCAGACATCCTTGAGAGACAGAAACAATGCAGGAGTTGGGAGAGTAGACGCTGACTAATCTCGATCGTTTCGGTAGCGAATGTACAATATGACGCAGCTCAGATCTCAATCTTGCTTACCCCCTCCTCGTTCCCTTCCTAACATTCCCCCACACCTGTCCCATTTCCCGATATAAGCTTGAACTACGCCGGCGTACTGTACGAACATATTGCATGGCGCCAAAGGGGAAGTCCTCAGCGTCTTCGGGGACACGCAAGAAGCATGCGAGGAAGGCGGCGGCAGGCGGCCCTGTCGAAGAGCCCGTACTTCCCAAGGAAAAGAGGGCCAAGGGCAAGGACAAGAAGAACCAAGAGCCCAGAAAGAAGGTATACATACCGCCTGTGAAGCCCGTCCCAGTACAGCCGGATCCGCTGGATACCCTCGGCATTGCGCAGAAAGTGCCACCCGAACTGCTCGTCGTGCTGAAACGGCTTGCGAAGAAGGATTCAATCACGAAAAGGAGAGCTTTGGAAGACCTTCAAGCGGGCTGGGTGGACAATGTCCGACGCGAAGGGGAGAGCAGCAGTCTACTGCCCGATCTGCTGGAATCTATCCCAGTATGGGTGTGTCCACCTACATGTATACCACGTCTTCTTGCATGTTAATGTATTCCACCAGCTACACCATGTCCCTGCACTTTTCATGCACCCATCTCGCCGCATCCGTCTACTTGCCGTCGGACTGCACTCGTCCCTTCTCCATCTCCCGCGCGTTTTAACCGACGCGCTCCTGTATGCTATAACCGACGGTGTCTCTTCTGATAACGCCGAGTACATTATCGGTGCGTGGTGCACGGCTGCACATGATGTCGATCGCCAGGTTTCGTTGCTTGCGCGCCAGTCCTGGGTCCGCTCCGTCTCACTCTCCTCTGCTGTGCCCGAACAAAAGCTCCTTCTTGAGGGCGCGCTCCTCCAGCAGCTGTGGGGTTACACGCACAGGACACTGCTAGACCCTAGTGGTGTATATGCGTACGTCAACCCTCCGCAGGCTGTCGCACATCCACCGTCGGTACATCAAGGACGGAGGGGGTCAGGGCGTGCACCTCCTACCCCAGTGCGGAAGGATAGGGAAGAAGAGGCGAATGCGCGTGCAAGGACAGAGGAGGAAGAGGAGAATGAGCTAGATCGAAATGCGCGGCTGCGCGTCGGTGCCTGCGGTGCGGCGGAGTGGCTCATCAGTGCGTACTTCGTCCTGTAACTATCCGCCTGCTCTAAGCTCATCTCACATGCGTCGTCTTATTCTTGGCAGACGCGCTTGCTGGCTCTGAGAGCACGGCAAAAGCGCTCACGGACGAGTTTCTCGCGCCTTTCGCAAACCCTGCGCTGTGGTCTGCACTATGCCATGCCCAAACACCGCCATTTGTGCAGATCGATGGACCCGGGTTCGGGTTTGCGCAGCCTGGCGTGCGAAGGGCGGCATGGTCTCTTCTGCAGACAATGTTGCGGTCGTGTAAAGGTGAGCACACACTACTTAAAATCAAGTCGGTGAAGCCTCAAGGACCCTCGTCTTTCGGCAGCCGGCATTCAAGGACTGGTACCCGTCCTGAGCGGTGCCGTTCTGCGATCCGCCTGGGTTGAGCCAGATGTGAACGTCAGGGCTACCATGTGGCAACCTCTGCTCACGTTTCTCAAGGGTAGGTCCCACTTGGAGCTTGAGAGCATAGCACGCCTCAATTATTGGATCTTTCTAGATCATCCATCTGCCTGGGAAGTTGAGGCAATCTCCGAACAAGAACAGGACGCGGATGACTCCAATGCCGAGTCGGATGGGAGTGAAGATGAGGAGGAAGCAACGCCTCGGAAGGCAATTCCGAAGGAATCGGGCACCATAGGGCCGTCGCAGGCTTACCGCGAGTTCCTCCAGTTCCTTGAACTCGGTTGCGGCGGTGTGCCCTTGCAGGGCTACCCGACAGTACTCATCATTCTCGCCACGATCCCACCTACTGTAGGCCCGCCTTCTTGACCGTCTGAGGTTCTCAGCTGAGTATCGGCACGCAGGTTATCTCGTCGTTTTCCCCTTCGCCTCTGCAAGCCCTCTTCACCTCGTTCTGGGCTGCGCTAGATGGTCGTGCGCTCAGTTCGCTGGACCGGAAGGCAGCCTCGGCTGCATTTCTTTCTTCGCTGCTTGAATGTCTTGTGCTTATGGTGCGCCGCCTGGTGGCTGCATCACCAGAGGTCGCAAAGTCGTTGGCAGGCACGTCTCTGCAGGCTGGCGACGGTACTGACGTACAGCGAGAAGCGGCACAGTCGCTCTTACGAGAGCAGTTCAGCAGGGCATGGGAGGAGCTGAGCTCCAAGCGGCTCAAGATCGAGGGTGAGACGGCAGGGTCAATCATCGCGAAGAACTTGACAACACTGTGTCGATTCGATAGCGGTAAGTGGCGAAAATCGCATGGAGCTTTTGTCGCCTCGTCTAACAATTCGGTCCTTCCTGGAGACTTGTTCCAAGCCGCATGGGATGCACTCGCATCCGCGATCAGAACGCAAGTCCACGCGCCAGATACGCCTGTGTCACCCCTTGTGTCACACGTGCTGCAAGTCCTGCAGAGACAATTTGAGCAGGGCTCTGTTCCCGCGGCTGCTGCGCAAGCATTGACAAGAGAGATTGTTCAGGATGCTATCCAACAGTGGGAAAAATTGCTGGAGTCGGAGCATGCACCTGAAGTAGGGCGCGTCGAAGCTTTGGTCGGTATATTCGATGTGTTCGGGGCGTCCATCTTCGGTCAGCCTGACCTGGCGAAGGTACGTGCGCATGCTAGCCCGGCTGCATAGCACTTCTGAGAGCTTTGCGTATTCAGTCTGTCGACGAGACGATTCGCCAACACACGATTCGTCTGCTGACGACGTCACCCCGCATGTTCCTCGTGTATCTGAAGCACCGGGGAAATCGCCAGCTTTGCTTCCAGCTTTGGCAAGACATCCTTCGCGCTGTCGCAACGCACACGAGCGGTGTCAGTGTGATCCTATCGCCGTTCCTAGATGCCGCGGAAGGCAGTCTCCTTCCCGACTACCTCAAGCCAGAGTCAGGCAGTCTGGACGATTTGGCAGGAGACTTGCTTGCCGAGGCCTTGTCTGGATCACGAACGATAGCCGAGGTCACAATCGTTCGTCGGCTTTTCCGCTCACCAGGTACAGGTACGGCCGAGCCCCCCCACGTTGTGGAGATATGTCTCACGCGTGAAATATTGTTCAGACTATTTCATCTCGCAACCCTGCTTCCAGAGTCTGCTTGCAAGTCTTATATCCAACTTCACCTTGCATTTCGCACATGCCCTGCGAGATGAGACGGTATCGACAGACGATTTCAACACGTCCCTCGACCTGATCCAAGGCCTCGCTAACACACACCCCGCTATCTTGTTCTCCGAAGAGAATGCCAAGTCGCTCTTCCCTGATGTCTTCTTGTTCTCCCACCTGCTCCCGCGGTTCACATCCGTCAGCGAGCAACAACAGAACATCGCCCGCGATCTGTGGCGTAGCTGGTTGTCGAACTCCCCATACGAAGTAAAGAGTAACACGCTGGCGATCTTGAGGCAGCGGATCAAGGAGCTCTTACTCGACTGTGACGTTCGTCCAACGTGAGCACTCTTTTTGGCTGTGTCTTCACATTGCTCAGTATTTTTCAGAGCGGAGCAGATCGTGCGCATGGTCTTGGAAAACCTCTCAGGGTTAGACATGGACTCATCGCTGGAGACTTTACCGTCCCGAGCGGATTTGGACGACATGCTCATCCGGCTACCTTATACACCTGCTGACCCCAGCTTGGCGGTTGTCGACCCTCTCGTCCCACCACCGAGCTTGTGCGAGCCCCTGCCCGCCGTGAGCGGAAAATACGACCAAGCTGGGTTTTCCGTATACGCGCGGGCGGTATATGCATTGCTTCTTCGTTTCCTCGAGGATCGGCACGCAGCAAAAATCAATGTGTGGGCATTGCGACATCTCCTGGCGCTTTCTTTGTATGCGGAGGAGATACTCCAATCATTGGCAGTCCCGAGTCCCGTTTTCTCTGGACATATTCCAAGGAGCAGCCTCGTCGACATACAGGCGCGGGTGAGCCAAATTGCAGCGTACCTCCTATCTAGTGGCCACGAGGATGGTTGGCATAACACTGTCGTCGGCACCATAATGGCCAGCAAAGGCAGCGATATGCTAGACGGTGTCGGCCAAGTTGTGTATGAGCAAATTCAGCACGCCAAGCTTAAGGACACACCTAGGGAGTCCCGGATTATCCATGTGATCTTGCAACACGTTCTCAGCTTCGTGACGAAACCGGAGGCTGAGCAGTGGTTGCAGCTTGCTCGGAGACTTGAGAAGCAAGGTATACATCCGTCTGATTTTGTGACGCTGCCGCTAAATTCAAGTGATAGCGCCGCATATGTCTCTGGCGATCATCTACTCGATTACTCAGTATGCTCCCGAGCCGCTGATGCTGGATAGGTATAGGAATGAGCTGGCAGCAGGCATGCTAGGGGTGCCCCCATCGAAGGCAAACACGGAGGGCCTATGGCTTCTACGCAGACTGGCTGCAGTTGCGCCTGATCCTGAATCTGACATCATCTTCCTGCCGCAGCTCCGAGCAGTGAACTTGATGAAGGTGTGCCAACAATGGATTGCGTCGGACGAGGACCTCGACGAAGAGGTCGAGAGCGAGATGACGCTAGTGTTCTTCCATCTTGCTCCCATCCTTCAGAACGTCCAGGGCGTGCACTGGGATCTGATTTTCGATGTCATGGAAAACAACCTCGAGGTAGGGTGAATCCACAGCTTGGCTGTAGTTGCCCACTGAATATCTGTCAGAACGCATCCCTCAAGGAGGCTTCTACGCTCGTAAACCTGAGCAGAACGCTACGACTGTTGATCGCCGTTGAGGATTTGACATCAACCAACAGGTCCCTTCGTGCAGTCTGGCAAGAGCGCGAGACTACATGCCTTTCCCTTGTTCGCGATCTTGCGGCGACAAAGCTTGGTGTGTGCCTTTACCTTTCCCTAAACGCTGACTGACACCTTCCTCAGACTTGGATAGAACATTTACTCCGGTATCTATCTGTCGGGAGCTTGCTCTGCAGATCGTTCAGGACTTGCCCGAGTCCCTCATGGACGCGAAGACGTTGCCAAAGGCACATCCCAAGTCATCTACGTACTTTCCTTTCATGTCACTGACTGCACTCTGCAGATGTGTCACGTTATTACGGATACGTCGGCTGACGTCCAAAGGATGGCATACCAGTGCCTGCATGAGGCCGCTAAGAAGTACACGGAGCATATAGTCATTGAAGCAGCCGTAGAATCCGAGGACCCCGTGAAGCCTGAGTTGCCCGTGGAGCTGCTCGACATACTTCAGCGGAGTATTTATTCCGATGATGGAATGGAAGCGACCAGTCAAGTGAGCGTCTGTTCCGACTTCCGGGATCTGCATAATTGATATTGTGACAGGAAACGTCCGGCTACTTCCTGGCCTGGATGCTGGCTCTCGATTTGTTCGCGAATGCCGTACGTCTTTATCGTCTTACAGCAGAACATACGAGGTTGAGCTTATGGCAAAACACTAGTCGCTGAAGGTCAAGTCTGGCTACATTGATCAGCTTCGCGAACTTGGTCTTGTCTATGATAATCTGCTACCGAGCATCTTCACCATCCTCGGATTGTATGACGGGTTGCCTAAAGCATTCAAGCTCGACATCTGGGCCATCGATGAGTATTATCTGGACTGTGAGTTGAACTTCATGCGTGTCTTCTTTGCCTACTGATTCCCTTTAGTCTGCTCACCAGGATCACCGTTAAGCCTCCGTCTTCTGGCGGCCCATCTGTACTACCGCGCCCTGCTTGTGGTCCCTTCGCTCATCCGCGGCTGGCTCTCTGACTGCCGCGACCGCCAGCTTCTCAGCGCCATCACCGCGTACACCGCCGCACACTTCTCGCCCGCCATCGTGCGGTCTGTGCTTGCGACGCTGCGCGACCCTGGCGCTGCGCCGGACCTCGCGGACGATAACTTCAGCGTCCGCGTCGCGGGCGCTGTCGGCGAGGTCACGGCCGCATACCTGCTCGACGACCACAAGCTCGAGCTCGTGGTGCGCCTCCCGCAGGACTACCCGCTGCACGGCTTCGAGGTGCGCGACCGCAAGCCCGTCGGCGTCGCGGAGGAGCGGTGGCGTGCGTGGGTGCTCGGCGTGCAGCAGATCCTCTCGTTCCGGGTGCGTCTTCGCGCGGCGTCGTCTTCGCCTTGTCGCCGTTACTGACCACGGCGCCCTGCAGAGCGGCAGCATCGTCGACGGCCTGGCGTTCTTCAAGAAGAACATCACGTCGTACTTCGAGGGCCTCGCGGAGTGCGCGATCTGTTATTCGTGCGTCGGGCCCGCTCGCGCTGCGCTGCTTGCCTTGTACTGACGCGCCTGTCCCCTGGCGCAGGTTCATCAGCGCGATGGACGGCAGCTTGCCGCGCAAGCCCTGCAAGACGTGCAAGAACCGCTTCCACGCCGGGTGTCTCTATAAGGTACGTCGGCGCGCGCTCCCGCCGCGGGCGCCACGGCTGACGCAAGTCTGCAGTGGTTCCACAGCAGCCACTCGTCGAGCTGCCCGCTCTGCCGCTCGGAGATCTTCTTCTGAGGAGCGTTGGGTGCCGCAGGACCGTCGTAGTACCAGAAGCCCCATTACCGTTACCGTGTATTCTACACCGCTGAGCGTGAGCAGCTGCCCGTGGGGCGCCGGACGTGCTTCTCTTCGGTTCTATTCTCGAGTGGACATGCTGTCGCGCTGGCTCTGACGCAGACAAGGACGGATGGTGTTAAGACGCGGCCAGAAGCCCTGCCTCCCGCGCCCGTCATCTATACATAGCACGCAACGCGCGCGGCTCTGTGTTTCCCGTTCTCGAGTGTCACGGGTGGGACGCCGGGCGTTAGCGTTCGAGGCGCGAATCCGACGCGCCTTCGCGCGCGGTTGTGATATCATGCCAGCACGCTCATGATCAGCACGGCAGCGCTCCGCAGTTCGTGCGCCGACCGCCCGCAGGCCCCCGGGGCATCGGGCTCTGCTCTCGGGCGGGGATCTGCGTGTCTGCGCGCGGGCCACGACCGCGAGAGAGACGCCGCCGTGCAAAGGCCATTTGGACGGTTCTGCGTTCTGCGCGGCGTGGCCTGCTGCAGAGGGGCGGGTGCGGCTGCGCGTTCATTTATGGTCTATGGTTTATGGCCTATGGTTTATGGTTTATGGTTTATGGTTTTTGAAGTACGACTGATGGCTCATGGTTTACGGCTCATGCATCATGGCTCGCGTGCGGCCGCGGGTGCATGCGCGACGGGTGCACGAGCCATCTCCGGGTGGGCCACCGCCATTCAAGTTCAAAATCAAAATCGAAATCAAATTCAAATCGAGACTTAAGAGCGGTCCCACACGGGCTGGGGCTGGCAGCACGGCTGCTCGACTTGGATGGAACGCGGGTCCATGCTCTATGCTTAGCCGGGCCCTTGCTCACGGGTGCCATGCCAGTGCGACAGACAGGCAGACAGACAGTACCATTGAGACCCTGAATAGCAGCACACGAAAATAGGGCGGAGCTTGGGCCTGCGCACCTGCGCGCTGCGCGGTCATGTCCCGGTCCCGCGCGCGAGACACTGAATGGCGAAGCTTGTCTGAGGTCTCACATGCACGCTTCGCGCCGTCGTCCTTCTGGCGTCTGGCGCACAGGGCCTGCGCTGAATTGCGCCACCCGGGACGCGCGGGCTATTCTTGGCGCCTGCGTGCAGACTACAGTGCCGCGGGAGGTCCGGCCACTCACAAATCACCATGCGCAACTCACAATCCACAATTGAATGCAACGAGAACGCAGTGCGCTAGGATTACAGTGGGGCGGAGGCGGCGGCGGCTGCTCTATAAGTTACAATTACGCGTGCCCCGGGGCTGCCGCAGCCCCAGCGGGACGTACATCCAAAAAACAATGATGACAGACCAGAGTGAGAGGGGGACCGATGTGAGTAGGCGCGGCACGGGTGTAGGGTAGTAGGGTAGGGGCGTGGATGCTGTCGTAAATAAGGGTTCGGTTCGGTGGGTTATTGAGAGGCAGGCGGTGCGCGATGGCGATGGTGCCCGTGGCTGTTTTACATACAGGGATGGCATGGCGCGGCGTCCTGCGCGCGGGCGTGTGCTTTTTGCTAGCGGCGCGTTCCTCACGCGCTCGTCTGCGCACGCACCTGGCCGGCGGCGCGCGGGCGGCGGAGCCCCTGCTGGTGCTGATACTGGTACTGGTGCTGGTGCTGCTGGTGGCGCTGGCGCTGGAGCTGGTGGAGGCGGAGGTTGAGCTCGCGCGCGAGGAAGACGACGCCGGAGTGCTCCTCGTGGAGGAGCTGGGCGGCGGGGACGGGCGCGATGATGCGGAGGTCGGCGGGGTGGACGGCGGCGGCGTGCGAGAAGCGGAACTGGGTGCTGAAGACGTGCGCGAAGACGTGCACGTCGGCGGCGGCGAGCGCGGCGGAGACCTGGCCCTGGGGCGTGAGCTGGGCTGTGGGGCGGGGTGAGCAGGGGTGGGTGGGGCAACACAGCGGGGCGCGCACGCGATGGGCGGACTGGGGCGCCGGGACCCTGTGGCGCATGCGCGTGCGCGTGCTGGTGCTGCGAAGGGCAGGGAGACGTACCCTGGACGAGACAGACGTGGCCCTTGATCTCTGCGAGGGCGAACTGGGCCGCGGAGGGCTGGGGTGGCTGGTGCGGGGCAGGCTGCATGGGGTAGAAGAGGGGCGCGTGCGGATGCGAAGAGGAGGAGGACGAGGCGACGGCGGCCATGACGGGTTATATGCGCGCGGGTGCGGGCGCGGGTGAGGACACAAAGCGTATAGCGCAAAGCGGATGCAGATGCCCCTAGGGACCGCAATAGGCTGGCGTGGCGGGGCACAGCGTGTGCCTGGGCGAGGACAGGGGAGAGGGCGGAGGCGGCAGCGGGAGGGCGGCTGTGGCGGATTTATAGGCAGCCATGGCCAGCAGAAGAAAGAGAAGGAGAAGGAGCGCGCGCGTCTATGGCCATGCACAGGGCGGGGACCCCGATCGGACGCCGTGGCCATCTCCGTCCGCCCGGGTACTGCTCCCGGCCTTCTCCTTCCTCATGCGCGAACGAGCCGCTTGGTCAACTCCGCGTCGCGGTCACGCTCGGGCCAGCGCGTTCTCAGCCCTCGCCCCGCGTTCTCGCCGTGCCCACGCCCGTCCTCCATTCCTTCCTCTCCCCCTTCCGCCGCGCGCTGCCGAGCACCCATCCTTGCGTTGTTGCGTTTAGACTTTGTGCGCCACCAGGCTGGACCGTCTCATCTGACCCGCACCGCCTGTTCGCGGCCTTCGCGATGCCCTCACCCGTCGCCTAGCACCATCTTATCGCCCCATCGCTCGCTCTCTGCACCAGCACACGAAGCAGACTGCATCCGGAATGGGGCGCAGGAACACCCCGGTACGCGGTATTCCACTCGTTGCTGGATGTTATGCCTCGCCGTGCACGCCCCGTTGCGGCCTTGTCGCACCCCACGACACTGTCAACGGCCAGACGGCCCCAGGTAATGTATCAACGCAACAACGCCCTGCCGTGACCTTGATTCACGCTTCGAACACGAACGCATCCTGCAATCACCACCTATCAGGCAGCACTTGCGAAACCGCGCTTGCGTGCCCGGTGACCCACAGCAGCGCAGCATACATCCCACAAACTGTCATCATATGGCGATCCTGGCAGTAGAACACAACGTGATCCTTTACATCCCTGACATACCACCCCTTCGGCATCGCACGCCGGCCACCCAGATCATGCGTCTGTGGATCCCCGCTGAGAAGCCGCACACCCCATCCCGCCTTTCGCCCTACCAGCGGACCTCGCCTGCTTGCCTCAACAAACACAAAAACAAGCGCGCACGCACCCGATAGGCTCGTGCAAGCCAAACGACCCACGAGGGCACACGCACACGCGAACCGTCGGCGGACATAGTCCGCTCGTTGGCCGCCCAGCGAGCCAATCACCCGCCATGCAGCCCTTGAAGCTTGAAGCTGGAACACTCGCCCGCGACGAGGGCCGAATCGGCTGCGGTGCTCCCAGGACCCATAGCGCTGTGAACTCCGACTCGCGTGCGGCCCGAGCGTCCTGCATCCTGCGTCCTGCGCGATTCAGATTCCGAGGGCAGGCATCATGCATCACAATTCAGATCCAGAGGGCTAGCATCACGCCGGAATCAGAACCTGGCGCGATGCGGCCAGATCGGGATCATCCGCCGGCACAGGACAGTGTGCAAGACAGCAGATGCAGGTGCTGGATGATGCCCCCTGGCTGTGCTACATATCATGACGCCGGTCCCCCCGTCGTGCCCTGGCATTCCGCCATTGGTGCGCGGGAGGCCGCGGGTCCTCGAGCGCTCCCTGCGATCGAGGCCAGGCATCCGACCTCGGGGATCAGGATCAGGACCTGTCCCGCGGAGCGCGGAGGCGGCGCGCGCTCCGCGAACGCGAACAGCGTCTTTGTGGCGTTGTGTGCGTTGTGCAGGCCGCCATATCGCGTTGAGGGGGCGCCGCAGCTGCACGTCTCACTCCGACGCACGACGCCGTGGACGCTGCCATGGATCCTGTGGCGCGGGGCCGGACCGGCGTGCACGGGCATTCAATGAGACACAGTGGAGCAGACGTAGGGAGCTGCAGTATACACGCCGATTTCTGGACGGCTCTCGCGGCTGACCGGGGCCATTTGGGTCCGTGGCCCTGCCAAAGCGCGATAAGCCGCGCTGCAGCGCCGCATAGTTAATAGACACACGCGCGACGTATATAGTGTCCAGCTTCTGTGTCTTCGGTGGAGCAGACGTGGGGGCGGACGCGCGCGCCCACGCAAGGCTTACAATGCACGTCCGTGACTGGGATGTTGGGCGGCGAGTCAGCGAGGGCCCGCGCGCGTGGCCTTCACGTGCGCGTGTGCAGGGCGCGGCGTCTCGCTTCTTCGAATTCGGAGGACACGGTGTCTGCGTTAGAGTGCGGCCCGCCAATCGCGGGGCGGCTGGTGCTGCTGCGCAGGGACTTCTCCGGCACGACGCCTGGGCTTGATCCTCTTGCGTGCGCCGAGGGTTCCGGGGTACTGCGGCCGCCGCACCAAAGCAGAAGAGAAGCGCTGCGTCTGGAGACGTCGCTATAATGAAGCGGGAGATGATACGGACGGAAGAAGCAGATGTGCTCGCGCAGGCTGCCGCGCTCGGAGTACCCGGAGGCATAACATCGCGTCGCTCGCAGGGTGCCGTGTGTCGTGATGTCGAGGGACACCCGGACGAGCATCGCGGTGCAAGGCGGTGCAAGGACGATATGTCCCAGCGCGCGGGGTCCGACATTTAGGGGGGTTGTTGGTACACCAGGACAGACCATGCGGAAGCCGTCGAAGTGCAGACTGGGGCTGCGGCCTGCCGAGCAGCATTCCAAGGTGCGCCTTCGCGAGCCAGAAGAGCACAAACAGGCACGCGGCCAATATGCGGCACCATCGTGCCAAGCGCGAAGACCCGAGGCGACAGTACCCGTTTCTGGGTGTGGGACGCGTCCTGTACTGTGTAAGACGGCTCGTGCACCGCTGACTGCGCAGTGTCGAGGAGCGTGCAGTATATAGGCATCACGGATTTGTATGCGGACGAGTGGCAGGGAAGTGCTGCTGACTGAGCGGGCGTGACAGAGAGAGCGGACGCGCGTGCTGACTGGTGGCTGCGTGTGCGCACGGCGTGGGAGGGGCGGCATGCAGGATGTCCGGTGTGGTCGGTGGCCATCGACGGTGGAAATAGGCTGGCTTGATGCGTTATAATCCGACAGTGTACATGCGCAGCGGAACGCTGTGGTCTTTTGTCGCTAGCACGCGTTCTACGGCGAGAAAGACATAAGAATGCGCGCGACACTCGGGTCACTCCAGAAGTGCTCGGTGATGCGATAAGAGGCTCACCGGATACGCGTGACACACGGGTCGCTTGTCCGCGCTGGTCTACGAAGAGAGGATGTGGGCTCGAGAGGGAAAGGGAACGTGAGTTTCTCGGCGTTGAGGCCGGTTTCCAAGGCATACAGGAAACAGGTCGATAGGTGTGACATCAGCGCCACTGAGAACGCGACATGGCGTACGTGCAAAGAGCAAGCATAGCAGCTATGTGCAACAAGTCCAAAAAGAGTAAGACGCCTTCCAAACACGGATGGGGGCCGCTCCCTCGCCGCATAGGCTCGAAACTTTAGGTCTGGGATCACATTCAAGAAGTGTTCAGCTCTTCGCGAGTGGCTCGCCCGGCGCATCGTAATTACATGCCCATCCTTCCGCCATCAGGAGAGTGATGTTCCCGGCACCATCGAGTCGCCTATGACACCGCCTGCTTCACAAGCCATAGAGTCGGGGATGACTTTGCGCCATGCGTTTCACAGTTGCTGCATTCTGACGTGTTTTCAAAATTCCCTTCATCCAGCGCGGTCTCCTCCGCTATAACGGACGTGACCTGGGAAAAATATCAGCGAGCAGGCTCGGCCCTCGGGAAGACAGGCCTAGGCAGCCTCCGTTGCTGACCGAAACCGAATAGATCTCTGACCTGTATGTGGGGACCGTGTATGGTCCCCTTGCGACAGTGCAGACTTCATGGCGATCGCAATGGAAGGACCGGAAGAGCTCCGTATTGCTCCGGAGACCCGCATGTTTACTCGACTCCGTACGTCTCCTTTGAGGATCAACCATGTTCAATGTTCAACGTTTAACTACGGCGTTTGTAGAGTGTCCGTGATCCGTAGCAAGCCGCAATCCGCTCTAGACCAAGCTATCAATAGTGAGGTGCCAGACCACGCAGAGAGTCGTTGGGATCAGTGTAGTGTGTTTTCCATGTAGCCAACGTCCAAGTCCTGGAAGCAACAACGTGTTGCGGCCTGCTGCGTGAAGTCAGCAAACTTGTAGTCTGGGCTCGAGATGCACGACTCCAAGAGGCTGCAGATCATAAAAGAATCACGAAGTTTAAAAAAAGGCGGCCTATGCACTACACGGGTCCTCTGCTGTTCAATCAAAACCCGGCAGCGGTCGACGAGGGAACGAGTGTAGCGGTCGTGGGGGTAAGCTGAAAACGCATGAGGAGCTACCGCGCGCAGCTGTGTGCGATCTCTATCCACATGAAAAGAATCTGGCCTACAGCACGAGCTCGCTCTAGAGCCTTAAGTTACAGCATCTGCGACCACTGAGGACTTGGAGACAGCCAGAAAGTTGTAGTAGCAGGCCGCAGAGGGCAGTCGCCGTCCCTGAGGCTCATCGCGATCACGTGCGATCAATCGTAAACGCGTCTTGCGCAGTTGCGCTGCCTGTATCAGCCCTTTTCAAGGATTCCGATGGGGTTGATTCAATGACTCCATGGGATAAAATGTGAAGGTTCCATGTCGCTACACTAATCTGAGCGCAGGGTGACTAACGTCCTCATAGTACTAGGCCCCAGGATCGTCCGACTAGGTGAAAGCAGGTCAAGTCGACGTACATGCTCGGTATCAATGCATTGAACACTTTGCCAGCGGAGCGCTCATAGCTCAGTTTGGATGATATGCATGCTGGAAGCCGAACCTATCACCGTTCAGTACTTAAGTGCTCAACAGCTGTCGCGCATATCCCCAGCCCCATGAAATCCTTAGGTTTCTCTTAAACCCAAGGTCAACCATCTTCAACGAGACATGGACGTTGCGCCTGCCGGCGGTGTTCAATGCGAGCGCAACACCTCTTCCATATGGGCAGCTTATATTTACATGCTACGGACTACCGCGATGGACCACGCCAGTCCAAGCACGGCCACATACCAGGAGATATAAAGGCAGCATGAAACACAGAGAGCCGTCAGTAAGCTAAGCTTGCTACTCAAGCTACTTTCGTCCGTCACCTCTCTGCTTCATCTCAACATGCAGTTCCAGTATGCTATCATCCTGTTCACCGTCCTGGCCTCCTCCCTAGGGGTCGCCTCCGCTGATCTCCAGCCCAGTGAGGATGCTTTCATATTCTCAATCCGTGGCCATCACAGCTTACTGAGCCCGTTCAGCTGGTGCTCCGATCGCCTCCGTGGCCCCCAGTGAATCTGCCGTTGATATAGACCTGCCTTGAGGATGCTAATGCTAATAATCACAAGCTGTCAGCCCGGATAACTCCTCCATCTCCATCGGTCTGGGTTTCATTTACTCTTCTCCCTGAGCGCGTATTGTCAGTGTCCCTCACGTTCATTTGGGATATCACTCACCTTTCCTCGCAGCCTGTCTTAGGGTGTGTTGGGATAGCATATGCACATCTCATCTGGGTATCGAATTGAGACGGATGTAGTCGACCTTAGATCTTCACGGAGAGGTTGTACGACACTCAGCGGATCTCTTCACTGGTCGACTATAATACATGCTTATCGGATTATCGACTCTATGCATCTCTTTCTTGCGCGATGTCCAGCGTGAAAGAGAAGTATTGGTATGCGGACTCTTCGCGGCGAGATCGCGTCGAAGAATCGCGATCACGTGCTAACGTGCACCGAAGCGCGGAGCACCGCAACTATCCGACCCGTCACCCTCAGCCCGGCGACTAAAGTACGGACTACCCAGACCGTACCGCCCTCATAGTTCGTATGGCCGTTGGAGACCAAATTTTTGTGCGAATAGATGTATTGTTGCACAACAGCTCTTGTTCAAACAGTGCGACCTGATTTGTTACCGACTCGGTCATTCTCGGTGTCCCTGACCGGCGGTATGCACCAAGGCTTTCAGGGTCTCAACAGGTGTTGTGTCGCTGTGGAGAAGGTCTACTAGTTGATGCGTGCACGGTTTCCTATTACACCATTTGCTGATCAAAGGCCGTAGAGGTTGTGGCGGTCGATCTCGGAGGTCAAAGCGCTCAAGGTGGCGGTGAACGCTGCGCTTTGGCGGAGAGTCGTGTCGGATTCCACTGCCCAACCACGGCTTTTACGAACATGTCTCAAGGTTTATGCACTGTGGCGGTAATCAGCTTGTGCTGCCGTGGTGAGCATCAAGCAGGTCGTCAAAGCTGGCATCGCGAAATGCATATATGCCGTTAGTGTGCAGGAAGATTACTCAGTATCCGTCGCTCTCTTCATCGACATGTCGTCCGCTCGTTACATGAGGTTATCTTTGTCGCTTCCTGTGCTTGAGACACCACCTACGGTATGTGTCCCGGACGTATGCATTGTCTACATGCTCATGCTGACTGTTGTGATCTATAGTCAAATCAAGTTTCAGCCAACGATTCAATTGTCAGTTCCGATGTCCATCCTTCATTTTTCCTCGATTAACTTACCATGTTCAACCACCGTCACGAACAGATGCGTACCGAAGGTGCAAGCGATGCTGGAGGCCCAGGAAATGAAATACTACGTGACCCCGAATTCTGGTTCCCGGATGGTAGCATCGTGTTCGTAGCACAAGGTCATGGATTCAGGGTTTACCAAGGGTTTCTGGCGCAAAAATCCGAGGTATTCAAGGACCTGTTTGACCTCGGAAGTTGTGACAATGCCATATGCATCGACGGCTGCCCCATGGTCGACATGCCCGATTCGGCGGTCGACCTACGCAACATGTTACGTGTATTATTCTATCCGGAGAGGTGAGTCGGCATCCACTACTCGTGTTTTTGTTGCTCATGTATGGATAGATATTGGCCGCACGACCAGCCAGTAGCTTTCGGGATCGTCGCTAGTCTCGTTCGGCTGGGTCACAAATACGAAATTCCCCACCTAAGGAACGTGGGGCTCGTACGTCTCAAGTCCATCTTCCCAGATAGTTCTGCAGCATGGCGTCAAGTGTATCCAGCCGGGAAAACCGACCTCGTGAGGCTTGCAGACCGCCGCGAGGCCATTACCGCTGTCCACCTAGCTCTCCTCACAAACACGCAACGCATGCTTCCCGCTGCGCTCTACCTGTGTTCCCAGCTCCCTGTCGACGTACTCATTGATCCCTGCTCTGGTCCGGATGGCATTCCAGAACCGCTGCCGCCTGCTTTGCTCGTCAAGTGCCTCGAAGCCAAGACATACTTTGCACGCGACTACCCGCGCATGTGCGCCCGCATTCTGGCCGAAAGCTTCCCCGCTCAAGGCCACGATTCTTGCCGCATAGGCAAGGACTGCATGCTTGGCTTCACTGTCAGCGGCGACTTAGCCACAGTGGAACAACTTGAGCGGCATGGCTACGATCATTTTGCCGGATGGAACCAGATGGTTCAATATTCCAGAGATGATTGGCCTGTGGACCGCCGCCTCTGCTATGGCTGCGCATCTACTCTGCTACGGAAGGAGGAAGAGGAGTACTTTGCCGCGTGGAATTCTCTGCCTGCTCGTTTTGGCTTGGAGATTCCCAAATGGATACCGGAAGCGCCATCTCTGGATGATTTTTGGCATATGCATGAAATACCGTTCTCTTTGTAACCTCATGTTATGTACGAACAATGGGCTATCCTCAGCTATATTTATTATACACCGTCGTGCTAGGTAACAGTGAAGCACTGACCAGGCAAAACCTTAAATATTATCCCCTAAGCGTCCGGATATCGATGCAGGAAGCATCCCCGATTCGTAGTTCCGCTGCTGCTCGCTCCATGGCCAAATTCACCATTCTTTTCAGCCGCGGCATATGATTCTTTTCAACTCGTCTCCATTTCTGCAAGTCTTTGTTTTCAGTGAGTTGCTTTTTCGTTCTTCCACTGTCCCTCCTTCACACAGCCACCGCTTCGTCCGACAGGGGTACATTCAATGAGATCTCACTATGACGGACAACATCCCGTTCGTGGTGACTGAGGCTGTATCTAAAATCTACTACAAGGGCTTGCCCCCTCATCGCTACCACCAAACCCGGTCCCTTCGAGTTTCCAACCGGCCCCGAGGCCTACTCTGTTCTCAAAGAGCTGAGGGTTCTGGGTGAACACCCCCTCGCTAGTGCTTGGGACAGCGGTTTAGTCGACGGCCTTCGCCGTGGCCTGAACACGATGGGCGTCAACTGGACTAGTATCGATGCGCTCCGCATTGGCGAAGTCGGAGAGTCCTCCGGCACGGCCATCGTCTGGATTGGCGTCGAGTTCGGGGCGCTTAGCTTCAAGGAGGGCAGCGTCGTCGCCCACAAATGCCGCACGTTCATTGACAGCTACGGTATACACGACTACCACGTCGACATTAGGGAGTATCGTGTTATGAGACAGGCGGGCAATAGGTTCCTCGATCCCGTCCTCCCGTCCGACCCGACGTTTCCGCTCGCGACCCGTACACCGCGACCCTCGGCATCCCGATCTCTGCTAAGGATGGGCCCTGTGCCGAGGGGACAGGCCGCTTCTACCTCAGCGCCGGCGATGACGACGAGAACATCTACCTCGTCACTGCCCGGCACGTAGTCCTCCCTCTCGACAAGGACGACAACAAGGAATACGAGCGCAAGGATGACGGCAAGGCGCGTGCAGACGTAGTCATCCTGGGCACCTCTAGTTTCAACGATAAGCTTGCTGTCATTGACTACGACATCAGGGGTCAAGAGTCTGTGATCATCGATGCGAACGAGAGGATCGATTCGGTTAAGGGCTTGGACGACCCTGGGTCAGTCAGGGAGCGTGAGCAGGCGGTGTGGAACTACATGACGCGGAGCAGGGGCTGAAGGCACTCAGGGCCTTTCGCCACGAGATTGCCACTCACTGGGAGGCGAAGGAGAACCGTGTCTTCGGGGAGCTCGTCTGGGCTCCTCCCATCGTCCTCTCCACCGACCCCGGTCAGTACACCCTGGACATCGCCGTCATCAAAGTCGACGCGGGCATGCTCGACGCCAACAACTATCGCGGCAACGCCATCAATATAGGCGACAAGTACACGCGCCAGCAATTCATGGAACAGGTCTGTCTGCACCCCACCAGCTCCACTTCCTTCAAATTTCCCGCCAACCGTTGCGTGGCGCTCCAAGATCAGGTCCCCGCGAGCGACCTCGTCAAGCCGCCTATGCTCGATGCCAACCGCGAGTCGTGTTTGCTCGTCTTCAAGAACGGCGCCAAGACGGGTACGACCATCGGCCAGGCGAACAACGTTTCATCCTACACCCGCAACTATTTTGGCGGCCAGTACTAGGAGTCGAGGGAGTGGCCTATCATTTCCACCGACAAGCATTCGGGCGCGTTCTCCACCAAAGGGGACTCCGGGTCTTGCGTCGCCGACCTCTTCAGCCGCGTCGGCGGCGTCATCACTGGCGGTTCCGGTGCCACCGATTCCTCTGACGTGACTTACGCCACACCCATCTTTTTTATCATGGAGGTCTCCCACGACACCAAGCGCTTCAAGCACGCCCACCTCAAACCAGTCCTCGCCTAGGAGGGCGCCCGTGACCCGATGGCGATGCTTTGAATGAGACACTCCATCTCTGCCATCTGTCAATGCGGCAATGGGTCGCCCATCACGAAACCTGAGCCGCTAGCATAGCCAGATCAACTTTCAGCCCATTGCATTGACAGTCTGGACGATCCCTACTACAGCTTGGTGCCAGTATTTCCCGCGTACGGGGCCGATCCAATCCTGATGGATGATTTACTCGAATAGCTTTTTTGATGCTCACATCAACGCCCTCGATGCGAGGCAAACTTTTCAGTGCAACTGATAATCAAAGGTTCGGTCCTGTCAAAAATATGAGAAGCCCGAATAGAAAGAGAGCGTTCTGAATACGCTGGTGATTTGGTACTTAATTAGACGCACTTCGCTCAGCATCAGATGAATTAGACAGACTAGACCCATTACAGTTTGGCAAACGTAATGTTCAGATAGCCAGGTGACGTGACTTCTAATAATGAGCGTGCTGCCCGGGGACGCGATGATGGCACTCTGCGCGAGCGCACTAAGGAGGTCTGCTTTATCTCGCATCGCCCTGTTGATGTGCTGAAAACATGACTCATCAAATTGGAGGTAGGTTTTACTCCGTATTTTACTTATTCACAACTGGTATGTTCGAAATGATCACTGCGCCATGCTGTGCGCCCCATCAATCTCAGATTGCAAACTGGCGCCCACTCTCTGAAAGGGGGTTCCTGGCATTTCGTGTTCCACTTGTTCTTGTTCGTTTTCCGCAGACCTAGATATACTAACCTGACACCCTCCCCCCGGTTCAATATGATACTCACTGACGACAAAAGCACAGAAGCACAGCAGAATAGTCACCCGACGGAACAAGCACCACCAGCGTACGAGGAAATCCAGCCAGCCTCCAGCCGAAATCGCCAAAGAACTCCCGTTTCACCTCGAAGCCAAGCCCACGCTGGCCCGTCTAGTTTCTTCGTCAGTAACCCGGAACCTCGTCCTCTACAACACAGTACCTCCTATCCACCAACTTCTCAATATTCTGCTGGATCTTCCAGTTACGCACCGTCCTCGGCCCAGCTCAGTTCTTCATCTGGCAACGCATTATACTTAGGTCTGACCATTAATCAGTTCCCGAGCGCAAATAAACTGTTATTGATATCTCAATTTATTCAGCTCGCAGCCAATATGCTCCTGGACCCGCAGTCTCCATTCTTGACCGACGATTGATACACGGCGAGTGCGTTATCGTGTTGCTGGACCCGCCGCCTCCCTCTTTCCGACGGCCCCCGGCGCCTGAGCTGCCCTACCCATCATTCGAGCCTACTGCACTAATGGGTCTGAGCGGCAACCTCTCTACCGCATTCCCTTTGCTTGCACCGCCATCGACTGCGGATCCGCATCCATTCATCACGCATGACGTGAGTGAGCAAGACTGGACATTTTTTGTGCGGGACGTCAAGGCGGCAGCGTTGCTCGCTCCCTCGAACAGCATGTTCGCGGGCGTCGCGCCTGTCCACATGCGTCTCCCGCCCATCATTAACCTAATTGTCGCCAAGACCCTGGAGCACCACTGGCAGAACAAGCAGAATGGGCCCTCCGGGGAGGTGGTCGAATATTGGAACCATGTATGTTGCGCTTTCGTCTTTCCTTGAAGCATCATTATTTTCTAACTTGTAATCCAGCATTTCTTCCATCCGCGCCGTATGCGTGTTGTGCTCGCACGTGGAGCCGTGAGCTACTCGGGCCCGGACGCACCACCACCTGATAGACGGAGTGCATCTTCGAAAGATGTTCCCACCGATAGTCCTGTGAGCGACAGCGCATCGGGAAGCTACAAGGGAGATAAGCGGTCACACAAGGCTGCCAAGGCCGAGCTCAGGCAACAGAAAAAGCAGCGGGAGAACGAACGATCCGAAGCGGCCAGTGAGAACTGGCGGCTAGTCATCACGTCGTACACTCCTTGACAGAAAAGCATGTAGCCTGGGAGGCATCGAGTGTTTCTCCTTGTTATCATACGTTCCGTGTCATGCATGTTGGATACTCATGCTTGCCAGTATTTCTCTTACTAGGCTCTATTGTGAAGTTCTGAATCAGCGTGGAGATACTTGATACCATCTGGAAACTATGATAGTTGTTTACGGACCGAGCAATGACTGGACAATGACCTTCACGGAATCAAAGTTTTCTCTTTGAGGCTCGTATACTGCTTGCAGTACACGACCAGAGTCATTACAACAAGGTTGTTTATTGGCGTATATCGACGTGCACATCACACTTGCGTATATGCCTACCATCTCATCTCGTCCTAGTGCGGCGCAAACATGATCGTATGTTGTTGGCCAGGAACACCCTACGGCAACACCCCTGCTATTGCCGCCGTTCTTGTTTCATTCGACTTATCTACGACGGACGGTCGAAAATATCGTCAGATGTTCATGAACATCATCTGCTCCCGAAGAGGGCAACCCTTTGAGGGGGGAATAACGCTAGCGCACACTCAGCGTATGAGACAGTGCTCATTCTTCGGACCTCCACGAATGGTGTGATAGCGGATACACTAGTTATGGCAGGCCGCAGGTATGAGGTTCGCCTGAAAAAGCCCACTGCTCCCGTGAGACCACCTCCAAGGGCGACGGCAGTTTGAACGTGTTGTCTCAATGCTTACTCACCGCCAGAGCAGACCGAGAGCAATGTGAGACAACGTGCATAGACGAAGGGCATTGCAGAATATGCTTCGTACACAGTCATCCGTTGAGAAGTTTGCGGATAACAATCATTGCCAGTAGGTCTCAATGAGAGAGTACGGCAAGTGTACGCCAGCCAGGGGATCCGGTCCCTAAGGATGTGCGGGGGATGGGCAAAAGCCTGGAACAGACCATTATTGTCGCAGGTGTCAGTCTATCGTGTATAACCAAATGGTCGACTTACCGATAAATACGAGAAGCTTGATCAGCACAACCTCTGAGAGTACGGACTACCGAGTCACTATGCCGTGCAGTACGTAGGTAGGCGGGTCTAGCTTCGTCGTAGCCCATCTAATTGACGAGTATTCGTTGCACACGCCTAGAAAGCTGTAGTTCCTGGCCACGCCTGTTCTCATCATTTTTAGATGAGCGTTGGTCGCTTGCAGCCACTTACGGAGGCAGCGCGATCGAGGACAGCCGCGCCTCAAGCGCGCGGATTTGAATTAGACGCCGGCTTCAGTTGCGGGTATCACGTGGTTACCGCAAATTCCCGGCGCCCATTCAGAGAATCTATCAACGCCCGCTAGGAGCCTACGACAATCGACATCCTCAAGCTTCCACTATGCCGGTGAGTCTTTCATGCTGCTAGATCGCCGACTGCTCGCTGTACGACCTGTGACTACGCGAAAACCCGGTCAAAATCGGTGAAAAGGGGATGGATTGTTGTTGGACAAGTTGGATGGCGTCTGGCGCGGGCGGATGAGGTTGGGTTGGTTCTCGGAGGGCTGGATGGGTTTCGCAGTGTACCCTCCTCGTTGGAGAGCTTTCGCGCCAGCCTCGGACAGCTGTAATGGCTATACCTTTGTGAGTAAATACTAATGCCAGGTTCTCCGTTCATAGGCACAAGAATCAAACTTCAAGCGCTTCGTCGAGGTTGGCCGGGGTAGGTACAGAGTTCACCGGGGGCGTCGCACGTCACTGACGCGTTTCCTACAGTGGTACTCCTCAAGTCCGGCCCCCAAGCCGGCCACATCGCTGTGATTGCGGAAATCATCGACCACAACCGGGTACGCAGTTGTAGTGTACCTTCGTCTTGACGCGCCAGACGGCTCACTTGTGCACTTCGATTATAGGCAATCATTGACGGCCCCACGACTGGCGTGCCCCGACAGGCATTCCCTTACCGCCACCTCACCCTTACGCCGTTTGTCCTCACCAAGCTCCCGCGCGCCGCAGGCTCAGGGGTTATCCGCAAACAGCTTGAGAAGGAGGCGACTGTTGAGAAGTGGGAGAAGTCTAGCTGGGCGCAGAAGCGCGCCGCCGTCGAGAAGCGACGGTCGCTGAACGACTTCGAGCGCTTCTGCGTTATGGTCGCGAAGAAGGCTCGCCGAGACACTGTGCGCAAGACGCTCCACAAGGCATGAGTGCATTGTTCGGGGTGTGGGCGAGGATGTGGTTGCTGAGGGACCACTGCATGGGATGGGATCAAAACGAGCCGGAACGTGCTCTTGACGGCGACGTCCCTATGTTACACTATTGCATTGTCATTTATGCGCACTACATGAATATGACATGCATACTGCTTTCCTGCTGTATCATTTCTATTAACTGGAATCTTCTATTGCGGAAAGTATGTGCATGTCAGCATCCGGTACTCGTGAGTCCTGCAATTGTGTGGGTAACATCCGACGATTGCGTACAATGTTACGCATGGCCTCGTTTCACCCTCTCGACCTGTCCCTCAGTCTCCAGCTCATGCAGAACCGCCTCTGCCCAAGTATACACGCCGCCTGAATCATATGCAACTCGGAGGCGTTCCTCCGCTTCAGGCCAAGACCATTGCAGTGTATTACTACTGCCTGGTGCTCCATGTAGATGAGTTGTTGCTGCGCTCGAATTAACGAACTCTTCCGAATGATCTTCAGCCTGGAGTGCGCGATGTATCCGCGACGACAGCATGGGCATCCTGGCCAGGACGAACGAACGCATGCGGTCCGCAAATTCTTGCGTCTGCGAAACATCAGCATGAGACACTGTCGTGCAAGCCCATGCGCGGAGCCGAAGGACACTGACATTCCGCACGCCGAGGGCACTTTTCACGCCCCAGACTGTAGCACCAGCGCCAACGCTCACAAGCACCGTGGCTATCCCAAAGGCCTTCGCGCAATACAGCGCGCCGTTGAAGTTGTCCTCCGCGGCCCGAACCTCATGTCCGGCGGTAGACAGGGTGGGCGAGCTTGCGGTGGGCGGCGTGGGTGTAGCTATTCGTGGTGGGGGAATTGCGCTCGAGGAAGCCTTGCGAGGTGGCGGAGGAGCACCAGAAGCCGTCCTACGAGGTGGCGGGGGAACGCTGATAGCTGCCTTCCGAGGAGGCGGCGCGGCAGTCGAAAGCGAACGTCCGGCAGCGGCAGTAGCTCTCTGTCGTTTCAGCAGGACGATTGGCACTGCTAATGCAGCTGTTGTCAATGCAATCTGCCGCAGCGCGGTCAGCGATGGAATGAAAACGCCCCTTCCCAGGACGTACGAGAGAGACCGGCAGCCAGCGCGGAACAGTGCTTTTGGCATCGCTCACGCCAAAGACAGGCTGATACACGCTTGGGGATTGTGCCGAGCTTGTGTTGATTGTAGCTCGTTCCTGTCGTGGATTGGCAGACATTGGCCAATTGCAGAGAGCAAACTTGAAGGATGTAACAGTAGGTACATTCAAAATTGCCGCTTAAATCTCGCTGGAAAACAAGCGACTTCTCGCTGCTTTTGAGCGCCCAAATGTGGCTGAAGGTCGCTGAAAGGTCGCTGAAAGCGTCACAAATGACTAAGCGTGATGCAGCCGTAATTTGATCACGTTCTCGGCTAACCAGCCAATGAGGTTGGCGAATCATGCAAGCGTGACATGGCCGTGAGCCAGAATCAGCGAGCGCTTGCGCCGAGCAGTCGCTTATTTGTCGCTGTTCGAGGAGGGGAGCTCAGATTCTGCTCGCTGCTTTTGGACGCTTAAATGCCGCTTGTTTTCAGGACCCCCGAATATTGGGGAGGAACCATGATCCCATTCCGGACAAATCTGGGCGATTTTGAACCCTGATCCCTGATATTTTCCCGGACAAAACCAGTCTGTCATAACCCTCATCCCTGGTATGATTTCCGGACATACTCCGGCCAATGCTGGAAGCCTGATCCGAAGACGGACAAGCCTGCTCCGCGCTTATGCCTGGCCAGGTTTGAATGTCCGCTGTCATGTGACATGCATGCGGACGATCCCACGATGTCGCGTCATGTCTGAATCGTGCTCGAGGATAATATATTGAATGTTAGCATTTCTGCAACCTGTACATGTCTACTTATAGTATCAAAATGTGGGCTCATTAGCGGCCGGTATTCTAAGTGCCTCTCGTTTGCTCACATTTCGTCAGATTGATTTTTTTGCCATCTATATAGTTCACATCATATAACTACGGATGAGCGCATTCTCAAACTCGACAATGCCACTTTTTCTGAGCACCCCAAGCTGCCTATCTCGTATCACGGCAGTGAAAATGCTTGGTTCTGCGCACAAGAAGACAAAGAAAGTGGCCACCTCTAAGATCATACAGGTCCAGGGGACAAAGGTGCTTGAGCAGAGTTCATATTGCGACGCTACATAGCACAAGTAAGAGTGTCCAGTCTGCATTACAATGTCGGAATCGAAGTCGGGGGCGAAATTGTGCTTCTGGGAACCCTGATCCATCATTTCCAGACAAATCGCTGATTTTCGACACCCTGGTCCAAAAAGATACAAATCCCGGACTTTTGGGCTCAAATCAGGCGGCAGCCTGATTTTTTCCGGACATATCAGGCCGAAAATCGGAAATTTCTGCCGTACAAATCGACCAACTTTTGAGAAATTGGGATCAGGGTTCCCCTATATTCGGGGGTCCTTTGTTTTCCAGTGAGATTTAAGCGGCAATTTTGAACGTACCTAGTCGCTAGAAGTCAGTATATCGGCACATGATGGGACGCGATGAAGCAGATGGCGATGCAGATCTAGTGAAATAAATCGGTATAAATTACACCGTACTATTTTACAGGCAATATACAGGTAGTTTACACTTTTTATAAGGCTATATGATTAGGGGAGTAAAATAAAGGGGGTACTCGCATCCAGCCACCGCTCGGGCCGATGCCTTGTGCTGCTCTTGTGCCTTTTGCGCCACCCCGGGCTGGGAAATGGGAAGAGGTGTGTGCGTCAAGCTTGTCGAGCTCGCGACATACCTACTGGACAACTTCGTAAAGGAAGCAGCTGGGGAACTTGGCCTTGACCTGCTCCTCGACCCACCAGTAAGGGGTGAGGTATGTGATGCCAGTTGCGTCAGTGGCGCCTGAGCCACCAGTGAGGATTCCGACAATGCGACCCCCCCTGCCGAGGACGACTGAACCCAAGTCACCAGCATCGGAAAACTTGCTGTGCGTCTTGTACCTCGATGTCGGGGAAGCCGGCGTCGGTGAGGATGTTCTTGACGGCAGCGGCAACAGCAGCCTCGTAGAGGAGGGAACTGTTAACTTTCGCCTGGGGACGAGACGAGGGGAGTGGGAACGCGGACGCGAGCGAGCAAAATGGGCGGATTGTTACAAACGCGTGGGGGCCAGGTACGGCCCAGGCTCCTTCCCGCCGCTGTGGGAGTTATAGGGGCTCAATCCGACAAATTTGACGCAAGCTAAGTCCTGCAAACCCATCCGCCACACTTGCGCCACAATCCGGCTACATCCGAGGCAAGATCAAGCTCCGAATCCCAACCTTAAACCCCCATAACTCCCTACAGCGGCTGGCACAAAACATCTACAAACAGCGGAGGAGCGGCGCATGTCACCTAGATTAGGAAGGCAGGATACTGGCCCATCATTACATAATCGTTACGGTCCCGTGTATTACAGTAGCATTTATGTGTCCCAGTGTCGAGTCTCATCGTCCTCGGTGCAACTTTGTGACCATGGCCTTCACCCCTCTAATAAAAAATTTATACCTGACTTTGACACAGATGCGCGCATCCCTGCCGAGGTTAATTTTCGTCCTTCTGACTGGTGAAGGCCTCATGCAACATCCCTTCGTTGAATAACCCATCCTCGGCCTGGCTGGCACTTCAAGTTCAGCACTCTCCATGCACCTGCGACCCAGGTTCTCGACTTTTGCACTGATAATGTGGCTTCCAAGATGCAAAGTGTTGCGAACAATGGGCTTTCTGCGCGTCGTTGTTACATTCACTCATGGGGGTTGCGATGACCTCAATTGACGAAATTGAAATGTTTGGATGTCAATTATCATTTCCGGGAATCAATCCTGCCTCGTATGGGAGGTGCGGCGCCGGTCCTCCGCTGTTTGTAGATGTTTTGTGCCAGCCGCTGTAGGGAGTTATAGGGGATTAAGGTTCAAATGGGATGTCACATGATATGCACGTGATGGGATGGCACATGATCTGTGGTAAGACTTCTATTCTCGGATACACAAGATAAAACATTGAGTACGCTATTCGGATGAAGTCCCCTATAACTCCCACAGCGGCGGGAAGGAGCCTGGGTACGGCCACGCTACGGTACAAGTACTCTACAGGATCGATGTAGTTTACTTGGCAATCGTGCTATGATCATTCTCCCGGCTAGGCACAGGGGCGTCGGGTCGGCCCGCTCGACACCGCAGGCCCCAAAATCTAACAGGAACCGGGATTCACACCGACGCATATGATGAGGGGGCAGAACGGCTTGGGCTCGCCAGCATTAGCGTAGGCGAGGGGATTGACGGACATTCACATTATGCCAACAGACTCGAGCTCGTCGCAAATGCGCGTGCCGATAGAGACCCAAGTAGGCTGGATAGCGTGAGCGTGAACCGGGCGAGGCTCACGGACGATGCGCTGCCCCTTGCATACGGGCCAGTCAGGGCCAGACTTGTAGACGCAGGGAGTCCCAGAACCATAGAAGTCGCTATAAGCGTTTGAGTACTTCTCGGTGAGGCAGGTCGCATTGGAGACGACGTCGTCTCTAGGCATATTCTTGATATCTCCCGAGAGCGATAGTTTGTGGTAAGAGGAGGGAGTGGAAGAGACGAGCGTCTCGGCGGTGGAGAGAGGAGTCAGGTTGTCGACATGCTTATGTCCAGTCTCGCCGCGACATTCCACAGCATTTCTGCTGGAACCGACTGGTCGTTAACATTGATCAGCTTTTCAGGTCACCTTTGTTGTTATAGACATTTATCAAAGACTTGCGCTGTGCGCGCAGTAACCTCGGGATGTCAGCTACTCAAGACCAGTCTGATGCAGAGCTGGAAAGCTTTCGCACCGCGTTAGCGTCATTCGCATTCGTCTCGCCAGCAGGGCCAAGGCGTTCTCCACGTAACCGTAATACGCCTGAAACTTTGAATGTGTCCGAAGACAAAGACGTCCTTCCGGTGTTCTCCGAATCTACCTTATATGTTCCAGCACGCAAGAAAGTGGCGGCAGCGTTAAAGCCGAGAGCTGGCAAACAGACCGTCAAGGAGGAGATTATAGGTGACTTGATACCACAGGAGGCCAAGGCCCTGATCAAGACGATAGGAAAGCGCGGATATGCGCCGCCTGAAACGTATGCTCATCTTGAGCCGCTTGAAGACCATCTGAAGGAAGAACTAGACAGTACGACTTCTCTTACTACTTTACATTTATCTGAACGTTATGGCTGACAAGGCCTTATGGATTAAAAAAAGTCATGTTCTGCGGGATCAAGTGGGTGACCTTTTCAGCTACCCAACCAGTGTCGTCTCACATACTGGTTCTTGTGCTCGGAACGTAGTCCTGGGGTGACTTCCGCTCGAATTGGACACCATTTCGGCCACAGGTCGAATCACTTCTGGAGATGTCTTCACAGATCGAGTAAGATTACAAATTGTTACCACTGTATACCGCGCAGGCGATGAGCCGTTATTCGCAGATCTCACCCCTGCAAACGAATGTCTAGATCCTAGCGAGGATCATACACTGCCGGAGCGGTTCAATTTGGGCTTAGTGAGTGCCCTACAAAGTATTTGACCGTCTAACACCATCTGACATGCGTATCTTAGACTAACCTCGTCCATAGACCGAGTGCCGAGGTATGTAAAACATCCCCAGAGGGGCATTATCATGTAACGGCTCCTCAGGCAGGAGAACTCAACACAAACGAGTTCACCGCAGGTGTACCTGAGCTTCTAGAAAAGATAGCCCGTCTCCGGCCGCGCATCGTTTGCTTCGTCGGTAAAGGCATCTGGGATGCCTTCGACCGCACCGCACGCATCCAGATCGCCCAGGCGAGCAGCCCAACGGCGGCACCAGCGCTATCCACGCCTCAGGTGTCCGAAGGTGGTCGAACGTTACCACAGAAGAGAGAGCGCGTGTCGGGAGTCGCACGTAATCGCAAGAGGGCCACGACAAAGTCAGAATTCGCTTGGGACATTCAACGATACAAAGTCGTGCATTCAGCTGAATGTACGTGATGCAGGCCGCATATCCCGCTCACGGCCACTTCGCTTACTGCATGACGGCATAGCTGGCGGCACCGTGCGTGAAACCCTGTTCTTTGTGCTACCCAGCACCTCAGGGCGAGTTGTCAGCCATCAGGTAAGCGAGATCTGCGATTCGCCTTCGGGCCGATGCTCAAAGTGATTTTCGAGCTCAACGACAAGGTCGAGCTATGCAAAGTACTTAAACAGCGTCTGGAAGACCTGAAGGCTGGGATGTTTGACTCCACATTACTATCGGTCATTCCTGTACCGGCAGCTGCTCAAGATGTCAGATAGTCTATGATACTGGAAGCCCCTGGGGTGATTCTGATATATTTGAGGTCGAATGTGTACGCTATCATTGCACAGACAGTTGATATTCCAAGAAGACAGCGTTACGGGATATACGACATATTATACTGATCTAATGATACATTTGAGGTGGAAAGAGCAATACTACAACAAGAAGCAGCGAAAGCACAAGTCAATGCAATGATATCAGCAGTCTACTCCTCCATCTCGTCCCCGCTCTCTTCCTCACTATCGCTCTCTTCACCCTCCGCAACATCCAAGGATTCAAGATCGATATCATGATCCGCCCCATTATACGAGTCGCAGATAACGTACATCTTGAGGGCGTGCGTACCCTGTGGAAGAGAGAACTCGAGCCGTACAGAGAGACTGCGGTGCACAGTAACACGCTTGATAGCAAGCAGCTGGCGGGTCTTCGGTTCGCCGATGACCAGCCACCAGTTAGCCAGCTTCTTGAGCGGATAGAAGGGTGCGACAACGATCTCGTCATCATCGCCTTCGGTCTCCTCGTCTGCGTCTCGGCTCAATGATACCTGTATGGTGATCGGTGCCCCTGCCGTGTACTCGCCCTTCGCCAACTCGTAGTTCACGTCAAGTGTGGGGTAAGAGTTAACGAATGTCGCAACGTCACGCCTACCAAGGGAAATAAGCGCATGTTAGTGAGACATAGACATGCAACGTACATCTGGCGACCATCCATCTTCAATAGGGCATTGCGCTTATCGTCCTCCATTTCCATGATGTCGTATACAGACTCAATACCCGCTTCCTTGCAACGTTGCATGACCTACATAGAAATAGAGTCAGACTCAGGTAACGTAACTGTAGTCGGCGAAAAACATACATCGGGCTCGAAGTGTGGGATCTGCTTGAGTGGCGAATCCGTGTCCCAACATGCCTGCACACACATTTGCGACAGATCCATGGCGCCGAGTGCATTCAGCCATGCGTTCGATGACATAACATCCACACACGCCGACAGGAGGTTAAGAACCTTCTCCAGCACAAGCACCTGGTCTGCGGCGAGATCGGGCGGAAGCTGCAGACGCGAGAAGTGTGCTTGCAGGAGCAAGAACGTCTTGAAATGAGGCGCCTCGAAGTCAGGACGGTCCAACTTGACAGGTACACGATCGTAGATGCGCCGTAATAAGACATCCTCGTGCCGGCGGATGGGTATTGTTTCGAACTCGGCGGACGAAGATACGACCTCCAGGAGACCCTTGAGCTTGGTTCGCTCTTTGAGAGATAACGTATACACCTCGACGGTGACATCTAGACATTCAGTCGTTCGTTAGAGGTGTAGCCGTTTACAAGGGTATGCAATACTTACACGAGATGTTATAGTACGCTGCAATCATGCCCAGATTGAGGGGTGAGATATCCATCTCGTCTTCTACGATGGAGTTAGTCAAGGCTCCGCAATGAGAACCACGCACTTACCGATCGCGATACATTTTGAGTTGACCAGGTCGTTCAATGTGTTCTCAACCAACTCTGATAGATGATCAGATAGGTGTTGGTGGCTGACATTATGGAGGTTATAGTAGTTGGGATTTTGTGTCATGCGCCGGTAGAAGTAAGTCCAGGTCAGAATGTCCTAGAGCCGAGTTAGCTCGATGTACAAGTTGAGAAGACGTAGTAATCACCATTGCGTCCTGTTTGTTCTCAATCGTCTTGACAGCAATCTCGGCGAGGAAGTAGTCATGCAGCATGTGCGTCGGAAGGTGCGATTCTATGGGCAAACCCTCCGCAAGGAATTTCTTGTAAAAGTCCTTCCTCGTTTGCTGACACATGAGGATGCATCGACTCTTGTCGTCTTCCGTTGGACGGCAGGCCCGGCCCATCATTTGAAGGACATCCATGACAGGATAATCGACATAGCGATGTTCCTTCCCTTCATAGGACTGGACGCCCATGATGATGACCATGTAACTAGCAACTGGTAGACTCCATGCCGTGTCCTAATTTAGAAAGGTGAGTAATGGAACGTTTCCAGAATAAAAGCAACTCTTGCCTTCGATGCGATGAGCACTTGGATAGCACCGGATTGGAACAACCGCTCTACGATGCGCTTGTCCTGCTTGTTGAGCGCCTCGTGGTAGTAACCGATACCATGCTTCAGGATCTCCGCGAGACCGCTGTCAGTGACGTGGTCGAGATGTGGCTGAAGGTCGGCTTCATCAATGTTGAGGAATCGATTGTTGTCATCGTCGGCACCGCAATGCGTGAGGATATCGTCAGCAGTCAAGCGACATTGACGTCGAGACGGCACAAAAATGATGATAGGCTTCGTAGGAGAGTGCTCAATTATGGCCAAGTATGCGGGCTTCGACATTGCGATCATAAGGGATGGGAAGTGTGGGATATTGAAGCTCTGTAGATGTATGTCCATGTCGAGTGGGCGGGCGCTGCAAGCGCAACTCAGTAACAATGCTCCATGTCCAACAGCGGACTAGATTACTCACCTAGGGGGAAAATTGAAAATCGCATGGGACGGAGCGCCCATCCACTCGCCAAGGTCTCTCGCGTTAGCGAGGGAGACGCTACATGCAACAATTCGAGTCTTGAGCTCCGTCTGCGCTGAGACATACCGCGTACGAGAAATCACAACCTCGTACGTGGGGCCGACCTCGCCACCCACAAGCTGGATCTCATCTGCAATGAGCAAACCAATTGTCTGCACATTTTTACGCTGACGCCATCTTCTCGACAGGACGTCCCACTACATGATACGTAAGCCCGATAAGATGCAGCAAGGCGGTATTCACTTACCTGCATCGGTGTACAAACGATGAGGTCTCCCTTCTCCAGGAGCCGCAAGTCGGCACTGGTCTCTCCAGTCAAACTGACAATTTCCTTCCCACCTTGGAGGTTGCTGAACTTCGCACGCCATTCCGCCACACGCAGGTCGACCATTTCTTGATACGGCTCAATACAAATAGCTCGCTGTTGGTCACGCTTACTCCACAATCTAAGTAGAGCAAACTCGGCACAGATCGTCTTGCCGCTACCGGTGGGAGCACCCACGAAGACGTTCTCGTCGGTAGTGTAGAGCGCTTGGAATACCTGCGTTTGAATCTTGTTAAACGTGCGAATAGTCGATGAATAGATGCTCTCGAACTCCTTGTTGTGCAGAGCAGATAGGGGGAGAGGCTGCAGGTCCAGGAGAGGAGTCGGTGGGGGGAATTTCTCTGGCAGAATGAGATGCTTGAACGAGATCGGCAACCGAGTCTCCGCGTGAAGCCAACGGTCCGAGACGATCGAAATGTAGTAGTTCGGAGGAACTGGCTCGAACATGGGGACCGTCAGTGTGACGTTGTGTTCGTCTTCGGCGTAGCGCTGCCGGAGCATGAAGGTATCGTGGAAGAGAATGATCTCCCCATCGACATCCTCCACCATAATCCAGAACGACTCGGCAGTACCGTGAATCTTCTCGTCCCAGCGGAAGTCAGGGATGATAGTGAGGTCGATACGAAGAAGACTCCGCGTGATGGGCTGAACCTGAGCTTGCAACCTACAACGACGTATTAGTCTCTGGTAGGCAACAGATCAGGATAGTCTACAACGCACTGTAGCTTCGGGAAGCTGTGAACAAGACGGTGCACCAGTCTCCCCGCATTTTGAATGCCGATCAGCTCACCGATTTCAGGAGGACTCTGGATGCGACAGGCGTTAGCAAAAGCACTCCGCGTACTCATCGCGGGACATACTAGGTCAAAGTAACGATACCAGGGCTACGGATACGACGATGTCAGGCAAATGTTGATACGTTGGTGCTGAAAGACTTACGAATTGTTTTCCTTCTGCCTTGCGAATGATCTCTGGTGGCACACCTTTGAACTGTCGCAAGGGCGTCATAGACCCCCACCTGATGAAGCATAAGTCGAGTGAAACAAATCGAGAATACTTCAAACTACTTACATTCGGCGCTCGACCATCTTGCAGAGATCAAGGGCGGCCTTTGCGGGAACTGCCCATCCCCGCTTCAAGCAGATCTCGAACATGGCTCGCAGGATACTACATGATGGTATAAACACAAACTTTCTAACTAAAAACTTGGAATGATCACTCACCGGCCGGCGGATTGTTGGACGTAGACCATATCGGCGACAAGGGCGAAGCCTAAATGAAGATGATCAGCTTTGCACGAGGAGCCTTAGACGACTGTGCGCGTACCTTCTAATTTCAGCTGCGAGATGAATGCTTGAAGAAGGACGTTGATCTTTGCCGCAGGTTCTTCGACACTCTCCTTTACGGGAATGGGTACACGCTCGAGTAGTTTTCCCAGCTCCAATTTTTCCTGGGGGGGCAATGAATGGACGCAACGATTTTATAAAGTGGTTACTTACATCCTGACGGACTGGCAAGAGCTTAAACTCTTGAGACAAGGCGAAAACTCGGAACAGTTCGATCGTGGTCATCGTGGGCCGAAGGTGCTGATTGTATGTTGCCATCGAGTTATACGAAACGTAATAATGAGAGGCAATACGGCCAAGTTCGGTACTCTGGAACCGTCCCGACGCGCGCTCATACTTGACCAGGAAGCACTTCTCGAGAAGGACAGCCGCTGTGTGAACGATATCCGCACGCTTTTGTACCAGTGCAGGGTCGTCTTCGAGATAGTCATGACCGACACTGTACAATGCGGGGTCTTTGAGCATTCGGACATACCTAGGTGGAAAGTAAGCATTTAGATGGGTTGAAGGAGATACAAGAAAACTCACAAATAAGTATAGCCAAGCCATTGAACAGCTTCGTCTCGATTTCGGATGGTACCCAACACAATCTCCGCGTTCAGGTTATCTGCCAGCTTCGCCACGAACTGCGATTCGATCGGCAGCTGCTGATTCATCAAGCTGAGGTAGTACTGCAGCTCGGAGTGATTCGTGATGATGATACCTTCTCCAAAGGTATCGTACTGCGGACGACCAGCACGACCAAGCATCTGCAATACGTCCTGCGACGACAGCTCTACCCATCGACCTTTCTCTGGGTTATAGATCTGAGTACCCTTTATGATGACGGTGTGTGCGGGTAAATTGACACCCCAGGCCAGTGTAGCGGTACAGACCAGGACTTGCAGATGGCCGTCCGCGAAGAGTTCCTCAACCAAGCCCCGGTCCTCTCTCGACATTCCAGCATGATGGATACCAAACCCGAATTGAAGGAGATCCTTCAGGTTCGTGTCCTTCACATTGCTGGATTCCTCGAGCAGGATCTCTCGCGTGGCACCTTCAGGCTTGACAAACTGAGTGATCGTCTCCCTTTCGATTGCCATGTCGCGAATGAATTTCGCAGTCTTCGCAGTCTCCTTGCGAGAATGGACGAAGACGAGGGTCTGGTTCTTGCCAGCCTGGTCGAGCACCTTCTCATAGCACACTTCATTCATTACTTGATACCGTTTGATCGCTTTCTTTTCGGTGACACCAATGAACTGCTGCTGGAGAGCGCATGGCCGATACGACGCGTCGAAATAGAAGAGGCCCTTGGCAGGGTCAACCCGGAGGAAAGTTGCTACGTCCTGATAGTTTGGCAGCGTTGCAGACAGACCAACGAGACGGACATACTCAGAAGTCTGCTCCATGCGCCGTATTGTTCGCGCAATGATGCTTTCGAGAACTGGTCCACGCTCGTCGTGTAGCAAATGGATCTCGTCGATAATGATGAGGCGCACGAGGTTTGTGTAGCTGGTGTCGGTGCTCTTCCGCGTGATGACATCGTATTTTTCCGGCGTCGTGACGATGATCTGCGTCTCCGCGATCTGCTGCTTCGTCATTTGTGCATCTCCAGTCAGTTCACCAACTTTGACGCCGTAAGCGCCTAGCCGAGAACTAAAGTTGCCGACCATCTCCTGGACGAGGGCTTTCATAGGGGCGACGTAGATGATCTTGAAGGAGTCTAGGTCGAATTCGCCCGTCTCCTCGTGGCGCCACTTGCCAAGCTCATTCAGGATAGTCAACATAGCGACGTTAGTCTAAGAAATTGCGTTAATCGGTGTATATTAGCTGAAGGGGGGTTGTATGCGCATACCTTGCCGGCACCTGTTGGTGCACACAAGAGGATAGGCTCGTCTGTGCCGAAGGCAACGGGGTACAGCTTGCTCTGAATGCGGTTGAGAGTCTTCATGCCCTTGAAGCCCTCCTGCGCCCACACCGGGATGTTGGAAATCGGGACAAATTCATCCGCTTGAGTGGGCTTTTGCTTCGGGGCAGGCACATGGATCTCCTCGTAGCCCTTCTTCGCGCGTTTGAACGAGCCTTCTGGTAGCTTGCACTTCTTGTTTGACATCAAGTGTCCGCCCTGACTAAAAGCCATGCCCTCGAGATCGACGGTAGCCTTTGGCTGCACGGTCGAGCCAGGAGCGAGCGTCGCCCGCTTAGGGACGTCCACTTGAGGCTTCTCGTCCACGTCCATGGCGTCTGAGCGCGCCTTCGCCTTGCGGTCTCCCGCGAGCTCGCGGAGAATCCACCCGAGCCCCTTCTCTCGCATCGCAACCTCGACGTTGACGCGCTCGTCCGCGTCGCTACGCATGAGCTTCGTGCACCATACGATAACGTCTCGGTTTTTGAGGAACTTCGTGATGACATGGAAGCTCTGGTACTCAAAGAGCTCCATAAGCTCGTTCTCGCAATCACGAAGATTCGACTCGGAGCCAAGGATGGACAAAACGGCGGCGGCCTTGTCGGCGGCTGTAACAGGGTCAGGGTAAATTTCAGATATCTGCCGTTGCACCCAGAAGCCGTCGATAGAGTGTGGTGAGACGATATCCTTGTCAACTTGTGTCTTCCCTTGCTGAGCTGCTGAGCTGCCGCCGATGACAAGTTCGTCGTCGCCCTCAAGCGATTCTGGCGGTGCCCCTGCCTGCTCAGGCTCCTCGTTCTCCTCGTCCGACTCCTCTCTGATCTCGAAGCCCTCCTCCTCCTCCTCTTCTTCCTCCTCCTCGTCGAATACGACTGCTACGCCCATTTCGTCGTCAATCTCGGCGTCTTTCCGCTCCATGTCTGGGTCGACCATAGTCTCGTCCTCCGCACCGTAGTCGGTGACTTTCTTTGACAAGTTAAGCAGCTGCGAAAACTGCTCGTTCGATACGGGCCCGACGACCTCCTCAACCTCCTTCTTCTTGTCGAAGTCCTTCATGCTCTCGTTTTTCAACGTCTCGAGTACGCTGTCGGCTGCACTGCGAACAACGTCCTGCGCCTGGTCGCCCAGAGCTTGGTGTACACTGGAGAGAATGAGCTCGTATACTTCTCTAGTCTCCGCCGTCCGTGGGCGGTACGTAAGCCCCTCGACGTCTTGAGTAGCTTCAATGATGTCGGTGTAGCCAAACCCTGTGGTCTCAGCTGCTCGTCGCTTCGGAGCCTTTTCTGCGGTGTCCTGTTTGTCCGCAGCCTTCTTTTTCTTTTTCTCGACATCCTTGGGTGCTTCCCGCTGTACGCGAGAGCCCATTTCGCGCGGGTCGATGCGACCAGCGAGCGACGTCGGTGCGCCATCCGGTTCCTTGTCGCGGCGAGGGAGGGCAGAGCGATCCGCCGTCAGTACCAGCGACGAGATGGCCGCATAGTTGTAGCCAGACAGATCGCGCTTTGCAGACATAATGGAAGGAGGTGGTCGCCGTCGAGAGCCACGACGAGCTGAGGATTTACTAATTACGGTAGCGGTGATAACTCTCTTATCCACACTTTATTTCATATATAGCATAGCATACAATATATTCAGTGTGTTGCGTATTTTAACTGGATACGTGTAAGGGATACTTATCTTTGGGAACAGAGATCATTCTTACAGCTTTCACTGAATCGAAGGATTGACCTTTTGGTCAAAAGCTCAAATAAAGAGTGAATGCGCCTATTTGATCTTACCGATGGGACACTTTATGAATGGACCACAGAATTGAAAGAAACGATGAGAGATTGATTACAAAATCAGCCTGTTTCAACCTTTATTCCATCTTTCTTCCATATTCAGCCCAAAAATACCGATTGGGTGAATTCACTTTTCCTTCACCCTCTTGAACAGAACACAAATATCAACTCTTGCAGTAAACAGTATACGGTAACCCAAGTGTTAAGCATAAAAATTTGGCTTGGCGGTGCCGACGGGGGTAGAGAGCTCACGCTGATCCTCACCTGAGAACGGCAGCGGTCTTTTTGTGTACTACGACCGTGCCAAGCGAGCCTTGCCCTTGAGTCGTTATGACGCATTTCCCAGAACCGCTCAGCACATTTGCATCATATTCCCACTAGGAAAAGGCTGGAAATGATACCCGTTTGCGACGATATACCCTGCGTATATTTGTGTTAATAATGTATCTTCACCTATTTGGAACGCTTCTTACGGTGTGATTTTCTATGTCACAAGACACTACTTATCAAAGTAAGTACTAGTATAACATAGCTCCTATAAACCCGGCATAATAAGGCCTTATCGGACACAAATGAGGTCATAATACGAGTACCGCCTGTACACGTCGCCGCCAAGTCGCCCTCTTCCTCTAATCTATATCATGAAGTTGAAGGAAGTACACAGAACGTCGACCTTCGCGTGGTCGCCGTCGCCGTCGCTGCCATTGTTGGCGACGGGCACCGTTGCGGGCGCGCTGGACGAATCCTTCAGCAACAACGGCCAACTGGAAGTGTGGGCTCCGGACTTCTTGGACAAGAATCAATATGACCTCGGAGGCGATGGTCAGGCGGGGCCAAAAGCCTCCGTTACGACTACTTCTAGGTATATTCGCAGCATTACTGAACATCTAGTAGCTCATGAACTTCTGCAGGTTCAATCGGCTCGCATGGGGCTATGCAGATGGCGCGCGGGCGCGCGGGGTACTGGTTGCTGGCATGGAGAACGGGGAGCTAGACATATGGGACCCCTCTAAGATACTAGCCAGTGCAGAGTGAGTGGTTTGAACCGTCATGACACGTCTGTGCGTCGGTAACACGCATTGTCAGCCCTACTGAGTCCCTGATCCTGCGAAACAAGACGCACACAGGCCCAATTCGCGGCCTCGACTTTAATCCCATCCAAACAAACCTCTTCGCGTCGGGGGCGGTGAACGGCGAGGTACGCGTGCTGTGTATCCAGAAATATACCCTACTAAAGAGCTGCAGATCTATATCTGGGACTTGAAAGACCCGAGCAAACCCTACTCGCCAGGAACACGCAGTACAAAGCTCGATGAGATCACAGCTCTTGCGTGGAACCACCATGTTCAGTATGCGCTAGCTGCGTCCAGCAGTACTGGCTATACGGTTGTATGGGATCTCCGAGGCAAGCGAGAAGTTGCCGCGCTCGCATATGGAGGTGGTGCTGGAACCCTGGCGGGCGGCATACAAGGGCTTGGTGCTAGTGGTATGGCCATGGGAGGGCGAAGAGGCATGAGTGACGTTGCTTGGCATCCTGACAATGTCAGTTTATGTTGACATCTGCAGCTTAACACGCTCTTACCTACCCATATTTTGCTAGGCGACGCGACTTGTCACATCTTCTGAGGATGATACCTCCCCCGTGATCATGGTATGGGATCTGCGCAACGCTCGAGCGCCAGAGAAGGTACGCAGATTAGTCCCAAATTCTCAATGATAATGATTGACTTATTGTGTAGATCCTCACCGGGCACGAGAAAGGCGTCCTGTCCTTGTCGTGGTGCAAACAAGACCCTGATTTGTTGCTCTCGTGCGGTAAGGACAACCGGGCTTTATGTTGGAACCCGCAGACTTCGGAGATCATAGGCGAGGTAAATGATCACGGCCTGGGTAGTCCGCACGTACTAACTGACTTGAAAAGCTGCCCTCCGCAGATAACTGGGCATTCCAGGTCCAGTGGTGCCCCCGGAATCCAGACCTTTTCGCGACGGCATTCTTTGACGGCACAATTGGCATTCACTCGGTTCAATCTACCAATGAATCGAGCGAATCGGCGCCCGCTGCGTCACAACCTGACGCCGCCGACATCTTTGGTGCACCGGGCTTCTCCCGCGCTTCACAGGCAACGCTTTCGCTCAAGCATCCGCCGAAATGGCTTCGCCGGCCAGTTTCGAGTTCATTCGGCTACGGCGGCAAGCTTGCCAGTGTCTCAAACCTACCTTCTGCTCAGGGCAAAACGCAGAGCAGTGTCGTTCATATCCGCAAGGTGGTCACAGAGACTGCCGTCGTGGAACGTGCGGCGAAGCTGCAGTCGGCGGTCGAAGACGAAACGTTGAGCAACTTTACCAAGGAGAAGAGCGACCTAGAGAATCACAAGCCCGCTGAGATCTCTGCAAGCTGGAAAGCTCTTCTCAGCCTGTTCAAGGCCAATTCGCGTGACGAGCTCATCACACTTCTTGGTTTCTCGAAAGACGAAATCGCGGCGCGTGTCGCAGAGGCGGTAGCAAACCTCACAGCAGCTTCCGAGAGGGCTGTGTCGCCTATAGAGGATGATGTCACAGAGACTGAGTCCAAAGCGCCTGTGGTATCCTTCGCAGAGCCAGAAAGCGAAGCGCGCTCCGACAGTGAAGAGGCGGGTGTAGAAGGTGACGAGACTCTGGACGCCAGTGGCACAGCGGTGGAAGCTACCCCTTCCGAGATCAGCGTGGATGCGACTTCAGACAATACTAATGCGCCCCTTGCGGATGGCGAGTCCACAACCACGGCCCCTAGTCTGTTCGGCGATGAGTTAATTGGCACGCCTCAAATGGATGCAGCTGCGGACTTCTTTGGCAGCATTGGCACTGTGAGGGAAGCTGACGACCATATTCCCATTCCTCATACCAACTATCCGCTTGATTCTTCCGTGGCCGCAACAATTGGTTCGACGGCATCTTCGGTCGCGTCGGAGGTGCTCAAGAGCAACACGTTCAGGATCTACCCTAATGACGAGTCGGAGATAGATAGGCTCGTCACAAAGGCGCTAGTCCTTGGTGACTTCGGATCGGCGGTGTCGTTGTGTCTTTCGACCTCCCGGTTCGCCGACGCGATTCTGTTGGCGGCCAGGGGTGGTCCTGAGCTCCTGCAGCGAACCCAAAAAGCATACTTCGAGCGTCAGACAAATGCACTGCCCTACCTCCGCCTCTTCCAGTCCATTGTCACCAACGATCTCGAGGATATTGTGCAAAACGCTGACTTGCAAGAATGGCAGGAGATCTTTGTCGTTTTATGCACGTTCTCCAGCCAGGAAGAGTTCTCTGGTCTAACTGAGCAGCTGGGCCAGCGTCTCGAGTTCCAGGCCAGCATCATCAAGGCGTCCGAAGCACTGGGTACCGAACCAAAGGCTGCTGAGTACAGAAGAAACGCTACTCTTACCTACCTCGCTGCCGGTCGCCTGGAACGACTGGTGAATATCTGGATCGAGGATCTGACTGAGGAAGAGAAGGCATTAACGGTAGACGAGAGCCTCAACGGATCTCGATACACAGCGCACGCCCTTGCTTTGCAGACATTCATTGAAAAGGTAACCGTCTTCCGTGGCGCGATTCACTACGAGGACGTGGACCTCACTCTGAAGACGCCTGGCGAGGAGCTTGATGCAAGAACGTACAAACTCTCCGCACTTTATGATCGGTATCTGGAGTACGCCGATCTTCTCGCTGCACAGGGACTCGTGAAGGAAGCACTCGTCTACCTGAAGCTTACCCCAGAAGGTTACAACGGGTCTCTAGGTTCGTCCTTGAATTTCAAGGTTGGTAGAGATCGCCTCTCGAAGGCGGCAGCTTCCGGAGCTTTGCCACAGAGGACCGTGTCCTTACCAGCGGTCTCATCGAAAGCGGCAGTTACCTCATCAAGTTCTGCCTACGGTTACGCAACATATAACGCACCAGTCCAACAGCCGGTCGTTCCTCAGGTGCCTGTGTCGACTTCCGCGTACGCGTCGTACAATCCTCCTGCAGTTCCTTCACAGTCGACGAATCCCTACTTCCCCGCCCAGCCCGTTGCACCGTCTCACTATCAATCTACGGCGCCCATGTCGTACAACCACAACCCCTACTCTCGCCCGGCATCACAGCCTCAGCACGCCGCAATACATCCGGGGCCTCAGCAGACGAACTCCCTTCCTCCCCCACCGCGTGGTATGAGCGGCACCCCCGGTGCTCCGCCTCCGCCTCCACCTAAGCGCGATAATGGTGGTTGGAATGATGCACCTTCCCTCGCCCAGCGACGTAATAATGCAGGTAGTGTGAGTAGGCCGGCAGCGATCATCTCCCCGTTTCCCAACGCCCCGGCATCGCCTAGTGTTCCGTCCACTCCGTTCTCAGGTCATGGGCAACCGCCCCCGACACTGCCTCCGCCGCCTCGTCCCGGCAGCGTGCAGTCCCTCCCGCCACCTCCACCGCAGGGTCAGCGTTTGCCACCTCCGCCCCCCCAGGGAGGCGGAAGGCCGTACCCGACTCGTCCACCATCTGGACCTCCTGGAACTCAGCCTATGATGGCTCCCCCCGGCCGTGTCATGATCTCTCCGCCGCCTGCTCCCGGTATGGCTAGGGCGCCTCCGCCGTCCATGGTTAACACGTACGCTCCGCCTCCTGGACCTCTGTCTGGTCAGACTCCGCCGCAGGCGCATATGCATTTGCCACCCGCGCCCGGTGTTCCTGTCCCTGGACCGTCGGGGCCGTATGCACATGCGACGCCGCCTCCGCAGGGCCCGCCTATCGCCCAGGGACCTCCTCCCTTTGCTCGGCCACCCCCACAGAATCAGCAACCGCAAATCGGGGGCTTTGTGCCGCCGCTCCCGCGAGCTGGACAAGCGCCTTCCGGTCCTCCGCGTAATGGGTCCGCTGCCCCGCCTGCTGCCCCGCGGGCGGCTGCTGGCCCTCCGCCGCCTAAGTATCGTGAGTAAGCCTTCTCATCATGAGACGTGTCTCTGATTGAGTGCTCCATACATGCAGCCCCGGGAGATCGTGAGCATATCTCGGACGAAATGCGGCCGGTATACACGGTGATCTCTGGCCAGTTGGAGCATCTGAAGCAGACCACTCCGGTGCGCGACCATCTCGCCTTGACTTGGAGCGAGATTGTGACATATTCCCCTAGCCCCAGCAGCGTCGTCTAGTGGATGATCTCGAGCGCAGGATCAATCCGCTGTTCGACGCTCTCAATTGCGACACGCTTTCGAAGCCTGTCCAGGAGAAACTCCTTGTGCTGACTAGAGGTAATTGTAACTGCCTTCTACCTCGCGAAGCACGCCCGCTGATGAATGACTATGCAGCTATGGAGGCGCATGATCGCGATGCTGCCATGGGATTGCATATGGATCTGCTCACGACTGGATCGCTGACGGATGATATCGGGTTGTGGATGTCGGGAGTCAAGCAGTTGATCATGAGGCTCTGATGGTGCTACCTGGTCTCATGAACACCGTGGCGTTCGCGCCATAAAAATGTGAATGGACTAGAGGCAGTAATAACTGGCTGTCTGAGGATTTACGATACCATTGATGTCTTTCTAAGTTCTGCAGATGTCGAATGTCGCATCGGTTACGTTCGTCTGCATCTTTGCTCAATCATCCGATGTTAGTATGCCTGAAGTGCTTCGGAAGCGTGTGTAGGTATGGTCTATCGGCTCGCAATTAGAGGTCATCGCAGACACCTTAACCGTCTCGTTGCCAGTCCCTGCACATACTCTCGATTTTTTGTGAGCATTAGAGGATCCTGGCACCCCTGGACGGCCTTTTTGAAGAAAAACACGGTAAAGAACATGCATTGGGATGCTTATCGCGGCACATGCAAGTTGATGACGTTTCTTCACGAAGTCCACCGACGAGATGTTTGCATACTAGACACTAGTGCAACGAATTTACGCTTTTGCATCGCATACAGCTATCGGCACTAAGTGCTCAGCATAGTTGTATGTCGCATGTCAGGGAAGGTTCCATGCACAGAAACAGGAGGGCAAGCCCCAACATCGGCATCATGCTGTGCGCCCCCGGCGAGTCGAATGGAGTGCGACTAGGACGTGTGGTCAGTGCCACACCATGCTTGCTCGTCCCTCGCGCGGCCGCCGCAATACTTGCAGCGCATGCCTGTGCCTAATTTCCATAATGCCAGGAACGTCGATCGAGAGGCCGGTAATGCGGCCGCAAGCACTGCGCCCTGGCACCGCATGCACGCCTCGAGCGCGTGGAGCGAAGGGGTCGAGGAACGGGGCTTGTGGCGGTCGTACATATGTGTCTACGGGCGTGGCGCAGGAGGCATCGACGCCTGTGAGGAGATAAGCGTGTCTTGCGCTCACTCTTTGAACTGGACGAGGATGCTAAAGCGGCCGGCAGCGATATCTGAGCTGCCCTGAGCGTGCGCGACGCCCTTCAGCTACCATTGACAATCCGTGCAGCGAGAGGGCAATCCAGATACGCGAGCCTAGTCATCAGAGTGGCTGCGGGAGGCAGAAAATGTATTACACACGGTGAGGACATCTTTGTGACCTCCGAGGTCCTCACCTTGTCGGCGAGTTAGATGTCGGTGTCTGTTTCTCGCATCTTGAGGTCTCAAGGCCTCAGAGTCGAGCAAGCGCAACGGCCCCGATAATCAGTTTGAAACATCCAGAGAGCAAGGTTTGAACGTTGTCCACGCAACAAAGTATACTTGGCAGATCGAGGCATCAGTACTCAGTACTCAATGTCGACATGTCACCTTAGAGTTCCGGAAGCAGCATCGGCAGCAATTCATACAATGACTCTTCGTCTTCGGGTCTTCGACTTCTGGCCCCGTCCTTTGGTGTATGGTGTACGGTCGAGTGCCGCCGGCGAGGTGTGCCTCGCGGTGAACGCTGCTTTGAGTGCTTATTTCCCATCTCATTCCTGTAGTCGGAGACGTCTGTGAAGCTGAGTACGAGTGAAACGCCAGAATGCCCGGATCAAATGTTCTAGCCGCGCATAGGTCCTTGGGCCGGCATGCAGCGGAGACTCACCTGCGGCAGGTACGAGATATCAGGCTGTCAAAACGCATCCGACATGAGAAGCCCCAAAATGGGCATCGTGGCGAGATAAGGCCGTAGTGCGAGATAACGGTGACGGCGGTTGCAGTAGTACTCTGGTATTTCAAGTGAGTCCTGCAGCTGTGGAGAGGCGATAGCCTCCAACTTGAGGTGCGCCCCAGGCACAGAGTCGATCTCGGTGGGTGGGCGATCTCAGGCACGGCCGCACGAGCTGTTTGCAGTGTGTATCCGGGCTTGGGCTGCGCCCGAGGCGGCCACTCAGCATTTTTCGAGCGACAGTACAGTGGCACAATACGGGCCGCGATATGAAACATGACAGGGGGTAGATAGGTGTGATGAAGATTTCATAGAACGGAGTGGACTGGGGCCCATGACTGTCAGTCCAACATTCCACTGGCTGCAAGCAGCGACAGCGAGTCAGTTCGAGGCCTAGATCCCTTCATATGGGTCGCTCAGGCAGAGCACTCTGGGAGCGCGCAGACATGAATTGTGGCCACGTCGCCAGATACGCCGAGCGTTTGACACAGGCCTGCTGCGATAGATGCGACTCTGTTCCCGGGGAGAGCACGAGACCACTGTAGTGAGTGGGTGAGAAACAACGCGAAATTCCCGCTTTAGTTATTTGCCTGCCGTTTTTGGGCTTCAAGCAGCGCTCCCGCTCCCAGCTCGAACAGATCGTGCCACTTCAAGCTTCATATATTCATAGTTGGTGTTAGCGCGCGGAGGTCCAACTGCTGCTATGGTGTGTCGCCACGTTTGCATGCATTTGACAGAAGCTGTGCTGGCATCGAGACTGAAACTTGCCTTCTAACATTTATGTTTTGGTGGCAGACGGCCTATGGCAATAACCAAGCGCTCCACTACCATCAGAATTGTGGAGTCCGGTACAGGCTATATTTTTATATGCGTTCTTTCACCTTCAATAAGAGAACCCACATGAATGATTGAGGAATCTTTTCTTTCAAGCGATCTGTTATGCCCAAGAACGCGATGCCACAATGGACTCGAGCGGAGTCTGTGGACCGCCGCGGACTCTGGGCAAGAATTCGGCTTCCGGCCGAGCGGATCTTGAAACCGGCACCGTTACATTGACAGTGCACTAATAAATCACAGTACTTCGTTTTTTCCCTTCATGCTTCGACGATGCGTGAGTTCCGCCCTCATCACTTCTGGACGCCACGAGCTATACAACATTGCATGAATCGATGAAAGCGTCATCTCAACATAGAAAACGCGGAGTATGTATCACCCATCATCGGCACTCAACGACATGACCGCTGATAGACCGCTGTGAAGTCTGTTGATGAGGGTATTAAGCAAGCAAGGCTCACTTTGGCACTTCCAGTCTTATCTGACAATGTGTGAGAAGCCGTTTCGACCCTCTGTGATATTCAAAGTGGCAATCTTAAGAGTATTATGGGCGTAGTCCACTAGTACGTAAATCGCGTACGATATGATGCTCGCAGTGTTCAGCAAGAGCATGCTGATAGTTCAGCAGCGTACTGCGTCGCCCGTGTGGATAAGAATTCGCGGAGCGATGCGTTCCTGTGGACAAGATAGGTGTGCGGCCATATGGTCCCCAGGTAGGTAGGCGCTCGGGACTGCCTGTTCGCACACTTTGACGGGACGACCGTAATATTTTATGCAGTGACACTCGTCGGGGTGGATCCCGCGCCAAAGATGACAGCCACGCCCGAGTTCGGCCTCTGGGCTTCTTGGGCTCTTAATGTTGTTCGGTCAACCATGGACGCGTCTTGGCTGTCACCGCTATCGCGAACGGAAATAGGTGTCCGCGTGAGTCTTTGCGACACGGGCCTCGCGGCATGGCTGTCCATACGGTGCACTCATGTGAGCAGGTGGAATTACAGACCGCCAGCAACAGGCAGAGCTATGTCACGACGGCGGCAAGCGGCATGGGTCGCGGTGCATATATCCCCGCTCCAGGGGCACATCATTATCCTCTCTCCAACGTTAGCCTACAGATGCCATCACGCGCCGAGGGACCATCGGGCACTCCAGATCTCCCAGCTTATCGCTCTTTCCACACGCGGAGGGCCCAAATCCGTTATAAGCTGTCCTCGAGCCATGCTTCCTGCGCCTGCTGCCAGTGCTCAGAGCCCGCTACAACCTCCCCCTGTACTGCAGTCACTTCGCCAGCATGGCACAGTGGAAATGGCCCGCGTTTTACACGTACGTCTGTGTGCACCTTGCAGTCCGCGCCATGCTGACCATTCCTCACCGCGCAGGACGCCCATGACGCAGGTGGTGCTTGTCGGCATTACCTGGTGAGCATTTTCACCCTGCTTGTATTTTTGTCGTGTTGTGTTGACCGCCGCGCAGTTTCGCGACAGTGGGCATGTTCAGCGCCGTCTCTAACTTAGGCGCAGGAGGTCTCGAAGACGTTTCGCTCTCAGACACAGCGAACAGCGTGCTCTATGCCATGTTTGCCGTCACGGGTCTGGTCAGCGGTGGCATTGCAAATGGTGTGTATCAACTTCGCTGGCACCTGCACCCGAATGGTTCACACGCTGTCCGCCAGTGCTCGGTCCTCGCCTAACGCTCTTCCTCGGCACACTCGGCTACGCTCTCTACGTCGGTGCGCTCTGGTGGTGCGCACATCATTCCCTGCATCCCCTGTGCGCCCCCTCATGTTTCCCCCAGCTACCAGACACAGGGTACATCCTGGTTCCTCATTCTGGCGGGTGCCATCCTGGGTGTCACCGCTGCGCTACTATGGTCTGCACAAGGTGCCATCATGATGAGCTACCCGCTCGAGAAAGACAAGGGCAAGGCGTTCTCTGTCTTCTGGGCAATCTTTCAATTTGGTTCGCTCATCGGTGCTATCATTGCCCTCGCGATCAACATCAAGAGCGGCGGTCTCAGCTCGGTTTCCACTTCAACGTACATTGTGCGCAGTTTTGGACGTTCGTTTCTTGATGGGGTCACTGACCGTTCTTCGTTGACTCACAGGCGTTCCTGGTCATCATATTCGTCGGTGTCGCATCAGCGTTCCTTGTCTTGCCTCCGAACCTCGTCGTCCGTGGCGATGGAACACTCGTGAAGCTGCAAGCTGCCTCCAAGCCGCACGAAGAGATCATCGGCATGTGGCGCGTGCTCAAGGACCGACGTCTCCTTGGTATGTCCAGTTGTCTCACTTGCCGGCACCAGTGGCAGAACTGACGCGTCTGCAGCGTTGCTCCCCATGTTCTTTGCATCGAATTATTTCTATGCATATCAGGGTGCCATCAACACTGCACGATTCGACGCGCCGACCCGCGCGTTGAATGCGGTTCTCGAAGGCGCCGGTGCGATCGTCGGTGCTCTCATGATCGGCTACCTTGTGCTCGACATTAAGTGGCTGAAGCGACGCACGCGTGGCTACCTCGGCCTCGGTGTCGTCACTTTCATCACGATCGCGGTGTGGGCGTGTGGCCTCGGGTGGCAAGCGTCGTTCGACCGCGCGAGGGCGAAGGAACTGCCATACATCAACTACAAGGACGCGGATTACCGCGCGAAGGCCCCGCTGTACTTCTTCTGTGAGTGGCCGTGGCCGTGACCGTGTGCATCGAGGGCCAGTTGCTAACCACCGGCGGGGCTGCAGACTACTTTGGCGACGCGTGCTACCAGGCGCTCGCGTACTGGATCATGAGCGCGCTCACGAACGACCCCTTCACGCTTGCGCGGTTCGCGGGTCTGTACAAGGCCTTGCAGAGCGCCGTAAGTGGCGAGCCTCTCCCTTCGATTGTGGCACAGTCTGACGTCCGCCTTTGTAGGGTGCCGCAGGGAGCTTCGGCATGGATGCGGTGGAGACGCCGTTCCTGAACGAGCTGCTCGCGAGCTGGATCATGATGCTGGCCTCGTTCCCGCTCGCGTTCCTCGTGATCCGGACGATCAAGGAAACGAACTACGGCGACGAGCAGATGATATACGCCGAAGACGTGCAGCACGCTGCTATGGAGCAGGGTGGCGCGACCGAGGGCGAGGTTGGGTCGATTGATAAGGAGAGGGATGACATCGTGGCCGAGACGGAGGTCAAGGCATGAGCGACGCGACGTAATGGACTCTTTGGGGTTTCTCTCTGCCACGAAGGTGCTCTTTATGGCTTCTTGACACCGCATTTCACGGACCTGCGCTCACGAACACCGCTGACGTTGTGCTGGCGCCAGTGTATGATACAATTCCGGGCTTTTGGGATGGGTCTCGCTGGGTGTGATTACTAGAGAACAATTCGAGTATAATTGCGATATAATGTGCGCGTGAATCGCGAAGATCACTAGGACTCGATTACCTAGAGCTCAGGAAAGCCGCCTTGAGTTGGTCTTGTATAGCGAAAGGTCAGTATGCGATTGGAGGGATGGCCAGAGTAATAACAGTAGTACTCGCCGAGTGTTACTACTTTGACTAAATGTCGCAGCAAAATAGTAACAGTCAGAGTTGTTCAGCTACTACTCTGCCAAGTACTGGCACGCCGCGCAGGCGCTTATGCTCCGATACATATAATATGTATGACTGTCTGCAAATAGAGTAAGTCACCCCCTTGAACGTTACTACTACTACTTTGGTATATACTCGTGTTCTCCCCACACACACAGGAACGATCAAATGTTTACTCCGGCCGATCTATGATACATAAGTGTGAACAATATCTTTGAGGTCATTGCCGAGTATATACTAAAGCAGTAACAGTAACACTCGAGGGGGTGATAGTAACACTCCGTCGAGTGTAAATAGTAACGATCGTCATTGGTCACGTGCAGTAATATGGTGCGCTACTGGCGCGCTTTGACGTGCTTTGCACAGCGATAGTAGCCCATACATCTAACATTGTGACATAATAAGATTCTTCTTTATTTCTGCTACAGGTCCCGGGTCATTTGCAATGTCTAGTAGTACAAAGTTCTTTCAAGATATACCACCTAAACCTAACCTAACCTAACCGAACCTAACCGAACCTAACCTAACTCAACCTAACCTAACCTAACTTAACCGAACCTAATGTAACTTAATCTAACTTAACCGAACCTAACTGCCAAAAAGGGACATGTCCGGATTGGGAACAGTAGCTGCAGTCAATGGATGTATCACAGATTTACGGTAGCCAGCCTCAATGACATATCACCCTGCCAAGTACAACTCTGACTGTTACTCATTTGCTCCAACATTTCCGACTGTTACTATTTTGCTCCAACTTTTAGTCAAAGTAGTAACACTCGGTGAGTGTTACTGTTATTACTCTGGTCATCCCTCGTCATTGCCGGTGCGTGCTGATAGCGCCTCTATACTAATCATCGGCATGCATGATTCTATGCGCTAACCCATATCGTACAGATTCGAAATCTCAGGAGTCATGGGCATCTCTCGGCCCCGCGCACGGCGCTGTCTGGTGCTGCGGTCGCTGGACTGACTCCCAGCTCTGCGCTCCCGCACGTTAGCCATGCCTCCAGCGCGTATTGCCCCGTCAAGTTCGAAAGGCAAGTCGAAGGGCGCGTTTCCGAGCCACGGCCGCCTTGCCCGGAAGCCGCTCGCGCCCGTAGAGCTAAATCCACTCTCGTATGACCGCACGGACCCGTTCACCGCGCTCAATGCGATGCGCACCGTCCTCGCCGCGCTCCCGACGCGCCAGCTGCGCCTCACCGTGGAGGAACACGCACTCGTGATGCGCCTCCTTGCGATCGTGGAGCCGTTCGTCGGGCCTGCGCCCGCGCGTCGCGCGTTGACGCGTCTGCCGACGGAGATTCTCGACGCAGTCGCGTTCTGCGTCGACGACAAGCGCGATCTTCTCGCGCTCGCGCTCACGTGCCGCCGCATGTACTCGGTCGTCTTCCCGCGGCACTACGACTACCGCATCATCAAGTGCAAGGTCAGCTCGCTGAGGGTGTGGAACCACCTGATCGTACGGCGGGGGCTTGCGCGCAATGTGCGCCAGCTCGAGGTGCTGGACGAGCGAAGCACGGAGCCCGAGACTATCCCCTGCGACATCGAGACATCGGACACTGACTTGGAATCCTCGGACGACGAGCTAGAGATGCACGCGAAGCAGGAGCGCTACCTTGCCGCTGCATTGGCAAGGATGACGGCGCTGGTCTCGTTCACCTGGTCGTGCTCCCATTTGCCTATCTCGGTCGAATCACTCTGGCCGATTCTGATGAAATGCCAGACTCTGCAGCAGGTCACTGTTAACGACAATCTGGTGTTCTCACCCGATAATGATGATGAGAGTAGCGCCGCGCGCAAGAAACGCCAAGTAGTCGTAAGCCCTGATTTTGAGCAGGTCTCGACGATCTGTGTTAACAATGCGATAGTTTCCTGCATTGCGGGCCGTGAGTATGCAGACAACCAAACACACCTACGCGTTGAACAAAAACCCGGACATGTCGCGTATTTCTGCAATGCTTGCGAATTGCCCTGTCCTTGAGGTGATGCATCTGCTGCTATCGCGCCCGCGAGCGTCCAGATGTTTTGCTTACGCGGGCACCGACAGTCCCTGAAAATCGACTACACGTCTCGCCGCGGCCCGGGCTTCTCCAGCCCCATCTTAGATGACTTTCTACTGTGCGGACGCTGGCCGAACCTGCGCACACTTGCCTTGACCAACCTCCGCTGCTCGCCGCAGGCAGGCTTCGACGCCACGATGGGCTTCCTCCTCGCACACCCGCAGCTCGAGGTCCTGTACTTGGACGTCGCATTCGGTGCAGGGTCTCCGTATGTGTTCCCGCCTGGCTGTATACCGCGCCTGCGTGAGCTCCGTTGTGGTCGCGACATCGCAGGCGCGCTTCTCGCATGCCCAGGTGGCCTGGACGGGCGGCCCCTCGACGTGATTGGCGGTATGCGCCTAAGTGGATCGATGCGCGACACGTCGTTCTTGTATGCGCTCAAGCAATACGGGAAGAGCGTGCGGCGGATCGAGCTCGCGGGCTGGACCGACATGGATGACATCCGGCAGCTCGCGGAGAGTGCGCCGCAGCTCACCTGGCTAGACGTGGGCCGGCGGACCACGTCGGCACATGCAGCGAAGCCGGCGTCGGCCACCACGACGAACGTAGTAAGTTGTACATTTGTGAGGCGTGCTGTATAGCCACAGACCTGCTGACCATGATGGTTGGATGCAGGCAGAGTGGGCCGCCATCCTCGCGCAGCTGCCGCAACTCACGACGTTCCACGGAGTGCGCTTCTTCTACGAAGTCGCGCAAGGCAGCGGTGCCACGCTGTCCGTGCCGCTTACGTTGTCCGAGCGCAGCCGCATGCGCCGGAATGACGAGATAGCGTCGCTGCTCGCGTGGAAGTGCACGAAGCTGCGGCGCCTAGATCACTGGGAGGAGGGCTCTGGTAGAGTTGTCGTGCTCTTGCGGGACGGAGACAAGGTCCGATATGAGGTTAGACGGGTCAAGACGTAGAGGGAAATGCGCGGAGGGCAAGACACTCTAGTATACCCAGGACTATGTTGTACGGATCTGGATATCAAGGCTTGTAACTGGAAAATAACGCACCTGAGACATGTATATGCATACATTTCTATCACTTGTTGGAGATGGGCATCGCAAACATCAACGTTGTTATGACCGGGCAACACAAAGCAGGCACGCTGAAAGTCCGGAAGTTACAAGATTATGTATGCGACAGAAGCAAGATGTCGAGATACATCGAGCGAGAGTGTGGAGGCGTATTGTTTTAATTGCTCGATGGAGACAACGTACAAAATGATAATAACCGTGAGTTACTTGATGGGGAACTCAGGCCCATAATCGAGAAACAGTTCAGTCCCTGTTACGAGGGTCCTTTCTGAGCGCAAAAGATGCAGGCGCATGAACTGTGTCACTGCGAGTAAGCTTGAAGATACACTCACTTGCATAGATCCCTATACGATGATCGCCATTCACCAGGAAAACTGCATGGCGATGGGACCATTTCAGCTGGTGGCCACTAGTGTAGACAAAATACATACTGCCCACTTGACAATTGGCCGTGTTTGCAGGAGCGTGGTTGATGAATCGCGCCTCGTTTCCCGCGTACGTGCTATCGATATTCAGCGAACCATTCAGGCCGTAAACATAGCTACGCCCGCGATGTTCTGAAAGCTGGCTACATAGCCGTCAGCACGGGCATTTCAGAAATCGTGTATTTGAAAACTCACCCGCGCGAGTCGAACGTGGGCTCATATATGAGCTCGCCAACATATTCTGTGCATGGTAGAGTGAGTTCCACGTCTGCGAATGCAAAAGTATTGTGCGCGGAGGACCTGTGATGAGATCGCCTTCTTCGGCCGCCTCCTTCAAGAAGACCCCTAGGCCGTGTTTCCCTTTCTTTACTTCGAGGCCCTAGAGATGCTCGTCAGCAGCAGATGATTAGATTGTATTGCAGAAATTGCCTTTTGGCATCCTCTTTGCAGCTGGGAATTCCTACAGCTAGCCCGACTAGCAGATGGGTAAGAACAGGAGATTGTCATTTTGAATTGCGTACCTTCGGGTGCACGACGCGCACAGCTCAGGGTCGCACTCCCTGTTCGAACTGCGACAAGGACAGTAACTTGGGAGACAGCCTTTCTTGTTGCAGGTACACCCCTTCCAGCGCCTTTGACCTGTATAAAGCGTCAATCAACCGGATACTGACAGCTCGCGTAGACACGCACAACGCTTGTCGCAGCGGCAGTTCCTTGTACAATGTGCTTTGTTGAGGAAGCAAGCGCATCGTGTCTCCTCGGTGCATGGACCCTCGTGTACGCAAGGATCGCTACTGCAACAATGTATCAGATAGTGTGTGAACAAGATAGCTTTGGGTACGCACGGAGTGAACTTCGACGATGAGTGGTCGGCTACAGTGCGTATGATCAGTTCTACAATCGTGCACTCAACACCGAATCACCGACCGAATTTGAGTTGGAGCGCAGACATCCTCGCCTTCCCATTTCGCTGATCCTCCAGCGGCGCGACTCCTACGACATTCCGCATAGCGGCGACCTATAATCACAGCTTCACCACCCCGGCAAACGAACAAAGTATAATCCATAAATACCTCGAAGCACGGGCGCCGGCAGATTGCAGCCAACTCGCACGATGTGGCGGTAGGAAGTACATGTAGAGTTACACGTAATACCTCCGCATCTGCCGCGGGCCATGAGACGTCCTCCTACAAAACACCATGGTTTATATCAAACCGACTTTCCTACTATATATCAAGACTTACAGCAGTCACGCTCGCATGTGTGCTCTCGCAATTAGAGCCACATGATTCGTGGGTCTGTTTTCGTGGTCTCCCCCTTGGGCGAGAAGGAACATGTCTGAACTGTCCACTTTGCAGATCCAACTTGACCGGGTCGGCATCTATGCACATGTCCGGAGTTTCATAACGAATGTCTAATGCAGAGTTAAAGCGACGCACTGTGAGTAAAACAAGACGCCTGTATGCAGTTGAGATTTGGGCAAAACAAGTTAAGATGGTCTTGCAGACGGGCCCGCAGGTCATCCCTTTGCGATGGCAAGATGTCCGGCAGCGTGCTCACAGAACTGTGAGAAGATCCCGGCCAGTTCAGTGAATCCCTACAGCACAACCAGTGAAGGAGGAGATACAACAATATAGGAGTACTCTACCTCTGTAAGCTTGCAGAAATAGCGCCTGAAACCCCGAGATAGGTCTTCAAAGGCCTGGGCAGCACTCCTGTTTCGTCCACATGTTCTATAGTGACACCATATTTGTCCCACAAACGCCTGGCTGTTTCCATCAAGATAGTATTCACTATATATCATGTCAGTATACCATCATTCGAACTAGAGAAGTACGCTACATACGATCAGAATCTTCATGCGCAGATTGCCAAGAGAAAGTTTTGTATTCTTCAAGGTGATCCTGCACATTGAATGCGGGATCATCGGCGAAAGGGACGAATGTCATGTCTTCCGGATCATCACCATGGAAGACATTGCAAGACAGGGGCGCACAAGCTTCGAAGGCTTCGCACGACACAAAGGCATCCACTTGTTGGGTATTCGCGATGACACTCCATTGGCTGGTAGTGCGATCGCTATCCTGACAGAAGTCATAGACTGTATACGAGTCATCAGTAGGTGGGCACACAGCCACTGCGTCATTGAATTTATGTTCTCCGTCAAAAAGCGGATCTCTTCGGTCAGCTATGAAGGTTGAGACGGCTAAGGCGTCGTCTGGGATATGTCTTATGGCAAAGGAATCAAGACGACTTCGCGCATATGCAGCATCCCATCGATAGAATTCCTGCCAAACTTCCCGGTAAACCGAGCGAACAAGTCGCGATGTCTGCCCCAGAGCGTCTGAACGAAGGGGGTCGATGACAGGTGGCAGTGGACTCGTCATTTTGTAGATGGCCTACGAGATAGTACCAACTTGTATGAATATATGAAAATTGTAGACAACTTACTTGATATAACGGACTCGAGACCACGAGGCTACGACTCGGAGTAACAGGCTACGCTACACCGCAATTCGGATATTATGGGGAGAGCTATGCGACAGTATGATTTGCGGCCTCACGATAGACGGAACATGAGAAATACCTAAAGAGAATGGGGATAAACTCCTCAGTGACTTGAACGAGTCGAAAAGTCGAAGTTAACGCTAAGTGATTTGAGACTCTGGTTTCTGAAGGGTGGTGGTATCGTACATTCTCACCTTTTCCGCGATACGAGAAGAGCGGATACGAATCTAGAATACCGCGCAAGTGCGTCAACAAAGCCAACTCGATAACCACGACGCGAGAACGATCGCTTCTACAGGACCTGCCATTTCTGTCCCGCCGGGCGCTTGCTATCATTGATCTTGCTGCATTCTTCGATTGTACGAGCACCGGGCAAGATGTATGCGTACGCAAGACTTTCCTCGACTAATTAGGCTCGAATCCGGGCTTCGTTGTTCGAGGTGTTTTGGGCCAGCTGAGTATGGGGAGCCCTAATTGGTCGGAGTTTTATCTTAGCTCGGATGTAGCCGAAATGTAGCGGGAGGTCTCGCATGATTTAGCTTGCCTCCTTCACCCATCCTTACACCAGAATGCCCGCGCCAACCAAGTTCACTACGTACATTGACGAGCATGCCGATAGCTTCATAAAGAGGCTTGCGGAGGCGGTAGCCATCCCCAGGTACTCTAGTTGATCGAGTCTCACGCGTCGCAGGTCCTCTATGCTCACTCAATGTCACAGTGTAAGTGGTGAGGGACCGCGCCGCAAGGAGGTCTTCAGGATGGGCTCCTGGCTCGAGGGCCAGCTCAATACCCTTGGCGTGAAAACAAAGCAAGTAGACCTCGGCAAGCACACGATGGACGGACAGGAGTACCAACTACCACCTGCGATCCTGGGCAAGATAGGTGACAGTCCGAACAAGAAGACCGTGCTCATCTACGGCCACTATGATGTGCAGCCCGTAAGTCGTGATCAGCGAACCCCGCGCTCGATCTGATCGACGGTCGCAGGCGAACAAAAGCGATGGATGGGACACCGACCCGTTCACGCTCGTCGAGGGCGACGATGGCCGCCTGATTGGCCGCGGGTCGACTGACGACAAGGGGCCGATTATGGGCTGGCTGAATGTCTTGGAGGCACACAAGGCTCTTGGACTCGATCTGCCCGTGAACCTGCGCTTCTGCTTCGAAGGGATGGAGGAAAGCGGCAGCGAGGGCCTGGACGACCTCATTAAATCCGAAGCAGCTAAGGGTAAGGACGGCTGGTTCGCGGGCGTCGACTGCGTTTGCATCGTCAGTTCTTGCCATCCTTGACTGCTGTCTCGTGCGGCCCGGTTGAAAACCTGTTTGTCTAGTCGGACAACTACTGGCTCAACAGTCGCACACCCTGCTTGACATACGGTCTGCGTGGGCTGGCGTACTTCAAGGTCACTGTCAGCGGACCCGCCCGCGATCTGCACTCTGGTGTATTTGGTGGCACCGTGTTCGAGCCCATGACTGACCTCATCACGGTTATGAGTAAGCTCGTGAAGTCGGACGGTACAATTTTGGTCCCTGGTGTCGCGGAGATGGTCCCTCCTCCGACTAAGGAGGAACTGTGAGTCCGCTGAATGTTACCCAGGTGCTTGTCGTTGCTCATTGTTGCAACAGCGAGATGTACGACAAGCTCGATTATAGCATCGAGGACATCGAGGATGCAGCGGGTGCATCCATTGCTGTCTCCTCGGATAAGGCCAAGGTCCTCATGGGTCGCATGCGTTACCCTTCTCTTTCCCTTCATGGGATTGAGGGCGCCTTCTACGGTGCGGGCGCGAAGACCGTCATCCCGGCTTCTGTATCTGGAAAATTCAGCATCCGGTAAGCCAGTGGCTCATGTCTACGCCGCGCTTACTAAACGGCCTGTACAATATATTAGTCTTGTTCCTCCGCAGACTCCTGAGCAGATCGAGCCGCTCGTGCAGAAGTACCTCGAATTCGAGTTCGGGAAGCTGAACACCAAGAACAAGATGACCGTCGAGAACTTGCACGGCGGGAAGCCATGGATGGCTGATCACAAGCACTGGAGCTTCGAGGCGGCGAAGAAAGCCACGGAGGTGCGCTGACATTTTTATGCATTTACTCTTTCTTCGCAGACGCCAATGTATTTTTAGGCCGTTTATGGCAGGGCGCCCGACTATACCCGTGAGGGTGGGTCCATCCCTGTCACCCTTACATTCGCCGAGAGTCTGGGTGTAAACGTCCTGCTGCTGCCCATGGGACGCGGTGACGATGGCGCTCAGTGAGTAGCATTCGCATATGAAAAGGTTCTGGCGCGCTGACTGGACTGTTTCACACTTGCAGCTCAACCAATGAGAAGCTCGACAAGTCCAACTACATCGAGGGGGTAAGCGGCAGTGTCAGTTTTCAGTGCTCCGATATTCACCTTATCCTTGCAGACCAAGTTGTTGGGCACTTACCTTTACGAAGTTGGCGCGATCTCCCAGAACGCTTGAACAAGTATAATGCGCATTGCTGTATCAATGAGAAGCTGTATGATTGCTGTGTATCATTGGGTTTAAACGAATGTTGTATTCTTCTACACAAAACAACTATTGTCACTGGACTGTTACCGCGTGATCGCAAGAGACCGATCAGTGAGCGCCCATAGCATGAGCGTCAAGCCTCTCCTGTTACCGAACTCTGCTGTCACCTGTGTATATATCATATCTCTTCAATCAACCGCATCCCTGTCGTCTTTCGCGTTGTCTATTTGTACACTTTCATGATATTGACTCTCGCAGTGCCCTGGGTTTAGGAGCGTCCTTCTCAAGACCATTGCTTTAGGTTATTGGTTAACCGAAACCTACGCGACCCCTTATTCCAAGGACACTATGGACGACGAGACCGCAGAGATTGAGCTGGTATGATAGCTGCAACTCAATAGTAAATACGTCGTCCTGAACGTGTCGCAGCTAGAGCAGAATCTAAACAAGACACGCCAGATCTCACAACGTATGACCAGTAGGTCCCGTTTTATGATTGCTGGGTCTACGAATCAGACTTTCACAGCCATACTATCCAGCTTCGATACCCGGCTGGTCAAGCTTGAGAAGTCTATACTACCGCTGTACAACTCGACACAGTTGCTGACGAGGCGCGCTCGAAGTAAGGTGTAGTGGCCTATGGGATCTCCGGTTATTAATTACCCATACAGATATCGAGAGCGCATTGGGGAAGATAGATGAGATTGCCAGCTATCAGGAAGGAATTGCTGCGGAAGAGGCACTTGTCCTTCGCGGGTATGTTTACACGACTCTAGTCGTATCTAACCTCAGACGGAGTGTATGCATAGCCCACAGCCGGGACAGCTGCATGAGTACATCGAAGTCGTGCAACGAATGAATGCCACCATCGCGTTTGGCATGGGCGACACTGGTGCGCGTGATACGGTAAGGCATACCGCCACGTTTGTAGCTGCATTAAAGTGACCAATTGCACATTTTACAGGCCCGGCTAGTCGAGACTGGTGCGAAGAAGGTTCTTCAGCGTTACACCGAACTCGTAGCAGAGGCTTCATCCGGGACCCCTATCAATGGACCAGACTTCGAGCTGATACCTTTCGACCCGGCCATGATTGCTGCCCTCCGGCCTATCGTCGATTTTTTGCGCACGCTCCCACTGCCGCGAACGCATCCGTCTCACCCTGCTGCGCCTGCAATACAGTCCGCACTTAAAGAAGCACAGAAAGGATACGGAGACATGCGCGGCGCATGGGTCAAGAAATGTCTCGAGGTGTACGGCAAACGTGCTGTTGAACGCGCCGGGACGATTGACGCGGTCAATTCTGGAGAGGAATTTGGCAGGTTTATTCAGAATATGCTCAATGTGGCTGAGGTTCGTATCAAATTGTGTGCATACAACTAGTGCTGACGCCCACATAATGACAGGACGAGTACGCTGTACTAAATGAACTTGCTCCGTTGACCGCACCGTCTTTTATCGCCTCGACGTACACTACGCTAATCACCCCACTCACGTCTCTCTTCTCGTCTACGTTCTCGTCGCTCAGCGCGTTGATCAAACGCTCCCTCCACAAATATACGATCTTGGCGCTCTCGGCGTACTCATGTCTCCTGGAGTATCAGGAGCAGTGGGAGGACATTATGGTGAACAGATCAAGTCGCAAAGACAGCAACGATCTGAAAGACATGCTGCAAGCTATCCGGGCATCCTGCCAGAGGAGCTTCCCCGAGTTTCTCGCAGATATCAAGATTGCTGCATCAAGCAGTCAGGGAGAGCTCAGCACAGGCGTGGTCAGCGTGACCATGTCGGTGAGTAACAACATATTAACGAAAGGACGCCGTCTGATACTTCCTTGAGATTAGACCGTTGAATACCTCGAGCGCCTCCCCGATGTACGAGAAGCCGCAGCGTCTATGTTGAAGTCGCTTGGTGACGGAAACTGGAAAATGGGCGAAGGCGCGCAAGTTGGGAAGGCAAAAAGAGACGATATCGACGATAGGACGATTCTGGAGCATTTCACATGTGAGTCGACTGTCTTTCTGCGGCAGTTAACGATGTATCTCACATAGCAACAGTCGACGCTGTTAGCATGATTGTGAATACTCTCCAGACGCTAGGCAGAACAAACCGACGGCCAGCGTTTGGCTCCATCTTCTTGCTCAACAATATCTCCTATCTTCTCACGCGCCTCATACTCAAGCCAAGATCCCCTGAAATCCCCGCACTACTGTCGGACCCTAGCAAGAACATGCTCCAATCGAATTTCCGCACAGCTAAGGCAGCGTACTTCGATTCCAACTTCTCGCCGCTGCTACAGACACTCGCTGAAGACAAGGACAAGAGCAAGAGCGCAACGAAGGAGAAGTTCACGCGCTTCTTCGACTTGTTCGAGGAGGTCGCTGAGCGGCACACGCTCGCTCGCGTGCTCCATGACGATGACGAGAGTCGGGAAACGGTCGCGGATGAAGCGGTCAAGCTAGTTGTCCCGTCCCTGCAGCGCTTTATCCAGCGGAACATGGGCAAAGATTTCAGCAAGAGTGAGTGCCCAATCGTATTTGAGAGATAAGCGGCTGATACACTTTGTTCACGACATTCAGACCCGAAGAAGTGTAAGTACAGATTATGAACCTAGGTGCCGATGCTCACTTCATGTTCGCTGCAGATATTAAGATGTCCGCCGAAGAGGTCGAGTCGCTTATCAAGAGCTTCTACCTGTGAGTTCGACATTCTCTTCAGATGATCTCTCCCTCACTCTCAATCATTCAGTGAAAGGGACAACATGCCTCCGCCGGCGGAGCGGGCGACGAACAACCTGTTGATTCAAGCCGGTTGGAGTCGATGATCTGAATGATCTTCTGTAATACTAAGCACGCTATTTATACATATCATCATCTAAGGGATGAGTAGGATCATGATGAAGTTGGGACATTGACTAATGATGTTTTATAGTGTTTGTCTCCAGCTGTTTCATGTAGCCAGTATTCATTGCCATAGTCAAAGAAAAGCTCCCTCCCTTGTTTGATAGTTTTTGCTATACAACAAGGGTCAATGAGAATTTCATGTATGTGGATAGGTGCCTACCAGTGTAAAACCCAATGCGATGTTCTCCATGCACCCATTTCACTGAAAAGGTGATGGGAGAGTGATTAATTCATCTAATGTCATTGTGAGTGAAACTAGACTTTACCCATTGCATGGATATTTGCTGTGTTGTCGGAAGCATGATTGATGTACCTGGTAACATTACCAACATATGCAGCATCAAGGGTTTCCACTTGATTCAGAGCAAAGCTGTAATTCAACCCTACATGCTTGCTGTTTCAATTTGTGCTCAGCAATACCATCTGTTATGGTGAAACAACAAACCTGAGAAGAGTATGGTTATATGTTTCAATTGGAAACAGTTCAGCAACATACTCTGTAGAATTTAATGAGCAGATATACAATGTTAGAAATACATTCTTCTTACCTCCTATGCAAACACCTTTTCTTATATTTTCTGCAGCAAAAACACCTAGACCATGCATGCCTGACTTCACCATGAGTTTCTGTAATCCAATCAATTGTCATTATAAGAATCCAATCAGCATATATTAAATCATACAGGAAACATTTCAATTTGGATCTTCATATTAGTGCATTTGTGTTTGATATGTGCCTCAGCTGTCCTTCTGAATACACTCATGAAAATGAAAAAAAAAAAAAAAGGTTTTGGTATATTCATACCTTCTCTCTTGCTTAGTGTGAGGCTTACATAACTCAGGGTCACATTCCCTGTTATACTTCATGCAAAGGCATGTATTTTGCTGGCATTTACCATTCTTGCATCTACATCCCTTGAAGTGAAGTTTGCCTGCTCCATTTTGATCAATAAGTTCATTTCTGTGTGGAGATACTGCACACACATTTGGGGCCACAGTGACATCCCTTCCTGCAATGAATCATCTTCTGGTAGCATGGGCATTCTTTGGCCCACTTGTCACAGGGTCCAGAATGATGACAGAAGTCAGCTCTAGTAAAGTTACAATCATTACTGTCATTCAACAATATGAACCATTTAAAAAAAACTTACGGTGCATATTTATCACGTTGTTGATACTGATCATCATCCCCTGAATTTGCATCAGTATAAACCCTTCAATAGTTGTGGAAAACATACAAAATTGAAGTCTCATATTTGCAGTATTTTCATGCCTTTCTGTTCTGTTTGTGTCATTTTCAGGGAACAGCTGACACCTCAGAAGATAAACCTGTTTTTATATTAATATGGTAATATTGCAGAAAAATAGTGTGACTCGCCTGAACACAGGAAAGCCTGGTAATTTTGGCTATGACACAAGGCAATTCATCAGGCAGTAAATGCCAAATGTCCTGCATCATGTCTGTCTGAATGTCAACATCTGGAAGGTCAAGGTCCTACAGCAATAATGTACTAGTAAGCATGTAAACAGACTGCATCATACTTTAAGCAATAGTTACCATAGTGGCATCCAAATGAATAAGATAGCAATATTGGCCACAAGGCTGTTTGTTCTGCCATCTTAAATCAGAATTGCTGATTTTGGGTGATTTCTTCCCAAATGCAACAGAAGGCTCCTCTAAGAATATGGTTAGCAGGATCTAGTGTGAATGTAGGTTAACATACTGTGAGTCATGCAAAGTGCTTCTATACAATTGAGGCTAGGGCAGAATACATCTACAATCTCATTGACATGCTTCAACAAACCCAATTGCAAGTGTTTTGGTGGCATGTATGAAGTTGTAAACCACATGTCTCTATATATAAATATCAGTCATGCAAGCACTGTGAATGAAGTGAACAGCAGACCTCTGCCTCATTCTTCGAAGAAGCCCCTCATCTTTCCACTTCAGTGGTGGAAGAATTGCATATCCATCAATTGTCTCATGGGACAATGATAATGTACGGAGATGTTCCACCGCCTGCATCGCAATCAGTGCAACTGAACATGATAAGCATGCAATTCAACTAGACCCTGATAGGCATAGGCACAACACTCACCATCGGTGTCTGACCATCCATGCTGCCAGGCCAGACAAGCAAATTCTGAAATATATGCTCGGTCATCAAAATCCTGTTCGCCCGCATACTGTACAAACTGCAACACATGCGACCGGTCGTCTGTCTTGATGCTCCGTGTTGCCGGAGTACATGCTTCATACTTCGCGTGTGCTGCAAATGCGGAAGCAGCGTAGTCAGTACAGATGACATCTGCCCTGACCGCTTCCTCAAAGTCAGAGATGATGTATGAATCTTCGTCATGATCCACTTCGCCGAGGATCATGCCATCTTCTACTTCGCCAAAGGCATTGGCGGATAAATCGCCACTGCTCGAGAGCGGCCAGGTAGGAAAGGGTGTTGCGAGCTCGTTAATACGGGACAGGCAAGCGTCAGCCTCGTCCCTGTAGAAGTCTCCCCAAACAGCTCGGTAGACCGATATTATGAGAGCGCGTGTGTCGCGAGCAGCTTGCGCTCTCTGGGAGAAATCTTCTCGGATGCGTTGGACTTCGAGATCTTCCTGCTCTCGCAGGTCAACGAAAAGAGGGTCTTCCATGGTACTACAACAAGCGACAGGCCTGGCGCAATGTTTACTACGGCGCCCATATACCTGAAGCGCAACTCACCGCCAGTGACGCTCTTGATCTGCGTGTGCGGTCAGATAGAATTATGTCGCAGGGTATTATTGCCGCTCACTCTCACTATTGCTACGATTGTTGTTGCGCGAGCGTGCGGCAGACGCGAGGAGGATGTCCACGACAACGTTGCGTTTCCCGATTGAGTCCCGCGACAAAACAAGTCGCACGCGCCTGGGGCTGTAGCTGAGCAACTCCCGACATGGCGCCTGCAATACTTGTCACACCACCTACATACCGGCTGTTACGCATCTGTGACACGCTCGCCCCCCGCACGCTGAGCCGATGCTGAATGCAGGCCTGCAGCTCTCCGCCAATAATTAGTGCTTGTCCGCCATGGCGGAACGCGTGAACTCGAACATGCTATTCGCCAACTTCAACCAGGACTTTACGTGAGTTGCCCGTCGCCGTGGCGCGTCTCCAAGTCGCTCAGTTTCGCAGGTGCATCTCCGTCGGGACTCGGAAAGGCTACAGCATAACCAACTGCGACCCGTTTGGGCGGGTGTATACCAAGAGTGCGTATGCCGCAGGGCGCAGTGGTGTACGGAGCGGTTGACAAGATGTTGTGCAGATGACGGCGCGAGGGGGATCGTGGAGATGCTATTCTGCACCTCGCTCATCGCGTTGGTTGGTGCGGCCGACCACCCACACTCAAGTCCTCGGAAGCTGCAAATTGTGAATACGAAGGTATGTCCATCCCCAAGCCATCTGCCGTACCATCATGGGGCTAGGATCTGCGCGGAGTCTCATGCGTAGCGCAGCCTTCAGTACTCCTGTGTGCTAAGCGTTCCATGTCCTCTTGCAGCGGCAATCCATGATCTGCGAACTGTTGTTCCCCTCTTCAATACTTGCCGTTAAGCTCAATCGCAAGACGCTCGTCATCGTGCTCGAGGTCGAGATCTACATTTACGACATCTCTAATATGCGGCTCATGCATGTTATAGAGACGACGCCAAACCCAGACGGTGAGTGATTATACCCCAAGCAGAGATGAACATCTTACACTGCTATCGCGTCGCATATAGCCATCGTCGCGCTCTCACCTTCCTCCGAAAACTCCTATCTTGCCTACCCCTCTCCTGTTCCGTCGCCTAATACCCAGACTCAACCCGGCGCACAGCCCGCAGCTCCATCCACGTCAACACAGCAAACCGGTGACGTGCTACTATTCTCAACCCGTTCGCTCACCGTTGCGAATGTCATCCAGGCGCACAAGGCGCCTATCTCCTTCCTCTCGATCAACTCAACGGGCACGTTGCTCGCGACCGCGTCGGACAAGGGCACGGTTATTCGCGTATGGAGCATTCCTGGCGCAGAGAAGTTGTACCAGTTCCGCCGTGGCACGCGGGAGGCGCGCATACACTCGATGAATTTCAACCTTGTATCGACGCTGCTCGCGGTAAGCTCGGCGCACGACACAGTGCATATATTCAAGCTTGGGCAGCAAAAGGGAGCAACAGCCTTGAAGACGCCGTCGAGTCCATCAGAGTCGGTGGATAGTGGGGATGGGACACAGGGATTGGAGGGCGGATACGACGCATATGTCGATAACAAGAAGAACGGGAGCGTGTCGTGAGTCATTTTCATGTTTACTTTTACCATATCGCTCATGCTTATCGCGCGCTGAGATCAAGCCTGCGTCGAAGATCGCTACATCTTACGAAGAACATCACATCATCGGTAGGGGGATACCTACCGAATACGTTGACAGAGATGTGGGAACCTTCACGAGACTTTGCATTCCTGCGGCTACCAACGAGCGGCGCGCGATGTGCAGTCGCCCTGAGTGGGTGAGTGCAGCGTGATTGCGTCTCAAGTCATGTTATCCCTCTGATGCCGACTTACCTAGGACCATGCCGCAAGTTATGGTCATATCATCAGAAGGCTATTTCTACTTGTACAGCATCGACCTTGAGAATGGTGGCGAGTGCTCGCTCATGAAGCAATATAGGTCAGTCAAGTGTTTGGACATTGCCAGGTTTTGTGCTTATGTGTACTACTGCGTGATAGCTTACTCGATTCGAGCGATGAGGCCAATGACTGAGACGACAATTGTTGTGGAAGCACTCTCCCGGCATGTCCCACAGAGGGCTGTTGCGACAGGCGAAGCGGGCACGGACACTCTTGGAGCCTCTGATATGTGTGTAGTCAGGTGTCCTGCTTTGAGTCTGACATTAGGGAGAAGACTTACCGCGAGGTGGAGATGATGGGTGCCGGTCAATGCTTGAGGCTGACTGTTGTCGATTTTGCGGATTATTCATTTACTTTTCCGTACTTCTCATAATGTGCGATGAGATGTTCTAGCTTGAATTTCCTGCCATGTGAGCTGCAGGATTGAGTCTGCATACCATGTTCAAGGACCGTAGATTGCAATACACACGGGGAAAGCCTTGTTTATGTGGTCGATTCATGAGTTATCAGAGTTGCGAAAATCGATGTCGAATCTGCATTCAAGATACCGACCAAAAGATTAATGAATATCTGCTGTACATCCACCCGTATCCAAGAAGTTGTCGTAAAGATCGTCCCTGGGCATCTCCAACTTCCAGCCCGAATATGACTCATAACTCACTCATCCCCCCGCCTTGCCAAGAACACTCCCATATCGCTTTTGGTCCGCTGCACGCCCCGTAAACCAACGCTGGGGAAGTCCTGAGCACCCGCGTTGGTCGCCTTTGCGTCCTGCTTTGCGTTCGCATGCTCGAGCGCGAGGTCTAGCGTTCCGCCCTGGAAGCCCTCAAACTCATTCTCCTCATGGTGCACGCTCAGGCTGGCCACATCAGGCTGCGCGAATGCCGCCCGGTCCGCGGGGGGCGACGGTAGAGAGATGGACTGCGAGGTGGGGTCCGACGTCGACTCGGACTGCTTCGAGGACAGGGACTTCGAGCGCGTCAATCGCCGCTTCCGTTGCTTCTGTGCGGGGTCTGCAGACGATTGCTGGCCCTGCGAGAGATGATGCTGGCTGTATTGGACCGAGCCTGCACGCGAACGCGACCCGGAGCCGGAGGTGCGGGATCGCGAATCTGACCCGATGCCCCCAGAAGAACCACCTTGCGTTGGGCGGCGCGCGTAAGATTCAGCGCCAAAATCGGCACCGTCTGCGTCTGCGTCGTCGTCGTCCAGCGCAGCCACGGTTTGGCTTTGCATGAACGGCCCGAAGTCATCGACGAAGGGCGAGCTTGTGGCAGATCCTGACCCTGACCCTAGCTCGGAGACGGCATTAGGCCCGCTCCCCTGCCAGCCAGATGCAGACTGAATACTAGGGAAGCTGAGAAATATAGAGGAGCTCACCGGGATACCTTCAAACTGCTCTTGATTTGCGGTGGCGTGCATACCCATGGCCATGGCCAGCGCCATCTTCTTCAGCTCCTTCCTCTCCTTGCGCAGACGCCGCCGCTCCTCCTTCGCGCGTCGCTGCTCTTCCTCTGCAGCCGCCGTTGCCGCCGCCAGACGGGCAACGTACGTCTCGTCGAGGGTGGATGGATCAATGGGCGCAGCATCCGAATCGAGGGACGTGGATGATGAGATTGTGCGTGAGCGGCGCACACCTCGGCTATGTGGATCCTCGTCGTCCGACTCTGGCAACTGGATCGGAGAGCGGCCAAAGAGGTCGTAGCCGAAGAGTCTTATACCCCTGCGCGGGCGGCGTCGCTTCCTACGCCGCCGCTCGTCGCCAATATTTGAGTGCAAAGACATGGTCTCGGCGTCAGCAGAGTCGGAGTCCGCAAGCAGCCCCTCGAGCTCGTCGGGGCGTGCACGCGGTGGCGGGGCAGTGTTTATCAGGGCATTACGAGGTCGTGAGTTGTCGAGATCATCCTGGTCAGATTCGGAGGACTTGAAGCAGAAAAGACAAGACGAGAACGCCGCCTGCAGACTGTCGGACCATGAGAAGTGGACGCTCGCCATCCTCAACCGTGTCGTGCCCTGATACTCGAAATAAAACCTGCTCCAGATGGCGCGTGAATAAGAGCACAGTCCGCTAGCTATTGACCGGTGTTAGAGGGACTAGGCAAAGCCGGCGAGTTCAGTCTGGTGAGCACTTCGCGCTTGCGGGGCTAACAGGAATATCATGTGCGTATGCAACCCATATAGGGTAAACCTGTCAATTTACCCCAAAGAAGTATGTAGGGGAGCCAGGAACAAAGCATCCTACCAACATATCTGCAATATTTGGCACTGGCAGCTTACGTGAAATAAGGAGGAAGTTTTGTGTACATGGCGTCGTGAAGGGTACTTGAACAGTCACCATATTAGGCAAGGATGTTGCCAAAACTGCACGCGGAAAATATCAGACGGGTTCTCACGCACACGTACGTCATGACTGGAATCGGCGCGAACGCCGCGAAGAGCACAGGCCTACTTACGTATAATATGTAGCAATCACACCTCACATCATTTCTCTCACCCCAACCTCCAGTGCAAGCCTGTCGTATACAGGGAAACATCGCCGAGGACCCCTAGTGTCTTTAGCAGATCTCAGAACGGAACGGGCAAGACGGGTTAGTGTTTAGTTCAAATACCAGGGAAGCTTGTTTGAGAATTTATATGTTCATTTCACAGTATCGCAGGTAGTCTTCGTGGGTCCAGTAGCTTGAACCCTGTCATTATCTTGCGAATTGCACTACGAGCCAAGGTGTCGTTCTTCAAATTCAGCAGACATCTGCCTCTGGGGGTGTATTCTTTTCAAATCGGCCGGCGCATTATCAAGCGGCCTTCATCGACACTAAAGACATCACCAATGGCGGCATTACCGACTAGCGAGCCTGCCGCAGAGCTCGAAAAGCTGTCTATCTCGAAACATGGCTCCGAAAAGGATTCAGAGCTCATCGATGAGTTACTCGCGCTCTCTAAGAAAAATCCCAAGCTCGTGCGGTCGACCGAGTATACTGCCCCTGCCGACCCGAATATCAATGTGCGCAGCTGGAAGATGAATGAGTTCAAGTATTACGACGTGCCATCGCCGTTCCCGACGCTTGCTCGGGGTCTGTTCACTCAAGATGTCCAGACTAATGACCGCGTGAAACACCGGATTGTGGCTCGAGGGTACGATAAATTCTTCAACATAGGCGAGGTTCCCTGGACTACCGTAAGTCTATCCAGACCTGGTGCAGCAAGATACTGATGGTCGAAGTCCATTATTAGTGGGCGTCTCTGGAATCGCACACCGGTGCTCCGTACATTCTCACCCTGAAATCGAACGGTTGTATCATATTCATTGCAGCACTGACCCCCGACAAACTACTCATCACCTCGAAACATGCACTCGGCCCCTCAAATAACGCTGAATACAAGAGTCACGCGCAGTTCGGCGAGCGGTGGCTCCGCAAGCACTTGTTGGACGCTGGAAAGACCGAAGAACAGCTTGCAGCCACGCTCTGGGAGAAGAACTGGACCGCAGTGGCAGAGGTGAGCATCAATAAATACTTACCACGGTTCCTTTTAACCAATGTCAATGACAGCTTTGCGACGACTCGTTCGAGGAGCACGTCCTCCCCTATGGCCCGGAAAAGACAGGGCTGCACCTGCACGGGCTGAATAAGTGCACGCGGCAGTTTAAGACGATGGATCAGCCCGTCGTCGATGCGTTCGCGAAGGAGTGGGGCTTCATCCAGACGCTGTCGACAGTGCTCGATACGGTCCCGCAGGTGCGCGAGTTTACGGAGGCGATCGGGCGCACGGGCAAGTGGAACGGAGAAGCGCTCGAGGGCTTCGTCGTGCGTACTCGCGTAGTCGACCCGCCGACAAAGGGCGGCCAGCCCGCGGCCGCGTCGCCGTATCGTGCGGGCTCGTCGTTCTTCTTCAAGGTCAAGTTCGACGAGCCGTACATGATGTACCGCGACTGGCGGGAGGTGACCAAGACGCTACTTTCGAAAGGCCCGAGCATGGGCAATGTGCCCAAGAGTAAGCTGCGCCGTCCCGAGACGCGTGTGTACATCAACTGGGTGATCGGCGAGATCAAGCGCGACCGGGAGCAGTTCGCGACGTACACGCACGGCAAGGGCATCATCGCGACGCGAGAGCGGTTCTTGAATTGGCTGCGGAGCGAGGAGGGGAGCAAAGCCGTTAAGCGTCAAGACGAACTGCCGGCAGAGAGAGGCTTGATCCGGGAGGGCGAGAAATTCGGCAAGACCATCATAGCGCCCATCGCTGTGCCCGGTGTTGGTAAGTCGTCATCTCGTAGCGTACGGCCTATGGCTCACTGTTCTTCAAGGCAAAACCTCCATCGCCGTTGCACTCAGCCACCTCTTTGGATTTGGCCATATCCAGAGCGACGATATCAAAGCTAAGAAGGCCGCTCCTATTTTCATCAAGAACGTAGTGAACGCTCTCAAGACAAACGACGTAGTAATTGCCGATAAGTCCGTGGCCATTCCATAATTTGCCTCCTCGTGCTCTGACAATTGTCCACCAGAAACAACCACCTGATACAACATCGCCAGCAGCTCCGCGAAGCCGTGCGCACCTTCAAACCGCCTGTGCGGCTCATGGCGCTCAATTGGTCCTTCGATCAGCCACTGTCGACGATCCACCGCATCTGCGGCGATCGCGTGCTTCAGCGCGGCGAGAACCACCAGTCGCTGCACGGCGATCCGCTCGCCAAGTCGCACGAGGATGTCATCTGGCAGTTCATGAACCAAGCTGAGGAGCTCGCCGACGAGGAGGTCGACGTCGCTGTCGAAATGGACTGGGAGGAGACCCTTGAGGACGCCCTCACGCGTGCGGTGGACGCGTGCGTGCGTATCCTCGGCGTGCCCCGTCCGGACCAGGAGAAGGTGGGCGAGGCACTGGCGATTGCGCGGGGGTACGCTCCGAGCACGAAAGCCAACAAGGCTGACAGCGCGAAGGCGAAGAAACAGGCTGTGCGGTACTACGCGATCCTAGCGGAGGTGGATCTACAGGACGTACTCGGCAAGCGTTTCGCGGAGGCAGACGTCCCAGGAGGCGGCAAGGCGTTCTGGGAGAACCTCAAGGCGCAGAAACGTGTCGCGCCCAGACCACACATTACACTTGTGCATCAAAAGGCGCTCCCTGGAGAAACGGTGTTGTGGGAGCGGTGCAAGGAGCTACATCTGCACTCAAACCCGCCTCTGTTCAGCTTCCGGTTGTCAAATATTGTGTGGAACGATAGGGTCATGGCAGCAACTGTGGCCGACTTTGCAGTATCGACGGACGATTCACATCAGGATGAGAAGGGCTTGGACTTCATCTTGAAGCTGCCGTTTGAAGTGCAAAACAGGTTGCACGTCACGGTCGGTACTCGTGACGGTGTTCCGCCAGTCGAGGCAAAGACCCTGGTTGAAACATGGAAGAAAAACAAACATCTAAGTGGCGTAGGCTCGCTGGAGCTCGACAACGTTTGGGTGAAGGGAAGTGTTAAAGGTCTCGTCAACTGAACCCATAGCGTGAATTGGACCAATTTCTCAACGCACCCCCGCTCACGCCACACCACTCATCATTACTGCATCACAAGCGACATTTATAATGAGCTCAGCTCGTATGTACAGCAGTCAAAATGTAATTCGTTTATTTGCTCTGAAGTATACCTATGCGCAATCGATCGGCACACTCGCGTCTCGCGACCCATGGCGTCACGTGCACCGTACGGACTCCTCAGTCCCCAGCATCGTTCTCAGGCGCGCCATAATTCTGAATGCACAATTCGCCAGCTACAAAATCGACGTCTTGCCTGCTGTCGAACGTCACTTGAACTTAGAAACACTTGAGCTTAGAAACAAGCGGTGATACATGTCGGACTTCGCCCCGCTGAACATCGCACCTCAGGATGACGGCTCAGGCGTGGTTCCCGCGCCGGCGGGAGAGGCTCCGGAGCCTGCACCAATCACAGACCAGGAGGTCGGCGAGTATCGCGAGCAAGATCGTTTCCTCCCCGTGCGTCACCCTCTCATCCGCCGTGCACTCTGACACCCTTATGTTTACGCGCGCGTTGCTGCTGCGCAGATTGCGAATGTCTCGCGCATCATGAAGGCCGCGGTGCCGGGGACGGCCAAGATCTCCAAGGAGGCAAAGGAGTGCGTGCAGGAGTGCGTATCGGAGTTCATCAGCTTCATCACGTCCGAGGCGGCAGAGAAGTGCCAGATGGAAAAGCGCAAGACGATTGGCGGGGAGGATATCCTATACGGCATGGTCACGCTCGGCTTCGAAAACTATGCCGAGACACTGAAGATACATCTCGCCAAGCTGCGCCAGGTATGTGGTCAACGAGCGGTCTTGGTGCTATTTCTTCTTAATCGCTACGTTCTCTTTGTATTTAGCATCAAACATCAGCAGGCAATGACAAGCCACGAGGGGGAGAAGCGAGCGGTAACGCCACGGCCACGGAAGACCAGTAGGACGCTATTGTTATTGACAGGATCTGTGAGCCTCGGTTGTTTGTACTGATCTCTTGTAGAATATAATGGGTCATTGGAGCAATCTCATACCTCTGTATGATGTATGATGGGTCAGAGAAATCGGTCACAATAAGCAGACTAGCATTGGTAGGTGCGCGGTATCTCACTCTGACCGTACCTGAACCCATCTACTAGTAAAAGTAGATTTTCATGACGCAAATCAATATAGTAGGTCAGAAATACTATGATCTCGGCTGTGAAAGTTCATGCTGAACAGTCATGGCAGCCATTGGGATAGTCTCGATGTGAATCTGTGGAAGGTGTTGATGTGGAACCAAACCTCTGCGCATTCGAATGGACTCTCTGCGCACTTGCATCGAGGCTTAGCTATGCGCGAGCATGATTGCTGAACAGGCTTTTCTTCATACGTGTATGTCCGGCCCTCTCAACGACTTCGTCGCTCCATCGCATAGCGCCTAGTCGCTCGTCTCGCATTGCCATCTGTCGACTTACCCCGTTGGCCTCGCAGTGTCTAATGACGTGATGTAGACAAATTACCATTTGATTCCCCACTTTAGCCTCTGTGTAAGTTCCTATTTTAATGGGCATTGCTGTAACCGCACATTCCACTATACCACTAAACCGGAATCGTACCGAGATGTCTGTCCGTTCAGCATTGACCTACAAAGCATAGAGACTCTGGGCTGATCAGGTCTGGAGGTCATGTTTATGTCGGCATTCGCAACTAGCCTTCAGGCTTCTTTCACCAGAAACGTTCGAAGTTCGAACTCCCGGCCTTTGTACCCGTTCAGCCATATCCGGCAAAGAAGCATGCTATTGCTGTTAACAGTCAACCTGTCCGGTCGGCCAAGTACACATAAATTTCGCGCCACGTCACTTCGGGGCACCTCGAACTTAGAACCTAAATATCTCGTCAACCGCTTACCGTATCGTCTCGCGACCTGTATTTCCGGAATATACGCGTCAAGATGCAGCTTTTGGTATGTTCAGATCGTGCTGTACATCAAAACTCAAAGTCGTCGTCTCCTCACGTTGAACAGCTGTAGCACACTGCGTAGTGCTCATTGCGCCACCGGGATGGGGTTTATGGACTCGGGAGAGGTGTCTAAAGGGTCAGGGATGAGTGCATCATGGGGGGAGTGTGGTATTTTGGTATCTTGTTGGCATGTTCATGCTATGTAGCTTATTACCATATGGCCACTGTCTCATTATCCCACATCCAATCAATATATCTTCTCATAAGAGCTGTCCAACAGCAGGGAGAGCAATGAAGGAATGGTAATGGCAGTATTATTAGTATTCTACACGCAGTAATACACACCTCCTTGACTGCGCCTTCACTTTGTCGAGTTATGGTAATTTGGCATGCTAAATCATGGTATTGTTCCCAGATCCACGCTCAATGAGAATGTCATTCAGAATAAAATATAATACATGCTGAGTAGACGACAATTGAGACAGTTCTCACTAACGCCATGTGAATGTGGGCTTGCAGTAACTAGTCAAGAACCTGCAATCGAGTTTCCCTCACGACGCACTCATCCTGGACCCTTCAGACACCTCTCCCGAGTCCATAAACCCCATCCCGGTGGCGCAATGAGCACTACGCAGTGTGCTACAGCTGTTCAACGTGAGGAGACGACGACTTTGAGTTTTGATGTACAGCACGATCTGAACATACCAAAAGCTGCATCTTGACGCGTATATTCCGGAAATACAGGTCGCGAGACGATACGGTAAGCGGTTGACGAGATATTTAGGTTCTAAGTTCGAGGTGCCCCGAAGTGACGTGGCGCGAAGTTTATGTGTACTTGGCCGACCGGACAGGTTGACTGTTAACAGCAATAATAACAGTTTGATTGATGCGCCCCAGCTGACCACTAGCAGATAAGAAACTCCGCCATGGACCCAACTCGCAGGACACATTTCTATCTATCCGTCCTACTTCCCATTCGCTAACATGGCGCCCCCAAGGGCACCTGTGACTTCGAAGGCAGACCCAACCGATCTCGCTCGCCTCCGTCTCCGCTATGATATCCTCGCGCGAGACTCGCCCGAGCTCATGGACAGAACACCTCCCCGGTGGACGAGGTGGCTGCTGGGCGCCGACGAGGACAAGGGCAATCCCGAGGATGGCATCACGCTCGAGATGGATGCAAAGAAAGGACGCAAGCATGGGCCGCCACTGATGCCTGGTGGCGAAATCGATGGCCGCTCCCGCATGTTTTCCCGCCAGTGCGTGATGGTCCGAGCCACATTCTCTGTGGTGCAGATGCAGACGCAGAGAGAGATAGACCTCGGGACGGTGAGGGCATGGATCGCATCAGAGAACTTCGACGTCGGGGAGACGGCGCGTATCGAACAATATTTTGGAGTGCATAGGGCCATCGAGTATATCGAGTGCCCTCCCGGGTACAGGCTGGCTTCTAAAGTGAGGCCAGGTAATGACAATAACAACAACAACGAGAGCGACCATTCAGACTCGTCAGAGTCGGAGGGGCAGGGGACCGCAGAGCCGACTGCCACGAGTAGGCGGACCATGCGCAGGACAGAGGATACCGAGGTCGAGACGAAGCGCGAGCCAATTGACCGCAAAACGTTGATGAGATCGGAGGTGAGCTCTTGAGTTTCAGTGTATCGAAGTCTTGATGGTTTCAACATTATTCGGACGCGCACAGAGCTTGGTGGGGCCGAAGACAAGATCGGCTCGGAAGCGGACCCAGCCTGACCACGAAGGAGTGGCCAGTACCTCTGGAAATAGCAGAAGGGTCAGACGAAAAGTAGGCATTACTACCTAATCTCAGTAGGCTGAGACCAAGACTAAGTGACTGTTGTGCCTAGTGATTATGTATCACCCGAAAGCGGAGTATATGCCGTGCGCGTGTAGCGTCTACATCGTGTAATGTGGCGTCCTACTCGGCTCGAATACTCATGACCGTGACTGTCTGGTACTCTTCCTTACCCAACCCGACTCGACTGTATTAATGTACTCATTAGCTTTACCTTTCCTCGGGCTCGTATCTTGATATTTTCCTTTCTTGTAAGCATATGAACAGTATTGGATAGTCAACTACTACGCGGGTCACACGACCTCAAACTTCAAAGTTTCATCCGCCAGCACAGGGATCAGAGCTCGTGTTGATCTCAGGAAATACGCACTCACCTCCGCAACATACTGTATCGTCCCACTGGGACTGGTCAATTGAGCTTCGTGACGCGTCGATCGACAAGTAGTGAGCGAGTGCTTCATGCTTCGCGCTCGCGCAGGCCAAAACACGATCCACGCGATCGCATCGTCACCCATCGAGCGACTCTCCAGTGGACGGCAGAGGGTGTACACTTGTTTTCAGCTTATATTCAGCGTCGTAATTCGCGGTTCAGTGAGTAAGTGAAAGGAATAGTGGGGGTGGAAGAGTTGATTGGTCCATTATTACAGTACACTTGTGACAGAGCAGTTGGGTCGAGCTAAGTTTTGTCCTTGGTACCCCTTTCCCTGATCTTGCTTTTCCGCGCCGCCTCCTGCACCATCTGGCCCTCCTGCCGCCATTGGGTCTTCTCCCAGGCATCCCATTCTTCTTTGGCGTCAACCCATCGTTCCTGCACATCTCGCACATCACTGCGCGGTCCCTGCATCGGTCCGGCAGCACTCGTGAATAACGCGTGTGTGTTGGGCCGCTGAGATGCCGGCACGTCGGTTGCCTGCACAGTACCTGGCGGATGTTGTGCATCCGGTGGTGGCACGAACACGCATCCTGTGGCTTTGTCGATTACTCGTGTCAGGTGGAGCATTGACTCCTTGTCCTGAAGGCATATGTCAACACCATGCGGGAACAAGCAAGCAGGAGACACACCTCCACAGCAAGCGTTTCAAATCCTACAAGGCCGTAGTCCTCAATCAATGAGCATATTGCCATATTCAGTGCCTTGAATCGAGGCGACACGGAGGACAGTGTGCTCTCCAGATACGACAAATCCTGCACTTCGGTGTAGAAGTCGAGATTAAAATCTATATCGAACAAGGTAAATGAATGTACTGTTGTGTATGCGACAGGTGAGTACCAAGGTCGCCGTATTGTTGTATGAGGTCGACCTTCGAGAGCACGTTGATGTGCGGCAACTCGAGGTGAAGCATCGCACGGAGAGACAACATCAAGACTGATACATATTTCGAAGCGTCCGTCACATAGTGCGCATCGCACAAATGGACCGCGGCTAGCTGACAGAGCTCCCTATCAGGTCCCGCAAGAATTGTAGCAGGAGCACGTACCCGAAACTCAAGTTTCGCGAGCTTTTGCACGATGTTCTTGACGCTTTCGTGATTTGTGCTAAGCTCAACTTGACCTGGAAGATCGAAGAGCACGTAGGCGTCCTTGCCGAGCTCCTTCAAACGCTCCTCCAGCCAGTCGAAGTTGGCCTCAAGATACTCCATACAGTAGAGCATACCGCCGTTGGGCCCTAGCCCATGTTCAGCCATGACATCTTCGAGAGTAATGAGGGATGAGATGTCGATTGCGCATGGATATGGGATGTTGTCATTTGCCGGATCCAGATTCACGACAAAGATGGGGCGGTTTAGTGCACTGAATAGCTGATGTTTCCCATAACAGTAGGTCGATTTGCCACTGCCAGGCGACCCGCATACAATTTCTCCAAATGGCATACTTGTGTCCCAGAGACTTGTGAAGGACTGAGATTCAGAAAGCAAAAGAGCAAAAGAGCAATTGCGCTGCAGAACAGAACCAGGGATGTCATGTGGAATAATACACGTGATCTTGTGTAAACACGACGCGACGCGTCGCGGATCTTCTGTTTCCTCTCGACTACCTTTCGTGCATCTGGCTTATAGCTAGACCTTTTCATCAACGCATATAATAACTGGGTAAAGACGCCTGGACATAAACTTGGATGCTGGGGTCCTTTCAATCTGATGAGCTAGGATCAGACGGGGTATGTTTAGGTCATATTGAGAGAAGTGTTGTTTTAATGGCCGAATCAGTTGGAGGAGGTGCTCGAGCTTTCTCGAGGTGAATATAGGACCAATCAAGCGCAATCAAGGCCGACGACCGGCTCATCGAGGCCACCTGTCCAATCCACTCTCTCACAGCGACAGAAACTGAACTCACGCTTAGCGGCTCTCGACGCAGAGATCCACGATGTGGAGCAGAACATCGACAAACTAAATGTGCTGCGAAGAGACCTGATCGCCCAAAGGAAGGACCTTGAGACTGAACTGCGAAATTCCGCCACAAATGATATCAATTCGTCGCATAGTAAGGGTAAGGGCAAGGACAAGCAGAACGTACAGGCCACAATCAACTATAGTGAACAATTCGAATGGTCTGGCGCGCTCAAAGCCCGGATGAAGGAGATCTTTGGTATCCCGAGTTTCCGACTCTGCCAGGAAGGGTAAGACTTCTTCGGATCGCTCACGGAGATAGGGCCCCATGTTCTCGCTTCGAGGGTAGTAAGGATGTCGTATGTGGAAATGACGTCTCTGTGGGACCTTAGACATGAACATGAGGCGCTGTCTCCGTATATCCCCTTGTCTTCATCTAAACGATTTCAGGGTTTGCAACGCAAACCTGGACGGCCGTGATCTGGTATGCGTGATGCCAACAGGTTAGATCTCCTTTGTGTCTGCTCGCTGAGAAGCTACTCACCGTCATATGCGTCAAGGCGGAGGAAAATCCCTGACATATCAACTGCCCGCCTTACTGACTCCGGGATGCACCCTCGTCATTTCTCCACTCATCTCCCTCATGACTGATCAGATCATACACCTCGAGGAGGCCGGAGGTCAGTTGTGTCAGACTCAAGCTGACGTATATTTAATATGTTTCCGCCTCAGTCGATGCAGTAATGCTCGCCGGATGCACGCCAAAAAACGAAGTGAATGCAATTCAGAATAGGCTGAAGGCTATGGCCAGCGGCAGAGACAACACACCTGAGATTAAGCTATGTTATGTTACCGTGCGTATCTAGCGTGTGTACTATCAACTGGGAGAGCACGTAGTCTTACAACCTTTTTCGCTTCGTAGCCGGAGAAGCTCTCCAAGAGCAAGACATTCAGTTCTCTTCTAGACAAGTTGTACAATGCGAACAAGCTAGGTACTACTTATCTACTTATACTCACCATTGTGTATTTCGTTACTAAGCCCTCTGTAGCCCGCTTTGTGATAGATGAAGCGCACTGTGTCTCGCACATGGGCCACGACTATCGGTAGGTGTATGTGCTGTAAAGCTTGCATCCTATATGACCGGCCCGGCAGACCCGACTACCAGAAATTGAGTGTGCTTCGCAAGCTCTTCCCTCGGGTGCCTGTCCTCGCGTTGTCGGCCACCTGCCCGCCGAAGGTGCTTAAGGATCTGATGCTTATACTGCAAATGAAACAGCCGATACAGAATGGGAATTGTAAGTCTGTTGTCGGATCATATACCGAGGCCTTCTTCCTCAACGCACAGCACACAGCCGCCGGACTCAAAGGCACCGTTTACTTCTCCGCTCCGCTGTACAGAAAAAATCTCCACTATAAAGTAGTTCCAAAACCGGCCAAGGGCGCGGACGCTATTAGCGCCATGAGGACATACATTCTAGAGAATCACAAGGGACATTCTGGCATCGTCTACTGTCTCAGCAAAAAGGTAAGCGGTTTTCGGACGTGCCTGGAATAATTACTCATACTTCGAACGCAGGACGCTGAGAACACTGCTCAAGAGCTGCGTGATCGGGATAACGCAATCAAGACTGCTGTGTATCATGCCGACGTAGGTGACAGAAACAAAGAGAACATTCACATGCGATGGCGGAATGGTGAAGTGAATGTAGTCTGTGCTACAATAGGTGAGCTTCCGCCACGCGCGTACCGTGCCTTCTTGCTAATTGGATCCGCTAGCATTTGGTCTGGGTATCGATAAAGCAGACGTGCGGTTTGTGTTGCATCACTCTGTGCGTGTCGATAGCTCTTTTGCTCGGAGTATAGAATTCACCGTGAAGTAACTGGTCACACAGCTACCGGTCAGTCGTGTCGCTAGCCATGAGGTGTACATGGCATGCTGAACTTCTCGCAGAAATCGGTAGAGGGTTTTTACCAGGAGTCTGGCCGCGCCGGACGTGATGGAAAGGACGCGGACTGCGTCCTTTACTACAGGCCACAGGATGCCACAAGACTACTTCAATTGACCCTCAACGAACGGGGGTCACAAGAGAAACGTGCGTGTATTCAGTTGGACTCGACTGCCCCACGGCCCTCGACGTTCAGCTGACGTATGTATTCACATTGTCCACCTCATGGATACAGTGCATGAGATGTTGCGGTTTGCGCAGGACCTAGAGGAGTGCCGGAACGTCCAATTCGCCAGGTGGGTCCAGGATGCCTAGCCTCGACCTGCTGCCGGATCTGGGCCTCGCGCTGACCATGCGTCACAGGTACTTTTCGTCGTCTTCACAGCTATCTGTCGACGCGTGGACAACACAGGACAAGGGGGCGCTCGAGCGCTGTGGGCACTGTGATAACTGCACGCGCGCTCCGGACTCGCTCGCGCGCAGGGACATCCGGCTAGCGGCATGGCAGATTCTCCAGGCTGCGGAACTCGCAGAACGCCAATCCACGCGCTTGACAATCGGGCAGCTCAGCGATCTAGTGAGGAGCAAGAAGGCAGCTACGTTGTCTGCCAAGCCAAAGGGCAGAGGGAAGGCGTCCACCCAAGTCGAGCTAGACATGGCTGATGTCGCTGGTGGCGCGGTGGAGCTGTCCAAAGAGGTGCGTTGCTTTAGCTGTGACGTTATCGCGCCAGACCGCTTGCTGGGAAATGTTAATCACGTTTCCAACTGCCTAGGATACCGAGACACTGTGCGTACACTTGATCATCAGCCGCTACTTGCAGGAGGATTTCCACCAGACGGCCTACTCCGTCAACGTGTATGTCGTTGTGGGACCGAATGCAGCTCGATTGACACGTCTATCACGAAGCGACATAGAGCAAGGAAAGGGACCAGCAATGGAGTACTGCTTTTTGAACAAGTCCAAGCGCGCGTCTGCTGCGGAGAGGTCAGCCAAGAACAAGTTGATAGGAAACTCACAGGCTGGGGACACAAGCACAAGCGGTTCGAAGAGGAAGAAGCAGACTGCACCCGAGCCATCAGAGGACATTGATGCCTTTCTCGATAACGCGGACGACGAAATTCAGGACAATTCTGGCTTCATAGACGACGATGAGTTTGATGCGCCCGAAGACGACGACGAACCAGTCGACTGGGAATACTCCATGCGAGAGGAGGCGCCCCCACGGAAGAAGCTTCGTATTAGCAGGGTGCGTTCTCAGTCGCCGCAAGCAGTCGGCAGCGACGACCAAGATGTAATATCTATATCATCGGATTGACAACTAGGAGATCATGCGCATCGTTAGCATCGTACACTACTACATAATAGTTCATGAAGCTGCTCTCGGCAGCGTAGGCAAATAACCCCTCAGGGATAAATTAATCAATAACCCCGTGGCATCGACAACGTCACAGCTCAGCGCAGTCAGTAGCGCTGCCCTGCGGATCGCCTATTGAGCACTGGGTGCAGGCTTAGGTCTCTTAAGCACAGATCGAAGAGGCGGCTTCGGAACAAGACGGTGCTCCATGTCAATGCGTACGCCTTCCTCATTCATCCACCCACAGCTGGGCTCCGGATATCCCTGTCGAATGAAGGCAGCGTCAGGAGACAGAGCTCGCACGACTCGGATCGACTAGCTCACCATCAGGTCTGGTGGGTACTCTGTCCCGGGTTCGGGAGACTTGTATTTCCCATCATTCGTCCACAGTTGATCTCTACGCATTGATAGATCAGTCCCACGCATCACTACACACATCAGTCAGGGTGTGTAGCACTCACCCGCGGCGATTGAACCATCCCTTGCGGCGCTCGTTACGTGGGACAGGGCATGGGCACATCAGGTCCTCTGTCCACCGCACACAGCGTCTGGTCGCCACGGTCAACGCTCCATCAGAGAAGGGAGCGCCATATGTCAACGGCGGCGCGGGCGCAGCTTGCCTCGAGGAAGGAACCCTGGATATGGGCGGCGCAGCTGATGGTGGCGAGGAGCCTGGAGGCTTGACCTCATTGCGTGAAGTGCTGTCCTGCCTACTGGTACTGGGATCCCTTGTCATATTCGCAGGCCGTCGTGCGTCTGGAGGGGAACCGCCGTACGAGCTCACTAATAGGTCGCGTCCATCTGTTGCTCTTGCGGCGGTTGAGGACAACCCTGGAGGGGCGCGGGGACCCGAAAGACTCTCCTGACGCGAAAGCGAGGATGAAAGAGGTGCAGGAGGCAAGGGTATACCTCGGGAGTCCTCCGTGGACGACCTGATGCGCTGTGACTGTTGTGAGGTGTCCCGCCGCTCGTCAGAATATCTCCTCGAAAGGCTCGCGGTAGGCTCAGTTATCGTCGCCCGTGGCTCGCGCAAGCTGTCAGTCCTTTGTCTGGGATTCGTGGGGCGACGAGACATCGGCATATCAATTTCGTCGTCAATAAATGTGTCACTGTCGCTCTCGGAGACCGTCTCGACTGTCGTCGAGCGGGGGAGCAGTGCAGTATTAGGGTTGGAGGTGATAAGTGTGCGGTACGGGTTGCCCTCGGAGTTCGGAAGGAGACCAGGGGGGTATATGCGGGAGCCGTCAGGCGTTATGCGTGCCCGGTCCGACGAGGGAGCCCTGGTGAGAGTGGGTCGAGCTGGAGGACCGGTCAATGCATATTGAGCAGTGAGGGCGGTGGTCTCCAGCGTCTCAGTGCTACTACTAGCACGAGTAGAGGATATCTCGACAGTTGTCGAGACGGTAGACTCCGGCACGAAATCAGAGTCAGAGCTCGAGGACGAGGATGAACTCGCCAAGGCATCAGAGGCGGTGGAGAAAGAGCGCTCATAAACATATACGTCGTTGGACGCGTCTGGGTATATGCCATAGCCTTTTGATGTTTTGGACCGCTTTGAGTCCAACGGCAAATGGTGAACTGCTGGTTGCGTAATGCGATAAGCGGCGGAGGGAGTCAATGAAGGCTTCCTCTCGAAGTTAGAGCGAGAAGCGTAACCGGAAGATTTCTGCCAGGCACCGACGGCGGGCTGTGCAGGCTCGGGCTTCGCTGATGCATTGTATGGGTGTGTCGAGGACGCAGAAGGCTTGAAGACGTGGACCGAGAATCCACGAGGCATATCGAGGTACTACTGGGGAGTAAGTCTTTACCCACACATGCCATGAACGCAACTAAGACCGAGACACTTGCCTTCGAGGAACCGTTACGCAGAGTCTTTGCGGGGAATTTGGCGTCGAAGCCGAGGGAAGAGAGCATCATGCACGGCAACCGCGCACGTCGGAGGGAGGCGTAGCTGTAGTGTGCCGGCTATATATCGTCGGACGTAGCGAGCAGCGTGCATGTTGGGAGGGACACGCGGTTTTCATTTGCGTAGCATGTTCGATGGCCCATTGGCCACTGCCTGCAGGCCCCGAAGAAGTCGCGGAAGCTCAGACATGTGAAGAGGGCGATTGCATGGGGATACGAGCGGGCGGGTCGTCAATGCGCTTGCGAGCTTCAATCTCTCAATCTCTAACAGATGGGAGAAGCTGTCTCCGGAGTGATGCAACCTACCACGCTCGTCATACCGGAAGAATTCGAAGCATCCTGTACACAGTCGCGACGATCTCCAGTCGTGACAGCCGCAATATCCCACCCATAGCGGCTGTCGGGAATGCGCACTGCGCCCGTTGCCAGTGCACTAGGGTATGATGCTGTACTAGCACGCCCCAGCCGCAAGGCATTGCAGCTGCACTAAAGTGCGATTTACATGCATGTAAGGTTGGCGTTGAGCGTGTTGTTAACGGGACCGGAGCCAGCCACCATGACCGCATTAGGACCCGGCGCTTCTGCGGCTTCCCACCAACAGGTCACACACCTGGTGGCTGTTGTCGCCACCACTCAGGATAGCGGTCAAAAAATAACATTGTCAAAGATACAGTGCATTACGTGTAGATACGCTACGTACGCTTTCACCACGCCCCACAAATGTTCAACCAGTCCTTCAGAATCGCCCCTCTTTCCGTTCCAATCTGGCGGGTGACCTCGTTCTGCCGTGATATCGGTAGGTCCACGAAGGTAGCCAAGAGGTTGCCGTCCAAAATGCCTCTAGATAGGGGCTTCGACACATAGTCGTTTCGTACGATGCTACATCATCGATGAACTTTCGCATCCCATTCTAGACCGGTAGAAGGACATACCGGAACGCTTTTGGATTCAGGCCCGCCACGTGTTGCACGTTGCGGGTAAGTTGTCCCTGCAGGAGATGCAATCTCTTGGAAGCGACCTCGTCAACGTAAGTGAACGTTGACAGCGACCCGTCGGTAGACCCTACGGAAGACACTTCATTAGATCTCCCCGCAATCTCATAGACAATCTCATACCGGAAATGAGTCGTGCTTGGGGTATATCCGTGTCCTTGCCCCTCCTGCGCGCGATGAGAACGGACGTACGGCTTTCCATCTGTCCGTGGAACTCCGTACGACGCAAAAGGTGTTGGCCTCCTCTGGACTCGGGATCTAGACAGATATCAGACGACCACAGACGCTGTGCGCCACTGACAGTTTTACGTACCGTGAGGGTCATACTCATAGATCCTGATAACACCGTCTTCGTCACCAACGAGCAAGGAGACCCGGCCATCAGCGAAGAACAGATCTGCGGTGGTCACGCAGACTTGGTATGGATCTTTCCCAAGGATGACAAGTTTATATGGGTCCTCCTGTCTAGGCGGTCAACCACGCGTCGCCCGTTCACAGAACGGCTGACCAACCTGGAATGCGACAAACCATACGCTTTTGACGGCATCGCCGATGACGAGAAGGTTTTTCACAGCTCGGAGCGAGGTGACGTAGACACCAACATCGAGGAAAGCTACACCCACGAGGCGTTCGTCGAGGTCAAAGGCTCGCACGAATATCTACCGGAGCCTTCAGCGACGTCCTCGGACAGCGTCGGGGCGAAACAGCGTACCTTCTGACCCATGGACGAGACGAGGTAGTTGTTCATGCCACAGAGTGCGGTGACGGGACCTTTGGCGTCGTCTCGGCATTGCAACTTCAGACGGTACCATCGCTTGAGATTAGATTTTACATCCGGGACAACTTCCACGATAGAGAAGATGTATACCTACGTCAAGATTGAGTTTCGATAAGGAGGAGTGTATCCAAAGCACGCACCGCTCCCTTGACCGCTAAGTCTTCCCCGCGATTGATTGTTGTACCCACGGCAATGAAGTCCTTCATACCACTCTCGGTGCTCGTCGTCTCAAGCGTCACACAGTCTAGGCACGTTACAAATTCGTTCTGCGCGAACTCGAAGCTGTATGGAGCATCAGTACACCTGCATGCTCTGCTGTCCAACCGTACTTACCCATCCATAGTGACCCAGCCCTCGGGGGATATGAGCTCGAGCGTCGAGCATTCACAGTTTGGGAACGAGATATTAGGGGCTGGCAATTGAATTTGGCATGAGCACGGGGCCCTCGACTGTGTCCGCAGTACGTCAGCTACGTACCATCTGGTTCCCATACGATATTGCCATCCTCGTCATAGGACGCAAATTTCGACAGCTGCGAGGACGCTGCGACAACGAGGGACGTTGACGAATCATAAACGATGTTGGTGCACGGCCGCTGACGAGGCACGGATCGACTCGGCAGATGATTGTCCAGCTGGATGCCGGGAATCCACTCCATCAGAGTAGAGCCCTGTGAACATTATGAGTGATCATGTGAAGACGGATGAGACCAAGTTCTCGCCTCCTCGAAATTCAGGAGGAAGTCGCCCTTCGAGCCCCACATGGATGTCGCAGTGAATCCATGAACGACGGAATGCCCCGAGGGGAACACCTTTACGCCACCCTTGTCGGTGGAGAGAATCCAGCATGGTCGATCGCCAGTAAAGAACACTCCAGAAAGCGTCTGACCAGGGGCTGGAGACGTCACGAAAGGGATCAGGAGGCGCGATATTCGCTTCTGCTCGGCGAGGATTGATTTCTCCACCTCCTCTGTGTGTTGTATATCGAATGCCCGAGACATCACCTTGACAAACTTGACCTGCAAAGTGCATGTCCGGATCTCAGGAAGGGGTTCAGTCGGTGGGGGCGCTGGAAGGGCCTCGTAGATGGCCAACTGCCCCGAGCGCAGGAATACCTGAAAGGTATCCTCATTAATGTTGCAGTAGGAAGCAGCTTAGCCGCGTGGCATACCATGAGGTGAAGGCATGGCGATGACTCGCCGAGAGGGGCAATCACGATCTGCTCTACGTCCAGTTCCTGAGGCTTGCGGGGAGGGTCCAGAGGGAGCGACAGAGCAGGAGGATCATATGAATCCGTAAGCACTGGTTCCAAGGTGGCAGCTAGAGCAGTCGAGAAGGCCAATGCGAGTTTCGGGAGTGTCCAGATCTACTCGAGGCAGTCAAAATAGGGGCCCCAGTAGCATTTTCGGTAAACCCTACCTCCACGACGCCTTGCGGCCTACACAGGATAAGCCATTGGGTTTTACTACCGGCGTTCATGACAGCTTGCAGGGTGGACGTAGCATCCTCACTTGTGCTGGCATGTGTGTTTTGATATGTTTTGAAAATACCGCTTGTATCCGTGAAGAAGCACCCAGAAATGTACTTAGAGGTCTATACGCCGCAATCAACTCCTCGAGATAACAAGTAGATAACATCTTTTAGACTGACCTTGTCACCCATCGGGGACATGTCCTTCCGTCTAATTTTGCCGCGCTCTGATTCACCGATGAAAAGCCCAATCGAATCATCCTCTCGAATAATCAGCACGAATGGGTCGCAGATGCTACAGAATCTAATCTTGGGTCGAGGGATGTTACCGTCCCAGTCCTTGATAATCTGGCGCTCGTTTCCATCTAACGCAAGTATTAGTAGTCATCTGCTGGTCCAATACTGTGACCTACCGGGATCCAAGACTCGGATGACATTGGTCACGTTAATCATCACATGGAGAATTGCAGTACCCTGAAAGAACGGCGCGGCACCAATCGTCGTCCCGGGTAATCGTATGGCTACATCAATGTCTCCTTGAGCAGTAAACCTGGCAATCTAGAGCATGCGTCATAAATGTGCCCAACGAATACCAACAAGGGTCCAAGCTCACCCTCGATAGGCCAGGAGCCGGGTTCGCGTCCGTGCTGATTATCAAGGAGTCGTTCTCCGCATAGAAGGGATTAGCAGGCCGCTCATACGTCGAGCCATTGACCTTGACCGCCTGGCGTACTGGTAACGACCAGATCCCGCGATTACCACTAATGGAAGGCGTTTTGCGCTTGACCCGAGTCGGGAGGTCTCGCTATGGTGAGTTAGCATAGACATTAAATGATCTGCGTTCATACGAGACCGTACCTGTAGAAGTGTAAATCCGCCCAGCATGCCGGAACCTGTAGCCGCGACAAGCTCCGGAACAGCGCGATCCTATAAAAGAATTTGAGTCCTAACAAAGAGAGCCGGTGTGTGATCGACATACCCCGTTCTTGGTCAACGTGAAGGTCATATCGGCGATCGGGCCGTATGCAGGGAGAAAATCGCACAGCGAGAGATGAATGACTCTGCGCTTCTTCGATGCTATCGTCGTGCCATTAGCTTGGGCGCCATTCACGTGCGGTTGTTCAGGGACAGTCGATCCGCCATACAAATCTACCGCAGATGTCAGCGACGTCAGTATCTTTAAATCATGTGCATACCGTCGTCGTCGTCTATTTCCATGGCATGGGCAGGAGCAACTACAGTAGAAGGGGCAGCGGTCATGTCAACGTCGTCGTCAACTATGTCCTCATCAACAGGCACGGTATGGAGCAGCACAGAAGGCCCTACAATACTACCAACAAAGAGATACTCGTTCTGCACCCTCCTGACCATTGATGGTATCGTTGTCCGCGCCACAGGCGCAGCCATCGAAAGACGAGACACGGTCTTGCCGTCGACAACAATCTCGACAGGATATACTGTCCCGTCTTTTGTGAGAACATATAATGTCCTCTCGTCGACAAAGGCGAACCGCGAACCCTCTAATTGTAAATCGCGCTGCTGTTCTTGTGGCGTAAGCACAGGCATGTGCATATCGCTCAGCCGCGGTGGCCAGCCGTTGACCGGGAGGACGACCCTACGAGACGCCTGGTCTACGTAGATAACGCTGTTGCTCGCCAAAATAACTACGCCTCCCAGAGCAGTGGAGCAAGGAGCGATGGCAAAGCAGTCGTAAGGCAGCCCATCGACAGCCGTGAAAACGGGATAGTGTCGTGTGACCAGATCCAGAGTGAATATCATCAGCCCGACCGTGTCCTTGTACTCTCGAAGGCGACTGCATATGCATGAGTGCTATATCGAATCACTTGAGCAACCGCACATACCCCGTCCAAGTCTGTGGAGACTGATATAACACCGCGATCGTCGGATTGTTGAATCCAGGAAGGAACGCAAAGTCGATGACGTTGCGGATGCGTTCGTCCACATCCCCCGCAAAATCGAGTATGAAGCTCGGCGAGTAGGGGACGTCTCTGTCGTAGCGTTGGGTTAGATTGTCACTCTTAACCCTGGGTACACACCTTGCTTGATTGGTTTCTTGCTCCATGATATCGAGCTCGGCCTGTGACTGGTAGAATGGTAGTATGGCTATTGAGTCTCCGGGAATGAGAAGCGCTGCACAGCGTGATAGCGGGTCTGCCCGCAGCTCTGAGCGGAAGAGTGGAGCGTCAATAGACATCTAAGAGCCGTAAGTGAGTGCTGAATTCAACGCTATAAACACTTCACACACCAATTGAGGAGCACGCTCATATGTGTGTATGGACACTGTAATGAGATCATGTATCGCATCGGACCATTCGAGCAGAGCAATCTGGTGAAACAATCAGTTATAGCAGTAGTACGACTTCTGAAACACAAGACGCACCTTGGCATCCTTGAAGGAGACCAGAAGACGGTCCAAGCTGTCTTCAATTGAGGTTATGATTCGGATGCCTTCAACGCCGGTCACAATCCCGTGTAATCGGTGTTCACGTATCAGATAGAACCGGTTGATGGACGGTGGGTGAGACACTCCATTTGGGCCGGTAGACTGGGAGAGCACGGAAACAGAAATCAGCACCACGTTCGAAAGCAAGCACCTGCACACATTTCACGAGAGGAAAGCCGATATCTTATTGACACGACGCGACGACAGTGGCTGGTACCCAAATTCACCTTGACGGAGCCCATGTTCACGAACCCCTCGCCCGACGCATCCATTTCCACTTCGCCTTCTACCGCCTCGGTGCCCTTCCTGACACTGGCGCGCCTGTCCCGCTCGTCCTCCTTTTGCGTAGAAATCGGCGCCGGCTCTTCTCTGACCTCGAATACACGGAGTAGATTGGAGCGTGCGACGACGACATTGAAGAGGGCGCGCCCGGTGCTGGTCCCAGGAAGATTCGGTAATGTCGAAGGCGTGAGTTTCAGACATGCAGCAAATTCGACGCCGCTCGGAGGCAAAATTTCCTGTCGCAATGCCTGCATCTTGCGGTACGACCAATTTGCGCCACTCTAAGAACAACTCCTTAGCCAATGTCGAGTGTGTAAAAGACCCTGCCGACTTTGAAGAATAGAGGGACTTCAGGCTTCAGGAAGTAAGTAGATAAGTAAGTAAGGATTGTTCACACGTAAGTGATGTTATTTGCGACTATTTGTGCTCGCCACCAACGCGTTTGAATGGGCGCCAACGCGTTAGGGCGCGCCAGTTCCCCGAAACTGATCGACTATCTCAACACTCAAACAAGTTTCTCTTTTATACCAAAAGAATCCAGAGATACGAGCCCCAGGAAAAGTGAAGCTAACGGTTAACGACCGAGCCAGGTTGGACAAGGAAGAGTATCAGACAGTCACGGTCACGAGTATTCTTGCGGAGACAAACCCTATCCTTGAAGTCGGGCGGCGCATTGAGTAGGTCATCGGGTGTGATTTAATGATACGGCAAACATATCTACTCTCATCATGGATTCACCAGAAAATAGTTTGAGATGGTGCGGCATCATCTCACTCGTGAGGAATGGGACTCGTATCACGCATTTTCGAAACGGATACCAACCTGAGAGAATGCTGTAAGACTCAGTCCTATGACAGTGGAAGCCCAAAGTGGTTATTGTGGTCAATCCGCGATACCGATCGTACAAATGCTCTCATTCCATTTCGTTCCATCCTGGATTCTGCTACGTTCGCCACGCTGTTCACTACTTCTGCGCACGCAAACTCGCGAAACGCTTCTTGTATGCGTCCGTGACATACGCCTATGCAGAGGTGAACATCATTTTTCCGAGAGCAATCAGGTTGAGCATACCTCGTCAAACGTAGCGGTGAAGTTCGGCCTCGAGCGCAGGTCGCTCCAGTATTTGGTGAACCGCGCAAAGCGAGGCTCAGCAAGCTTGCTTAGCACGACCTTGCTCTCGCCCTCAGGATACCCGCCGATGTCGTTGTTCAATGCGACGAACGCACGCGCGATGAACGGCGTGATCGCAATATCTGCAGTGGAGTACTCGCCGACCGCGTAGCCCTCGGACGGGAGGAGCGCCTGCACCTCCTCGAGCGCGTTGAGGAATGCGTCCACGGAGCCGCCAGCCTGCCCGCGGAAGAACGCGTTCCAAGCGGGAGAGAACTTGGAAGAGACGACCTCGATGAAAAAGCGTGTCTTTGCGCGGGCTACGGGATCCGTGGGCAGAAGGTGCGCGTGCGGATAGACGTCGGCAACAAACTCGAGCAAGACGAGCGATTCGGCGATCTTGACGGACTGCGGGGACGGGTCTTCCGGGGCCGCGGTAGGGCCTCCGTATGCGATCGCGGGGACCTAAGATCGGGATCTTTAGCTGCTGTGGCAAGCGTCATGGGCTTCGAATGACTCCGACCTTGCTCGCCGGATTAACCTTGGGTGCATACCACGTCGGCTTGTTCTGCAAGTCAATCTGGTAACTGGTGTACTTGGCCTTCGCTTCTTCCAGGGCCAACTCGACCTGGAATAGTCAGGTCAGAGTTGATCGTCCTATGTGTAAGATAGTCGCATACCCTGTGTGCGTAGGGGCAAATCTATAAGGGTCGATCATCATGAGCCCTCTCATACTTCTGTGCAAGGGTAATGAAGATCTTTGCACGTACCTTAGCGGTGTAAAGGGTGAGAGTCTCGGTCATGTTGATGGTGTGAAAGTTGACGGTGGTGCGTGTCACTGTGCGAGCCCCGCATTATAAGTAGAGGTCATTGAGTCAATTTGTAAGCATTGACAAGAGAAGGCACAGTCGTCATTGTCGCAATCTCTGTAAGCAAGAATGCCATTCGTTCGAAAGTGATGCAAGGAGGATCGTGTGATCGATAGCCCCAACCTCGAACTAGGGGCAAATCGAGCGTCTCCCCTCAGCGTCTCCTCTGACCATTCGCCAGAGATATGGCCCAGGTCATTGCTCAAGTTCAATATTCTGCTCACCGTCCACTCGTTGTTAGCAGACTTCCGCAGCTACTACCCTTTGCCAAATGTTCCGATGACTCAAGTCTAAAAGCTAGTTGTACCAGTGCGAGTCAATAGAGCTCCACAACTTCTTAGATATCAGCACTCACCACACGGAAGGCAGAGGCGTCCACCTGCATTCCCTACTAGCAGTGCTTGACCATGTCCGATGATCATGTTCGGTTCACAATCGTGAGGCGTGCTACCGACTCATTGACGCTCTTTGTCTTCTCCACAACCCTGCTGGGCCCGGGCTATCCATGCGCCTCTCTGATCCTGGTCCAGAGTCCAGACGACTTTCAGCGCCGTAGATGTCACGGGCTAGAAATGTCATCGAATTCTACTGCAGCCTAAGCTATCAGCCTCTAATTGCATATTGGAGGTATAGTTACCATTTTTCTGGCGCTACTTACGTGTAACTACTCAAAGCACATGTGTACAGGGTTGGGCCGCAGCCATAAGCTGTGTAGCAAGCAGCAATGCATAGCGCAGCCACCGCTGCTTCGCTGTCACCGCCCACTCTGCGGAGTGCACACCAATGCTGAAATTAGCATGCACGCGCCGATCTAATTCCGATTGCTGTGTCGGCGCCTTGCGACGCGAAGGCGATCCCGGAAGATGTTCCCCCTCCTTATTCGTGTTATAAGGACTCTATGTCGCTGCACTTTAGCTGCACCTCCAGATTCATCAGACCATGTCTTCCAACATGTACAACTTTCCCGAGAAGGGGGACGAACGATACTCTTCACAACGTGTACAGAGGGGCTTCGAGCAGCCACCGTATACTGGCGCTGCAAACGGTTTTGCAGCCCCACCAAGTTACGATCAGGTGAGTAGACGTTTGCGCACGAAGGGGTTTAGAAGGAAGTGCTAAAGATCAGTCCAGACATATGCAAGGCAGGATGCGGGTGCATCGGGAACTTATGCGAACAATCTCTACGCATCGTCTCAGACGAGCTCTTACGCCACACCAGACATGCAGCGTACCCAGACTGGACAATTGCAGGCACACTCATATGTAGGCCAATATAGCTCGAACCCGCAGGGTCCCCAAGGATCATATGCAGGCTCGCCATATACCGCGCCGACCCCTTATCGGCAACCGAGTCCTGCAGGCTCGTATACTGCCCCAAGCGGCCAATCGTACACCTCCGAAAAGGATATCTACACTCCACCTCCAGAAGGCATGCGCAACGCGCCATCATCCGGCTACGGCGAACCTTCTTCTCGGGACTATTCCCCTTCCCCTGGATATGGATCGTCGCAGACGATTAGAGGGCCTACCAGCTATCTCAGGTCCATGGGCGGGCAAGGGTCGAGCTCCAGTGGTGGCTTACTAGGCAAACTGAAGGACTTCGCTCCCGGTCAAAGCGTAGACGCACTGATCAACCCGCCGCCCCCGTCATTCCAGCGTGCGCCCGCGGCAAACCTACCTTATCCGCCGTTCGAGCCCACCTCACTCGTCGGCACTTCCAACGAACTTAGCAATGGCTTCCCCGCCCTTCCTCCTCCGATCATGGGTGGCCCTCATCCATTCCCGACGCATGACGTGCATGAGGAGGACTGGACGCGATTCCTGCACGACGTGAAGGCTGCTGCATCGTTGTCAGGGACGGACCGTATTGTGTCTAACGTTGCGCCCATGGCTGCAGGGCTCAGCTTCGGTGTCGGTAAGCGCAATCTGTTATAGCCTCGGGGCCGTTGCCTGACAGACGATTGCTAGGGCTGCTTTTGACCAGAGGAATTGAAAAGCACCAGAAGGGCAAGAAGTCTGGCGTTGTCGGCGAGCTAATCGACTATTGGAATCACGTATGTTGCCTGTTCCCTCCAGAGGTTGTATATCACTCAATATGCGGTGCTTAGCACTTCTTTAATCCACGACGCATCAATGTTGTACTCGCACGAGGAGCGTCGAGCTACAGCGGGCCCGATGTGCCGCCCCCGGATATGGCATATTACTACAACAACGGCAGTCAAAGCCGCTACGACTCGGACTCGGACAGCGATTCGGACGGCGACAGACACCGTGATAGGAGAGAGCGGAGGCATCGAGACAAGGAACTTAGAAAGGAACGGCGAAAGGCGCGAAAGGAGCTGAAGAGAGACGCAAAACGTCACGAGCGGGATCAATGGCGTCTGGTGGTGGCGTACAGGGGCGATGGTGCATACAGGTACTAATCATGGGATACTTGGGTGCCTTTGCACAATCAAGTACATAATCCACCTGCACCGGTACTCCACTCTTCTGTCTAATTATAGTTCTTTGGCTGCTCTCATGGCAATATGTACATTGGCGCTTAGCATATCGATCGTACAGAAGGAACCACCGCGAGGGTGCATATATGAGACTAGAAACTTGGCGATTTCAAGGCTATACTGATGTACAGAGACTTCGGCCAGAATGATGACTGTGGCGCAGTAAGGCGCAGCACGACAGTGTACGCTCGGGGCCCGACGGCATGTACTACCAGTTGTCACAGCCACGCTCGCAATCACAAGCAACGGAGAGGAACAAGGGTCGGCGTACTATCATGCACACCAATGAATTCATGGGCTCACTGGCTCCGCATTATACCCCCACAGTGTACAATCAGCTGTTAAGCAGGCTGCGCTCGCCATGAGTCCTCGTCAGCTATAAAAGACGGAGAGGCGATAGGGTAGCCTATAAACAGCGGATTGTCTCGCATCACCTCACGACATCTTACACTATTACTTTTCAAGTTCTGCGGCACTAGAATGGACTACTCCGACAGCACTGGCATAAGCAAGGCCCCTAGCGGGCCTCTACCAGCGTACCATGATGATGTCGGTGATATATCTCTACAGTTCCACGGCAGATAGTTTGACTGACTCGGAGGGCCTTTGCCACAGAGGAACGCGAATGCAACCGGAACATATGCAGGTCTTTCATACATGTCCCAGGGAGGAATGTATATCCCTCAGAGCTCGGGCGATAGGAATGTCTACAACCAAGGTCGCCTCGACCCGACGCAAAACCTTGCATCCTATCCAACTTTATCCGTGTCACCTCCAGGCTCTTCATTGCAGACCCCGCGCCCTGAGGCCGGCGCGCGCACGCCTTCCGCATCTTCTGGTGCGGTCCCCAACGTGCTCGGGTCCCTGAAGCAATTTTTGCCCGGGGACAATGTCTCTGCATTGTTCGACCCGCCGCCGCCGTCTTTCCAAAGGCCGCCTCGACCAGACCTCCCGTATGCGCCTTTTGCGCCGACGCCCCTAATGACAGCAGGAAGCGAGCTGGACAAGGGCTTTCCGCTGATAGCTCCGCCTTCGACAACGGTCCCTCATCCGTTTGTGACGCATGGTGTTGGCGAGGAAGACTGGCTGCGCTTCTTGAATGACGCAAAGACGGCAAGCAAGCTTTCTCCCGTGGATCGTGTGAAGTCGACCGTCGCGCCTATGGCTATGCACATGAGCATCGGTATAGGTGAGTCAAATGTCAGCGGAACGCCGATACTTTGAAGGCTGACAACCTCGCCCCGCAGGCTATCTGGTCTCTAAGGCCATAATGAAGCGTCAGAAGGATAAAAAGCGACCGCCGTCGGCCAGTTCATCGACAACTGGAATAATGTGAGCTATATAGCAGTGCGTGACGGCTCGTCACTCATGTAACTGTCAGCACTTCTTCCATCCGCGTCATATCCACGTAGTCCTGGCCCAGGGAACGTTGAGCTACAGTGGCCCAGATGTGCCCCCACCAGACATGGCCCATCTTCCGCCCCAGGACCACCATTACGACACAGACTCGGACAGCGCGTCTGATTCTGATGTCAATGGGTCAAGCAATAGTCCTGAGAGCAGCAGAGTTGCAACGAGGGGAGGACGCCGCGAACGGCGCATGGAAAGACGGGCCGAGAGAGGGCAGCGCATGGGACGCAGGAGGGAGAAGAGAAGTCAAGCCAAGGAGCAATGGCGCTTGATAGTGAGCTACAGACTGGCGAATACGTGATTCTGGGATACATGATGGACGATTGTTAATCGCATGTACGCAGAGGGCATCTGATATTTATATGTAACGTTCAGATTTTCTTTCACAAAGCTGGGCTATATCGTATCAGCTTGACTCACATTTTGTCACCCACTTTATCGGGTGCTTCGCTACAGGTGTGTGAAGAAACCAGTACTATACATACACACGTGTATTATCCAGCATAGGGCGTCGCCTCCAAGCAACTACAACACTGGATTTGAAGATAAAAATAAAAAGCCAGTGTGACTATAATTTAATGAGCTCAGCTTGCAAATTGTGCCGGTATTTGGGCAGTACCGGGCATCCTGTTAGTCGACAAGATGTTAGAGAAAATTATTCAAAGTGACGATTTCCAGATCTTCAAGCTTGAGCATTGAATATGTGAAATGATACACACGGAAAGCGATGAAGTAGTTTGAAGTCAGGAGATGCGATCTCCTAGTCACATGAGTCACCTCACTTGGGGAGCTTGAGGCGCTTCTTGCGGCCCTATCCCTTCTGCTGAGACGCAAATCTCGACCGGCTGGCTCCTGAAGTACCCGCGCTAGGTCCAAGGTTTGTATGTGCAGGGACCTTCGGTGACGAGTATACGCTTGAGGCCCTATCAAAAATTTTCCGTCCAAGTTCAGCGCTCAGTGCCAAGTCGCAGTCTGAGGAGTGCGGGCCGTGCGATACTACATATGTTCGTAATCAGACATAATGCCGCAATACAGTACCGACCGCACGCGTATGATAACGCCCTGACAGTTTCATGCCCTTTGGTGTGAGGTGAGGATATGCAGAGCCTGCGGAGGTTTAAACATGTGCTTTGTCCTCAAGAGACTGCTGGTGGCTTTGCTGTGGCCGCGCCACATTGGGTCAAAGCGCCTGTCAATCATTTGTATAAATAGCAACAGGGCACATTCTCACCGCATTCTTGCTCTCCTCACCGGGTATGTGCTCTCCTCATTTCTGGCAGATGATTACTGGTTAACGGTTTGTTGTCAGTCCGTCTTCGACGTCTCCATTTACAGCCACTTTACTCCGAGTCGAACTCCTCGGCATTTCTTCTGAGATTGTCTCATGGCGTCCGTCAAACCTGACGTGCAACTCTACTCTAGCGGCATCAATCCGAATGCATGGGTGAAAGACACAGAGTTCTGGTCACAGGACGGGAACGTCGTGCTGTTTGCTCAGGGCCGTGGGTTCCGAGTGCGCCACGATAACCTCATGTTTCAATCCGAGGTCTTGGAGGACATGTACAATTCGGCTTTTCTGGATACTGCTGCCTACATTGAGGGCTGCCCTGTGGTGCATCTACAGGGTACTTCATGGGAGGTGTGGTCGTTGTTGGCAATGATATTGCACAAGAAGGAGTACGCCACCGAATTGTTTTGCGACTTTCATTTGAACTAACGTGATTTCTAGACCGCTACGTTCTGACATCGTGTGCGGCGCAGTGCGGCTCGCACACAAATACAACATTTCGAAATTGTTGAAGGCGGGCCTCAAGCGTCTCAAGTCTTTCTTTTGCGAGGACTTGGCTACTTGGCGGTCGGTGTTCTCCAAAATGCACAGCGGCCTCATTCTGGTCAGATTGTGCGACGCTATAGCAGTCGTACACGTCGCCTACCTCACCAACACGCCGTCTCTACTTCCTACGGCACTATTCGTGTGCACGCTTCTGCCTGTCAGCACACTCATCGATACAACCACTGCTCTCTCTGAGCACGAGAAACTGCGACCAGACCTGCTCATCAAGTGCCTCGAAGCCAAGGCCTTCTATGCTCGAGACGCCGTAGTGGTGGCCGCCCGACTTTTCAGTCTGTGGTGCACGCACAAGCCGACAGCACGGAGCTGTGGGTGCCAGAGTTTCATTGCGGGCTGGTATGACATCGGTGTCACGCGTCTTATGGACGTTGAACGTCGGATTGAGACGACGAAATATGTCGATTCGCAGTACACCGCCTTCGGCGGGTGGAAGGAGCACATCACCGAGTGGATGGATAATCGCATGCCGTCAGAGTCGATTCCGGTACCGTGTCGGGAATGTGGAACAGAGCTGCTTGCGAAAGAGAACGAGGAGTGCTGCCGAGCATGGCAGGAATTACCTGAACGGTTCGGTCTGTCGGAGGCTCTCCCCAACTGGGCCTACGAGCTAGGTGGACGTCGTGGTGTTGACTATTCCTTCACTTGGCTATATCGTGCCTAGGCGTAAGTTTACGCTGGCTTTGAGCTTTTGCTCCACGTTTCAAAAATTAAAATGTTACTTAGAACAAAGATACTTATGAACAATAAGTGAATAATAGGAGAATGAATTTGAAAACAACGGGCATGTGGTGTAGTTGGTTATCACGCTCGCTTAGCATCTGCACTTGCGAGAGGGGTCCGGTTCGATCCCGGACATGTCCATATTTTATCATTTTTGCCCAGTGCTAATGGCCGATGTGTCCAAATCTGGGATGAGAAGAGAGGCAGTGGCTGCAGACGCTGTCCTCGACATCCTCTTCGACGGCAACGATGTCGACTCCCGCAGCGCAGCCCTCACTCCCGCTCGATGCCCCCAAACCAGAGAGGCCTTCTACAGGTTCGCGCATGCCCTCGCTAAACCAGCTCGCAGCGCGCATCAACCTCAATGCGAATACCAACCCTGCGTCTGCTGCTTCACGTCCTCGCCTTGCTGCGGCTCTTCTCCGTACTAGCTCACAGGGTTCCGTATCGAGCTCGGCTGCTGCGTCGACTTCAGACTCTGTCGCAGTGAATCCACCAGGATCTCGCTCCGCTTCCCCTGCCAACCTCGCGACGTCACCGCCGGGCAGTCGCGCGACGACCCCAGGCCAGAGCGATGCAGGCCAGGGAGAGCAGCTCACGTCTGAACGGCTCGAGCGGCTCAACAAGGAGACAGACCAGAAGAAGGATGGCAAGATGCCTAGGGGGTACAAGAACATCCCCAGCCTCGATGCCATCACTGCACGCCTTGCCAAGGCTCGCTCGCTCAGTGTCGACGGCACAGCTAAGCCTCCCGAGGCAGAGACCATCGAGGATCCCAAGACTCCTGGTCTGCGCATCAAGGCTCCAGAACACCCCCTGGAACACCCATGGTATGTCCGCTCTTCACTGTCTCGTGCGCATACATGGATCTCTACAAGCCTTGTCTGAGTCACTGAGCATCATGGATCGAGCGTGCAGCATTCTCGATGTTTCATGTGCATGTCCATTCCGTCTGCTGTAGTGCTCTGACCTCACGGGGTCAGCCCGGCGGTATGTAATGTGTGCCTTGACAGGCCTTAAGGCCTGGTTGAGGATGTAATTTCGGATCCAGGTTCTGTGTGGCTGCCGTGCAGCGATCTCCCAGTGGGTGACAAAAGAGATTGGTGTTATGCACAGCTAGGAGCGAGAAATTGCGCAAGGGTACCCTGCTGGCTTCGGCGATTATCCCTTTGCTTTACGCTGGTCCTCCCGGGGGCTTTGGACTTGTGCTCGCCAAGTCGGGTGTGTATTATGCCTTATCCTTAACAGAGTCAAGAACTGGATAAGTAGTAGACCTTGCTTCGGTTTAGGGGGACGGTAGCGCCGTCCCCAGTGACGTCATACGTCGTGAGGCTGCTTTGGAGACGCAGTGCAGCTGTTTGTCCATTGGTGTCCAAAGTTTCATTGTGTTTTTTTGTCGTCGTGGGGAGCATACTATATGCGTCAAGATGGCTTGTTGTGAGTCCGACACGCTGTGCAGTAATGTGTCAGATGACAATATGTGCGCCTACGCCGCTTTGGCTCAAGCGCCGCACATTGGCAATTGTCCACAGTACATGGGCTGTCTTCGAGCATGCAGTGGTCATACCGAGCGTGGAGAAATGACAGTGTAACTTCTGCACTACTATGTACACCACCCAGCAGAACATGACAATTAGTTTCATCTATGCTGCGCATCCAGGATCCCAATTCCTACGCCTCTTCTTAGCCTCGTGCTGATATCGCGCTTGCTTACAGGACAATATTCCATGACACAAAGTCAAAGATGCCCTTCACACCCGCGTCCGCTAATGTAGTTAGCACAATTGCATCGGCAGAGCCGCAAAGCGCGACGCACTTCCAACCGCCCGAATCGGACGAATACGAGGCAGGGCTGACCGTGATTGGCGAGTTCGATACGGTCGAGTCGTTCTGCCGGTACTTCAACTGGCTGAAGCCGCCGTCGCGCCTTGAGCGCAACTCGAACTATCACCTTTTCAAGTCGGGCATCAAGCCGATGTGGGAGGATCCCGCGAACGCGGACGGCGGCAAGTGGGTGCTGACGATGAAGAACAACCCGCAGCTGCTCGACCGCTGCTGGAGCTGGCTCGCGATGGCACTCGTCGGCGAGGATCTCGACGAGGGCGACGAGATTTGCGGTGCGGTTGTCAGTCTGCGCAGCAAGGTCGACCGCATACAGGTCTGGACGCGTAGCAAAGACGACGTTGAAAAGATCAACGGTATCGGACGCAAGATGGCGAAGCTGCTCGATGTCTCAGAGGCTGACGGCATCGGACTCGAGTTCCAGGTGAGTGCCCTTATTTCGGTCAGCGTGACAGAATTCGTTCTTATTGCATCCACTCGCAGTATAACAACGACGACCGTCCAGTGCCGAACAAGTTCCTTACCATACAGGCGTTGCCGCAGACGTCCTTCCGCACGTCGTTTCACAACAAGAACAGCCCGATGAGCGGTCCTGGAGAGGGTCCAAGCATCGCAGGCAGCGGCCCTGGTGTCGCGGGTCCAGGAGGTGCTTTTGCTGGGTTCGGAATGGGTGGCGGCCTTGGTGGACCTGGGTGGAGGTCGAAGCCGCGGCAGTAAATGCGTTGCAGGAGCGTTAATCGACCGGAAGAGGGGGTTTCTTGATATGCAGTCGGACATTGGTCAGCCTGCACGCTCTGAAGTTGGTCGGAAAGGAAATGTTCGATGAGGTGTAAGATGTCCTGTACGTGGGAGAGGATCGCCTGAGCGGAGAAAACGTCGACATATTTATTACAACCGCATGATGTAGCCATGGTATACAAGGAGTACATGCAGCAGAAGACATAAGATGGTACACAGAAAGGCTCAAGAAGGTACACTATGATCAACATCGACAGGATCTTTCGGCGAAGAATCGTATGTCTTAGTCCGTGTAGATAAAGCAGCGTCTATCTCTCCTGTTGGTGGACGTTCTACAGTCGTCAGTGGAGCAGCCGTAGGTGGGTCGTCCGTCACAGAACTTCGTGTCTTGTCGAGATCCGCAAGATACTTCTTCATCCATTTTTGTCGTTTGGAGTTCGTGACTTGCATCTGTCGACGGTAGCGCTCACGCTCGTCTCGACTTGAAGCATGCAAGAGGAAGTCTTCCGTATTGGACACGAAAAATAGCCGATATGTTCGCACGCAAACCTTGATCTCGAGGCCGCCATGTGCAACAATATCCGGGAGAGCACTTTCGGACTTGGGTAACCGCGAGGATCTACCAGAACGGTCAGCGGGAGCGCGAAGGCGGTCTCCATGACAAAACTGACCTTCCCAAAAATGGCCGACGGATAGGACCTTTGACGATACCCTGAGTTGGCTCATCCTGCGCAGTTGCTTTCGGGTCAAGACTTGGACAGACAGAAACTATGATTCTATCACTCACGGATACGAATGCCTCGACATATGCTTGCCACCGTCCAGTGAGTACCTCCGAGTCGTCGATACTGGAATCATCCGTCCCAAGCAACTGCACGGTCACGAGTTTACTCTCAGGTAACTGATGCGTAAGGTAAGCAATGCATCAACGTGAAGCCTCCACATCGATATCAGAGAGGGCACGTACCCAGTCCAAACGGAACAGATTTTCATCCGGACCAAGAACTCTCTCTGTGTTGCGGCGAGCATTGATCTGATCCTGGGTGGTAGGCGATGCGATCTCTCGTTCTCGACTCAACAGATCAAAGAGATCCTGACTCTTCGCATCCAACAATATATTTTGGATCTGTCAACAGTCAGATTCGGACAGTAGACAGGGGATGATGAGTTAGTAGCTCACTTGCTTGATAATTGCTCCCACCACCTTATCGACTGTAAACATCTTGTAGGCATCCTAGCGGACGCGTCAGGGCTATTTGCTTGACAGAATTTTGAAACACTGACCTTGGAGCCAAACATCCAACGAAGACGGTCTTCGAACGCATGCTGCTCAATCTCGTTGTCGAAGAGCTTCTCACACGACTCCAACATCAAGCTGTAGAACTGGGAAGCAGGATTGCTGACAATATATGCATCGCTTGCGACGCTAACATCAGCTGCGACATGATTCGGTTTGTGTGAGGCCGAAGGCCCATTCGCAAGTTTAGTTGCCAGGCTCTTGAAGTGATTCAATCTTGAGTAGAGTAGCTACGATCCACATGAGCTCACAACTTCTCGCAGTTGAAGTGCCCTTACCTCAAGCAAGCGAAAGAACACATAGAATGTTGTATTGGTGAAGAAGCTGTATCTTCGACGTGCGCGAGGTCTTTCAGAGCCAATGACTGATGGTCCTGGTGTCGGCTCTCTGCTTGAGTCTGCCCTTACCACAGGGCTCGCCTGATTCTCTTCTACGTGCATCCCATCGGATACCGCAGGCGATCCTAAACGAGATGCCGACGGCGACCCCGTGTGTGCACGGGTTCTACGACTGGACTTGGCCTGTTCACTCTTGAGCAATTTCTTGCGTAGGTCTCCAGAGGATCCTGCGCCGTTCGCTTTCCGATTGTTTCTACCTGCCCGGGCGCTGCCTGTGCCATTGGGAGCTTCAGATTCATCAACGACAGTATCGACATCCATATCGCTGTCTGCCGTCTCATGATGCGGTACGAATACACAATTAAACGTTGAAGCGTCTTGCGCGAAGAATAGCGGCATGAACGACCGCAAAAACGTCTCGATCTTCTTCCTGTCCTGGAAATTTATCTGGCCTTGCGTGCGATCGAGGAAGGACAGACTGAGCTTGATGGCGTCTTGCAATACGGACATATCATCGATGGCGAATTGCAGCTGGTGCCGTGGGCGTGTCCGCGCAAAAAGAGGGTCAATGAGGGCGGCTCGTTTCGCCACCTGCTCGTCCCGCGCCGCCTCGATCTGGTTGACAAAGAATTTGGCGGTGATCACTTTCTTATCTGCTGCCTTAAACGTGACCCCTTGATGGTCAAGAGACTTATGATAGTTTTGCGCGTCGACCTCCCGCCACACTTTGTTCCATTCGCGCTGCGCGCGCTTCCACTCCTCGTGCTTGACTTTGAGCCGCGACAAGACTACGGGGATGGCGAGCGCTGGCACGTCCTGCATAGCTTGGTATACCTCGAAACCTGCTTCGCGCCCGTAGATCTTCTTCAGCACGCGTAGATGAACGCTTTTGCCCACTCCGCCTAGATTGGGTTTAAGCTTGAAGGTGCTACGCTCCTCAGGACTAAGCTGCGCAATCTTGTTATTGAGCGGCTCAAGCATGTTAATAGTCCGCTGTATAGCCTCTATGTGGAAGTCGTATTCATGGCGCTCCTCCTCACTCCTATGAAGGGCTTCCTCGAAAACATTGTTCCTGTGCGTCTGGAAGCCGGCATCCTCACTAGCAAATGTGGGCTGTGAGATCCACTCGTCGTTGAGAACTGACTTGCACATCTCGTCTCGGCCAGAACATATAACGTTCACCTCCTATGTGTAGCCAGACATCATTGACGACGACCTAGAGAAAATCGAATTGCAGCTTACATTCATTGGTAGTCGCCTGTAGCTGCCATATCGAATGTTAAGCTGGTTGCGACTAGGCCTATCCAGCGCAGCCATTGGTCTTGTCCAGATGTCTTCATCCACTGCGATCCTATCTCGTCGCTCATCCCAACCCAATATATCCATGAACTGTGCCATAAGCTCTCCATCGCCTAAGAAGGATCGACTTTCGCGCACAAGCCGTGCAGTGTCAATGATGTCTTGCGTGAATAGGTTGACGAGCTTCAAGAACTCGTTGTAGGTCTCACGATTGTCCAGTGCCCGTTTAACGCGGTCGAAGAATTGTGTCTCGTCAGCAGGGCTGAGTGGAGGCGGCGGTGCTGGTGCGGTAGCAGCCGGAGTAGGAAGTGGAAGAGCAGGTGGTGGTGGATGGTGCTGCATGTGAGACGAAGACTGCGCGTGAGCTTGTCGGCGAGGAGATGAAGGAGCAGCAGGATTGCGTTGCGAGAGCGAGGGAGAGGTAGTCTCGTTTGGGTGGATTTGAGCTGCTCGGGCCTTCTTAGCCTACGAAATGTTAGAATGACCGTAGTCGTCAAAGGTAACACTCTGACCTTGCTCGGGGCTGGCTTGGGAGTCTCCTTCTCTTTTTCCTTTTCTTTTTCCTTATCCTTGTCTTTGTCCTTGTCCTTATCCTTGTCGGCTGGCTTCCTCCTCCGTTTCTGGGGTACACCCGACCCTGATGCAGCATTTGAAGCAACAGAAGAGGCGTCTCCCTTCCGCCTTGAGCCTTTGGTTTCGCTTGCAGGCGTGCCCATCTTCCGCGTCTCCTGAAGCTCTGCAAGTCGCGCCAGCTCCATCTCCTGTGCGTGTTTGTCGGGTATAAACTCAATGAAGTCCTTCATGAGCCCCGGTGCGTCGTGGAACAGCTTCCCAATGCGTTGCACAACGTCGCCCTGGGCACACCTCGCCGACAGGAATGCGACCGCCCACTGCTCTAGCTCGCGCACCTCGTGGCTAGACGGCCCTGCCCCTGGGCCCATACCCGGCCTCGGGGTGAGGAACTCCAAGAAGCGCCGGTACTTGTCTGACTCGTTCGCGTAGTGTGTCTTGACTCGCTGAATGTACGCAAGAGCTGGTCCCAGGTTCACAGGAGGAGCCTGCGAAGACTCCGCTTCAGATGGTGGCGGCGGCTGTGCGGCCTTTGGAACGGAAACATTGGAGGCCGCCGGGCCAAAAGCGAATGGGCCATTCGTAGGTTGTCTCGTTGTGCCTGATGGCGTTGTGACGGTAATTGTGTTCGGGTTCAGGGAGTCTGTGGTGCAGTCAATGCGGTAGCCAGCTGGGAGGAATGTATTGAAGCCTTGTATAAGAGTAGGGTGGCCATGGAAGAGATTAGACACGCGTTCAATGACTCCAGGAGTGTCAATACTGTTAAGATATGAAGTGTCATCAACGTTGAGAGGTATATCGAAACAGGGCTCACAGCTGGCTCTTGAAGTCCTTCATGATGTCCAAAAACCGATTGTACACTTCCGGATTCGCCTGGAACTTCTGCTTTACATCGTCCAAGTATGATAGCGCGTCTGTCACATTCAGCGGCCTATCTATATGTCCTGGTTCCACATCCAAATTGGTACCGGCCGCTGCGTCCTGCATTGGTGGCTGCGTATCTGGGTTTGTTGTTGAGGACCCGACTGGCAGAGCTGAAGCTAGCACGCGTCTATCAGGGTCATCGTTGTGAGTCCGGCCGTCGAATGTCTCGTCGACAACGGGCACGCCGTCGTCGATCATAGCAGTTAGTCGTTGAGCTGAACAGCGAGCAACGAGATGCTAAGCGCCAGAGAGACGCGGTCATTGATGACGGCCACGTGATGCGTATAATTGCGTCGCGCCACGCGACGCGCTAACAAGTTCAACAACTCTTCTGCAGCCCATCACCAGACGCGATCAACAGAGACCATGTCTCGGCGTGAGTGACCCATCTAACATAACCATAGCGAGATTTACAAGCCAACGCCGACAAAGCGCGCCTGAAGCACGAAAGCTGCGGACCTCGACGTTCTCGCACGGCTGATCGTATTCATTTGATTAGCGGATGGTGATTGTACCAAGGAAACTTACCGCGAGACCCGGGTCCAGATTTCGATCTTCATGCCAAATCTGCCATATTTCGCCTGTGATCTGTGGATCATGCGTTTTGACCTACAGATTCTCGGAGCTTCATCACTAATGTATGTCTCTGGAGATGATTCTGCTTCAAATTCGTCAACAAGTGCATCCTAGCGAGAGACATCACGAGTGAGTGTGAACAGTTGGCACCTATATCACCCAGATAGTCACCATCGTCGCACATAATAAACCCATTGGGTACAGCAAAGTCTTCATTATTCTTGGCTTGCCAGCCTGGGTACTGTACGCATTGGCTTGCAGATTGCCGGATACGGTGAATGCAAAGTGATAGCGGTGCATGCGATTCGCTAGCAAATATTTAATCGAGATAAATTCTAGTGATCAATACGTACATACCACCGTTCACTGGCCTTAGCCGACACACTCCATTGAGGATGCCGCTCACGACTAGTTAACTTCAACGCACACCCTCGTATTCGGGATTCTATGTGTGTTCCAGCATCGGGCAGAGCAGTAGGTTGCAATGTTGGTATTAAGTCAACTTGAACGAGGCCCGAACGAGGCCCGAAGCTCTACGACTTAACGATTCCTATGCTGCTACTTCGCGCATCAAGGTAGGAGCGTACAAAGCACTCTGAGGCGGTAGAACGGAGCCTGCATCATAAATCAATGACACGCCTCGATGAGGCATGTAGCGCCCACGTGCCACCTTATAGGTGTTCGTTGGTTCATATACGCAATTCCGATTTGCAGTTGAATCGCATACGCAGCAGCAACAAATCAGTGGTAGTTGCATAACCGGTCCCCTGATACTCTCTAGTAGCAACGTCTCAAGAGTAGGTAGCTCTTGAATTCTCGTCCAACAGCTCTCTGATTGTCTTCCTTTCACGATCCGAATCTGAATATCAGCTGACAGCTCGTTGGAAGCTAGCACCTTGGTGAACGTTGAAGTGTTTATTGACGTATGAAGCCGCAAGGTTGGTGTTGTCTTGTCTGTTCAAATGTGGCTACTGACAAAGACAGCTGTCGTTACGCAGTTGGGCATTTGCCTAGTATGCGTTTATTTTGTGGTAGCTCTGGGCGATCGCGCTAATAAATAGGCTTTTTCCACTTGTGTTTCGACAATCTCATGGCGAACACCGATGCGGGAGAGACCTCCCGGCGAAGACCACTGAAAGTGACTGACGCGTTGGTCTTCCTCAGCTTGGTGAAGGTGGCACTACAAGGGACCCCTGATGCTTACAAGCGCTTTGTTAAGCTGCTCAAGGATTTTAAGAGTCGCTCGTGAGTGCATACATACAACCTAACACTGTTCGTTTTTCAATATATCCGAACAGGGTGGGAACGGAGGCCGTGATTGAAAATGTATCAACTCTGTTCAAGGGACATCCAAACTTGATTCAAGGCTTCAACATCTTCCTTCCGGAAGGCTACCAGATCGGCTGTACTGTCGATGGTCTTACAATCACGGTGACGACTCCAACGAGCGTCATAACTCGTACTGCGAAGGGGAATACCACCTTAGACCATGCCTATAACCCCACTCTGGACGTACTCTACTCACTGAACAACGACGTATCCATGCATGTCGGTGGAACGGGCCTGCAGACCCCTCTCTCTTTCACCCAGTACCTCAGAACCCACACGGCGAAGGACCCGGCAAAGTATGCAAAATTCCTGGAGGCGCTCCGTTTACAAGCATCGGTAGCAGGAGAATCACAGGACTTTTCTACAAGTAGCGACAATCATTTTTCCTCCGAAACAGAATTTCTGCGACGCATCGCAAGGCTATCCCGGGACTTCCCAGGCATTGACAGGGAGTTCTTGAATTTCCTGCCGAAGGGCCATCCACACCGGAAGGTTCTCAGAGACCTTATAGCATCGAATCAAACAACCGTCGACTCGTCTGGCGGAAATATGGCACAGAATCTTGTATCGGCCGTGGATGCAAGTGTGGCCACCAAACGAAAGCGAAGTCACTCAGAAATCGAGAGCGAGCGCCTCTCAGAAGGCACGTACGGCAAGGTATAGCCGTGTTAAATGTCCACACACGACCCCCCTCGCTGACTTTGGCGCTCCTTATAACAGACAGTATCCGCCGCCGAGGAAAGCAGCCGTACAGATTTCTCGAATGTGTCTCTGTCTGCGCCCCCGTCTCTTGCCAACAACGACACGCTCGAAACCCCCCCAGCACTGCTCAATACTCTCCCACTCCTTCGTTCTTTCACGCCTACCGCTTCTATCCGTCCCTCTCAAGACGACCCCTTCTTCAGCCGTGTTAAGGAGGCGTTGGGAAACCAAGAAACATATCACGAGTTTCTCAAACTCGTGAACCTTTTTACACAAAATGTCATTGATGCCGCGTGGCTTGTGCGCGAAAGTAGATCGTTTCTAGGCGAAGGGGAGCTTCTCGAACAGTTCAAGGAGACCCTCTCCTGGTCAAATTGGGCAGAGAGCGCGGCATCAGTTGAACATGTATGGCTCAAGCCCAGGGCAGTTCTTGACAGGCCTAGCATTGACCAGCTGAATAGCCGATATGGGAGTTACCGTAAATTACCTGCTGACGTCAGTACTCTATCTTCGCTGCTAGTAAACCCAGTGCTACTAGAATTGCTGATAATCTGTCACAGGAAATTGGCGTGCCATGTTCTGGTCGGGACGACCTATGTTATTCCGTGCTGAATGACGAATGGGCCTCGCAGCCTACATTTGCAACAGAGGATACGGTCTTCCAAGCTCACAAGAAGAACGTGTATGAGGAGGCGTTGCACCGCAGCGAAGAAGAGCGGCACGAATACGATTTCTACATCTTCGCACTTGAGCGCACTATTCAGCTCCTTGAAACGCTCAACACAAAGCTAGGGCAGCTCAGTTCTATTGCGAGGCGCGATTTCAGACTTCAACCCAATGTCGATGGTTACGGCAAAGGGATACACCTGCGGGTACTCAAGAAGCTCTACGGTTCGAGTGCAGGTCAGGCAGTCTACCAGGAATTACACAAGAGGCCCGCGGACGCGATTCCTCCTGTATTAGAGCGCCTCAAGCCTAAACTCATGGAATGGAGGCGGGCCCAAACTGCGTGGGACAAGATATGGCGAGAGCTAGATGCACAGAATTACCACAAGTCTCTAGACCATCAAGCCATCTCGTTCAAGGTCGTCGAAAAGAAAGCACTCACAGCTAGATCGCTTGTCAGTCAAATCGAGGCGGCTAAAGACGAGCAGGTAGCTGCTTGGAGGCGTGCATCTACTTCTGAATCGCGACGGGGTGGTCTGAAGCCACAGTATCAACTAGGATATGCTATGGATGACTTGACAATTCTCGGGGATTCTCTCGAACTGTCTTTCTCATACCTGGATCATATGTCGATCAACGCAATTGAGAAAAACAGGATCCAGACATTTTTGCGAACATTCATATCCCTTTTCTTCGCCCAAGAACTCACCACAATGGATGCATCATGTAATCCACAGAACAGCGGTGAGAACAGCCTTTTTTATTAGTGCTTCCATCTCACGCAGAGCCTTCGCGTGGCATACAAGATGTGGACAGGGATGTCCTGGGCGATTTGCGGACGATTGTGTCACGACAGTCTTCCGGGTCGTCAAGGGAGGCAATATCCAATGCCAGTGCATTTTCGGACCTATCGATTAGATGGTCCCGAAGACGTTATACATTCTTCTGCAATACATATTTTTACGCCCTCATACGGCTTATTGAGGTTAGTCAAACAGTCGATAGTAACAACCTGCCTGACAACGCCCCTTATCCGCAGATAACATACTCCCGCTTGGCCTCATTCAAGATGCTGTCCAAGAGCTTCGATGAGGAAACCAGTGAAAGTGGCCTACAACCTTGTGTCCAAAACCGCTACCGCGAGCTCCTGGTCTTGTGTAAAAATCTCTTTAGCGCAGAGCTTGACCAGCCCACATTTGAAGAACGGCTGCACTCGCTGTTCGGGCTCAAGGTGATTTGTCTGAACCTCCCTGAAGTACCACTTGACAAGACATTTATTAGGTGGCTTACATCATGTTCACTGCGGACAAAGTTGTTGGATCGCTAGTGAAGCAGGTACTCCTAAAGCTCACTGCAACATAACAACCACTGACCATTTTGAAGGCACAACACGCGATTTCGGACACAGCGAGTCAACAACTACTGCATCTGCTCCGACGCGATAGAGGGATATCTCTACTCACAGCGCAGGATCAGATGCATGCACGTCGCAATGCAGAAAGCATCGTGGGCCCAGACGAAAACCTATTCAGGATCGATTGGGTAAGCAATTAGTGATCGCCCTGCACCGTCAGATTTAACAAAGTGTTCGGGTACGTTCCCATAACAGCTTCCTGAAAATCGGCGAATCACAATGCAGCTTCTCGGAAAGGATGACTCCGGTTCTACTGACTGCGAAGTCGTCACAGGACGCTGGCAGGCGTATGTGACATCATTCATGAAAGTAGGTCATAGCGCTGCAGAACAATTTTACAGGTGTTTGACCGTCATATGATAGGATGAACGTACCATAGGTCTTCCCGCATCTTCGCATCTTCGCAGGCCATTCCTACTTCGGTATGTAGTCAATCCTCAGAATCGCAGAGAGTCTCTTAAGACATCCTGCTCTGACGTAGGACGAGACGGCCCCTAATTTCTCCACCACGGATAGCCACAAGCGGAAGCCTCCAAGTCAAAATCTGCGTGCGAACCTACCGACTTTTCTTTGTTTCCAATACAGCAGAAAGCTTGTTGCATCTAACAAGTAGGCAGGAATGGGCAGATTTGTATGCCACCCTCCGTGCCAGGGAAAATAAACGACGACAGTGGTTGAAAACGTTTTTAGAAGAGGGTCGGATACCTGCACGAGTCCGTTGTGACACAGATTCAAGGCATTGTCCCGCGACGATGGAAGAAGTAATACACAGATTCTGCGTTGTTGGTTGACCTTTAGAGCTGACATTGATATAGATGAGCGCCTTGGCTTCTCATCTCTCCGCGAGTGGATCGAGATGGCCGGTGACGCCAAACACAATAGGCATCACCAGTCTCGCTAGGAATCAGAGTGGCAATGCAATCAACTCGACACCAGCAACGGTCCCTACCACAGCTTCTCCCTCCGGGACGACCGCCGATTCACGGGCGACACTCGTCACTGCAGTAAGAAGACTGACGAGAGCGCGGCAGGAGTCGAAAAGGATTTCCACACGTCAGATAACAGCACCCATGATATCTACGGAAACTGTAGCTGTCGCTTGGGACGAGGGAACTGGGGGGAAGCTGCAGTTTACTGAAATTTGGGACGAGAAAGCTGGAGGAAAGCCGACAGATGTGCTGAAATGCCCTTTCCTCGGCAAGTGTCAGGGGCGGACATTCCATCAAGTAGGTCTGTTCGATCATATGTAAGTATCTCTTCGCCGCTTGGAACACCGTGAATTATTGACATCAGATCTCCTAGGACAAGCTCGCATTCGAATGGCTTCAACCCCGTAAATCCCGGGGATAGGAGACGTATACGCAGCCGCAAGACAAATATCCAAGATTTCTGGGAAATAATACTTCCCAATCTCGATCTTCCGTACACGTTGGACGTCTTGCAAGGGATAAGGTCGACGCTGAATATCCCACCACAAGTAGGATTGACGCAGAAAGCTCTACCCAGGCTGGCGGTGCCACAAGCAGAAAGGCTCACATTTAATCTTAAAGATGGCGAGCGAGTTGAGTTTTCGTAGCAAAGGGTTGCGTCCCTCATATAATTCGGAGCTCGTGGGATCATAGAGATATTTGTATTAGTTGCATGCCTTAGTAGTGTGCATAGGTCATAATGCCCTTGTTAGCGTTGTGGAGAGATCATGTGTATTAGAAACGCCTTGTTACGGCAGCATCTCGAATGGTTTAAGTGGTATCAGACATTCTTCACTGCGTAAGTTATATCTGCTACACACGGCAAGGGTGGTGACGGGTTTAGGCAACACGACCATAGCGATTCACATCAAGATCGTTGTTGAAAGCATGTAACTGAAATATACAGCGAAAACGCAACATCTGAACCCATTTCGCCTCGGAACTCTGAATTACCATTAGGACATTCTCATCTCCTTCCTCGCTTAGGATTACGCCGTTTTCCACCACGGGAGCCTCTCGATGCCTGCTCGCCTCTTCCATCATAGTCATCCATCGGGTCGTCCAACCGCATAGCATCGAGATTTTCACCCGGCCGCTTAGGAAGCGAATCCACCCTGTCCCACAATGAAGGCGATAATCCATCACCCGAGACATGTTGCGTATGGTTCACTGATATCCTGTCCAGAAGGGACGCCCGCGAAGGCAAGCCCGGGCGTGCGTTCAGCTGGGGTTCAGGTTCAGATAGCCTTGGAGGTGGGTGCTCGCGGCTGCCCGAGGACTCTGGTCCAGTGATGGACATGTCACCAGAGTCCCCAGGGAGTTTGGTAGCCATAGGTGGCGGGCGTCGTATACGCACAGGCTTGGATGTTCTCATCATCTCCTGCTCCGAAGGAGGCGCTGGTGGATGATGCAGAAGACGTGCGCGATCAGGATGAACCTTGGTGGCAGCGGGAGGCGATTCTTCTCTGAATATCGCCCGTTCGGGTCGATCCCAGCTAGCAGGGGCCATATCACGGTGTAGAGAACGGTCATGTGCATCCCTGACATCGACACGAGGAGAGGCTGGTCGCGCGTCCAAGGGCCGAGGAGGTAGAGATACCGATAGAGCATCGCCCCCAAATTGCTGGTCAGCGTATTTGGGGTCGTAATGAGAGCTCAGTCGCCTTTCAAGGCTGGCTATCGAGGGATGGGGACGAGCGTCTACCGCAACAGGCGGTTCATGGTCAGACGTGGCGAAGTCAGATGGGTGCCGCTGCCTTGCCGGCTCTTCAATCGCCCCGGAGCGAGTAATGACCTCATCACGACCGCTCCGACCGATCACACCATTGAAACGACGAGATATGTCGGCGTCAACTTGTTCTGGTAGGTGTCGGGAGGTGCTCTCCACCCTAGGCTGGCGACGGTCGGAATGTCTCCTAGTATCATCTGCCGGGTGCACGTCTCGGGTACGTATTTCGAGGGACATGGATTCCTCGCGCGTCATCCATATACGGGGTTCAGACGCAGGTGGGACTTGCGCAGGCTGCTGCACTGGTCCGAAGCGTGACTAGTAGAACGGCCTATGAGATCGGCGTGAACTTAATGAGAAGAATAGCAAACGCACTGGGCGTTCTCGTTTGTCGGAAAGTGGTACATTCCGTGGACGCGGCTCAACGCCAATGTCACAGTTCTCATTCACCTGAGCAGGGCGTGGTGGCAGTAGAACCTAAACATCAAAGTTGAATCTCCACTTCCTGAAGAGAAAAAGACTAGTGATCTTACTGGATTGTCGTTACGACTGACGTTGGAGAACGAACGAGGATGTGGGGGCACCTCATCACGATAGCCAGACGATGGAGGGCCTTCAAAATCATCCTGGGAGAAGTGATATAAGTATTCCGCGGTGACTATGCACAAAGGGGTGACCGCACCATACGATCATATACTGCGGGCGGACCTTGATCCTCACGAACAGGGTAACTACGTGCAGGTTCCGTCCGCTCTGTTGCTGATAGAGGACCCCGGCCGGCAGGTGAATGCGGCGGTAATGAGCCGGGTCGAGAATCACCTCTTCTAGAGCCGATAGGGACACTGTTGGTACCAGAGCCAAGAAGAGGTGTAGATGGCTGATCAAAAGTACGAGGTCCAAATCGTCCAGTGTCGCGCGGCTCCCTGGGGTTCTGTACGAAGGAATGAGAGACAATATCTTTGCATAGATCTGAAGAACAAATAACCTGACGATCCGCTTCGAACGCTGACTCCGCCCGTCGGCCATGTCGATCAACCGTGTTGTCGTATGTCACATTCCTATTCTCTTCAAATCGTCGAGGGCGAACCTCCGGACTTATGGCTGGGGCTCTGTAGTCTGCCCGGTCCCGACGTTCAGACCAACCTTCCTGCATCGGGTCAACCGCTGGCGGGCGATTCCTCGACCTGGAAGGCAATGGTAGCAGACCAGGATCTTGAGGCTGTGCCGATCGTAAGCTCGACTGAGATGGACTCGGAGATATACCAGGAGACGGCCCAGAAGGCAGATACGGTGCAGCCGCGTTAGCTTTGGTCATTGCCCTCGGCCCTTTGGGCAGCGCCTCGACTGGAGAATCCAAACCCGGGCGGTCAGCATACATCCCAGAATAAGCCTTGGCGGGACCCTCATGCAGCCGCAACGAGGACATCCTTGTGGTTGAATCCACATCGATGTCGTTTCGCTCCCTCCGCGCAGGGCCACCATCGTCAAACCGAGCACCTGCCCTGGAAGGCGGCGGTGGGAACCTTGCTGGAGGCGGGTGGTCACGGCTCCGTCCATTGACGTCGGCATCACGCACATGAGGAAGAAGTTGGCGGCGAGGGGGTATGTCCCTAGGAGCGTCAGTATATGTATGAGGCATACTGTTGTCATGGGTGCGTGACGGGAGAGTCTCATTCACAGCTCTACCAGAGTCAGCAGGGAGTGGAGCAGTCGGTGATGGCTCTAGCGCGGACGGAGGTCTTGCTGCCGCCTCACGGAATCGCGTGCTTTGCGGAGGGAGAGGCTGGCGTTTTCTAGAACCTACAGGGAATGAGGGGCCGAAAGGCAGTTGCCAGAGAGTGGGTGTGAGGAGCCACGAGGGTGGAAGCTGAGGAGTACGTACGTGAGTGATCACCAGGCGAGAGGGCCGAAGGATCTGGTCTCTCGGGAAGGGCAGTAGGTGTATATGCGTCGGGAAGTGGTTGACGGGGAGGATTATCGTCAAAACGACTGTCTACTCGTCTTCGCTTTGGGTCCAATTCAACTGGTTCAGGCGATCGCGCACCCCGACCTCTTCTCTGCGGCACTGAGTCGCCCAAATTGTAGCTGTCAACATCGCGAGATTGCGAGATTCCGCTTGCAGGTGGAGCAGGGCGATCGAATCGGCTTGTTTGACGCCTCAAGGGCGGTGGAGGATAATTGTTGACCGACGGAGGAAGTTCAGCACTAGGAGCTCCTTGGACAGGTCGTGATTCCGTGGAAGACGGTTCACGAAGATGAGGCGGCGGTGATCTATGCCCTGCAAGATGAAAAGGAGAAAGCGGAAAGGGACAAAGGGGGGATAGAGAAGGGGGAAAAGAGGAATCCATGATGAGCGTCCTTGTGTCGATCACGAGAAAAGGCCGGATAAATAATGCGGTAGACAACAAGCCTCAACTCCCAAGGTTTCTCGAGACACCTACGCCGGCACGTCCTCCACCTCGGGAGGAGTACGTCCGCCAGACACGACAGAGATGGGGATGATGGTGATAACGTACTTGGAGCCGACCACTGTAGACCTTCGTGGCGCACAACTGGATCTTTAGGCGGGAGCTGATGCAGAGGATCGACATCGATGCGTTGAGATCGACCGCGCAAGCGATCTTCAGGACTTCGACCGGTCATAGATTCCGCCGCACGAGAAGGCCCCCAGCGGCGCTCAGGGGTGTTCACTTGCCTGGACTGCAGCATTTCCCGCACATCGTCGCGCTGGGGGTCCCGCCACGTACTATCCGTAACGAGCCTTGGCGAGGACACGTCCCTGCGGCTACGAGTATTTGCGGCTTGCGCTTGATGTTCCCTTCGCGTCGGCGAAACCGAATGTGACTGGCGACGTTCAGGTACAGATCGCGGAGAAGGCGGCCGAGGTACGGGCAACGAGTCGGAGTGCGGTTGCTGCTGCGTAGAGCTACCACCCGCAGACGACGACGCCCCAGGTCGGTAGTGGCGGTCCTCGTAGGAGAGCCCGCTTGAAGGCGACGGTCTGCGTTTCGGCTCCTTGCGGGATTGAGCCCGCCCTTCGAGCTCATCGGTGTGCTCGTTAGTCCGCGCATCAGTCCGCGCTTTCGCGTCTGACCCACGCCGTTCGAGCGACCTGCCCTCCCTGACCTGCACAGCGCCGTTCTCTCTGTCTTTGGTTGGAGACGATCTGCCGCTCACCAGTCCAGGGCGAGTCCACGTCGACTCGTGCGTTTTCGTGTTGTAGTAATACTGCTCTTGCCCGCCATTCCGGGGCCGACGGATTTCCCAGTCTGGTGGCAGTTCGTGACCAGACTTACCGTGTCCGTTCATCCTTCGCTCCCTTTGTACCATAGAGCTGGCTAGAGTGCTCGTCTCTGCCGGACTAGGCGGGATGAACGGTGCCACAGAGACTACAGGCTTAGGAGGGAGAGCATGGGTTAGTTTTCCCAGAGATTGAGTACGCGAAAGCTGCGGAGTATTGGTAGACTGCGTCTGTGGCGGCGGGGGTGCTTTCAACGAGCCACTGGATGGCTCGCGTTGATGTTCGCGCTTGCTCTGCTGGAAGGCCTGCTGGTTCCCAGCTTTTTGAAGAGCGCCTTGACCTCGTGTGCCATCGTGGTCGGCGGGCTGGTAAGCGTAGAAGTTCTGCATGTCGTCGTCGTCGCCGCCGAGAGATACTGCGTCTTCTGCATCCTCTGGGTCGCGCCAGCCGTCGCGGGCGTCGCCAGAAGGTTTTGCCTCGTCATCGTCATGGCCCCAGTCGAGTACTTCAACGTCGTCGTCCATCGTGAGAGGAGGGTGTTTGTGGTTGTCGCCACCGACGATGTCAACGAGCATTAGATCGGCATCTTCCGCAACTCCGAATCGTACTCCGCCACGGTCACGTGCCATTCACTCATTCGCCGACGCGCGCCTGCACGGCGCACGACGACCTCCCAAATCCCTAGTGTTGACCACTCAGTTTCGGCTGTATATCGACTACTTAGGACTCTTGGACGTGATTAGCATTCCGGTCATAGAACGTACGACGAGACCTGGCGAGCTTTATTATTGTCAGCTTCTAGGCACCCGTCGGATACCGCACCCGCGTCTCATACCACTGCGTCCGAGCCCGGATGTCAGTCCTACCTCTCAGCTCGCCCCCAATAACCGAAAATGGTGCTCGCCCTTCGAGAGCATTTGGTCCTGGTCAACTACCTGGTCGGATTCAGGTCCCAGTCATATTCAAACGCTTGCTACGGTTTCACCAGATGGTACGCTCCGCGGCACTTTGCAACGCTCCAGGAGATGATAGCGAAGTAGGATTTTGAATTGGCAGCTTGGCAGTTGACCTATCTCTGTCTAGCACCAAAGAGGGTGTGAGCGAATCTCTTGTTGCCTTCTCATTCGCCCATGTTTACCGCCGCGACCAGCTACCGAAATGTTTACTTCCATAAACGTACGCTTCATTCGTTGTGTCTATCTCATGTATTCATATGTTGGCTAGAGACCAAAAATACATGGGCAAGGGATGATCCTGCGATTCTGATCCTCATAGCAGGGTGCCTATGTGGTACGTCCCAGCTCATTATTCCAAGCAGCAGCATTGTTCAGGCCGGTCACAGTGTCAGCCATAGCATGGTCCGTGGTATACTCATATTCGCCACTACAAGCCGTGAAGCTAGCACTCTTTATGATTCTGCGAGATTTTCTGCTAGTTGGAGCCGTCATAGCGACAATCCTCTGGTGTGTCATGATCATGTTTTTTCTCATATTATCTACAAACCCAGCGAATCGCACAGGTTCTTTTCGAACAGAATGCTACTATCTCCTCCGTCACACTCTGCCCCTTCAGACTCGCGTGTAGAATGGGCATATGCATTCGACGTGCATACCAACGCGTTCTTTCCATTCTACCTCACGTTATATCTCGCGCAGCTCATCCTGGTGCCCATAATCTTGAAGAGCAATTGGATTTGTCTTTTCGTTTCCAATACGCTTTACCTGGCAGCGTAAGTCATCTTTAGAGTTTATGTGGTGTTCAACGCTAGACTTTGCAGCGCAGATTTGCTCAGTATGTTTATGGAGTGTATCTCGGGCTCAATGGTGAGGCGCTCTTCTGTGGAAGACGTATCCTGTGTCTTCACTGATTCGTATGCGCAAGCCCTTCCTTTCCTTGTCCGTACAGACCTCCTACTAGCACCATTGCTCCCACTGTTCACCGGATATATACTGTCGTTGCTCGGCTTCAACATCGCAAAGCATGTCTTGCCCATGTACTTCGGTTCATAGCGCAGGCTCATGTGGTATCGCAGCTGTATGTGTAAATATGTGGACTACTATCTCTGTGGTGTGTTTGCTCATACTAGACTATGCTGTGCACATTGTACTGCAAATAGTAGTATTGTTTTCTGACTGCAGTGTTATAAGGTTCCTATCGCGTCGTATAAGTAGCGTCTTACACGAATGAAACTCCGATTAAGCGACGACGCTATGTATCATAATTAACCATAACAATTGCTTTCGGATCCCGCTAAGGGCCGGACGACCAATGTGGGGTCATGTACCTGTTTCAGTCTTCACAACCGCTATATCCCTCGAGACCTCAGTGGCCAGCTCAAAACGGCCAGCTCATATTCCAGTCATGACCAGCACTCGAGAACAAATTGAACGTGCCATCGTCCAAATACAACACAAGGATCCCCTTCCAGAGATTGACTTCACGCAGCATCAGCTAGAGAATGGCTTCACTATCAGTACGCAGGAGCGTGTCGTGAAGGAGGTACATAGTTAATCGCATTCGTCTTCCATTGCTGATCACTATGAGTGGTATCGCAGGTGCAAGCACCTGCCATGACAATCCCAACGGATGCTCAATTTTTCTCGCGCGAAGACCCAACGAAGCCGGACATAGCGTTCCTGAAGAATCACTTTTACCGTGAAGGCCGGATATCAGAGGAGCACGCTACGTATATTTTGGAGAAGGCAACAGAGCTGTTACGCGCGGAGCCGAACCTCTTGTATGTGGATGCTCCGGTGACTGGTACGTGTTGGCAAATGTCTTAGGCAATGGCACGCTTCACCTCTGCTTCCCTATCGGGAGACCTCATTGTAGTTTGCGGCGATATACATGGCCAATATGTGAGTATGATTGTATTTCAGCCCGCCGACATGTAACTTACTGGTCTTAGTATGACCTCATGAAACTGTTCGAGCTCGGAGGCAGTCCTGCTACGACCCGTTACCTATTCCTCGGCGACTATGTCGACAGAGGCTACTTCAGTATAGAGGTCGGTTTTCGCATTCCAGCGTCTTCATAAACCATTCGTAATGCATGGCGCCTATAGTGTGTCTTGTATTTGTGGTCTCTCAAGATCTGGTACCCGGACACGCTTTTTCTTCTACGCGGTAACCATGAGTGTCGCCATTTGACGGACTACTTCACCTTTAAGCTCGAATGTGCGTACCCTGGCTGCTCATGTAGCACCGATGCTGACATCGCCACAGGCAAACGCAAGTATTCGGAGCGTCTTTACGACGCTTGCATGCAATCATTCTGCGCGTTACCGTTGGCCGCAATCATGAACAAGCAGTTCTTCTGTATCCATGGCGGCCTTTCCCCCGAGCTACAAACGCTGGATGATATCCGCAACGTGAATGTTTTTACTATATTCATTCAACGGTTACGAAAAACTAACGACGGACTGTCACTGCTAGATTGATCGATTCCGTGAGCCACCAACCCAGGGTCTCATGTGCGACATTCTATGGTCCGATCCTGTGGAAGACTTTGGTCAAGAGAAAATGGGCGAAAGCTTTGTGCACAATCATGTCCGGGGATGCTCCTACTTCTTCACGTCCGTCCATTTCACGCAGCAAGCGCGTCGAGACTGATGGTTTACCTGATGCAGTTACCAGGCTGCATGCCAGTTCCTTGAGCGGAACAAGCTTCTCTCCATCATTCGGGCACACGAAGCACAGGATGCTGGGTGCGTCTTAAGCTGACATGAGAAGGTGCTGAATAGCTGAAACTTTTAAGCTATCGGATGTACCGCAAGACGAGAACAACGGGCTTCCCCTCCGTGATGACGCTTTTCTCTGCACCAAACTATCTCGACGTGTACAATAACAAGGCCGCAATTCTCAAGTATGAGAGCAACGTTCTTAATATTCGACAATTCAACGCCACGCCGCACCCATACTGGCTCCCCAACTTTATGGATGCGTTCACATGGAGCTTGCCTTTCGTGGGCGAGAAGAGTGCGTACATCGCCCAGGCCCCTCTTTGCTTGTTCCTGCGTATATTAAAGTATCAATGCTAGTCACGGACATGTTACTTGCGATGTTGAATTGCTGCTCGAAGGAGGAGCTAGAAGAGAGTTCAGATGAGGAGACGGAGGTTGTCGTGTCGCCTCCGCCCACTCACTCTGAAGACTCTCACGAGCGGCGGAAGGTCATCAAAAACAAGATCCTTGCTGTCGGGAGGATGTCCAGGGTGTTTGCATTGCTACGGTCAGCTGTAGTCTTCCTCGTTCACCCTTCTCTCGCTCACGTCGTTGATTATCCAGTGAGGAGTCCGAGAAGGTGTCAGAGCTCAAGAGTATTTCTGGCTCAGGCAAGCTGCCATATGGCACATTGGCTCTTGGTGCGGAAGGCATCAAGGATGCTATCACTGGATTTGAGGATGCGTATGTTCGAACTTCTGTGCACACAAGGGGCGAACCTCAGACGTTTGTTATAGCCGCAAGTCGGACATCGAAAACGAGCGCCTTCCTCCAGACCTGTACGATGCTGACTCAACAGAAGGCAAGGCGATCCTGTCATCCGGGCCATCAACGCCCGAAGGCACTCCTGCTTCTCCGCCGCCCGCAAATGGCGTGGCAGCAGCGCTCGAGGAGGCTATTATCAGTGGTTCCACGCCCTCGTCTGTCAGCAGCCAGGGTCCGAGCACACCTATCTCCCCAACCTCTCCAACTGCATCCATCCCGACGACACCATTCAGACGTGGGCATGGGCGCCAAGCAAGTCTTGGTACGACCATGACCAGTCCGAGTACGCGTCGGAGGAGCATCGAAAGCACCATGTCTCTCATCAAGGAGGTGGTCGACTCGAAAGTGCCGCTGCAAGATCCGGAGCTCATTCGCCTGGCGGAATCGATTGCCGGGCAGGGTTCGCCGCGGAATGGCACCCCGTCTGCGCGCAGCTGAGAGGTCTGGCAGACGAGAGGGACAATATAGTAGCATTGGGAGAGGCGTCGACGGACGTGTATATCCGGGTAGGCTCGTGTTTTCACGTTTGTGGCAACCTGTCCATGTATTTTCTGCGCTTGTGGCGTAATCTGGCTTTATTCGGAGGGATTTCATTGTGGACGAGAGACATCCCATGGTTTGCGATGTCTGCTGGAGCACTCGCCAATTATTCATCATAGCGTATGTATGTGAAGGCCCGCAATAGGTCGATCACGACGCTGGTAAGTGCACGCCATAGAGGATCTGCCAAAGTACATCTCTGATCATGGAGTGATCAGTAGCATGCGACCTTGATGATGATTCTGAGCATTGGTCCTGCCGCGTTCCCTACACTATGGGAACCGGCTGACGTCCAATGTGGAGGGTTGTTGCCACTTGTTCGTATCCCAGCATGCAGTCCACGGAACAGCAAGTGAGCACTCATCTACAGTCACGGTGCTCGTGCTTGTGATATGCCCCAGAGCTTGAAAGCTTGACGGACAACATAATTGATGGGTGTTCGGAACACATGTTTTGAGTCTGAGTGCGGTCTCGCGCGGCGTCATGATCATGCTGCGGATCCCGTTTGTCGGCAGTTTGGGGCGTAGCAGGTGCGGTGTTCCGACGCAGTGCATCAACGAATATCGTTCAACGATATATATGTACTCACTCGCACTGCAGTTTTCTGCATATCTAACTCGTGATACTGCGTAAGGATGCCTCTCACAGGTTCTCATCCTTACCCTCCTGAAAAGGTCGGATACTTCGGGCAAGCAGAACTTAACGCAATGCGTACATTTACCGACCCTTCTGGTGTTGAGTCCGAACTTGAACTTGCCCTCTCCGAGACGCTTCACCTACATGATGAAGACCTCCCTCCACCCTATGAAGATCTGACACATTCAATGCCATTGAACGTTTCTTTGACGGCAAGAGATGTCATCACACCGGGTGATTAGTGTTCGGCTCTGACTGGGGCGCAGCTGATGTTTTTGTTTTTCTGCAAGACAATAACTCTGTCTCAGCTCCCGCGCTGGCGAGTGCTTCTACAAGCCATGTGTCTACATCGACTTCGCCGCAGCCGCGTACACAAACATCGCCTCCCCGTTCTCTGAGTAGCGGCGGATTGGCGCTTGCCACCGCTCGTGACTGCAGCATTAATAACAATGCGGTTGCCATGCCGGGAGATTCTCGAATGCAGAACGGTCTGACTATGCCGGCCCCCACTAATCCATTTCGCGGTACGACATCCTAGTTCCATACCATCTTCAAGCTCTACACTGAATTCCACGACTAGGATTTCCCTTTGCATCTACTTCTGCCGTCGCAAATGCCTCTGTAACCGATCATCCGAATTCGATTTGCGAATCCTCCGTATTTCTGAATGACGACAGCGTCTCAACACAAAAGCCGGCGTCGCTACTGCGACCTCCTCCAGCACAGCTTCCCTACCCGCCCTTCGAAACCATGATTCTTGTAGGTACACGTGGGGATCTCAACAAGGCATTCGCTCCGAGCACACCTCCATCTGCTGAGCGACTCCACCCGTTCGCGACACACGATATCAGCGAACGCGATTGGCTGTGCTTCTTGCACAACGTGCAGGCCGTCGGCTCGCCATCGTCGCCTAAGAATATCGTGACAGAAGCGGCACCGAAAGCTATGGACATCGCCATGGGTATGTTGCGTTGCACATGCTATATTGGCGCATATCTGGTAATGTTGATCCAGGTATGTTGATCGGGAAAGAACTCGACGTGCGCCTGAGGGGTCGCAAGGTCAACCCAGCGGTCGCGCTGGTAGATGACTGGAATCATGTAAGATGAGATCTAGCTGCAACTAAAATTCCGACATATAACCTCTGGATACAGCAATTCTTCCATCCTCGCCGTGTTCATGTCTCCCTTGCGCAGGGACGAACAGGTCTTAGTGGGCCCCACGGCTCCTCGCCCGATGCTGTGGGCTTTCGGACCAATGGTGGTATTCAACTGTTGCACAAGGCTGAAAGCGATTCTGAGGATGACAGTCTGGTCAACGCGTGGATGACACGACTTGTAGAGCACAAAGAAAAGAAACAAGACAAGAAGGCCGCGAAGAAAGAGCGTAAGGAGCAACGGAGGCAGCAGAGAACGAACGGCTCTGCGGCGCTGGGGGGATCTGAGCCATGGCGGTTGGTGATATCGTTCAAGCCGTGAGTCTGACGAAAAGCATATCTGCCAAGCTGCTAATCATGGTCTGCCGTAGCTTCGTCCTGGAGTAGCGTCACGGGGCTAATGGACGGTGATGTATTGCCGAAGAAAATGCTGCGCAGTGATAGTGTAGACTGGTAGCAACGACGTGCATATAATCCGTTGCCTTCTGGGGATCTGCTGTGGGCAATTGTCATAATCATGTACAATCTCGTGTGTCCGCCGGCGACGATGCATTGGTACTATGAGCCAGACCTAGCGTGTGAAACGGGATGGACAATTGCGATGGCATAGCTGCACTTGAACCACACGTCTGTAGCTCACGCGGTGTGTTTAGTTTTTGGTCGTTTTTAGCATCTGAATGAGACTATGATTTAGATAGACCCTCGGTATTAGTAAATTTCTTCGGTAAGCCGACCTAAGCGCACAGGTAACTCGCCTTGTACTTCCAGCATTGATGTGGAGAGCATTCACTGGCACTCATCATGCCGGAAATCGCCCAAAGAGCGGCAGAGTACGTACATGGATGGGCGCTTACAAGCATCTCCGTGGGGCTGTGTAAGCGCCTGATGTGATTTCCTTTCTGGATGGGTTCATCCTTTTGTTCCGAAATAGGCAACGCTGCTTTTGTTTCCCTGTAGCGCGAACAACAATGGCCGTGAGCAACAAAAGGTCGCCTATGCTTCAAGGCTATACTAAAGCTCCTGCTGGTCAGACCCATCCTCCTACTCATCGCTCGCAGCGACCTCGCATACCTGGTCGGTTTTCATTCACAGCAGCTCTCTGCTTCTCATACATTATCACGACGCTTACGATGAATACTCGTAAGTGCAGCGCCTGGGAAACAGCTCAGGTATCATATAACTAACACGCACACAGTATTCGCTAGTAACAAGCTCTTGCCTGGCATGAAACGCCGCGCTCGCTATCCTTCTAAGCAGGAAACCCTTTCCATCAAGTCAAAGCCTCTCGACATACTTCCCAATGTCTCTGAGGAGGAAGAAGGGCGACCCTCGTCCTTCGAATCCACTACCTCGTTCCGTAGCTTCACGCTAGGACCACGCGTCTTCAGCAAGGACCCAGCGGAGCGCAAACGAGACTCGCGTCGTGTCGTCCTTACCGGCGCAGAAGGCCTCACATTCGAAGACTTCTTTCCCGTGCCCGACACCCCTCCACGTCCCGCACCAGCGCCACCACTCTATCAAACGGAAAAGCCCTCAGAATCACCGCTCGATGAGATCAACCTCAGATTTTCTGGCCTCGGCATCGAGCTTGATTTTCCATCTCCACTCGCCGACGTCCTCAGCCTGCCCAATCGTCATCGGCAACAGTCGCCTAGCCCGTCCGTCTCGAGTACTGTGACATCTGGCTCGTCCTCGAGCCGCTCCAGTGCGACTGGGAAGACACCCGTAACGCCGCTCACGTCAGATGATGAGTCTCGCCCGCACTTGTTGCGTGCTCCGACATGCAAGTCGCATCGCGCGTCCATCATCTACGCCAAGTCGATGCCTGACATCAACGCTTGCGTGTCTACGGGAGCCGAATCTTACGATGAGGTTGACTCGGATGTGGATTCTGACGCAGAGTGGTTTGCCCGCGACATCAGCGATGTGGTAACGCTCACATCACCGCTGCCTCCTGCCTTCCCGATATCTGACTCACGCACTCGCCCCGACTCGATGCTGCCGCCTCCGCATCGTGGGCGGAGCAGAGACAGTAAGCCGCTCCCCACTGTTCCCCGCCTCTCGACGCAAGCCACTACCATTGCTATTGGCCGCCCCAGCGCGCAGCTCGACCCCACGTTCCCCGAGCGCCGCAAGTCTTTCCTCATTCCCAGCCGCCCACCTCCCCCACCTCCAATTGCGATTACGCGCTGTTCGGCGGCGACGATGGAGCGTGAAACGGAAGAGCTGCTTGCTCAGCTTGCAAGTGCCGCCTTGAACAGCGGCTTCCTAGGCACTGGCCTAAGCCCGCCACGCCCTGGCCGTCTCTCGCCTACTTGCTCAGTCCCCTCCTCGCCGAGCAGCGCATTCGTCGTGCGACCCCTCTCTCGCGCCCGTCCGCTTCCCCGCATGTCGCTACCAGCCGACGTGCTCGACTACTCTGACGAGACGCCATATACTCCTGGGGCGACCGCAGAGCTCGAAGTCGAGCTCCTTCCCGAGGCGGACCTAGAACCCGAGCCGAGTACCCCGCAGCTTTGGCCGGCCTCGCCGGTGAGCGCAAGTGTCTACTCGCAACCGAGCATGAGTGCTGGCTCCCCGCCACTGTCCCCCGCCTCCTCTTACTCCTTCTCGATCGAGGTTCCTGGGTCTGCCCTCGCCGCCGACTCGGTCCCCGAGCGTGTGCTGCGCTCGCGCTGGTCGTCCTCCACGCTCGGATCGCAGTTCGAGCGCGAGAACGCGTCGGCATCGTGGATGGCGCGCTTCCACCTCTCGCCGTCGAAGCGCGGTAAGGGAAAATCACCTGCACCCACGCCCACATCTCCCTCGAAGCGGACGTCGAAGTCGCCGCTGAAACGATCGTTCGAGCTCGAACGCCTCGAGCGGCGCGACAGCCGTAGCTCGCGGATGAGTGATACGCACAGCGACAGCGGTGACAGCACCGCTAGCTCGGGGCTGCGGCGCAAGCCGATCCCTGTCGAGATGTTCATCCGCGCATGAGTCTCTGTCCTGTTCATACGGCCGCCCTATCTGTCTCTGTCGTTTCCTCTGGTCTTTGCAAGTTCACCTACTGTATCCATATGCCCGAACATCCTCCGGAACGATATGCTCAACCTAATTTCACTTGACTTGTTCCCATGTAGTATTTAAGATGTAGCTATCTGTTCGCTTTCGCTCTTACCGCCTTCCGCGTTTCGTTCCTTCTGAACACCTGTAGCCTGCCCTTCTTGCACACGTCGTCACTCCTTGCGCACACACAATTCTATGTCTGGTATCAGTTGTCCGTTTCGATTTGGTCTGGCGAATGCGCCAGTTGCACCCTCCTTGTTGCTATAGTCATCGATTGTATTAGAACACCGAGAATTATATCATCTTGCTATTCCAACGTATTCGCCATGATGCGCTGTGAGGAGCTATCCTTTTGATCCTCAAACGCGTTTCCCTTTAGGCTAAATAGACGGTTGAGGCCCGCAGACTCGGCTACAAAACCCAGCCTACTAGACAATTTCCTCAATCTACGCCGGCTCCGGATATCCATGTCTGGCGTCGCATCAGGCGTTGTGGACCGAGAAAATATTGTGATACTTCGACGTCACCTGATGGTGGTACCCTTGTGCGCATCCTCAGGGACTCTTATCCTTTCCCTTTCCCGGCCTCAGGGTATACCATAACAGACACACACATTTGGCCACGTGCCTCGCTACCTTGGTTCGTTTTCAAGTCAGCGCCACAACTAAGGATCGTATTCTTGCTTTCGTCTACATCCATCATGCCCCCTATCGTCCCACCTGCACCGGCTGGCTTAATTCCCAGTCCATTCCCTCCAGAGGACCCTCCTACTGCCCGCGACGTTGCGAAGGCGGCCCACTTCGAGATGGTCTGTACGGCTGCTTTTGGTAAGCACTATCCAACATACCAGCCGATACGATTCTCATCCTGAGCAGGCAACGGTCGTCTTGACGCTACTCACGTCTCTGCAGCCATTCAATACAAGCATGCTGTCACAACTGCCGCGAACCTGGGTTTGTCGTCGTTGTCAAATGCTGCTGTAAATTGCCTGACCTCCTTGGGGACAGTGGCCGGACACCGCCGTGGTTTGCGCATGCGCTAGAACACGCAATTGGACCACTTCGCAATGACATCATGAGCATTCGCAATGATATTACGAACATGCAGGCCGATATCCAAGCCAGCCAACAACGACAAGCAGATGCGCAACGATGTGCAGCACGTGTATGCCACAATTTCGTAACAACTTCAGGCATTCTAAATAACTCATCTGTTACAAGGCGTACAATCGGCAGGTTCAGCTGGGTGATCATAGTCCATTCGAAGAAGTGCCCTGGAAAGATGGAACCTACCCATGGGGATACATGTTGAATGTATGTTGAATTTTGTCCTGGATGAGCCGCGATTCATGATCTCCTGGCAGAACCAACCCCTGCCTAAATTGACCTCAGCCGAGGTGGTACGCGCTTTGGACAACCGGCAATCTCAAAAGTACTACTCAGGGTACTACCCTGGGGTGAATGTTCCGGATGATCGCAATGAGCGCGACAAAGCCACCCTGATCGCAATCGGTGTTCCAGCCAGGATCGCTGGGATGGCAGTCGGTGAGATGTAGTGGACCAGATTATGTTATCGGATGGTATGGAATGTCTGCTGTGATTATGCTTTCGCTTTGAGGTGTTGGACTACTTGCATGAGGAATGGTGTAATCATAATTTAGTATGGCATGGAACCAGCCAGCTCTTATGAAATGCGCTTCAGCTGTACTGCTCGTAGTTACATTCATTCCAACGCGCAACATATTTTACAAATTTTCTACTACGCTGGTATTGGGACTCTGCAAAAACTTTCTCTCGATTATGAGGGGTGATGCATAGGGAGCGAAGCAACATACAATAATCATCGAGCGAGAGAACAGATGCGATTCTGCAGAGCGAGACGGACGACGAGAAACGGAGAAGCAGGGAGCGACTTGTCTCGTACCCATCCCCTGTTGGAACAACCGGTGCGACGGCGCGGCGAGCGCGTTTGTCCACAGCGATGCCCGTAAGGGACAATCGCGTGCGGTACGTACATCGCGCGGGGTCGTTTTATACTACGATAGGGGCCTCCGGCCCCCGGCTACTCGCGCGCCCGAGCTTGCGAGTGTTACGGTTCTTTCATTTCGTACGCTTTTCGGTAGTCTCGTAACCAGACGTTAGGGGGGAGAAGGGATCACGTGGAGTGTTACTATATCTGGATACGGAGTTCTAAAAAACCCTGCACGACTCCCCCCCTTAACGTCTGGTGCATTTTGCAGGGAGGGAGGGGGGTATCCGTCACGCCCTGGCGCTTAACGCGCCTGCAGCGTGTCTTGCCTGCGACACATAGTATGGCTCCCGCTATGTCCACTCTTGCCGAGTTCTCGTATGGTCTTTCGACGCTCTTGGCATCCATCCTCAAGAAAGCCTGTGAGGAAGCAGCAAAAACGCACCAGTATCTGCAGAGACAGAAGCCCCGAGTGGTCGTCAAAGATATCGCTGCCCAAGTCCGAAGCTGGCGGGGAGTCCAGGTCGGAGTCAGAATCGTCAACGACACTGCGTAGCGAGCTCAGCCAAGGGCTCAGATGAATAGATGACATTATGATTATGTAGGTTGGCTACCGTAGCATACATGCGCATACATTGTCTAGCGACTGAGTTTTGGGGTGCGCGGCGCGTCGGACACAGTCACGTACGCAAGCAGACGTGAGAGGTAACGGCGTCGTCACCAGTGACTTTGGTGACGCGTGATGGATACCCCCCTCCCTCCCTGCAAAATTCACCAGACCTTATAGGCGAGAGTGTGCAGGGGTTTTTAGATCTCCGCCACCCAATTGGGTAATAGCACACATGATCCGCCTATAAGGTCTGGAAACGAGACTAGCTTTTTGGATCATGGAACCCTCTTATTTACTTTTCCTATCATGTTTCCATCTATGGCATCTATTGTTGACTTTTGGGTATGTCGGGCAAGCATCGCTGCCGGCCCGGGTCACGTGGTCGTGCGCCGGTGTGGGAATAGGACTTATGTAGGTAGCCCCATCGGTTTGTAACCTTATCCACCATTGATCCCTGTCCATCGAGAACGTTGTCTGCCAGCGGTCTTTCCGGCGTCGTTCTCACATCTATTACTTACACATGTTGCCCTCATGTATGCTTATCAGGACTCTTCACTGATAGACACTATTTCACTATCTCATGTCATATGTAATTACTCATGCAGTTTGTACAATATATAAGCAGGCTGAAGCTGAGGGCAATCCTCAGTCTTCAGTTGGCATATTTCAGGCTAAAAACCTAGTCGTGTCATTAACTGAAGACTACCCCTACTCCGAACTTGCTCAACCGGTATTACCGCGTCTTTCAAACCCTTTGCATTTGAGAGTGGCCACCCTCCGGTACTAAACCCGGGCTCCATAGGGCAAAGATCTCTCTAAGTGCAAAGTCTCCACATCCGCTTCATTCGAGCCACCCCACCACTCACTCTTCTATCCACACATCAAACGTCCGAGACAACGAAGTCTTGCAGAGCCGGGCACTAGGCTTAAGGTGTAGCCATTACTGGCATTTTCTTTCGAACACCCACCGCAGGCACTTTGACAAGGGTAGATAGCTACGTACAGAGCCGGTCGCTTCGAGACGAACCTTCAGGAAGTTTACCTTCAGTGGTAGCTTCCAAGGGGCCGAATCCCCTCCGTGATAGAAGGACCCCAGTGCATAATAGTCAAAAGTACCAGGACCTCACGACGATTGCGAATCAAAGTGATTACTGCGGAGCCTAGATAAGTAACAGTAGGCTAGCATAGCAATACTTTGTCCCTGCGAGGTACCCCTATTGGCTAAGAGGAAGACTTAGCGGTAGAAACAGGGAATCTTTTTCACCATCCGGAGATAACGGCTGTGCGGGCTTGGATAGCCTTTTTGGGTTGATCCTGTTTGGTGACAGGGGACCAGGCAGCGCGTGGTTTTGATAAGCCCAGAAAGCGGCTTGGTTTGGAAATTGGATCGCGAGGTCGGAAATTCCTCGGCAGAATCAGGGAGAAGAGCAATTGAGGCGGCACTCTCCACCGCAGCCTTCTGAATAAGGCAACTAGGCTCCACGGTCAGGAAATCCGTGAATAGAACCAAGTACTCCATCAATCATGTCGAACCCGTGGGTAGATCCAAATGCAGCTCAACCTGGGCCTTCATCGCCTCGGGACGAGTTCATGCGGACCCCAAACCGCTCACCACCACGACCACGATCACGAAGGTCACCTCCGAGGCTGGCACAACCCCAACCAACCTATCCTCAGGTGCCAAATGTAGCACCGCCACCACCCCCGGTATTACACCCTAACGCACTTGCGAACGCGCTTACCCAACTCGCAACCGTGTTGCAGAATCAGCAGCAAGGCGGAGGTCGAAAGCCTGTAGTAAACAAACCCAAGGATTTCGACGGCGATAAGGAGTTGTACGAGAAATGGAAGATGGAGATGCGGCTGTTCTTAGCCGATCATCAAATCAATGACGATAATAGAAGATGCAACATTATCGTCAGCTATCTTCGCGGACCGAAAGTAGATGCTTTCGTCCGAATTCTCTACAGCAACAACTGCCTAGGCGGGTATTGGCAAGTATCCAGTGCAGAGTTATGGGCAATCCTGGACGAACATTACATCAATGCGAGCCTAAGGGAAAAGGCGCAGCAAAAAATTGAGTATATTCGTCAGGGGAACCGATCAGCAGACGAGTACATCGTCGAGTTTGAGGATCTGGCAAGTCAGGCCGGATACACGCTATCAGACGAACACGTGATTAGGTTGCTGAAAAGAGGCACCAGTCAAAATGTGATTGACCAAGTCTATATGAGTGGGAATATTCCTATCACTTATGTAGAATGGTGCACGCGTATCCGCGGCATTGACCGAAACTGGCGAATTCATCAGGAGGAAAAAGCTTTGTGAAGCCATCATCACGGCAACTCAAACACTTCTGGAAGCAAGCCGGCAACACAACCAGCTCGTCAAGCTGCTCCAGCGGCACCACAAAGAACTCCTGGGGTCATACCAGTGGCCGGGTTCTCATACCAGCCGAGGAGGGATGGAACAGGTACTTTGTACCAAGGAGGAGGACAGCCGATGCAGATAGACCACGCCTGCATCAAGTGTGGGCACAAGAAATCCCAAAAGGGGACATGCGGAGATACATGGCATCTGCCAAACCGGCCGGCAGGGCCTCAGCCACAACGAGTACGTGAGCTGGCTGTCGAAACAGGGGCAGAGGCGGGGACTGAAAACCCCACAACGGTCAACTTGGACAATGAGGACCAAGGACTAAATTATTTGCGCTCTCTCTATGCGTCGAAACCTGAGCTTTTCGCAAAGGCGGGTTTTCGATTCGGCAACAACTGAATGCGCCAGTTGTACTGCCAATTATGAATAGGTTTTCTCCTTTATCGGACAGCGTGGATCTCATTGAGCACAATGATGTATCCCCTATGGACTTACATACACGTGATACGCTATCTATTAATACCTACAACACGGAGGCGTCCCACAATGAGCGCGGCAGTGCGATAACTGTGCTTAATTCCTCCACAAAAAATACAAAAACATCGAGAAAACATTCGAGTGCATCGAAACCAAAACCTGTATTAAAGATCTATCTTGACGACCCACGAGCCATAACCCCAAAGAGACAAACGGAGGGCTCCGTTGGATATGATCTTTATTCGGCAGAAGATTTAATGATAGCAGCACATTCTCACGTGCTAGTAGACACTGGAATCCGAATGGAGATGCCAAAAGGCATATACGGTCGAATCGCCCCAAGATCTGGCTTAGCAGTCAAAGGTCTTGATGTTGGCGCTGGTGTAATCGATCCTGATTACACTGGACGACTTAAGGTTTTCCTTATCAATAATTCGGAAAAAGAATTCCACGTGGAATACAGCATGAGGGTTGCGCAGCTGATTTTGGAGTGCGCCGAAGTTCCGGATATAGACATTGCTACTGGGACAATTCAGGACACTACACAAGATACCGGTGGCTTTGGAAGCACTGGTGAGAAATTACAAGGAACGATAGTTGTGAAGGGAGTAGGTCGTGGTCGACAGATGCAGCTACCCATCGCAGTCATCATTCCGGAAACAAAACAGGTGATTGACACACGGGCGTTGTTAGACTCGGGAAGCACGGGATCGTGCATCAATAAGAATTTTGTTGTACGACATGGTATTGAAGTACACAAATTCGACGAACCCATTAAAGTCTATAACGCAAATGGAACAGCGAATTCTGGGGGAAGGATCACGGACTATGTCGAACTCGTAGTAGGCATTGGTAAACACAAGGAAAAACATCAATTCCTTGTGACTGAATTACAGACGTCAGACGTATTCTTGGGATTTGATCGGATGCAGCACCACAATCCAACCACCGATTGGCAACGCAAGTTGCTCAAATTTGATCGATGCCCAGAATCCTGCTCTGTTTTCAGCGAAAACCTTGTCGAACGCGAGGATCGCGTATTTATGCTGGATAGCAACGCATGGCTACGAACTGTCCATGATCGCAAAGAGTACCTTCACGCCAATGCTATGGAAATAGCAATAGCGGAGGGAAAATACAAAGCTAAAAAGATGGAGGAAGTTGTTCCGAAACATTACCAAGATTTTGCCGATGTGTTCTCAGAAGACACGTTTAATGCTCTCCCTGATCGAAAGCCATGGGACCACACAATAGAACTCCTGCCGGGAGCTAAACCTTATTGCAGAAAAGTCTATCCCATGACTCTAAACGAGCAGAAGGCACTAGATGAATTTCTAGAAGAAAATCTTAGAACTGGACGAATCAGACCTTCCAAGTCACCATGGGGGGCTCCATTCTTCTTTGTAAAGAAAAAGGACGGAAAGTTACGGCCTGTGCAGGACTATCATAAATTAAACGAGATGACAAAGAAAAACAAATACCCTTTACCACTTATCTCGGAGCTATTGAACAAGTTGAAGAATTGTCATTATTTCTCGAAGCTGGATATTCACTGGGGATACAACAATGTTCGTATGAAAGAGGGTGATGAAGAAAAAGCCGCATTCATCACAAATCGCGGGCTTTACGAACCCCTGGTCATGTTCTTTGGCCTCATGAACTCCCCATCCACGTTCCAGATGATGATGAACGACTTGTTCTACAAGATGATTATGCAGGGGAAGGTCATCGTTTATTTAGATGATATCCTAATATTCTCTGACGATTTGCAAACACATCGTGAAGACACTAGACGTGTCTTAGAAATTCTCAGGCAGAATAAACTCACGTGTAAGCCGGAAAAATGCGAATTTGAAAAGTCAGAAGTCGAATATTTGGGACATCTTATTTCATATGGTACGATACGGATGGACCCTGGGAAAGTGGCAGCGGTCGCGGAATGGCCCGAGCCCACGTGCAAGAAGGATTTGCAAAGTTTCCTGGGTTTTGTGAACTTTTACCGTAGATTTGTGAAGGACTTCGCCCGAATTGCGACACCTTTGAACCGCTTGACTGGCAATGTTGAGTGGGAGTTTGGAGCCGAATGCCGGAATGCATTTGGTAGGCTCAAAGACACTCTTATAAATGCTCCAGTTCTCGGTATTCCTACAGACAATGATCCATTTAGAGTAGAAGTCGACGCATCGAAATATGCTGTCGGCGCCGTACTTTCACAGAAACAGAACGATGTTTGGCATCCCATCTGTTTCTTATCTCATAGTCTGTCTCCTGCTGAGAGGAACTATGAAATTTACGATAGAGAACTTTTAGCTATTATTGTAGCTTTAGAAGAGTGGCGACATTTCCTACTTGGTGCTGTGCATACTGTAGAGATTTGGACGGACCACAAAAACCTAGAATACTTCAGGAAGCTGCAACAGATCAACCCGCGGCAAGCACGGGTTTCCACGCTCCAGGAGTACGACTTTATTTTAACCCACAAGGCGGGAAAGACGAACATTGTAGCCGATCTTTTGTCTCGTAGGCCAGACCTCGACATCGGTGACGGTTATCTAAATGATGTTACAGTCTTAAAAGCCGAATATTTTAACGCAATCTCAGTCCCGGGGGCTGATGAAATAATTAAACGCGCTAAATTATCAATATCAGACTACCCACGTGACGTAGTTCTGCTATTGGACAAGGACCCTCACGTGACGACCGAGGATGGTCTAATCTATAGAAGGGGGAGACTTGTTATACCCACGAACCGGTCACTAATCGGTGACGTCATTGCTGCGCATCATGACATGCCCAGCGCGGGTCATCCTGGCATTGAAAAAACTATAGAGTTGGTCGACCATTCGTACTGGTGGCCCACCAGAAAAAAGGACATTCACGATTATATTATTGGATGCGAAGCATGCCAGAAGGCCAAGGCCCATAGACAAGCACATGCCGCTCCACTAAATCCTAATCCGGTGCCTGAGAACAACTAGGAGTTCATATCAGTAGATCTGATCACTCACCTTCCGGAAGTTCCCAGACACAATGCTATTCTTAATTTTGTCAACTTGAAGTCGAAGGACTATATTTTGGTAGCTACTTCGGACACGTTGTCTTTGGAGGGATTTGCAAACCTTTACCTGAAGCACGTTTATTTGAAGCATGGACTATCCCGCCGGATCTTTTCGGACCGCGGACCACAGTTTGTTTCTAATTTTATAAGGGACGTTTACAAGAAGCTCAGGATCACGGGAAATCCTAGTACCGCGTATCACCCACAGACGGACGGGCAGACAGAACGTGTCAATCAGGAACTCGAAACATATCTTCAGATCTTCGTTTTGTACTGACAAGATAATTGGCCGGACTGGCTCCCAATGGCAGAATTTGCTCATCAAAACCGCAAACATTCATCAACGGGCTTCTCACCCTTCTATTTAACACACGGACATGACACCTTTACTGGCGTGGAGACAAAGAAGGAGATGAAGAATGAGTCAGTGGCACAGTGGGCCGAGAAAATGGCGCAATTGCAAAAAGAAGCGAGCCAGGCGCTCGAGCAAAGCGTCAATGAAAATATATTACAACAGGAAGAAGAAGGATGCGCGGGAGTATAAAGAAGGAGATCTGGTGTGGTTGGAAGGAACCAACATCAGAACAGAAAAACCAAATAAAAAGATTGATGACAAACAATATGGTCCTTTCCGTATTGAGAAAAAGATAGGTGCAAGCGCCTTTAAATTAAAGTTACCTACATCTTGGAAGGGGATTCACCCCGTGTTCAATGAGTCACTCCTTTACCCTTATGTTGAACCCACATTCCCTAATCAGAACACTTCACATTCGATACCGCCGCTTGTAGACCAACCGGACGTTGTAGATGAGATTCTGGACTCTTGGGAACGTAAAAATGGACTACAGTACCTTGTGCATTGGAGGGGAAAACCCCGTTCTGAAAACACATGGGAACCACGTAGCGGACTATTATGTACATTGAAGGACCTTTTAGATAGATTCCATAGGGACCATCCTGAAGCGCCGAAGATGCAGAGTATTCATATACCACAGCGAGTATGCTTCTCGGAAACGGTGGAAGTAGCAGAGGGACCGGATGATCAAGAATGGAAAAAATGGGGAAATATCTATGACAGGTGGCAGGAACGTAAAAAACTCCGGCACATAATACTACACGCAAATCTTGAACCAGATGCCGAGCACATGATCCTACCAACACGCTTAAATATCGGCCATATCTGGTTCTGCGACTCAGACCATAGAGTTCACTACATCACAGTAGTCGCTACCCCATCACCCCACAAAAATCAATATCTATACCCCATCCAATCTGTCTTCAAAACCCGTGAAAACATTGTATGTACAAATCTGGAAGCGCGTCTATACGAACACTCTAGTAACTTACCGCTGGCGGTCGCCCTTTGGTAGATGTCCTCCATCGCACTATGGGTAGTGTTTGGGATAGTCGTCGCGGGATGCACAACTGCGGTGGTGTTAGTACTGGCCAAGTGGTATTGACCACAATGCGGCGCGGAGCAGATCGAGCTCCAACCTCACCCCGAACACGGCTATACGTCGCTCGTCATCAATGGGGACGCCGAACCACAACACCCGCCACCTGTCTACCTACGCAATCCAAGCAACTGGACTCTACAACAACCTCTGCAGAGCGAGGACACTTCTGCCTAAAGAGGGGGGTGATGTTACGGTTCTTTCATTTCGTACGCTTTTCGGATCATGGAACCCTCTTATTTACTTTTCCTATCATGTTTCCATCTATGGTATCTATTACTTACACATGTTGCCCTCATGTATGCTTATCAGGACTCTTCACTGATAGACACTATTTCACTGTCTCATGTCATATGTAATTACTCATGTGTTTGTACAATATATAAGCAGGCTGAAGCTGAGGGCAATCCTCAGTCTTCAGTTGGCATATTTCAGGCTAAAAACCTATTCATGTCAGCGAGCTCATTCCTGACCGTGCGGGTCAGCGCGTTTCAACACACTCCCTCGAGCAAAGCAAGCGAGGGCTCACCATCAGCAAAAGGCGGGCGAGAATATCTAGCAATACATACAAATAGAATACTTACCAGCCTTGTATGTGCTCGCCAGTCTGGTAGTCAGGTTGCGCGGCCAGATCTAATATCTATGGCAAAATGACAGAGTGTACCTGTCCGGACAATGGCTGTCGTGTCAGGTGGGGTCTGCGTAAGTGTCCGTCGCGTGTGGCAATGTCTGCGCAACACCGCACAATGTGTCACCCTATATGGCGGGTCCTGTGCAATCGACCGTCACACCAGGTATCCAGTTTCAAATTCCGTGCAAGTCGCCAGCAGGCAAGCTGACGCACGCACAATATCACCCCGATAACTCATGTATGTTGCAATGCATGGCGTTATATTGCACTTATGATAGTATACAATAAATACTGAGAATGAATACATAGTTAGACAACACAATTGGAGAACCAGCACACTACGGCATCGATCACAACATATTGATAAACACCCAAGTGAATAAACTTACCACCGCGGTCCGTTTTCATCCTCTCTGTCTTGATCCTTCTCACCTCCCAATCCGCCAGTTGCTTCCGGTCATGTTCGGTTCACCCGTGCTCGCTCATACTACCCCCTTCTCCCTGCTCACACACATAGTATGGGTAATACTCTCCATGTCCCATACCAACTGGTGTCAATGGTAGCTCACTCCAGCGCCATGGTTACGTCGCGGTCTCAGTCCCTATCTCTGTCACGGTCTCAGTCCCTATCTCTGTCGCGGTCTCAGTCACAGCCAGGAGGTACGGCATGTTCGCGTTCCTGCTCGTATTCCCGCGTGCATAAAAGCTCGCGTTCGCATGGAATCTTGAGGGTCACCACGTAGAGGGAGCTCACCGTGCATTGAGGATTCACCTTGCAGAGTGAAGTTGGGGCAATCATATCCGAGCAATGCAAAGCCGAGGGTATTGTGGCCTTGTGAGCAGATCCCATGCATGGCCCTGAGGGCATGAATTTCAATCTCATTTTGATCACGGATCTTCCTGTGCTGAGTCTTGAGCTAGCATAAGGGCTGGCAGATGATGTTGAACTCGTTGACGTGGCCAGTAACTGTGTGCGCAATAGTGTCCATGCGAGACCCATAGCAAAAAGCATCCATGACTCACCATGTACTGCTCATAGGGATGAGTATATGCATTGGAAAAGTGCATATACTCACATGTCACTGATTCCCTTGATACTTCATCCCATACAGCGCCATATGCATGGGGCAACAGTGAGGACCTCAATGACAATGAGGACGATGTCGGCTATCGCTGGTATAGAACTTGGCAAGGACAAAGAGGCTGAGGGGAAGACAAAGACGCGGGGTGGGTCGAGGATGGTAAAGGTGAAGGTCGAAGACAAGGATGACATCATGATGAGTTCACCTTCCTTTATGAGATGGCCACAAACACAATGAGTTTTCCCACGACTAGGCCGCACTTACTAATGAATAAGTGTTGGTTGTCTGTGAGGACATGAGCATAATGATGCAGGTTCTACCGTCATGTTCCAATGGAACTCATCTAGTCTCATGTTATTCTGAGCTATGACCTACAAGGATGAGTCTTTGCTCGTGCAGGCACCCATGTGATTATATTAGTAGATATCTGATTGGCATGCCTATCACAAAACCTACAAACCCACCTTATATCCTTGATATTGAGGGGGGGAGATAAAGCACTCAAGTGTGGGGGAGGTTATGCTGTTAAGCGCAACAACGAAGTGAATAAAACTGGGGGACAGGGTGCCCCAGGATGCTGCCTTATATACATGAGGGAAAACCCCCCAGGGACCGGTAATGGACCCCTGGTACCTAGCCGAGTAAGGATTACTAAGTATCATGTGCTCTGTGATTAATTAATGATGTCATAGTCTGGCCCTGCCCTGCCCTGGGCCTAGGGTCCAGAAATGACCGGCCTATGGCCTAGTGCCTGAGCCTAGCTCCTACCTATGATGTGAAAGTGATGTCATGGTCTAGACAGAGTCTGGTTTCTATCTAGGAAAGGTCCGGCATCAGAGTCTAGCCTGATGTGTCCAGAACAAGATCATGTATCGCTTATTTAAGCGGATAACCCCTTAGATATGCAGATGTACCCATATGCGGACGGATAAGTGTGGATAAGTCCCTAGACCCTTCAATATGTCCGCAGAAATAGCGGAAAAATTAGGTAAATTAGGGAAACTGTGACAATGCCTATGCCATAGAGGCATGGGTTTAACAGAACCTTACCTAGATGGCGAGCATTGGCAAACTGCCGCCAGCATGCCTTGTGAATCGCTGCTCATGTCAGTGCTTACATGCGGCACTAAAATTGCCAATGTTCCACCTGCACAGATATTCTGGCCGGCCTTTTGCTGATGGCACACACTCCCTGCTTCTCAGCACTCCCTCAAACTCAACATCCATCCTCGCACCCTCTCGGCGGGTCCACGGTCCATCCCAATACTCTGACATCCGGCCGATAGTCCATGCTCGAATGAGCTGCAACAGGCTACCCTTAGGCGCAAAGGTAGGGCATACGACGTACAGCGATCTTCATCAACTTCTCGGTTCCAACTCCTTGGCTCCAGGTTCAATCGGTGCTCTCGACAAGCGGTTCTTCGGTTTGGCGGTGCTCTCGGCGAGCGGTTTGGGTATGGCAGTTCAACAGTGCTCTTGGTGAGCAATTCAGCGGTTCAACGGTTCAGTGGTTCAACATTCGACGGCAGGGTTCGATCGGGTCCGCGTCAGGGTTCGGCAATCATACAGGGTCGATTGAGATGGCTTCGGCCCCATCCAGGCAAGCGGGTCGGCAGCGACGGCAGCGGGAATATTCTGCGGCGCAGCGGCAACCAGCAGAGCGTCAACAGCGACGGCATGTGCACGGGATTCGGCGACACAGCGAGTGGCGGGCTTCAAGCTGCCCCCAGAGCCTTGCTAGGTAGTAAACCCCCCAGTGGGCTGATGTGATTGTGTTGGAACAACCGGTGCAATGACGCAGCGAGCACGTTTGTCCACGGGTGAAGCGATGCCCGTAAGGAACAATTGCGTGTGGTACGTACATTGCGCAAGGTCGTTTTATACTACAATAGGGGCCTCCGGTCCCCGGCTACTCACGCGCCCGAGCTTGCGAGTTTGTTCCTGACCGTGCAGGTCAGCACGTTTCAACATCCCCCCGTATCCGCACCCCACCACTGCAAAAAGGGGGTCTGGGGCAGTTAGATAAGCGCACCCCGCACCCCCTCTGGCTTAAGCGCCCTGCAAGTGCCGGAATGTAACAGTCACAGTAGGCTTCTGATACCTAGAAATGATGCGATCTTTGATCGCTTTCCAAATCCGGTATTCACACCTAGCAGGTCGTGCTTGAGGAAGTGTCTGGGTGTGAGGAGTGACTCGGACTCGGCCATGTCAACAAAGGCATACCTGAGCTTGTAGAATACTTGAAAGGCCACACAAAAAATATCTATGCCGAACTCAGCCTGCAATTTCATGACCAAATAAAGTATCACGCGGAAAGCATCATGATGAAAGCTGCAACTTCTCCTGTCACAAGTTGCTATGGTGTCTAGCCGTTTTTTTAATTTTTTCCTTTCCATGGGCTTGAACCCGCAACCTCTGTACTACATGCTTGAATGGACAAGTCGTTATCTACTGTATGATTAGATTAGATGGGATGGTAGTGCACAGCACAGCTCGGGCTCTGCTGACACAGCCACTTGTTAGATTTTGGGGCCCGCGGTGTCGAGCGGGCCGATCTGATGTGTCCTGTGCCTAGCTGGGAGAATGATCATAGCACGATTGCCAAGTAAAATACATCAATCCTGTAGAGTACTTGTACTGTAGCACAGCCGTACTTGGCCCCCACGTGTTTGTAACAATCCCGCCATTTTGCTCGCTCACGTCTGCGTTCCCACTCCCCTCATCTTGTCCCCAGGCAAAAGTCAACACCACTCTGACTCACCAGCCCCCCGGGCCGCGTCAGCATGCTGTGCACGAACCAGCTGTGCACGGACCAGTGCATACAGCCTGCCCTTATCCTCTCCTGTATATAAGCCAGCCTGTCATGAGTTGGCACGACATCTAGCCGTTTTTAATTTTTTCCTTTTCGCGGGCTCGAACCCACGACCTCTGTACTACATACCTGATATGGACGCGTCACTATCTACTGTATGATTAGATTAGATGAGGCGGCAGTGCACGGCATTGCTTGGGTTCTGCTGACACAGATGCTTTGACTCACCGGCCCCCGGGGCCGCGACAGTCTGCGGTGCACGGACCCATTGCGCACGGACCAACGTGCACAGCCTGCCCTTAACTTCCCCTGTATATAAGCCTGCCTCTGCTGCCCTAGGGACCTCAGTTTCGACCTGTTGTCCCTAGGTCAGTAAGCCCTTGTACATACTTACTTTTCTATATTAACTTACTTGTCCCTAGCCTTAGGTTTGAGCACTGCTTACTGTCGCTTCGGTAAGATAAAGTCGAACGCCCCCAGTGTTTAGTTTTCCCCTGTTGCTCGACCCTAAGTCATGACTCGGCCTCTTGTTGAGCCATGTGGTGGGTGCTTCTTGTGGGAGAACAAATGTCAATGGTGAGAAAGAGAACAGAGTGCTTAGCTGAAAAGGGAAACAAAGTGTCCAAGCGTCCAGTTGTGGTCGAATCAAACTGTAATGGGCACGTCGCACCCCAGGCAGGACCTGTCAACGTCAAGAAGACCCCCTTAGGGGTGGTGCAAAATGGGTCTGAGAGGATCCCCTCCACTGTAACCCAAATAGGATATAGGGGCATCCCATCGCCATCTAGGTGCCCTTGTCACCACCATCCTGAGATGGTACGCAGATGGTATGCCGACCCTCCTCCATGAGGCTTCAAGTCCTTTGCATCGCATGTTATGTCTCTAACATCCTCCCCTAGAATGGCATTTGTTGCCTGTCTTGATGGGAGTGCACATTCGCTCCTTTTACTAGTACTTAGTAATTTATGTACATCACACCTGTAGTACACGATAATCACTCTCAATATCATTGTTTTTACTATGAAGTACTTTACACAAGATCAAGATGAGGGCCTGGGTAGCGAGTACATTGTACACAAGATTGACAATACATCATGACGGTACCTGCAAAATGCATCAAGCCTGCATGGAGGACCCGACGTCGCCTCATTGCTTGCCTTCGTCGTGGCTCTGCACGCTGGCTGTCTGCGCGCCGGCTGTCCCAGGCATCCTACAAGCAGGCGGGGCGGCTGCCTCGAAGCCGGCATACAGCATGCCTTGAGGCATGTCGGTGAATGCAGCTGCCTGGCCGAAATCCTCATAGAAATGTGGGTGGACCCTCCCCGACAGGATGTAGATGCCGTCGGGCATCATGAGGCCGGGCGCGTGGAATTCGGGTGCGCGGAACTGAGGGGGCAGTGGACGGTAATAGTGTCCTGCATCCCGTGGGTCCATCACCTCGTAGCTGTCCAGAGTCTGGCTGTCGACTGGCCAGCCGCGCGGTGCGTACCGGGGGGCATGCGGGAGGGTTGGCCGCGGGCGTGGCACGTATCCCGGTGGCGCGTTGTGCGCATGTGCGAAGGGCACCGGTGGAGGGAACATCCAATGGCCTAGCATGCTGCTAGCCCCGGCGGTGCTTGTGCTGTTGCCGTCCTCGTTGTCGTAGACTGCCAGCCGCTGGTGCAGGAGGGAGGGTGGGAGGGGAGCTGTGCCGCTGGATGGCGCTGGCGCGTGCGCACGCTTGCTGCGTCCCTCCTGTGGGCGGTGGAGCTCGGCTGGGGTGTCCTTGTCATGCTGGGCGGGAGCCTCCCAGCGATGCTCTTGGTTGTGGGTGACCTCTGTGGGGGCACCTTCTGTGGTGGCGGGGTGATGGCGGCGCTTGGGGGGCGCGTGCTCTGGTGAGCTTTCGTCTTCATGCAGATGCCGGGCGGGGCGCTGACGCTGGGCGGGAGCTTCTGTGGACGTGTCGCACTGCTCATTTGTGGTGGTATCCATAGCCCCACCGCACATTTGGGCCCCTGCATGCACCGGGCGTGGTGCGGGGCGCTTGGCTGTCTGTGCCCTAGCCATGGGCTTTTTGGGCATGCAAGGGGTCGACTGCTGCTCGACATCGCTCCCGCCTGCGCTCGCCTTGCTCCGCTTGGTGCTTTGTGCAGGGGCCTTGCCTTTGCTGGGACCCTTGCCCTTGCTTGGCTCCTTCTTGGTGCCGTCCTCGGGCTCGTCCTCGGTGTCGGACCCATTGCGGAGCGCCTTCTGCTTGGCCCCTCGTGGCTTCACCGGGGTGGGGGTCCCCTCTGAAGGCTGGTAGGCGTCCTCATCCTCGGAGTCCTCGGAGTCCTCGACATTGATGGCTTTCCGCTTGTCCGCTTGCGGCTTCACCGGGGCATCGTCATCCTCGCTGTCGTCCACATTGATCAACTTGGATGCGGTGGTCGGCTGGCTCGTCCTCGACTTGTGGATCACGACCTCAACGACCCTCGACCTCGTTAGAGAGGCCTTGGGCGGAGGCGCCTGCACGGGTGACAACGCCGCCGAGGCTGTGTCCTTGCTCAGCTCATCGGTATCCGGCGACGAGCTCTCACCGTGCTCTCCTGACGAGGCAGGTGCCTCACGCCTCGGGGGTCCCTTGCGGTCGCTTGTCCCGTTGGCGAAGTAGCGGCGCGCCCGCTTGAACGTGGCGTCGTGTGCCGGGGGTGCGCAGATGATGACCGGCAGCTTGTTCTTCTTCAGGGCTATGTAGGAAAGTAATCAGCGCACTGGCGGTGACAGGGAGCAGAACACGTAGATACTCACCTTCCTTGTCGACCCTCTCGAACTCGAAAGGGTAGTCCCTGTCCACCAGGCCCTCGATCATTCGGTCGAGTTCCGGCATGGACAGCTCCGCAATCCCTTTGGCCTTGTTGCAGCCACCGGTTTTTTCCTTGCCTGGCCAGCACACGTCGTCAGGGTAGTTCTTCCACACAAGCACTTGAGTAACCAAGAGCCCAGCATGGCGGTTCCAAGGGAACAGGTTGTTATACTTGCACTCCCAAGGGCCACCGGCGGCCACTGGCTGATCGTCAGTGTGACGCCACTTCACTGAGAGGTGAGTTGCTTACCTTCCATCTCCCTCACATTGAACCTGATGACGCCCACCTTGTCTGTCGATGAGAGCTTCTTCCTCCAATCTGGGTGCAGGAACTCGAGGCCGAACTTGCACCTGTCTAAGTCCTTTTGTGACTTGATGGTGCCCTCGTTGAAGGACACACCAGCCTGCTTCGATGGTCCTGGGACCTGCGTGGATGCCTTGGATGGTCCAGCGGCCTGCTCGGATGGTCCGGCATGTTGTTTTGAAGGTGTGCCGCCTTGCTGGCATGATGCTGCAATGGCGGGGCCACTGGGCTTGCTCTGTCCACCCACGTCCTCATTGCCGTTCTCGCTCGCCTCGTTGAGGATGCCCATGGATGTTTGATGACTGCGCCATGTAAAACATGAGCTCCATGTTGCGTTGTAGATATACATAAACACTCAATATAAATAAGACTTGAAGTGTGCGAGGGATGTGTCTTCGTTGCCCCGCAGATAGGTGCTCAGAAACTGGGAAATTATATGGTCAGTAAAGCACCCAATGTAAACAGCGAGAACTTACATTTTTTGCCGTCGCAGTCTCATAGAGCTGCGCCAGGCCCGTGTCCGTATTGACAAGATTGCCTGCCATCAGGAATGCTGTGGAGAAGTCGTATCGTAGTGCGAGGTTGTCGCACTGAGGGGGTGGTTAGTGGGCTACGTGACGCTCATGATGTAGGCACTTACGAGCTGCCTCATCTTGGCGACTGCCTTCGCAAAGTCGCGCTTGCGCTGGCCAACAGTGTGATTCGCCGCCCACACTTCGACCTCCTCGAAGGTCTCGAGGATGTCGCACCAGATGTCGGCGTGCACTTCTTTGAATAGCGCGTACGTCTTGGAGCGGATTTCGACGGTATCTGCCAAAGGAGCATCTGTGCGAGGCTCGCATTAGTATCTGTTTAGGGATGCAAAGTCCCTGTACTTACCTAGGCCGAGACGCTCGCATTCTTGCGCCTGATTCATCTTGAAGTAGTGGTCATAGATGTTCCAGTGGTTGTGGGCGGTGTTCATGCGGGCGTGATGTTGTTCGAACATCGCCTGGACACGCGCCGCTGGTAGCCCAGAGTCCTTGCTGACTTGCTCCACGATGGTATTCATGTTGGCAAACCCTATCTGCAGGATCTGGCGCACGTTGTCCAAGAGTCGCCCTGGGGTGCCGAACACGTCATTGTCAGCTTGCTCTTGTAGGGCTTGCTCTTCAGCCTCTGCGGCCTCTTCATACGACATGCCAGGCACCTCATCCCACTCCAGGCTGCCATCATGGGAGGTGTCATGCACCGCATTGTCGCCAGACTCATCCATAGGGGAACCGGCAGCACTTGCCGCTGCATTGTCCACGGTGCCTGCTTGCTGTGTGCTAGGCACATCCGTGGATGGGTCCTTCTGCGTACTCGTCACCTTGGGTGTGGGCTCAAGGGCCCTCTTAGAGGGCTGGCTGTCGCTAGGAGGGGGTGTTAAGGGTCTGTGAGGAAGGGCTTGCCGTTGTGGAAGTAGGGGCTGGGATCCGCCACCTGGAGGACGGTCCAGCCCAGCATGTCGCTTGGACCGGGGGGGGGGGGGGCTAAGGCACTTTTGTAGCGCAGAGGGTCAGCGGGATCAGTGGGATGGATATGCGACACATTGGAGGACGCCCGTGAGCGCGGGGCTATAGGTGCGACCCGTGAGGATGTTGATGCCACTTTGGAGGGAGGTGCAAGGGGCTCTGCAGAGGGTCCTGCATGGTCTGCATGTGAGACACTGGATGGGGCTCGCGAGCGCAGCGGTGCCGCCAGGTTCTGGTACGGAGACGGGTGGTAGTACATGTTCAGGTTGTGGGGGTCGAGTGCGGCAGCACCATAATGTGTGGGGGCAAAGGGTGCTGCGTGGTATGGGTACAGCAGCATGTCTTCACGTAGTGTGTGTGGTGTTGGCACATAGTGCATGGGCTGGGAGCCTCCTGCATGCGCGATGGACCCTCCGGGATGGGCGGGAGGCTCGGAGGACATTGGGGCAGAAGAGGGATCCTCTTGCTCACCGCAGATGGTTGCGGTAGGGGCGCACTTCTCTTGCACTTGGGGCGTAGTGTTCCGCAACTCCATAGAATGGAGGCTGGTGGTTTTGGGAGCGGCAGCCATCGCATCGCCCTCACGCTCGGGGTTTGGGGGCAGCATGAGCTGTGCATGGCGTGCCTGGGCCCTGTGGCTGATGCTGGTGCTTTTACCAGTTGGTTTGATTACCGTGCGCAGGCGAGTCGGGGTGGTTGGGGCAGTGTCCGTGCCTCGTGCCTCACGAGAGCGTTGTTCACGCGGTGTGGCCTCCTCATCCGCGTCTTCGCGCAACAACCGCGCTCCAGGCGGCGTGCTGGTCTTCACACGCTGTTGCATCTGAGGTGGGGTTTGATTAGTATGAGACGCGTGGAGCGTGGTGTGCCGCTGTATGACATTGGATACTCACCTGAATGAAGTATCCCGGTTCTCCAATGTCCTCTAAACGTGTCGGCACTTCCTCCTGCTTGATCACGATCTGTGGGACCTCTGGCCTGGGCAGCGATGGTGAGATTGGGTGTCGTGCGTGGCATTGCAAAGCCTCTTGGAGATGGTCTAAGGGAGTTTGGAAAGGGCGAGAGAGTCGGGGTAGATTGGGGGTGGGAGCAAGAAAAAAGGAGGTGTCAGTAGGTGGAGAGACACAGCGGGAGGAATTAGATGGTTGCCCAGGATCAGGTGGGAGCATGGGCGTGAATGCGATGAGGATCACGAGGAGAAGAGAGAGGGCCATGGTGTTAAACAAGCTCTAGAGGACATCGAAGAGAACGGTAGAGGACAGAACAGAAGCGTGTGACCCGATTTGGATGGCTTGGGCTTTGTGCAGGGATCAGCGAATTGATATCCAGTTGCCTGCTTCCTCGGTGTTACCCCATTTGGTATGCCTGGGAAGCATGCGCCCAGCTGCTTGGTTCCTCTGACTCCCTCACTGCTGTTCCCCGCTCGCATCCCTCTGACCCCCTCGGCACAGTTCCCCACTCACATTACTTCAACCCTCGCCGCCCCAGCAAGTGAAGGCTTCCGTCGGGATCGCAAAGGCGAGGGTTGAGGCCAGCTTCAACTTCGGGCATGTCACCAATGACATGCGTCGGGAGGTGATCCGCCATCAGAATAGCGGATGGTACCGCTGGCTCACCCCGAGGGCACGTGTGGCCCGTCAACTATGACGGTCAGCACCCCTAGTCTGCCCATTGCCTCAAGCGTGCACCATTTAGGGAAATAGTTTCGGGCAGCCCCTCAGGCTCGATATGGTCTGCCCGAGGATCATCCGAGCGACTCCCATTTACGCATTTTTTATTCTTTTTCCAATTGCACGGTGATGTCAATGAGGTTATACTCGTCTCTCGCTTCTCTGTGAGGTAAATGGGGTAACATCCGAAGTTAATAGTGTTATGATACATCGTTGCAAGATGAGTGGCGCTAGTGTAGTACTCTGTGTCGTAGCAGAAATAGCAGCACATCTTAGACATTATCAACACGATTGTAATTATTCCGTCATCAAGCGCACAGCGATGTCAAAGGCAATGTGTACATCGACATCTATTAATCAAAAGGTCATCGGGCACCAACATGCCGCAGTCGGCATTCAGCCATCTGCCTCATGCCGTCCAGCTTGCCTTTCCAGATGGCCCTGCCGGTGCGTATGGCCACTGTGGCCACACGGCAGGCGGCCCAAGTGCCAAGCGGTCCTACGGCATAACCACGTGTCATTTAGGACAATGGTCTCAGGCGGCCCCTCGGGCTCAATTTGGTCTGCTCAAGGGTGCCCTGAGCGATCTGCGCTGCTCCTAGGCGCCCGTGTGGCGCTCCTCAGAGATCGGTCCCCCTCGGAAATCAATGCCGGCCCCCTGTCACGAGTTGGTTGGCGTTTAGCCGCCTATTTTTAATTTTTTCCTTCTCGCAGGCTCGAACCTGTGACCTCTGTACTATACGCTCAGTAACCAATCGGACACATCCTTATCTTACTGTACAATTAGATTAGATGAGGTGGCAGTGCACGGCATCACTCGGGCTCCGCTGACACAGACACTCTGACTCACTGGCCCCCGGGGCCGCTGTAGTCTGCAGTGCACAGACCTGTTGTGCACGGACCAATGAGCACAGCCTGCCCTCAACTCCTTCTGTATATAAGCCTGCCTCTGCTGCCCTAGGGACCTCAGTTTCGACCTCTTGTCCCTAGGTCAGTAAGCCCCTATACATACTTACCTTTCTATACTAACTTACTTGTCCCTAGCCTTAGGTTCGAGCTTTGCTCACCATCGCTTTGGTAGGATTAGTTGAACGCCCCCAGCGGTTACGTTTTCCCCTGTCACTCAACCTTCAGTCGCGACATTAGGTCAAAGCTTCAAGACTTCTTTGTCGATGGCAGCCGGTGTCGACATTATCGGCGTTGGGGGGGCGGAGGACAGAGTGGGGGCGGAGGCGGTGGTTGTGGTTGTCCGCTGATCGGACCTCGAGGGGGGGACGTGCGCAGGCGGCCTCGTGGCGGAGACGGTGGTATAGGCGGGGGAGGAAGCCTAGAGGGGGCGTCACGTACGACAGGGATTGGAGGTGCGGCGGGGAGCGCGTCCGACGGTGTGGTCTGACCGAGAACTGTAGGCTTGGACTCCGGGACTCTTTCTTCACTCGCACTATCTGAAGACCCTTGCCCTTCCTCGGCTTCAGCTTTGAGATCTGCAAGGAGATTGGTGTCTCCTCGCGTTTGACTTGGGCTGGCGATGGGCCGGGGTAGGCGGGCGCTGGGGGAGACAGGGCGGCTGTGGCGAGATGCAGATCAGGACGCGAGAGTGGAACGAGGACCGAGCAGATGCTGGGCCCTGCGGATTGCCTTGTATCACTCATTATCTTGGGCGATAGATCGTGGGGTGCGATTAGGGCAAGGCTGTTATTTGCATGTGAAGAGGAGAGTGTTGGGGCCTTCAGTGACGTATACATCAACAAGGTCGTATGAGTCGAAGGCATGGATACAGCCCTGGCACGCAGCCACGATGAGGGAGAGGACGGGGAGGTGCGCGTGCTACAAATGGCTGTGCTAAACTAGCCTACACCTACAGCGCCCAAGAAGACCCTGAGGTTCGCAATTCACGTGGGGCCCAGTACTACTTTTGGCTAGTATGCAGCAGGAACCTAGACCACGCATCCATAAGGACAAGCACCACCCACTGAAGTGCAGGTGCTGAAAGGTTCATTCCTCGAGGGGTGGCGATGTAAGGTAAACTATCTACGTATTGTATGTACTGTAGGTATAGTAGGGGTGCGCACCACCCAACCTGTGGGGAAGGAAAGTGAGTGTGTAGTTTTGTATTGAATGCCGGCAGCGTTGGGAGCTTCAACCTAATGTCGCGACTGAAGGTTGAGTGACAGGGAAAAACGTAACCGCTGGGGGCGTTCAACTAATCCTACCAAAGCGATGGTGAGCAAAGCTCGAACCTAAGGCTAGGGACAAGTAAGTTAGTATAGAAAGGTAAGTATGTATAGGGGCTTACTGACCTAGGGACAAGAGGTCGAAACTGAGGTCCCTAGGGCAGCAGAGGCAGGCTTATATACAGAAGGAGTTGAGGGCAGGCTGTGCTCATTGGTCCGTGCACAACAGGTCTGTGCACTGCAGACTACAGCGGCCCCGGGGGCCAGTGAGTCAGAGTGTCTGTGTCAGCGGAGCCCGAGTGATGCCGCGCACTGCCACCTCATCTAATCTAATTGTACAGTAAGATAAGGATGTGTCCGATTGGTTACTGAGCGTATAGTACAGAGGTCACAGGTTCGAGCCCGCGAGAAGGAAAAAATTAAAAATAGGCGGCTAAACGCCGACCAACTTGTGACACCCCCAGTCCTTCTGGGTGGCCACGGCCTCCTGCAAAAGCTAGTTGTAAGAGTCCAATGTGAGCAAGCTCACCAAGCTTACATTGGACTCTTACGTGTATACGACCTGCACGCGAGCCCAAGGATCCCTACCCAGGACCGCAGGATGATCCGATTACTACAGACCATTGATGGTTCTTTGGCCTTGATTTAGTATGGCCGAGGTTCGTGACAGGGATCTGCACTGGCATTAGGTGCCCATACATTGAGCGCTCCTTGGTGCTCGCTATGATGCTCCTCGGTGATCGGTACCTGGTGCTGCAGCCAATCCCCGCTCGAATAAGGGTCCACTGATTGAGCTGCAGGACGGTCGAAAACATACTTGCAAGTCATATACAGGCTGTTTTTGAGCTCGCAATGCCTCCAATTTTGCACGCTTTGCTCGCCAATGGGCTTGCACATCGCCTGGGTACATTTGGACACCAGCGGCATTCTGAAAGGCTCTGGGCAAAGCATAAGGTGCATGCTCTAACCCTTGGGGCAGACTAGATTCTCATAGGGCTCCTTGTACGCTTTACTGCCACCATGGGCAGAGGCACCAAATACTTCACTGCCGCAGACAAGACCTTTGCCACCAAAAGGCGCAAACAGGCTCATGTAGCTACTCCAAAGTATAGCTACTAACCCCCGCCCTATCCCTTGCTAACCAAGCGTGCAGCATCAAGGCCAGCCGAAGGGCTCAGAACCGGCGTGCATATCTGCATCGCCAGCATATGTTCATGTTTCAATGACGCCGGGTTACATTGCTAAAGACCACCCCTCAGTTGAGGGCTCTCTAATACCCTCTCAGGTCCACCCTCTGAGGCCCACAGACCATCATGACATCCCCCCCGATGTTCTCACAGACGCGCACCTGCCCCTCCGCTCTCACCCGCTGCTCCTCAAGGTGCTATGCAATACGCCCCTCAACTTCAACCCTGCTAATGCCACGGCAAAGCAGATGGAGGCCGTCCTGCGCGGGCAGGCCTGGCGAACATTGCGCAACGAACGGGATCATTGTATATGCTTGTGGAACGAAGGGAGGTTGGACAAATTGCGAGGGTTGATAGAGCAACACCTCGCTGATGTGTGGGAGCATCGGCAGGTTGCTCACGCCCAGTAGGAGGAGGCTGCCATGGAGGGTGTGGACGATGACAATCACACACAAATTGTGATGTCGACCCGGGCGGAGTTTACAGCCAAGGAGGTCTTTTGCAACCTGTGGGAGCTCACGCAGCTGACGCACATGCCAGAGTACTATGGTGTATTCCATGAGCTAGCATGTTTCCCCTCACAGCAGGTCATGCTCGTGTATGAAGGCGTGGTTATTGATTCAGTATACTAAGTTTATGTGGATACAGTGCATGCTAGCGTGAACAGGAATATGCAGAAACGGCCTATGTCTGCCTCCTCGAACCCCGTCATGTCATACCCATGCAAAACTGCCGTGATGACGGCCAGTATCCATACGCTGCAGTTGTATGTGTTGTGCTGATGTGCTGCTGTCTAGGGACTGGGTGAGACTGCGCCTAGTGGCGTCGGTGAATGCTACTTACTGTGGTCGGATACACGGCCCATGCACGTTGTGCGTGGACAATGTGATGACCCTTATCCACTGCAATGTTGAGCAGGCGCGCGGTGAGCTGCATGACGTCCTATCGATGCCAATATTAGGATATGCAAGACTTTGACGCCATAATTACTTACCTGAATATGACCCTCCCATGGATGCTCCCGGGCAAAACTGTCGAAGTAGGCAACGTGCGACCAGGGAATGTCAATGGTCGCCAGCATCCAATGGTCCTCGTAGTGGATCGGGATTGTCCATACATCCTTCTCCCAGAAATGTGTGCTTGCCGCATTGCGCCAGAGGGTCGCATCACCGGCATCTGCGCGCACTAGGGGGAGCATGTATGTGGACAGGAGTGCCACCCACTCACCTCCTGGACCCAGGAAGACGAGTTGGAGGAGCTGCATGCATGCGTTGATGCAGCTATCATTCATCCACGCACTCTGGTTCTGCAGGCAACTCATGTCTGACACATCGAGGTGGATGTTGCTTTGCAACGATTGCGAGAGGACTGGGGCCGTGGCTTGCAGGAGGTGGGGAGCGTCATCGATGGTGACATGGATCTGCACACATTAGCGCAAGTGCGGTATCACGACAAGGAAGACTTACTGGAGTCTCCCATGTCATGGTTATCGTCATGACAGATGCCTCGGACCTTGCATCCTCAGGGGGCCCCTCATCGCCACTAGCGTCGTCCAGGAAGACATCCTCCACCAAATGCTGTTCTGTCTCAAGGTATGACGGTTCCTCCTCCTCCAGATGCCCATAGGGGTCTGTATCATCTTGATGGATGATGTAAGGGAGGGGAGTCTTGATGACGAACGGTCATGCATATGCTTGAGGATCGCCAAGGGCGCTGTTGACCATCTCGGACACAAGTGTGGTCTGTGCGTCAAATCATTGAGGTGAGACCAGTGGGTTCTTCCATTTGGCAGGTAGGAGCAGAAGCTCGCAGACGCATTGCTGTAGCAGAAACGCGATATCCGCATCTGGTAGGGTCCATGGTTAGTGGAAGGGGCAAGTGGTGCTAGCGATGGCTTGGTGTACTTACTGGATGATGTCGCCAATGCCAGTTTGGCGGCTGCAAGCTCACTACCATACCAACGACAGATGTTGTCTGCCTCTCTTCCTAAGCAGCGCCGCTTCTCTAGACAACGGTCTCCAAGTAGGAGCGTGCGAATACCCTTGCGGACGTCGACGTCTTTGAGCCATCGGGGGGCTTGAGCTTGTGAGGGGTCAATCCAGACATCAGCGAGGAGGCTGGCATCATCGCGGAGGGCATTGTCATGAGTTGGCATATGATCTGCATATATACCTCCGGTCAGATGTCAAGCCAAGCTTGACATTGCACCCTTTTGGTGTAGAGGTTATGATGTGAGACCGGCACATGCATTTAAATCCTCACAGGCGTTGAGGTCAGTGGGAAGTGGAAGGGGTACGGTGATGGTCCACTCCAGCTGTTTGAGTTCTTTGAGGGTCTCGCAATAGCGATTGAACTTGCGGATCACTGTCTTGAGGGCGGGTGTACACTTCGCAATTGCTTTGCGGGTCTGCTGATGGATCTTGGTGCCTATGTGACATGTTAATAGTGAGCGCTGTGCCCCGATGTCTCGCACTCACCTAGAGGGTTGTGCTGTCCACCGACCGCTTGGTCCAGCCAATCCCATTCAAAGAAGCTCCCCACTGCGCACTTGCGAATGTTGATCTTCAGGTCGCGTGCCATTAGTAGCAGCCTCACGAACTCGAGGCTGACGTTTCCAAAGTCTGGGAAGCTGTCCGTGATGTTGAGCGATGAGTATAGGACCTCTACCTTATCAACCAGGCATGTATGTGATCGTTCGAGGCTCGCGACGACTTCATGGGACTCGGCAGACGCTTCACCATTTTCAAGGACTATCCGTGTTATTCCGATAGCCTTGTTGACAGTGTCAAGGTCAGCCTGCAGGCTCAACACAACATCCAGCTCCTTCTTGAGATGCACTGGAGCATCTGTGGGAGGGTCAGCATTGGCATCATGATCATAGCAGATGCCTTACGCACTCTGATAGATGTCTGCGCTACGCATTGCTGCTTCCATTCATCTCGTAGCTCCTCCTTGGGAATACCTACTCGCGCCAGCTCTTCAAAAGATGATGCCTCCCTTGATTCCACTCCATGGCGTAGGCGTTGGGCGATCCAGTGGCCCAGATCGTCATGCAGATCAAGGCTGATAACCTTGGCCTGACAGTCGATCAGCCAGATACGCTGTGATTGCTGCGAGCGGTCATGAGAGGCATGATGCGGCGGAAACATACATGTGCTTACCGCAGATGAGCATGTGATGGGAATGAGCTTACGGAGCCTCGACCAGAGCCTCTCGACGCCCTCACCATCGGTGAGCCTGAGGCCTTCATGTAAACGGGGGTTGTAGATGATCTGACAGGCCCATTGATGGCCGTATGCGTGCATTGCGGAGATGGCGAATATGAGTTGTTGGTGGATATCAACAGGTAGGATGTTGTACTACGGGCAGTGTCAGTGTGTTCTCATGAACATGAGGGTTAGGGGTGCTTACCAGTTCGAGGCTGCGATCGATGACACAGCCAATGTCGTACAGTGCCACAACAGTCGCATTGGGGGGGAGGAATGTAAAGAGATGCTCGAGGAGCGTGATCGCATATTTCTGTTGCTCGCCTGGAGTATCTACGTTAGCTAGGAAAATGGGTATGTTGTGATGGCAGATTAGGGCCATCACGCTGGTATTGTTGAATCGATTTGCACTTGTCTTGACTTTCTTCTCGTCCGCGGCCTCATACGACTTCTCGCACTCATTGACGATGTGCGCAGGCACCTTTGGAGCGCATGAGGGTCGCGGAGGCTTCTTGCGCACTGCAATGATGCGCTGGCCGTATTCGTCGACCTGAGCCTTAGGGATGAAGAACTCGGGTTCATAGAAGTACGGCGAGTCGCCCGCATGCATGCTGTGACGTTGGCTGAATGTCGCATCCAGTGCGACATGTATGTCCGCTCCCCTGTAATGAGACGTCAATCAGCAAGTGTAGTGGACGGTCAAAGCGACAATGGACTTACTCATCAAACGACCGTCCAAATGCTGCTCCTCCAAAGCAGGCTGGACACCTCTGTCGCGACTTAGGGTCGAGCGACAGGGGAAAACCTAAAGCTGGGGGTGTTCGACTTATCTTACCGAAGCGATGGTGAGCGGTGCTCAAACCTAAGGCTAGGGACAAGTTAAGTTAGTATTGGTAAGTAAGTAAGTAATACATGAGCTTACTGACCTAGGGACAAGAGGTCGAAACTGAGGTCCCTAGGGCAGCAGAGGCAGGCTTATATACAGAGGGAGTTGAGGGCAGGCTGTGCGCGTTGGTCCGTGCGCCATGGGTCCATGCACCGCAGACTGTCGTGGCCCCGGGGGCCGGTGAGTCAAAGCATCTGTGTCAGCGGAGCCCGAGCAGTGCCGCGCACTGCCGCCTCATCTAATCTAATCGTACAGTAGGATAAGAACATGTCCAATCGATCACCGAGCTTGTAGTACAGAGGTCGCGGGTTTGAGCCCGCGAAAAGGAAAAAATTAAAAAGCGGCTAGACGCCGACCAACTCATGACAACCTCGTACTCAGGAGCCTCGTGCAGCATGTCAGAGCATCCACCGGGGGAGGTGTGCTCAGTGCATGCGCATTGTGGTTGTCTACCAGAGTGTCGACAGGATCGGGGGCAAGGCATGCATGTGCAGCATCGATCGCAGCATCGAGACAATGCTGAATTGAATGATGGAGGGTGTCGTACCACTGCGTGGCATACCCAAGGCCGCATCGAAATGGATCATGGACGGGGTCTCCCTGGTAGAGTAGAGCTCAGGTTGTCTCGATGATGGTCTAAGGAAGGGTACTTACCTTATGGTCGAGGGTCTGGAAACCGCAACGCGCATAGTGAGTGCGCAAGGTGCCAGCCAGTGCAGTCACCGTGTCAGCAGAGTGTTCGAATAATGCATGATAGAACTCCAGGAGGTCTATGGAAACAGCGGTGCGAGGGTGGGAGGGAAAGACTGGAAAGAGGCCATGATGCACAAGGACCTGGGGGATACTATAACACTGACAGGCCTTGACATCAATGGCAATTAGATCTATGAATTTTATTATTCATACATTGAGAGGGGACATGAACTACGACTTACAGCTCCAGTACAAGCACAAGATATTCACTCCTCGGGTGCTGCAGGATGAGGCCTCGCAGAACAGTTCGACCCAAGTGCATGAGGTTGAAGGTTGCCGGTACGATGTCTGCATATATTGGAGGAGAGCCAGGACTAGCTTGGGAATGAGAGCATGCCACCGGTCGAATGTTTTGTGCGCCTCTGCATCGGGTAGCAGCCGTTTGCTACGCTTGGCTGGGGGTGAGGCATCCGATGGCTCCTGGACAGGGATTTCCTGTTCAAAGGGTTCGGGTTCAAGATCAGGTGGTAGGGCGTCCTCGGGAGGGGGGCATGAGATTCTAAAGCACGCAGACAGGCTAGCAGTGCCGATGTACGAGTATCACCTGGATGACTAACTAAGACCTGATCTTTTTTGCCCCCAAGCCGACATTTTTGGGGGGTCAAAAAGTGCGCCCCTGTGCGGGGGATGACCTTCTGGTTATCGCGCGTTCTCAATGGCTGCGATCGGGGGGGTGTCGCAGGACATGGGAGCAGGTCGTTGCCGATCTGAAGAGTACTAGGTGGTGGCATGGTGAAAGCGAGAATATAGCCGGGCGAGAGAGCATAGGAGCTGATTTGAAATAGCAAAGACATGGCATCAAGAGAATATGGAAGAGTCCGGAGAGAAGTCGAGAGAATGTGGTGTATGTCCGTAAGTTTCTCGTCGGATTGGCCAACTCTGACTCGTCGGAGGTGTCAAGGGTGCATATGGCGATTTGAGAGCTTCGAGACTCAGGATCCAGAAACGGCCATACGTCTGCTCGTCCAGCACGACCCACAAACCATTAGGAGAGAATGCAGCCGTAGCGAAATTTTCACGGCCAAAAGTTGTCGAGTCGATGGTCGGCAGATTAGACGCTGGAGGTACTAACATGCCATGAGCAAACAAATTGAAGTCAGCCGCGTCGGATCTAGGATTTGCTTCCGCCCCTTGGTCGTCCTGATACGGTGATGGGGTATATACGTCTGGCTCCAACGATGCTGTATGCTCAACAGTCGTCTGCGAGTAAGCACCGCTCTCTTCCTGGGATGCAGGTTGGACTTGGAAAGTCATGTCCGACTCGAAGTCGGGGTATGACGCTCGCTCAGTAGCTGTTTCCGACTCTTCCTGTTCTTGTTGCGGTGAGTTGAGTACCAAGTCAGAGCCGGAGGGGGCGATGCCGACATCGATGAGATGTCCAGCTGTGTCGTCGGACTGAGGAAAGGGTTTTGTCCGATTGCTAATCTGATGCTCAAGATTGAGGTTGCCTGTCGTTGCATCCACTTTGTAAATGGTCCCATTCGCCGAAGCTGCCCACACTTCAGTAGTATCTGGCGCAAACGCAACGATGCTGGGACCATCGAGTAATGGAGCAGGGATGGCTTCAGTGCCTGTTTTGACATCCCAGATGCGCAAGACAAACTTCTCGTCAGGAATCAGGGCGTAACCCACATCTCTTGTACCTTTCACCACACCGCTGGAGACGATTTTCGTCCCGTCCGGAGAGAATGCCAGGGAATGCACTGTGACGTCCTTCTGAAAAAGACGCAGCGCTGGCGACCATTGTTGCAGATATCCACCAACGACAGTGGGCAATTCGGGACGATGAAATAGTGTGAAGAGTCTGTTTCTTTTTGGTGCAAAAGAAAGTGCCGCCCAGATTGACACTGAACCTTCCGAAATGGAGCTCGAGTAGAAGGCACTGAAGCGACCACCGTCGTAGACAAGGTCGTGCAGACTGGCATTCATCGGAAGTACAGCCTGACAAGAAAACGTCAGGAAACATGGGCAGGCTCGCATTTAAGAGATCACCTTGACCCATCTTAGGAGCTGTTCTAGCAAGTCCAAGATATTCCCAGACTTTCCAAGCTCACTCATGTCCTCTAACCAAGCTATCATATAAGTTTCCAACCACTGTTGTAACGTCCGTTCGAAGCCCGCGGGACAGGTGACCATGTCGCACACGTGTAGAATCCACTGCGTACATGCGTATTCTTTTGCTTCAACCTTCAGCATAGTGAGTCCTAGCGACGGCTCGCCTCGATGCTGTGCAGGCAGGCAGGGGTGAGGGTGAAGGATGCCCATGCATCGAAGAGCAAAACGGTAATTGTGGCGCTCGACATCAACAAACCAAGGCATGTCACTCCTTGACGTGTTGGATATGAAATCGCGGAAGGAAGTGTGAAGTAACTGGACAGGTTCGTCCTCGTCCACATGTGAATACTGCAGGAGATGGCGCATAGGGGAGAGAACGCCTCGTGCTCTCCGTCGCCCACCAAGAAACTGGTCAATCGCTATCGCAGAAATAGGCAGCTTGGCTGCTAGAACAAGCCCTAGCACGTCGTTGAATGCTTGCGCAAAGTCTGGCTTAAGCCAATGGCGATCGAGGGAGGAATGCAGCGCTTTGTCGTACAGATCGTCGAGTGAGCAGTGACCCGTTCCCCCGATGAGCGAATCGAGAACCTCTTCGGGATGCTGGTCTGGGAATTCTGCCGCCTTGATCATGTCGCACGCCGTCTGTGCCCATTTGAAAAGGCCTTCCGCATGATTCACCAAAGCCTGCTGCTTGGCAACATCAAGCCAGTCCTCCGGAAGCTGATGGCATTGAGCGACTTCCAGCATTCGCTGTTGCACGTAGATCGAGATATCAGAGCTACCCTCTTCGCCAATTCTGAGCTCCAGTTCTTCTTTACTGCTACGTGGGATCCTGTTCATGGCCATTCGGATATCGCTGCTGTCACGACTCGTGATGATGATGCGGATATTGTGCGGTAGTTTTGCCATCTCCACTACGATATCCAGTAGTTGCGCTCGGTTGTATTTTTGGGAGCGGGGATCATCCGAGCCGCATTCGTCTAGTCCATCGATGAGGATGACGATGGGGCCTTCGCCAATGGCGGATAGTAACGGATTCCGGAGTAGGACTTGGAACTGGACATCTAACTGCAATGCAGTCAGGTTTCCGTGGATGGCGCCGACAACTGCGTGATGAATGTGCGAGTCGAAGTGACTGAGCATGAATGCCATTGTTTTGATGACTCTATAGGGATCATTATCGGCCTCCGCGGCTTCACGGTCGAAGCACAAAAAGGCGCCCAGCCGTTTTTGCTCTTCGAAGATCATTGATAGGCTACTAGCGATGGCGCTCTTCCCTGAGCCTGCTACTCCCCTGAGCCAGAGAAGGTTCGATTCGCTCGCGGACATAGCCAAAGCCCAATTGGAGATAAAGCTGATGAACTCGAGGCGTGTGCGGGGGCAGCAGTGTCTCTGTCGACATACCATGCGAGCGGGGTCGAGACTCTGGTGCAAGACTAGTCATCGGTCGTCAGCGATTGCATAGACAGAGTGGCTAGTATACTGACATATCTCGTCTATTTCGAAGCTTTGGCGAAAGGTGGTAATAGTGACTTGAATGTCGAGACCGACGTCAAGCTGCTTAGCCAATTCACCAAATTTGACGCGATAGTCCTGTATTTGCTCGTCCACAGGCCCTACAAACGCCTTTAATGCCTTGACTGATCACGAACATGCAAGTGAGCAACGGAACAATTAACGTAAAGGACAATACGGTACCCATGAACCGGCTTTGGTTGTAACCGTCGAGGAAGATAAGGCACTCCACTGTCTGCAGCACTATCGTTTTGATAACCTCAGCGAGGGGTGCAAGGATGGAAAATTCTGCCTTCAAGGATTGGAGAGGAGTCACGAATGTGAACAATGTGGTCATTTCTTCCACTAGCGATAGAACTGCCTCATCACGATCGAATTGTGATTGTATAACCTGTGAAAAAAATGAAATTAGGGATCGGTCATACGGCGTTCTATATTGTGCGGCACATACCGCACAGAGCGAAGTAACTATCTTCACCGCTGTGCGCACATATGGATGAATCTGTTACCAATTGGTGTTCGTCAAGATTTGTCTGGTCATACGGATCAAATATATTTACATCAGCGACTGCGTCCATGATCGGACATATCTTCCCCAGTGCGTCGGCGAGGATCTTGAGCTTCTGGGAAACGGTCTGTTCGGATACAGACTTGGGCGAGAGGACGGCTTCTTCAGCATCATGCCGTTTCTGCGCGAGGTCCAAGCCGATTGCTTCAACAAAGTCTACTTCTTTGATAGATATCATGATGGTTGGTCTGAGATACTTTCCACCCATCTTCAGCTTAGCGCCTGGTGACTACACATGAGAAGCCATATAGAAATGAGAACAGCACTACTCACCTCCAGGTGCAGCGTGTGACATCAGTAAGTGGCCCACAGTGGTTTCAGCCAATCCCAGGCTCTGACGAGTTGCTTTGGGTAGGAAGCCATTGTCATAGAGCTCAAAAGATAGAGCCGTAGATTCTTGCACGCCGTTGCTGCGATATAAAGCAATCAATACTTTCCTGAGCGAAGCCAGTCGAATCTAGTCACACGTACATCTCAAAGTCTGTATTCCATATAGGAGAATTGGATACCACGACGGCTGTCTTATATTTGCGCTCATTATTCACACGCAGTTTGACATATGCGTGAGGTTCTCTTTTCACTCGACTCTGTATGTGCAGAGCGGATGCATTGGCGACTGCAGGAATCTGTCAAGGGTCTATAATATATTGTTTGGGGACGTACTCGTAATGATTACGCTACGCATAGTAGCGTCACGCTCCGACCGTGTGACTGCTAACCGGCTTGACTGCTCCATGGTGTTTGAGAACTATCGTTGCAGCTATCGTCAGGTAATATATAGGCGAAGACGAGCGCGCATTATGCACGTTCTCGGGCTTTCATGCGTTAAGCCGGGAACTTAGAAGCCATTGGCTTGCTATCTAGACGCAGAGCAGATATGCAGAGACTGGATCAGGAGAGATTATCCATAAGTGTACGATCCCAAGAGTATGAAATCTGCTTACGGACTGCGAAAACATAGTCTGCCTAGCTTTCAGGAAACCACATGAACTGACATATCACAATTGTTCCGAGATGCAAGGCACAATTCACTGCGAGGCGATATGGGCCCTGATATATTTCAGTGAGCACACACAATGTCATAACGTCAACATATGCTCGCAGGCGAACAAATGCAGAACGATTGAAACCGCACCCAAATCATCTTTCTTCCATGTAGCGCTAGTGTGGTCAGACCTACGCTGTTCGGATCTGTCCGGATGGTTTCTGCGTCTACGTTCGATTGCTATCTCATACATGAGGCCACCTGCGAGCCAATCTTGTCCATGCATCAGTGAAGCATTCCACGTTATATATCGTACATTCAATGCTATCCTAGCAGGCGAGAAGAATCTGCTCATGCAGCATACGTAAGTCGTCCACTTTAAGGTTCAGCGATTAAGATGCACGTTCCCTGGTAGGTGTGTTGAATTTGCGGCTGAGAGTCAGACCTGCCGCGCTCCTTGAATGGTATCTGGTCGTGGACAGATTGGCTACTTAGTTCCCGTCGGCGCATGGGAACCTAGTGTTAGCGTCTTATCCACCGCGCTCACCTACTAGTACCGCACATCATACCACACGGAGACCACCGAACTGCGACCACATTAAGCGTGAGAAGCAGCCATTCAGTTGTGTTCCAGAGATAAGGATGGGGGCTTTTGCATTCCCAGTACGATACGGCTGAAGAAGAGGCATGTCAGATGTTTACATCGCCCCAGAAACTTGATCGATTCATACCTAGCATGAAACAGGCTGCAGCCATCGGCAAGCCATGTAATTGAAGTGGACAGTAAATGAAACTGAAACCGACCCTGCGCAAAATCCTACCACCATTGTCAAATGGTTTCCAAGAGACGTCTACCTTAGCACTCAATCCCGGGGGCTACTGATGCCGTGAATGCAAGTTACGACAGCGCCGCTTGCGCAACGGGCGCTGTAACGGGTCCTTGCAGTATCAGCGATTCGAATCAATATTTAGTGCGCCTATACGCCTGATCACTCAGCGCGTACTCCTGAGATGACGAATATGAACGCGCTGGAACTACACTCAGAATATAAATTCAGCGTCAGTAAGTTCAACAACATAAGCGTGCATTCCGCATATTATACAAGCATGTTTGACTTCGCCTTGGCCGTCTTCAGACACTGCTCGGGAACTAGATCAGCCACACATGATACAGTCACACGAGCAAATGCGCACCTCCATGACCCGCGAAGCGTTCACAAGAGCTTGCCCGCTGGCTGCAGCCCCTCAAACCCACGCTCGCGCTCGTACACCAGCTGCCCGCCCACATACGTTTGTGCGACCTGCCCCTTCAACGTGCGGCCCTCGTACGCCGACAGCTTGTTCTTGAAGTTCAGCCCCTCGCGCGTCACCTAATCGCCGTCAGCTCGCACGTAGCCTCCTCCTTCCCTTTCAAATCAAATGAAACATGACGCACGGTGAACTCCGCCTCCGGGTCCCACACCACCACGTCTGCGTCGTACCCCACCGCCAACCGGCCCTTCCTATCCGCCAGCCCCGCGTGTCTCGCCGTCGCGCGCGCCGTCCACTCCAACACCCTCCCGATCCCAATCCCGCGCGCCCGCGCCTCCGTCCACAGCAGGCTCAGCCCGAGCCCCAGCGTGCTGATCCCGCCCCACGCCTTCATGTAGTCGCCCTCCTCGACCCGCTTCAGCGCCGCGACGCACGGGCTGTGGTCGCTCACCACGCAGTCGAGCGTGCCGTCCTCCAGCGCCGCCCACAGCGCCGCCCGGTTCTCCGCGCCGCGCACGGGCGGGCAGCACTTGAACTCGGGGTGCCCCGCGGGGATGTCGTCCGCCGCGAGCGCGAGGTAGTGGAAGCACGTCTCGGCGGTGAGCGAGCGCCCGGCCGCCTTGGCTGCGCGCACGAGCGGGAGGGCGGCGGCGGCGGAGAGGTGCACGATGTGCAGGCGGAGGGCCGGGAAGCGCGTGTGGAGCGCGGTGATGAGGCGGATCGCGTCGACCTCGAGCTGCTGCGGGCGCGAGGCAAGGAAGGTCGAGTAGAGCGTGGGGTCGGCGTCAGCGGAGACGTGCGCGTGTCCGTCGTCAAGCTCGGCGTGGAAGCAGAGCACTGTGGACGTGTCCTGGGCTTGTGGTCAGTATTTAGTGCGCATATATGCTGCCAGTCAGGTCCTGAGCATGCGCTCTGTACATGGAACGTATGACGTTCACTACCCATCGCAGGAAGTGACTTACTTTGATTTTCTCCATGGCAGCGACCAGATCAGCCTCGTTCACACATGGGAATTCCTGCCGTGACTCGTGCGTGAGCAAACGGCAAAACAGGGCTGTGTAACAACACGCACCTCAACGCCGCTCTCGATCATGAAGCACTTGAAGCCCTTGACGCCCGCATCTATCAGTGGACGGAGATGTGTCTGTCATCTTACCGTCGTTAGACCTTGTTTCCAAAGAGCCATCTTCTTCACGCGCGCGATAATATAAGAGATGTATTTGGAAATGTAGACACCCGTTCGTGTACCTCTAGCAGACCTGTTCGCACACAACATCCTCCCTAGGACACAACGTGTCCCACGATGACAGATCCACCGGGGCCCGCTAGAGGACACTGACTGCCGTCGTTGCCAGGATCGGACTCACGAATAGATATTCTGGTGTCATAGACTGAGCAGACATCAATCGTGCATGGTGATAAAGAAGCTCGGATCCACCCAATGTGGCTCATGGTGCATTATGCGCCCGACACAATGTTTGATGTGAGTGCAGCCAGGATGTCAATTAGAATGTCCCGGGCCAGAGCCAGGAGCGACACATTAGCCACGTAGCTGCAAGCACTACCACTGCCCCAGCTGCGACGTGAACACCAGAGCTGGTGGGTACAGATTAAGGCGCTGCGATCGACGCAGCGCAGTCTGGCATGACATGCCTCGATGTCATTTGAACGGGGGACTACGGTCTAGTGCAGTGCTTTCCCAGTGCACGGATACGTGTGCACCTGCCCAGCGCCCCGAGACGATGCAGGGTTAGGGCGAGCGGTGGCAGCCGAGCCCAGTGCATGAGCCTCTGCGGGCACACCAGCGCGGCCGCCGTCGCCCAAGGAGAGCTACTGAGCCGCCAGAGTAACGTTCAGCAATCCAATCCCACGGCTCGCGGACGAAAGACCCCGTGAACGCGACGTTTCCGCGACGCAAAGATAGAGGGAAGACAGGCACCTGATTCTCGGGGATGACGCCGCCCCAGAACGCGACATCGACCCAGCACTGCCCTTGCGCGGCCGCACGCTTCGCCTCGAGATTGCTGACGGTTGTCGTAGGCGGGATGGAGTTGAGGGGCATGTCGACGACGGTGGTGACGCCGCCGGACGCGGCTGCGCGTGTGCCGGTCCAGAAGCCCTCCCAGTCTGTGCGTCCGGGCTCATTTAGGTGGACGTGTGCACTGGGGGACAGATGGTCCCACGGCGGACATGGCGGATACAGTGTCAGTGCATGATTGCTTTATGCCACGGGGTGACACGGCGCGGGAGGGTGGGAGATGGGGCGTGTACTTACTCGACGAGGCCCGGTAGGACGAGGTTGTCTCCTGCGTCTATCCAATCGGCGTCGCTGACGTCGGGGAAGGCGGCCCTGTGGTCTGTTCCGCTGCGGACGTCGGTTATCTTGCCCGTCTTCACGTCAACGACGATGGTAGCAGGGCGGGGCTGGTCGTCCGAGTCGAGAAGGACTTTGGTGCCTGTAAAGACGCGGTAGCGAGCAGCCATGGTGTGTAGCCGAGAGTGGGGCGAGGCAATGTCGGAGCGGATGATGGTGAGACTCGAGGTGCGATCGCATCTTGCGCCCGATAAGGCAAGCGTCGTCGTTCGCGGACAACTCAAATCTTAGCCTCGCTAGGCGCTGATAGCCGCAGCCGAGGGCGGTGGCAGTGCGGACTCGTAAGCGGGCACCGCTGTCCACTTGGCTTTTGTGTGCCCGCCTGAGATTACAAGGTATGCACGGCGAGGCGCAATGGCAATGGCAGACCCCAGCGACGCTGTGAGCATCCACAGTGGACGGGCAGTGCACGCACGTGGCAGGACAATTGCAGTAATACTCGCGCTCAGAGGGCGGACGCGTGAAACTTGTGTCAATCAGCGGGTCGGTGACAGCCATCTCATCTCATATATACACCCCATGCGCCATCTGCCCTCTCCCTCCCTCCCTCCACGATGTCTGACGCTCACCCCGACACCTCCGACGACCGCACCATGCTCGCCTGCAAGGCCTGCCGCGCATCCATCGTCTCCCGCAGCTCCGTCATTACCGAGGTGCGCACCCACAGCCGTCTTCTGTCCTCCTGATGCCATACCTCCGCGCAGGACGGATTTCGCGGCTACCACGGCAAGGCCGCGCTCGTCACCGACGCGTACGTCCCCTCGCCCAGACTCCCACCACGCACCGCTAACGTACCCGCGTCCGCACAGCCCAAACACATCCCCCGCCGCGCCCTCGATCATGCTCATGGACACCGGCGCACACACCATCGCCGAGCTCGCCTGCGCGTCCTGCGCGGCCTACCTCGGCTGGCGCGTCCTCCGCGCGCACGAGCTCTCCGAGAAGTGGAAGGAGGGCCGCTGCATCCTCGAGCTCGCCCTCCTCGCGCCGCTCCCCCTCCGCCCGCTCCCGACGCCCATCCCACGACCGTCCTCGGCGCCCTCAGCAACGACGCTCGCTCCGCCGCCTGCATCCTCACCCACGCAGCACTCACCACCATCCCTGGTGGACACCCCAGAGCCCTTGGCGTTACCTGTGCCGTCACCGTCACCGTCACCGCCACCGACGCAGGAGCGGGAGTGGGCACACAAAGCGAGGATCGCAAACGCGATGCCGGTGCTGGGCCACCGCCGCACTGCGACAGACCCGCACGCACTGCGTGGCCGCCCGCACGGCCCGCGCAGTATCACGCCGAGCCTCCGGCGGGCAGACCGGACGCTCTCCGTGGTCTCATAACCTGCAGCATCTGTATCTCGAACCTTAGGACTTGCTCGATCGTGATAGATTGGTCTGTTGCCGTGCATATCCATCCTGTTGTCTGACGCCTACGAACCCTACGCCCACGTATTATGAACCCTAGACCTCACTCGTAATTGCTGAAGCATCTCGCTTCTGAATGCTACCGCGGTGTCCATAGTTATCGCTCTGACGAGAGCTCATGTACTATACGAGGCCTTTACCTCCCAAGAGCCCTTACATCCCAACATTTCATGGCAAATTCTGGACGCATATCAGGCAGCGACCCTGGGACTCAAATTCCGTGCTCGATCTCAAGAACAGACTGACATTTGGTCTACTTTAAGGTCAGGTTCCGGGGCTGAGCGAATACTATGGGTGGTAGGGAGTTGCTCACGGCCCCTTATACTGCCTTCCACATTGAATGGCTTCAGCTCAAATTGCGTAAAAGATGCTGTCTTCAGTTCTTGAAAATGCCCTCATGACACGGAAATAATCAACTAATGGGTTCGTACAGAGCAACACGTTCAGCGGGGTATTTTGACAGCTTTCCAATTTAGCTGTCATCCCACTAGCCCGAAAACACGCCGTGTGATTCTACATTTCGGTGCTAGCACCTCATCCACCAGGTGAGTATTTGTACGAGAATCACCGTGGGCGATATCGAAGGGTGACTGGTACACTGAGCACGCATTTCGTAGTAAGGGCTTGCAAGTTCCAAGCCACCCTGAGGCTATTTCACCATGGTCATCCATTATACATATACATAGTAGTACAGTGTCAAAGCGAAAACATATTTACGACAAACTCACCGACATCCGTATTTTGGTCCACTACGTCCTAATCAAGCCAGTTCGACTCCAATTGCGAGCAGGATGGCCCTTTCGCGCACCAGGCTATCCTCCGGGGCGGCCTCCTCTGGATAGTACCCTTCGTGGTAGTCTAGGGATTGGCGGCTGCTTAAAGCACGCACTGCCTCGAGTGATGTCAATTCGGGCAGGGGTTCGTTCTGTCCACGGCGGGCGGAATAGTAAGAGCAGCTCGTCCACAATGAGAAAAGACTTACTTTGACCATCATTCCCCATGGGTAAGTTCCATCTGGGAAGGGTACTTCCTCGAATGGGATAGCTCGGCCGGGCTGAACAGTCCTATTGTACGCCTTGAAACAGGTTGCAGTTATTATAATGCCCAGCCGTGACATAGACCTGGGGCTTACCAGTGCTGCGCATCGCTGCGTGTTTGCTTGACGTTTGTTGATCAAACTGACCTCAGACTTGACTGCTTCCATGTCTTTTTTCATCGCCTGCATGTCGTTCGTCAGGTTTGCAATGTCATCGCGAACTGGCCTCATCGCGTGTTCCAGCGCTTGCGCGAACCATGGTGGCGGCGCCTCTGATGCAACGAAAGAGGTCAGACAAGTCACAGAAACTCTGAAAGATGACGACCCACCCGGTTTGGGGGCCGCAGCTACCAGGAGAGCATACTTATATAAAGCAGCCTCAGCGACGTGGACATCTCGAACGCCACCATCCCCTGCTAACGATGAGTGCCATTTCGGCTGGTATGTTGGGCGTTGCTTACCATGAGCGTTTATGCAGTTTAGCTCGTATACAGCTGCCATAGCGATGTCGTTAGCAGTGGGAGGGTCTGATGGAGGAGGTGGAGCAGGAAACTGGCCGTTGTGTTTAGGTGGAACGATGGCGGGCATGAAGGATGACGAAAAGGAAAGTATGGCGATGGTTGAAAACAGCTTTTATAGTCACACATGTTCCATTCTAAGGTAGGGCTAAGTCACTTTCGACCAACATCACGTGCTTGTGACTTTCTGTGACCAAGGACTTATCCTTGGGGAGCGCTGCACTCGAGAGCATCCGTCTATCGAGGGCGTTGCCGAAATAGAGCGCGCTTCTTTCCTCCGGTACACTGCAAATCTATCTTCAATTGCTCCTCGCACTTTATCACAAATCGAGAAACAGGGTCTTGTGAAACGATGTCCTCCACATATTTTCCTGTTTTTTTGATCTATTACTGTCTGCCTCAAATAATATCCTTTAGATCTGCAAACATAATTTGCGCTTTTGTCACGATTTTGTAACGGCCGGCACGTGATGTTGGTCGAAAGTGACTTAGCCCTACCGTAGTGTGTCGTACATGCCCCAGACGGCTCGTGTTCGCGCTTGAACTTACGTGTTCGATTAAGTTCAAGCGCCTGCTTCTAGCGCTTATTAGCTCGGCCTTTTCCATTCGTGTTCCTTCCACTACTAATGCTGACAGCCTTGTGCTATCGAGCACTGTCGTGCATTGTCGTGCATTGTCATGCATTGTCGTACTCTTGTATGTTCTACTCCTCTTTCAGCTTCGGCCGGTTTTAGCACTCTGCAACAATCGATAGCGTCGTGCGTCTCCATATCGGTAGACGAATACGTACACAGATGATTACCTCCACGAATTGCAAGGTGACACTGGGAGGGCTGCGGTGCAGCTGGATGCTGTCCTATTACCGGTAGCGAGGAAGTTTGTAAAGCTCGTCGGTCCTTTCTTATCTCTGATGAGGCATGTCCTGTCCGGAAGACATCACGAGATTGACGTGTTCTGCGAATCATCCCGTGATGCTCTAGATGTAGATGATTCCACGCTGTGTCGGATATCAGACGGACATAGTCAACGGCGAGCGCAAGTGACCAACCGCTGACCAACTGACCTCTGCTGACGATATGACATTGTGAAATTGACCGTAGTTATCCGAGTAATCAGCAGTAGATGATACTAATCGCACCCTGCACCGAGGTGTCGTAAAGGCCTTTTGGAAGGGGATCGTATTCTTTCCTTCCACGGTATGTTTGATGCACCGAACAGGTGGTTGATGGTGGGGCCATCGGCATGGGAGCTCTCACCCTTGTTCTGGCTAGCGTGCGCCTTACGATCTCCTTTTGAGCCTCCGTCTTAAACCGTATTGCCCGCAGGTAATATATACTTGGCCTGTGCGAAGCATTTAGGCGACAAAGCTCTCACATACCATCATGGGAGAATATCCCGAAGGCACTTCCTCGACGTCGCTACATGGCAGCCCCAATGCATCGCAGCTAAATGACGACTTCAAGCTGGGGACATTTTCGATTGACGAGTACAGGCCTATCAAGGTGGTCGTCATTGGTGCGGGCTTCAGCGGTATTATTGCGGGGATCAGGTAAGTACACTCTAATCCTTCTTTGCGCAGCGGGGCTGCCGCTCATCTTCATTTTCCTTAGGTTCCCCCAGCGGGTTCCAAATCTAGATCTTACTATCTATGACCAGAACGCAGGGATCGGGGGGACGTGGTACACGAACAAATATCCGTAAGTTCGATCATTCGCGATGGTCGATCGCGATCGCCCATGTCGTATCCAGTGGTCTGGCATGCGATATCCCTTCCCATTGCGTGAGCGTCTCATCCAGTCCGCTTCCGTCAAGGCGTGATTCCGACATGTGTTTCAGTATCAGTTAACCTTCGAGTCCAAGGTGCTTATGATTCTCGTGCTCCTGTTTGTTTTCTCGCCAACCGATCTTATGGAATCCACAGACCGATTGGTCCAGCTTCTACGCGCCCGGCGCCGAGATCCGCTCTTACCTCCAGTCGATTGTCGACAAGTACAAGCTCATGCGTTACATCAAGCTCCGCCACCGGCTCGTGCACGCGCGTTATGACGAACCCACCGGCAAATGGCACCTGCGCATTCGCCGGCTGATGGTGCAGACTAATGGTGCAGGATCTGAAGCCGAAGTATATGAAGAATTTGAGGATACGGCTGACGTACTCTTCACGGGCGTGGGGAGCTTGAGTCGATGGGGCTGGCCGGACATTGCCGGTCTACGAGACTTTAAAGGCGAACTCTTCCATACGGCGGATTTCGACGTCGGCAACAAGACATGGCAGGAGGCGACGGAGGACTGGCAGAACAAGCGTGTGGGGGTCGTCGGTGTGGTGAGTGTCGGCGTCCGTCTCGACATGGTTAAATTGAGTGTCATGTCGTCGCGATAGGGTTCAAGTGCCATCCAGATCGTACCCGCGCTGCAACCACGTGTGGCGAAGATCGTCAACTTTGTGAGAGGCAAGACTTGGATCTCAACGCCGTTCGCGAGCGCGAAACTAGCCGAGCTACTAAAGCGGGATCCGGATGCACAGAATTGTGAGTACTCATGTTTAGCCGGCCGGATTAGAAGTGAACATAACGGCAAACCATAACATCAGACGTGTTCACGGACGAGGACAAGGCGGCTTTCAGGGATCCCGAATTCTATAAGCATTTTCGACATGAGCTCGAGGCAGATCTCAACGTCAGTTATTCCAGAACTTTGTTTTACGCTGAACTGCGCATTCATATATGTTCATACTTTTGTAGTCGGTTCACCAGAGCACGCTGAAAGACAGTGGCATGCAATCAAATGCGCGCGCGGCCTTCCATGCTCATATGGTCAAGAAATTAGCGAAGAAGCCATGGATAGCAGACCTATGTGAGACTCATGTTTCTTGCGATTCTTACCGCTGACAAATGAATACAGTGATACCCCAATTCGGTGTGGCATGCAGGAGACTGACATCGGGACCTGGGTATCTCGAGGCTCTTTGTGAAGACAACGTGAATATGCTATTAGATCCTACCAAAGGCCTTTTATCAACCACGTCCGCTGTGCATAGGTTGACTTTGTTGCGACCCACATCAAACACATCACATCTACTGGAATCGAGTTGGTCGATGGTACCCACCAAGACTTCGACGTGATCATCTGCGCGACAGGTAACATCCGGCGATAGTACTCTTGCCGATATCTCATCTGCACGTAACATAGGCTACGACTACTCTTTCCACTTCGACTTTCCCCTAATCGGACGGGGCGGCGTGTCCATTCAAGAAAAATGGACACCTCATCCCTCCACCTACCTTGCGGTGTGTACCGACGGATTCCCAAACTGCTTCATGTCATTAGGCCCGAACTCGGGAGTCGGCTCAGGCTCACTTCTCGTGTTGATCGAGCGCCAGATCGACTACGCGATCGAGGCGACAAAGAAGCTGCAGCGGGAGCGACTGAAGAGTATCGAGGTCAAGCAGGAGGCAGTGAAGGACTTTGATGCGTATTTGGAGGTGTGTGCTTTTCGCGCGCCCAATTGGGGCTAGCAATCTGACATGTACAAACTCCTAGCATTATTTCCCGAAGGTGAGATATCCTGATGGTTGTTCGGGAGGATTATTCATGTTCATGCACCACGCGACAGACGGTCTACAGCGAGAAATGTCGCTCGTGGTACAAGATGGGCAAGGAGCAAGGCAGGGTTGTCGCACTGTGGCCTGGTACGACATACACATTCCCTATTCGAATCACGTACCTAATCAGTCTTCACCTACTAGGGTCGTGTCTTCACGCAGTTCGCGCAATCCAATATCCGCGCTGGGAGGATTACAACTACGAGTACGCGGATGGTGTCCGTAATAGGATGCACTGGCTCGGAGATGGGCAGACGTACGACGAGAAGACGATGCAAGGTGATAGTACGTAACATCCCGGTCAATACTGCCGGGGAGGACTGCTCACGGGCCCTTGGCAGGAGCGTGGTACCTTAGCGACGAAGAAGTCGATATACCACCAGGTAAGGCGTCTTCATCCTACACAAAACCCAATTGATAGAACATGCACAGTTCCTGTCGACATAGCATGACTGCGCTCGTGTAAAGAGAATGGAATTAATCAGGGGGTCCAAGAAGTGGTCTCGGATACACGCAGAATGCGAACTACGGGTAGTATTCACAAATAGCGCTCTCAACAATGGTCCTCCGGGCCGCCTCGCCGTCTTGTATAGATATGCGATTTAACCCACGTTCTCCGTGTATATCCGCGATTCTCCACCAGAGGACCTCCCCGTATGTTAGGCCCAGACAGTCGTGCCGCGAAGTATCAATCGTGGGGAGGTCGGGGAGTAAGGTGGGAAAACTGTGCACCTCTGCGATGGATACATACTTGAGGGATGGTATATGGCGTGCGAGGCACTGCAGAAGGCGGCCAGATTCAGACTCCGTGGATGAGGAATCTTGGGGAAGGCACACAAGCCGCCCGAATCTGCCAGACTGATAGCAAATCTGCAGGCATTCAACCTGGGACGACGCTAAAATCTTGTCCGGCCCGACCTGGACAACGATGACCACATTCACAATCAATCTCAATGCGATCGACGGCGTTGGACATGGCTCACCAGCTGCCAACAATCGTCCCGGCTCAGACTGCACGAATGATCTTGATACTCTTGGATACGCCCGCATCCCTCGGCGAGAACCAGCTCAATACTCTTTAATCTAGGACCATAAGCAAATATTTGAGCCCAGAACTTCGAGGGTTGCACAGGGATGCCTTGTCGACAGAACAATTCTTCTGGAGAAGATATCGTTACGCGCAGAACCACAGGCGATAGCCGCCCAACAATTGAAGACATATCCTGAAGCCATTTTGCTCCGCAACCGGCTTTGTCGACAAATTCAACTAGCTGCGTACGCTCGGAGATATCCCATTCATAGATCTGCTCCAGCGATGTAGTGATTCGTCCCATGTTACGCCACTTGTCGGCTTCCTTGTGCTCGCCCAAACATTCGATGCCGCTATGTCCCAGATGAAAGCAACGAGCATTTGGAAAGAACCGCGGATAGACAGAGCAAGGAACACGGTTTTCTCCAATCTCAAGGCAGAGGGCATTTGGCCATGCACAGCCAGAGACCGGCGTCAGGGAAGTGAAACTCAGCACGAAGAAATGCGTGAGTCTCAGGCGCTGGACACTCGGAATGGGTTTGAGATCGCGGATCCAACTCCAGTCGCCGTAGGTGTAGAACGGTTCCGGTGCGGACATCTCGAGCGCCTTGATGGTGAGTGGCAATTCGTTGAGCGTAGAAATCGTTTGTGGCCCTACGTCCAGAAGCGAGAGCGTCGAGAGGTAGCGCAAGCTAGCTATGGCGTGTCCGATCTGCGATTTGCATCCATCATGGAAAATCAGTTCCGCGCTTCCTAGCGTCAATCTCGTCACGTTAGTTGCTTTCTGAAAGAATTCGTGGAGGCATTCCATGACTTGGGCGCGATTATAAGCATTTTTGGCCTCAACGTGCTCCTGAACTAATGCACCACTTTGGATCTCCAGAGTACGGATGTGATCATGTCGGGAATTTCCTGCGAAGTATTGACACATAGCGACCAGATTATCCGCCTTGGAGACGCAAATTGAAGATACGGCCTGGGGCAAGGCGATGTCGTGCAAGCATTTCGACAGGGTCAACAAGGCACGAGCATTTCCAGCTGGTAGGAGAGTGACGATGATGGAGAGGACGTCTTCACTGAGGCGCATGTCGATATAATAGCGAAAGGGCTGTGTTTGCGTATCCGAAGACTGTAACAGTTGCTGGAGTTAGAAGTGGCGCCCGGCGACAGAGAAGTTCGTGGCCAACCGGCGTCTATTTGTAGAGCTGTCCGCGATGGCCCGAATGACAGAGGCAAAGCGAGGTCGCAGCGCGCGATTCGTCTTCGGCCGGAATCATCCTGCACAAGAGCAGCAACATCGCTAGTTTGGTAGCGCTACTGAGCTCCAAGTCATAACAACTTCGAGGTTAGATCTGCTTTCCAAATGTGGCGCCCGGAGACATTCATAACCACCAAGGAGAGACGCACCATACAGTCCTCTTTGTCATAAAACGAATGCAGCAGTTACGTGGTTACAAGTTAGTGTAGCATTGACTGCCCGCGGTATACATACAGGCCACAAGACAAAGTGTATCTCCGAGTCTCGGCCAGTCTGTATCAAGCGGGTAGCCAACGAGAATTCAATGGACGCAGGTAATGGACAACAACCCAAGACACTCCGATACCCAAGCTTTCTGTCGGATCCCGCGCTATTGTCGTACTAAGAGCGGAAAATGACAAGGAAGAGTGGACGAATAGCCTCATTCTGATGGGTGATTAGTCTGATGTCTCAATCATGGCTTAACTGCGCACCTTGTATACTGCAATTCTCGCGATCAGCTTACTACGCACTTCGCTAGTCCACAAAATGACTCACCAATGCTTTCGTCATAGTTCAGGCTTCCTCCAGGTTCACCAACAACCGAGTCATACCCTTGCGGAGGCTGCGTTTTCCGAGATTATTTATCACCAGATAGGGTTGTCGACAAGAGAAATTTGCACCTCTTTCAAATTCGGATTGTCAGCAGTGAGCTTGATCGTTTTGCCCATGACGACGTCGTTGAGAAGCATCGCCCTATACGATGACCCCCCTCCTTCAGCGACATAGTCGTTCGCCTGAGTTGCGTGAAATTGCAGACAGTGAGTTGTTGAACACATGCTATCATCGATATCTGGATTACCTTAGATGACGTCGCGGACGTATATATTCCCTCTCCGAATCGCCCAAAGTTTGTGCGCTTACCAAACTTCGCAATCTCGAACGACGACTGCACAAACAAAGCGCTGTCACCATCCCCTCTCACTATATAGGGACAGAGTATAGACCTTGATGATCTCACATAGTGAGCAACCTTGATCAAGGCAAGGCTGACATTGTGTCTCGTCATCGCCAAGCCTGCATGCACGGATAGTACCATGCCAACGCCGTAGGCTATTGCCTCCTTCCTTGCCAATACGTCGTTCAACTGCGAGCCTAGGAAATTATGGTTAGTAGAAGCAAAGTGCCATCTGCCTTGAGGAAGTTGCCCACCTGTAACGCGCGAACCGGTCATTGTGATCCTTGTCGCTGAATATCTTCCAGATCTGGGGTGCCCATCAATACAGCAGTTTGAGCAAGGTGTTTGACCCACTTTTACGACAGTTGGCTTCGAGGTAGGATGTCGCCATCCTTGTAGGAACTGCGTTGATACTGAGAAGAAGAACAGTCTGACGACACGATTCATACATGAGACATGGAGAACAGTGAGCATACCTTCATTGAATGCATCATGCTTATTGCTGACCTCCAGTATTTTCGGTGCTACAGTGCGATGATGACATCAAAGCTATCACACGCCGTAGAGTGGTCGGACTTACCGCCGGCGATCGTGATCTGACCGCATTTCCTAGAACAAAACTCGCTTGTCTTGCCATTGACTAGAGCTTTGGGCCATAGTCCACACCTAGGATCGACCCTTTAGAAACCAGGAGCCATCACACCTCGTATAAGCACTGACAATAGACAAGACTCAGCTTCGCCTCTCTTGACTGCATCACTACGCGGGAACATATGAGCATTCGTCAGGTTCCATAAAGAATGCACTTACATTCGATGAGGATTTCCGCAGTAACTGCTCGGTGTCTGGTTCTGTCCAACCCAAACTGGCTTGTTGCAACCGAACAATGCACAAACGAGTGACTGAGGAGGTGATTGTGTAGGTGTGGATGGTTGCTGCCCATCCTTATAAGCAGTGGCACAGCGAATGCCACAGAATCCATGAGCTGTATGCGACCACGGCGGCATCAGAGTTCCCGCGATCAGTCAAGGGGATGATTTGACATACCATGGCCATTTTCGACATAAACCGGGCGCAAGTGACAGCCCTGGTGGTCGATATGTCAATCAGTCACTCACGCAAAGAAGAGAATACTACAGGCCTTGCATAGCTGTGCTTGGTTATTTGTATTGACCTGCGCCATCGCATCCCGATGCCCTCTTCCGCAGTACGACGAGTAAGAACCGTCTGGGTCCTGCCACACGGCCCGTCTGCAATTTGGGAAACTGCAGACCGTAGCAGAGTTGCGCGTCGCATCAGAGCACATCGCTGCAGATACAAGAAATTACAAAGACAGTAAGACAGAGTTTTCAAGCTCCAGCGGGGCGGTGAGGGGCAATTGCGTTCAAGATTACCTGGATTCGGGAATATATAAGTGTGAACAGCCGCCGAGAAGCGAAGATGGATGGCACTTACGTAGTTCACACTGCATATATGAGCCCCAATTCCATTTATTGACTGCACGTTGCATGACCGTGACTCACGGTCCTACCAATGCAGACATCCTCAACGTGTTGCTGAATCGCGAGTCAAGCTCTTCCTGTCATGCTGATTCTGGTACTGGTTATTATGCTACTCTGCTTATTCCTGGGAGTTCATACCCAAACGGAACGAACGCAGATACAGAAGCGGAGAGGCTCCAGAATGCCTATGGCCCCTCCGAGGAACGGCGATCATGAAGTCGACGCGATGGATGTCGACGCGACAGACGAGGTTGGAGGTTACGGTACGCAGATAAAAACAGCCGCAATTTGATCGATGTTTGATTTTGGCATCAGAACAAACGGCTTCCGAACCGCACCCACTTGAACAACCACGGACAACCATACATGAATCTGCCGACAGGAGGAGCGGGCAATGGGACATAGGTCGGCCAGGGCGCATTCTCTTCTACCATCGTGGCCAACCTTACTACGAGTACGTCTGGGATTGCATAAACGTTCTCAAGTTATCCCTTAACGTCGCTTCGTAGATTCACCAACTTTTCACCGCATGAGGTAGTCTTTGAGGGGCGCACATACCCAACGGCGGAACACTGTGAGTAGTACACTGTGGTTCGGATCATTAGCATTCCGACATATAGGAACTTGTCTCGTAGTATTCCAAGCTCACAAATTTCTACCAATTTACCCTCAACTCGCCGAGCGCATTCGTGAGCTTCCCTCGTCTCGGGCTGCTCTGCAAGAAGCTACCCGACTCAGCGAGTATCGAAGGAAAGATTGGTTCGATGTCAACATTACGGTGATGGATACTGTGCTCGAAGCAAAGTTTATGCGGCACTCATATCTGCGCCGGATGTTGCTGAGCACTGGTGACAGTGTGCTGATTGAGAATAGTCCAGTACGTTGTCACGCTGCTGCTGTTACTATCTGCGCTAATCCTGCACCACATAGATTGATGCTTTCTGGGGAGTGGCCCAGGATGGCAAGGGGAGGAACGAGCTGGGAAAGGCTCTAATGCGACTCCGGGATAAGCTCAAGCATCCCGGTGAGACTCCTTTCATGCAGCCATTCTGCGATTACCAATGAGAGCTGCCTATACGACCCTGCCAGGTGGGTGGTTGCAGAATATCAGAAACACAGTCGTGACATCATGATTTCTGGCTTTACTGCAATTGGTAGTGGTTGCTCTCACCTCTCAATTAAATCGTCTTTCCAGGAAGTGCCTTACGGTGCAGCTAACATCGCATGGCCGATCCATTGTCGTGAAAACTCGATACTGCGTGACCACCATATACAAAAGCGAGACGTCGTGATAGCATGCCGATACGGGATATTAAGTCGGCTAAAAACTAGTGGTACAAGTACAATTATTGAATTCGTTACAGATATGGCTGTCCCGCGAGATTCTGTTTATGACTAACGATACGGCGCGGGGAAAACTATCGAGGCATAAATATGGAATAATGACATGGAAAGGTTCATACCCACAACAACGTATTCAATACGCAAACTCCTCCATGTCGTTCAGTCGCCTGTGCTTCAATAAGTTCCACGGGCCACCGTCGAAACCTCGGCGCATCGTGTACTCAGGATGAAGCTGCACCTCACGCAAGGTAGGACAGAACTTGTTCCACGGGATAAGCAGGTCGCACAGTTCCTCCTCGATGGAGCTGTATGTAGGGTCGTAGTGATGGTCCCCCTTGGAGGTTACTTGAGGGACGGCTGTGTATATTTGCAACGTGTGCAAGCACGGCATTTTGCAGAGAAGCTCAGCGCCTAATCCGCTAATGGTCGCCTGTAAACGTGTCACGAAGACAATTAATCAGTAGCAGAGTGAAACATTCATAACGACGAACCTCTGACGGACCGCCCACCTCGTATGTGATCTTGAGACGATACAGATTGTTGAACAGCGCCGTCGCGGCATGCACAATCTCATCGTCCCACGTGGTGAATTGTAACGAAAGCATGCGGAGGTCAGGATTGGTATTCTTAATCGTAGTGAGCGCGGTGATACCGTCGCGGTTCGTCTGTAGACCCTGCTGGGGCTGTTGGCCCTGTGTGCATTGCAGAAGCTGCACAGCCTCGATTGGGCGACCAGGCAATACTCCGTGCATGCTCTCGACTGGGCCCGAGAAGCAGCGCAAAGCCGGGAGCACGCTCGGAGGCATCTGTTGCATTGAAAGCGCCTGGAACGTGGAGTACGTCGTGATCGTGCTCGCGCGCGCCAGGAACGACTGGAATGATGCGGCTTCAGGATGAGGCGCAGTGTCACCAGCAATGAAGCGGGAGCGTTGCGTGCCCGGCCGGCGCAGAATGTAGAGCCGCTCGAGGTGCGGAGGGATTGTATGATTTCGCGCCTCTGCAGCAGGCCCTGAAAAGACGTGCTTGAAGATATCGGCACTCGAATCAACGCGGATTGTGCGCAACCCAGGTGCCAGAGCGAGGGTAAGGAGGTTCTTGACGTTTTCGAATGCGTGAAGCTCTGCTTGCGGGTCGCGGTCACTCATCTGACGACGCAGATTGTACAGCAAGAGATCCGTGATGGGGAGCCGACGGTGGTTATGGTTAGAAGCGTCGCGTCCAACGGTACAACTCTCGATGCGGAGCGTGCGAAGTCGTGGCAAGTTATGAATTATTTTGTAGTGTTCGTTGGCAAGCAATACGCCGCTGAAGGTCAGGTCCTCTATGTTCGTAAACATGGATACCTGATTCATCATCGCGGTGTATAACGGGTTGGATGCATAGTTGAGTAAGTCAACCTCATAGTCAATGTAGGTCTCGTGTGCTTCTCCATGCCCCTGACGCCAAACGGACCGGCCAGCTATGTCGACCACGGGGCCTGAGATACCAGGTGGCAGAGTTGTGACACCGAGCTCCAGAGTATGCACAAAGCCTTCCATGCCTTTATGGACTTTCCAGAGCGGCAAGTTGTGAGCGACGGTGTGGGGAGTCTTCCAGATGACATGTCGGTGGATCGCACGAACGGCGAGGTCGCAGAACCACTTGGACGTTCGCATTATGTTGTATAGATCTGATGGGAGGGGAAGCTGTTCGAATATCTCCATCCAAAGCTCGGGCGGGATGTGCTTTGCGTCCATGGTGATAATTTGATTCGCCAAGGACGCTTTGTGAAAGGACGAGTCAGGAAGCTTTAGGGGTCAACGGTCGACTGCAAAACCTGAGTGAGTGTCCCACCACAAAAAGAAATGTTTCGTGCCCTGGATAATAGTCAGATATTCACGCACCTCAACAGCTCCGAGTAGCGCAGATAGCAGAGACCTGAGATAATGCGCGCCGCCACGCGGTCATGTGACAAATGACTTCTTCCCATGCTTGAGCGCTTGGGAATACGAAGATATTCGATGCAGACTTTTAAGTAACGGAGTGGGTTCCTTCGTCCATAATCCTATCGGAATCTTAATATGAGTGCAACACAGAGTCGCGGTATATATTCTTGTACACTTGACCCAGCTTTCCGCATGGCGTTCACATGTGGCGGTCGCTACAGCCGCCCTAGTCAGAAAACCCGCGCGACCTCTGCCGTTCGTTCAACGTCCACTCTTCGTTTCCTATGGTGCTACACAGAACAAAGCAACCATGTAACCAAGCGGACAATCCCATGTACGTCAGGTATACAATAGAGATCTCTGACCTCCTGTTTGTCGAACTTGACATTCACCACTAGCCGTGACAGCGAGCCACCGCTTCGGCGTCTAAGTGGTCAACGCGTGGCGATGAGCGCACCTTCTGAGTCCTCAGCCACAAGCCAAAGAACAAGGACACCCCTTTTGGGATATAATAACACCACTCTGAGACCATATAAGTTACTGACCACTCATGTTCTGATTCTTCTCTATCGCCATACACTGATTCGTCCGATATCCCAAAGGAAATTCGAACACTGCAATGCCTCTGGTCAACTTGAACTACGACATTCTGCTTGCCATCATCAACTTGCTCCGTCAGGATGATGCCTTTTCCTTTTCACTCACCTGCCGCTACTTGTTCCCTATCGCCCGCGATAGGATACATTCCTCGATACGTATCACGCAATCTCCTGCCCAGCTTATCAAAATGTGCGAGTACATGCTCTCGCACAGAGATCAAGCACAGCGGATCTGCAGTCTCGAGATTTACTCGCAAGCCATAATTGGCCAGCATGTCACAGTCGAACCAAGGACACCTGGCGCTGCAGGTAATGAGCCTCCACCACCGCCTCCTCCGACCTTAGCGGACGCTGAAGGCGCAGCATATCTTGAACGCCTACTCCGTTGTACATCTAGTTTGTCGAGGCTTACGCTCGCGTGCACGGACCTACTCTTTTCACAACGACCCACGATCGGCGCTGCTATAGCGGGCCTCGAGAACCTATCGATGCTTTCCCTCCTCAATATTGGACCGCAGACGCCTGGCGTACTTAATGGACTCAATCTTTGCATCAAGACACTCCATCTAGCGGGTACTCCATCTGATCATCTCGCATTGGCGATGGACCCACAATCATGGTGTTTCGTCCGGGAACTCAAACCACTCCTGCATGTGCAGAATCTTCGGTTGTCCGATTTCTGGTTCATAGGGCTTACCGTCGCCCCTTCTGATCTCATTCAGCCGTGGCTCAGCGTTCGCTGCCTGGAACTGAATAGCAATCACGTTTCGTGCTCAGATTATCCACGCCTTTTCCCTATGGTTCGCTGTGTTCATCTCGACAGAGAGCATAACGATTATTATGGAGATCATCATTGCGACCGCGGATGGAAGAATATGGGTTGTATCACCGCAAGTACTCTTGAGCTCTCCAGATGGCAAGTGGCACAGAACACGCAAGTTCTGGAACTCTCCAGCTTCCCTCAACAAGGCGTGTTAGATGAGCGCACGCTCAAAGCGATCAGGAATGCGTCGCCTGTTGTCCTGCGTTTGGCGGTCAACCATGCGGATGTTCTGGACCCTAAGTCGCGGTATGGTATGGCCTTCTGGAAAGGTGTCGCTGAGGAGAACCCGGGCATGATGAGCATGGAGTTATTCCTCACGGGGGAATGCAGCACAGAACCTTGGACCGGCATCAGCCGGTGCTGCCACATGAACACTAATGGGTATCCCTCCTGGCTCGTGCGTGCTTTCGTTCACTGTCACTATAACAAAGCAACTAATTAATTACTGCGCAGGAGTTTCTTCCTGCAGGCTTAAGAAGCTCCAAACTAGTGTGTTTACAGATCTGTCTACATTCGCGCATCTTCAAGAGCTTCTTCCATCCCGAGGATAGTCAAAAAGAAATTTCGAGAAGAGCTGCGTGCAGTACACTCGTGAGTCTCTATGCTAGGAGCTTGCAGTCTCTCCATTACTTCTCCATCGCGGAGATGCACCCGGATTCCGAGGAGGTCTTTGATGAGTTCTTCCAGCCTGCCTGGGCTATCCCCCAAACCAGGATACCTTCCCCCTCGTCGCATAATTCCACCTCACACTCGTATGGGACAGTGTTCTGGTGGAAGATCTCTGGAAGAGGAAGCCAAAGGGCCACACAATCCGTCTCTTCAGAAGAAGGGGAGCGTGTTCGCAAGGCATTGCGAGATGGCTGTGGCGTATGATCGTAATTATCCGCCTGACATTGACTTACCCGGCCATGCGCTTTCTATTTGTTTGCAATGCAGAAAGCTTTTCAGTTCACAACATTGTCGACGCATGACTTTGCTTCTGTGACTTTTCAATTATTTTTCTAAAATGTATGTCCGGCTCTCTGTCACACGCTGTTTATGCATAATATGAATATGAGCGTAAATGGATGGCGTGAGACATAAACCAGCACGCTTGTGCAACTCATAATTGATACATCATCCCTGTCTTGATACTATACAATAGTTTTGGGCCATGCATTCAACATGCGTGTGCATTGCGATCCATCCTACCTCAGGTAAGCAGAAAAAATGCCAAGAGCGCGAATTGAACGCGCGACCTGCAGAAAGCAGAGTTAGCACCCACTTCAGTCTGTCGCTCTCCCAACTGAGCTATCCCGGCTTCATTAAGCGCCTTCCCAATTATGTTTATAAATCCGCGACGTTCCTTGTAATACAGGAGCAAGTCGCGCCAGTAAATTACCTCAATCGAGTTTTCGCATAGACCTAAGCTAAATTCTAATAGCTGTTTAACCGCATACTACATTCAACACACACGAAGTAAGTATTCAAGTCCTACATATGGCCAACACGATGAGAGCAGACCAGAAGATGCCAGAATCATACACAAAGTACAACTATTCTTCAGGTTCGAGTACTTCCTGTTCCACTCCGGTGCTCAACTCTTCATCGTGCTCCGATGCATGAAATGTATCATCGTCATGGAGATATTCACCCATATTTCCTACAATCCTGGATGCGAAACGCACGGAGTTTGAGCCGTTGGAACCATGGTAATCGGTAGTTGAAAGTTCGTGGTCCTGTGCCGCCATTGACATGCCAGATGCGCCGTCTAGTTGCCGTAGGTTGAGTAAGAAGCGACAGATCACAATATTTGGAATTCTGATGGAGGGTTAGGACGGTTTACTTGTGCAAGGACGATGTGCAATCCTCACGTCGCCTGGAAGTACGTGATATCTTGGGAGACCTGAGAGATTTGACAGCTATGGTGAGACACATACAGCCTGCGCATCGGAAGGGGCACTGACGATTCCCGGGCTCGGCCATGTAGCCATATTGATTACTGTCACTAAAGTGAGCAGGCTGCAAAATGGCCATCAATACATCGCTCCAGGTATAGGGAAGGTGAGTAGATATACACAAAATGAAGTGTCCCTAAAGATGCCGTCAAAATCAACTAATTCCTTTAAAATAACTTATTTTACCATCTCGGAGAAGGAGAGAAGAGAGGGATGTCTTCATATGGTTCCGAGATGCGTGTCTGGCCAGCTTGTATGTCCGATACCAAGTGATGATAAGAACGATCAAATCAATGGTGATTGTGCACGCTCCTGTTGCGATTGAGACTGGTTATGACTGGTTAGTTGACGGTCGCTGACTTGTACACTTAACACATTACTCCTTGAGCAGTATGACATATATTAAGACAGCATGTATTTTTGAAACTCTGGATAACTTACATTAAGCCAATGTTCTGCGACACCATGAAGCCCCAATCGCACATCGATTTGATGCCGACATTCAAGACTATGGCGTACACGCTTGTGCTGTATTGGTACTGCATAAGTAGTATTCTCGTGAGATAATCATTAGTACGTGAATTTGCTAACAGTCGCTTACCAAGTTGATGCTGACGGAAAATGTTAGTAGTATTGCTATGATGATAGCAGGTGCCTTATGTTTCCCACTGATGGCGTAGGCACGGAGTGCCGAAAAAACTGCAACGAATCGGATTAGAAGAGGACACCGGGTCATGTTCGCACTCACCAAGCATGACGACGTACTGACTTAGATCGGTGATCATACCTAAGATATTTTCAACTTGACAGCTTTGAAACAAATATTGGGATGGATGCATGATGTAGACAGCGCCTTAGCTCACTTCTGGCGCACGACAATAATTGAGACTGTGATTGAAGACTCAGCATGAGAAGAACGCACTGTGCGATTTGATTGAGGAAATATCAGCCAGATCTGAACCAAGCAGATTGCCCAGAGGATGTAACGGGCTGCAACGAAGAGTACTTTGGGGCCAGTCATCTTGCTGGCCCATATGAGTCGGATCTCGTCGGCGAGAGTGAGACTATGTTCATAGAATACGAGGACTGCTCACAAGGTACGATGAGTTCTACTGCATCCAGACCACACTCGAGGAGGTCAGACTCGTACCTACGGATGCTAATGCACAGTAGTTCAATTGTAGTCTACACATAGGTGATTCAGTAGCATCTAGTCATTACTGTTCACAGTAGCGGCTTGGAATTGACCTACGTTTCCTCAGAGGCTTCAATGTAGAAATCTTCTGTACTCATGATCAGTCAGCTGTAGATAGTCGTGGACGAGACAAAGGAGGTGCGATACGGCAGTGCTTCCAGGACGTCCATTCGGCTCAACTTATAGAGCTTCAGTGATCCGGCTATCACCCTCACAACATATTATTGCCTCACTTCGCTTCAACCATCTTCTATCGGCGTCAGAAGAGCTGCCGTTATCTGGGAGACGCGATAGCGACACAAGCCCGCTGATGAACAAAGAGACGAGACTGAAGGGGTGCATCAGCGGAACTTCTGAAAGATGCTGGCGGCCAATACGCACCAACATTCCCGCCCGTTTATTGCAATCTGAGGGGTACTCCGACTCGGAGTCTATGTTCTCCTCTGATCATCTTCATCCGAAGAAGACTGAGCTTTCGATCCAGCCAGAAGAATTTCACATCGTCTTCGTGTGCTCCACACGTGTAAGTTACAGCAGGGTCTCATAGGGCACTAGACTGCATACCCACCGGTCATCACGGGCATGACGTGAGTGCAGGCAATGCCCACTGCTGTGATGCATCCACTGAGATCCGCTGGGAATTGAATGCGGATGAACTTGGTACTGCCGTATCAAACAGCCAGAACTATGCACGATCTAGGTTACGGTGACTGCGATCTGCATTCCGCGCCAACCCTCTATGGTATAAACTTCCTAACGCCCGGCTACTGTCTGGTCGAAAAATTAACCAGTAGTCAGTAGTTCAGGTATATACGAGATTATGGTCTTAGCATCTCCCCGCTCATAATGCTTGTCCCAGTGTCACGAGAACATTCTGTGGCGCCGATGCTCAGAGGTGTAATTGAGTAACACTACCTGTATTTCTGTACACCTAAGATATCTCCTCCATCTTGACCTCCTGTTCGCAAGCTTTTCCATCTTGACCTTCTGTTCGCAAACTATCTGAGCAACCGTGAGGACCAACAAAAAGCATCCGGAGCAGTGAGGCCGGAGAAGGAAACAGTCGTTCGTCCGGGATACTCACGACCTTAGACATGACATTCTAGACACCGAATGAATGCTATGAATGGGCAATTTGCGCACAGTTTGTGATGCCATTACATTACAACGCAACAGAAGCATGGCGCTGATTGGCCGGACGTCATCTGAATTGCACCTCTGGCGTCGATTGTGGGCTCTGGGTTTTACGTGGGCACTTGTAAGGCCTTATCAGAACTATCTGGCTTCTCAAGTACGCCGGAAAGTCTAATCCAGACGTCGCCCGCACGGCGCGCATCATGAACAACTACTTCCCGAATGGCGAATATCGCACACGATTCAATATTCCGGCTTCCAAGGCTGCCCGTGCGGAGGCGGCTTGGAGATTCGGCACCACATCTTGTCCCACTGTCCATTCTGAATCAGAAGAAAGGCCCCGGAGGTCGCCTCGCTCGCGCACCACAAGCGTCGGTGTGATTCTCCGAGCTCTGAATGTACGGTGTGCCATCAAGTCCAGTGGTGCCAAAGACATTTTCATTTTAATTAAGCATCAAGAACTTATACAGATATGCGTCTCGATTTCTCGGGTTTGACGGGAGTTTGATATTGCGTCATGTAGAATCCTGTAACTCTGTGTCAACAGAGGAGGTGCAAAGTAGCATCTCTATCACGTACCACCTCTTGGCTTAGCCCGCTGGTCCTGCCAAAAGTCTAACAGACAAGGCTTCTCAGACGAGGCACAGCTCAGCTCCAGTGTGGTATATTCGTTGGAAGGACAATGGAAGCTCGTCGAGTTCGTTTGACCCTCTCTCTCGAAAGTCAGCGTAGCGAGGAGTGAACGGCGCTTGGCAGCGCGCTCCCAGGTACCTGGTATATGGGGCGACATCTCCTCGGTCATATCCAGCATCCATATATCCACATCGGTGGGATCCAGAAGCGTGACCGCTGGATCGTGAGGCTCGGTGTGACGGGGGATCGACGCGGTGAGCACGCAACGCTCCATGGCATAGTCAATGTTGCGGAATTGTACGATTGTAGACGTCTGACAAGTATTGAATCGCGATCAAGAATATGATAGGGATGATAGCACACGCCTACCTCAGCGGACACAATGATGCGGCGATCGTCGGGATAGACGGTGCCAAGGTGAGATCGCCATTGACGATGGTCCTCTCTTGTCCTGCGCAGCGTGTCCGAGGCATCGATTTGCAGCACAATTTGCGGAAAGTTTGTGATCGGCGAAAAGGTGGTGTTTGAATTCTGCAAGACTTTATCCAAGTTGACATAGGGGTTTGGACGCCGTAACGCTTTGCCATAAGGGTATTGCACCTGCACAGTGGGCTCAACTTGAAGGATCTGTCCGTATGCAAAGATAACGAAGGACAAGACAGAGGAGCAAATAGCTCCAATGCAAGCCCATATCAAAAGGCGGTTGCCTGGTTATACCTCAGCACATTCATATCGAAACATGGACGACTGAAGGTGCACCTGAATGGTCTGTCTCCGCGTTACTCGCGTTCTCACCGGCATGTGGAGAAGAACGAAGAGGTATATAGTCTGCCTGACGTCTCATGGCGGGTAAGAGGAGTCTGATAGGATGCTGTTGAGACACACACTCAAGTGTGTGACTAGGGCCATGGCAGTGCTGCTGATGATCATCATGCAAGAGACAGAACGTTATTGAGAGCGCGTCTGGGGCAACGGTCACGGGATCCGTATGGATGCCTGTGAGGACCGCTATGCGACCTATCTAAAAATATGTAACATTCTTTTCTAGCAGTGAGTATTAGGCTGCTCGTGCTTGAGCCACCATTTGGAAACAAGTATCGCAGGTAGGCAAACCGAGCGCAGCTGTTGATGTAAAGCTACCGCAAGTGAACGACGCATAGCTGGCTGACAGTCACACAGCCTTGTCATTCCAAGTACGACCCCGCCCTCAGTGCTTTGGATTCTACGATCGCGCTTTCACTGTCCTCCAACTTTTAGTTCCGACTCGACCTTGCCTCGTGTAACATGAAGTAGCATAGGAATATCTCGGCATGAGCGCTGTCCCCGAACCCTAGCTCGCTGCTGATGGTAACGAGCACGGCCGAGTTACAATGTACATCTGGAAACCTTGAAGTCACCGATGTAATTATCCGCAGATGTGGTTGTCCACAGTGTTCATGTCACCTTAGTAACAACAGCGCAGGACAAAATAAGAAGTTGTGCTAAAATGACTATTTGTTCACTTTGACCCAGTAACCGCCACAGTCATGCTATACAGACAACAATGTCAATCATATGTTACATTAGCCAGGCTCCTAGGGTATTCATAATATCCAAGCCAAAAAAAGTGAACCCTTCGAACCAATGCTACAATACAGGCCTGCCTTACAAGCCAAAGTTATCCAGCTCCGTCCGTACGCTTTCCAGACGCTCCTTCTTCGCAAGCAGCTCCCTTCTAATGGCGACAATATTGGGCTCCTCAGACAAATACGCTGCACACCGCTCCGCGGCCTTCGCCGCTCCGAGACCAAGCTTCTCGACCAGACATTGCTGCAGCGCGGTGGTGAACCCGAACAAAAACTGGTGGTCGATCGCAAGAGGGATGTAATCGATCACACGCTACATGGCACTCTCAATGCACACGCTACCATAAAAATACTGACGTACGCACCTTGTATGACACATGGAAGTATGCTCGCACCTCCGCCATCACCTGAAGCTCCTCTTCAAAGATATCTGGCGGGTTCAACTTGCCCAGATCCGCAGCCGTCACGTTATAACCTAGCTTCGCCAGTGCGGCGAGCGCATCCTGTTCGTTCTTCTGACGCTCCTCTGCCTGCGCCGCGACAGCAAAGCTGTTCTGCGGCGCCGCGAACGCATTAGTGCTTTGGGTGGCTGCAAATGCGCTACCGGCCTGTGGAGCTGCAAACGCGCTACCAGCCTGCGGAGTTGCGAATGCGCTACCAGGAAATGCGCGATTGCTCTGCGACGCAGCGAATGCGTTAGACGTAGGTTGGGTGACGGGCGGTTGTATGATGTGCCCAAACGGCGACGAAGATGTATGCTGGACTGTGGCCGCGGGAGTTGCTGTCTCAGCGGGTTTTGGAGTTGCTTTCTCAGCGGGTTTTGGAGTAGCCGGACGGGGCTTGGCCTCGTCCGCACCATTCTGTGCATTCGACACGCGCGGGGCACTCGGGGCGGCTGCAGCGTTTGAGGCCGAGGGCGATACGAACGAGAATGCGGACTCGCCGATGCTGGGAGTCTGGGCGGGAGGAGGTCTATAAGGAAGGGCGGGCAAGTTGAAGGACCGGGACCCAGAAGGTGTTGCTCTGGCAGATATGGACGTTGGCGGCGTCTTCCCCGCGCGTGCCTCTTTGTATAGTGCAAGTGACTTGGCCGTTTTCTCTGCAAGGTAATGGCTGTTCTGTGTGAATGGCGTTGACTCGAGCGTGAGCAACGTGGTGAGCTGTGCAAGCGTTGTCTCTTTATGGAGTTTCAACAGCTCCTGCACGGCAATTCTGAAGTCAAATCAGCGACATCAGGTAAAGTTTCCAAACTTGATTGTACGACGCGCACCTAATCCGCGAATGAAGGCTTCCGTAGCGTTTGAACTTGCTCTCCATCAGCGCAGCCAAGGTCTTGTCAAATGCTGCATACACGCGCTCGAAGCAGTTCGTGCTATGCAACGGCCATGTCCTCTGGAAAGCAAGGATGAGGTGCACCTTCACGGGATACGGCACATTGTTCGGGAGCTCCCGCGTGACAGAGCTTCAGTTAAGCAGAAATATCAGCTCCATGACGAAAAACTGAAAGCGCTTCACGCACGCAGTAATACATTTCTTCACATCATTGAGGTACATGCCCTGGCCTGGAGGTCCCATGTTTGCGTCCGCGCCAGCGCTCTCGTCGTCGTCGTCGTCCTCCATATCGATCTGTAGATATGCCAGTACGTTCGGCACCGACTCACGTGCAGACGGATAGGGAATGAAGCGTGGTGCAGTCGAGCGTATTCCACGTTTGAACGCCGCATACGTCTGGCGGTTAGTCTGCACGAGCCGCGCAGTCATCGTCGTCCCATGTACGTGATCACGTACATCCTTGCAAAAGTCGGTGACGAGGTTCAGAACGTGCGTTGACGGTTCGCCCGTAATAGCAGGCGGCAGCACACTAAGCTCCTTGTTGCAGTCGAGCAACTGACTGGCGACTTCCCTCTGAAGATTCGGCAGCCTGGGTGGTCATTGTAGTAAGATTCCAAGATAGCAGGGCAGACACGATGAAGTACGAACGTCTCGTTTATTCGTTCCACCAAGAGCGTACTCAAAGTCTCGACGAGCCTTGTCGTCCCGAAGCGATTCTTATGTGGTGACTTGTTCCACGGAGAGGTCTTTGCGAAGAAGTCCATCTCGGCCGCACGCGCTTGTGCCGCTGTTATACCTCCCGCACGCTCCGCATCGTCTGGCTGCCGCGTGCAGAAATAACCATGAACTAAATGGTTGCTGACGCTGCGGCCCTCGAGCACCTCCAACCACAGCTCACGCAATTTGACTGAGCCTGGGGGAAGCGTATCGGGTTTGGTTAGAACGCCTGCAAGGACATAACAGGATTAAATGGCAGGTCCCGATAAGCTGAGGACCAGATGAACGGACCAATTGTACGTGTGCCCGCAGGATCCACGTCACGCGCTAGACGTGCAGCCTTCTGGTTGTCGATGTCATCTATTCAATAGGTGAGTTATAAGACAGTCTCGTAGTCTGGTCAACAGGACGTACCACTCATGGGTAGGGTAACCAAAATGAGACAATTCCCTTTGATGTGTGACAAAACCAGGTCCTCGACAAGCTGCACAATCTCCGGACTAGCATTCTGGATGATACCTGGCAGGTCTACAAAAGACAGGTCGGTAAGCTCAGACCCAGAGAGATCGATGCAGACCGCGTTGCGCGAGAACGACAGCGGCTTGAGTTGAGGGGACTTGGAGAGTTCGTGAAGATCATCAAGTGACATCTTCAGGAGTTTTTTTGATGCGATATTTGGGAATAGTACGGCTGCCTGTGCGCGCCTGAGCATAAGCTCGACTTCTCCTTTGCTACTAATCGCGCCACCGAAGGGGACTTCCTCCGCTTTGTCTCGACGGGTCCCGTTGATGTCATCAAATTCCCAGCGGATCATGATTTGGCAGACCCATGGACCGGAAGATGAGGCCATACGACATTCCATGGGACAGCGTGTGCATGTTCCCGCGTCTCGAGGAACTGTGATCTGTGGCGCAAGTTCAACGAAATGTCATATTGTATAGGATGCCAGCGACATTACCCCAGAGATGGCCTCAACAAGGCTAGACTTTCCAGCACTCTGGTTCCCAATGACGGCAATACGCGGTAGGTCGAGGTCGGCCTGCGCGCTGCGCGGTCTTGTCAGCACCCACGCCATTGAACGAGACTCGTTCAACGACTTACCCAGAAGCACGTAGGTTCTTCACCAGCGCAAGCAACTCCTTACGTTTCTGACCGTATTGTGTATCCGAAGATAGCACAGATCCTGCGTCGGTAGCCATGATACTAGTGCTTTCAACTTTTGCAGTGCTCGGCGGATATTCGTCGGAACTTTGATTTTTGGACAGCACTACTGATCCAGCGTGCAGACGACACTGCAGATAGATCGTATGCTATGGTACACGGCTTGACTTTGTTCAGGACAAAACCAAGAGGGCGTTAGACAGAGTAAGTCGCGTCTAACTCAAACCAAACGCTAATTAAATTACGGCGCGCGATCACGTGACCGCTTCATGCGTACAACTGAACTATGTCAATCGCACTTTCCCGGTAAACAATTATATGAATCAGAGGTTTAGTGGTATTTCGCAAGGCATGGGACTCTTTACCCAGAACAAATGAACAAAAGGCTGCTGTTCGTGAAAGATTGAGTTCGACGCGCTCTGGTGCAGATTCCTCGTACGCGAAACCCGTGATCATGACCTCATTGAGTCACCTAGACGCACGTCCTATTACAGCACCGTTGCCCAACCGTCCGTCTTGGTCTTCCCCTCTCGTCGCAAGTCTGGCTCCTACAGTTGTCGCTAAGCTCAATACAATCTACAACTTGCTCTGCGGTAGGCCAAGGCGACTACTGATCAAGTCTTGATGGACTGTAAGAACTGTGAGCTGAAACAACGGCAATTTTACTGCGAGAACTGTTTGAAACAGCAGTATGTGGTTTCGGCACTCGATTGCGCCAATAACTGTCTCATGAAGTCTGATAGCTTAATAACACTCCGACGACAGATTAGCCATGCGGCCGCCGATCGCGACTCTCATGTCGCTTCCGCGCAGAAAGCACTGTCTACGACCGTTGAGCCAGCACGACACAATCGTGCAGAGCTGAGAGGGACAGAAGAACAGATACAGGAGCTATGGGACGCGGTGAACGAAGTGCGACAAACAAATGAGAGAAGTGAGTCTTTCCGTACGTCCAGCATGCGAGATCACTAGGTTCGTTGTCGCTTTCCGGATCACGGGAGTTGGAGAGCGGAATATTGTTGCCTGAACTCCGGTTTGCTGATTGAAGCCGTCACATCCGTCTGAGTTGAGCATTCCACGAATATGATAGACAGCCGCCTGCAGGAACATCGAGCTGTTCTTGCTTCGAACGTAGGATCTTGCTTGTGAACAGAGTCTGGCTGCCTATCCAAACCATCATTTTTGCTTTGGTTGTTGAATGACATGGATGACTATGTTGCGAGAAAACTGGGCAACTTTGTCAAAGAAGTCGTCAACCAGTCGCCCGAGTAGATTCAGCCAGTATCATGTCACATCTGGCCCTCCCAATGAGCAAGCACTGGTTCACGTTTCATTTTAAAGTGGTTTGGATCGTTCTCGCGCCGTTCCCTGTGCAGCGCGAGAGTCTATTCTCCGGGGATCATGCATGCTATATGGCGACTGGTCTTTGCTGCATAGAGTCGCCTGTTGCCAGTCTGGTTGGCATAAGCTACTCCATCCCCGCACATGACACTTGCTACTAAAAGTGCAGGTATCTCATGGGTGGTCTATGCATTTCCGATACAATATCCAATCCGCAGAAAATCATCTTGAAGGTCCAATAGCTTGATAATGCCACAATCCTCCCTATCGCGTTAACTGCCAATAGACTGATGATGATTGAAACGTTGTCGTGTAGATCGGGAGCGCTTGCGCATGCTGCGAGGCTCGCTTGCCACGCGCCGGCGCACGCTCGCAATCGCAACATCCACCCATCATCATCTACTTAGCGGCAGCCATTCCACTTCCGGTTCTCCTGGCTCGACCTCGGCTTCTCCTCCCAATACCCACACTCCTGGTCTTCCCGGTTCGTTCCCACACATGCCCTCGCCGCTCACCGCTTCGCCGCAGGTGCGCCCCACAGCCCACCGGCGTGGCTCCTCGTCGTACTCCGCATCCTCTTTATCCTCTATCCCGGTGGGCGCAGGCGCATCCACACCCACTGCAATCCCCCGCCCGCCCCGCGCAGGTCATCAGTTCAACTCGCCCTCCGCGTCCCCGTCGTCGCGGTCTACCCTGTCGCATGTCTCTGCGTCCCCGCAGAGTGCGCGGGGTATGCTGACATCGCCGACGTCAACCTCGCCGCATGCATTCTCATATGCGAGAGGACCTACTGCGCATGTCGCCTCATCTGACAAGGCAGGTAGCTTAGCAAGACAGGTCGACGAAGCGCGATTCCAGCTGGTCATGCTTTCAGACAAGCTTGCGAGGGCGAGATCTGGGCTTGTGCAGGAGCTTGTGGAAGTATTCAGTGTCGTCGAGGTAGCTGTGTTCTACATACATTGTTTCTCGATGCTAAATGTACTCGGTATAGGTAGGCGGGCGTCCACCAATAGGTGGGAAAGCTGGCACTAAGGGCGAATGGACAATCGGCGGGTTGGTACTGCCAGTACCGGGAGACATGAGACGTATGTCCACCGCTGAACGTATTTATCTTATATCGTCTGACGTGCGTTCAGGATACCCTCCTGATCATATCAACGCTGTAATCACACATACGATTCACTTCATCACCTTACTCTCCTTTTACCTCGGCATCAAGCTTCCCTTCGAGATCATATGGAGTCGTTCAGGAGCACCGCCTGCTTCAAACCCAAGCTTCAGCTCTTCTAGTTTGAGCCATGGGAAAGGCAACGGCCTATTGGGCGTAGGTGTGCCATGGATTGGCGCCATCAAAGGGAACGAGAACGGCGGTTGGGCGAGGTGACTTGTTCCACAGATCTCCTTGCAGCGTCATCTGACTCGTGCTGGTCTTTTCTTAGATGGTCCGCGAAACAGCCCCTCCATGTCTCTGCAGCCAGCCCCCCGTCTCCCTCCAGCACGAACGCGCCGTCGTCCTCCCCGTCTCATCCATCGTCGCATTCTCGCTCCGTCAGCACACCCTTCGCCCCTTCCTCTCTGCCGCCCGCTCGTACGCGCTCCGAAATCTCGGCCTCTCTCGCGGACTCCCAAATAGATGAGCAGGTAACAACGACGGGATCACTACATGGGAGCTCCTTTACGACCGCGCTCGCAATGCTCGTATATGACGTCTGCTACCTCGCGTACTCACAAGCTGTCGAGGTGCCTCTCGCACAGGCGGGCGAGCTGCTTGGGAATCTATGGGCGGTCTGTTGCAGCCCCGAGCTGGGAAGGTAAGCGTTGACGGCGGACATCTTGCCAATGTATTTTTCTCACAGCGCACGGTGCAGGAAGTCGCACTCGACTCATCCTCTCCTGGCGCCACCTACTCCGCCGAGCTTCCCGCTCGACTTCGCCCAGCTGCTACAGGCGACCGCTGCTAAGCCGACTCGGTCGCGTGCGCGTGGGGCAAGCGGGAAGGAGCGTGCGCACACTGAACAGATCGTCGAGGAGGACGAAGAAGGGTGGGATCTTGTAGACCCCAGTGTCGAGTAGCCGACGTCACCCCGCTTTTGTACGTTTATTTACGCCATCATTTTACTTGCTGTAGTAGCACTGGACATTGTACTAAATCACTGCATATCGCATTGTTGTCATTCGCTGCCTGCTCTCGATGATCGTTGATGCTCTCATCTCATTGTATTCCGAGTCACTATACATTGACGTCAATAGTAGTGATGTTCTATATCAATAAACTCCTATAAATCCTGCAGAGCGAAACGGCTACGAGATCAGATCAGACCAAAATGCAGAACGTGTTCAAAGCTACGAAACCCTCAAAACGTGCCCAATCATCCAGTCACTCTGCAAGCTCTATGACAATCAAAGGGAACAAACCACCCAAAGTGTGCTGCCGCGTGCGGACACTGACAGCGGGAGTCATACCGTCACCGCATCACCTCCGGCCGCGGAGGCGCCTTGAATGTACTTGAATGTGGTCTATGGTGGGCATTGGCGGAGACATTCAGCTCCGTTGAGGAGCCAATTATGTAACTGCGATGGTGCTTATCGACCGCGTTGCTGCTTTTTTGGTCCGTGATTATGTCACGGAGCTGTTGGAACTGGGGAGTTTGTCGGCGTTACTAGCAAGTCATTGCGAGTATGAAGGTGCCGCTTCACTGAAACATATCAGTGAACCGCTGACGGCTGGTCACGGTGATCCGTGGGTCCAGATCGTCTTGAACTCACTCGATTTTTACACCAATACACCAAAAAGACCAGATAGACGCTTTTCATTTTTCTTTCAATTTTGTTTGCTTTCTTGGACCCGAAAGTCAATTCTTACCTGGGCACATCAGTTGCCAACGGCTTGATCCTGTACATACATTTCATGTCAAGAGGGTTGCATAGTGCATGAGAGCAAATCGACAACTAACAATAACACAGCGGGACGACTCAACGTTAGCGAGGTAGATAACGGCATAAGTTCAATATGGATGCATGCAAGGTGTATATGTCCGTGGTGAACTCGAAGAGAGATGCAAGGCTACTCATACATACTACTGAAGGTCCCCAAGAAAGCCAAGAAAAGAAGGTTTCCTAGCCAGGGATTGCAATGCGTAGTGGCTCATGCAGCCACGAGACTCATGCGCCTTGCCTTTGCAGTGGGCGCGGTGTTCTCCTTTTCCTTCTCGTCGGCTTCGCTAGCAGAGGAGAGGGGCTCTCGACTCCCAAGTGTCGACCGCAGACGTGAAGGATCCAATTGTGACGCAGACATTCGGCGTTGAGTGGCTGGAGTAACAGACTTCTGGTACGCACTTGGCGCACCAGAGGCACGAGGAGTCGCGGAAGACGACGGTATCCGAGTGGGTGTTGCGGTTCCAGATGTTGAGCTGCTGCGGGACATGGCTGGAGGTGGGCCCATTGCGCCTTCGAGAGAACGTTTCGCGGCATGCGTAGGTGCACTCATACCGTTGGTGCGGGCGCTCTTGACTAGGGCAGCTTTGGTGATAGTGGATGGTGTGTCGGTTGACTTACGGTCTCTTCCGGTACCCACTGTGTCCGAGAGGGCAGACGATGGACGAGACCCGCCAACACTGGGGGTACCGAAGATGGAAGACTCTCGGCGTTGATGAGGCACTTTGGATGCAGCTGCGGGAGTACTGCCAGCCGTGCCGCGCACGCTCATGCGTCTCTTAAGCTATGTCAAAGCCATCAGTATATGACCGAGCCCCCGACAGCAAAACAGCACTGACCAACTCGAGCTCTTGTTGCTTGGAGTCAAGAGCAATGTTGAGGCCATTGATATCATCCTTATCCTGTTGACGTTGTTTCGCGAGATTGACCAATTTGACCTCCTTGTCCGCACTCTCCTGCTGTAAAGCATGCACCTGCCGCCTCAAGCGTTCAGTCTCCTCCTGCAGCGCTGTCAAGCGTTCTTTCATGGTACTTATATGGACGTCAGCCTCGGCCTTCTCGCGGACAACAGCCTCCAGCCCTGCACGAGCCTCCACTTCGCGAGCCACCACGTCCTGCAGGGTGCGGCTCTGCTCGTTGACGATGCGAGCATGTTCGCGTTTGAGGCGGCTGATCTCTTCCTGTGCTTCCTCCGCGTCCTGCTCGCAAGCGATAGCCCTCTGCGAGAGCTCAGCAGCATCTGCATCTCGCTGCTTGATCTGTGCCTCGAAGCGCGCTGCTCTATCTAGGGCGTATTGGCGTTCTTGCTCAAGGGTAGCGACACGGTCTTCGCCCTCCTGTAAGGCCTGTGTGAGATGCTCGGAATGCTCATGTTCAGCACGGAGCTGATCCTCAAGCTATCGATCACGAATGTCAGCGTCGGTTCAGAGGAAAGAACACCGAGACGTACCTCCGTCCGCTCCCGCTCCAAGTCTTCCTTGGCTGCCCAAAGCTCCTGGATCTCATTCTCCAGCTCGACCTTTTTGTTCTCTCCTTGGCTCCAATCCTCTTCCATGCCGGAGATACGCTCGTTGAGCGCGTCGACCTCGGCTTTGAGCTCATCGCGTTCTTGCACAAGATGCTGCAGCTTCTCGCTCCCAGTCTCCGTGTGCTTCCACTGCGCCTCTACCTCAGCCTTCAGCATGCCAATCTCCGCGTCCTTGCGCACGACCTCCTCGCGCAATTCCGTTACCTGGGCTTGCAGCGATATGTGTTCACTCCGCAATGATTCGTTATCACTTAGCAGCTTTTGCCTCTCCTCGTCCCAGGCAACCTCTGCAGCGGCGCGCTGACGCTCCGCTTCCTCGTTGAGGTGTATCTGGCGCGCGATTGCCTCATGGTTACCCGTCAGTTCGCCCATCTGCTCCATCTCCTCCTTGGCTGCCCTGATGCCCGCCTTGAGCTCCTGCTCGCTCTCATCCCTACGTGCGAGCTCGTCTCTGACCTCCTGCAGCTCATACACTCTTGCTTCGAGTTCTTCCCGCATCTCTTGCTCCCGCCGATCGCCGTCCGCACGCTCCCGCTCCAGGCTTTCGATCCGGCGGTGAAGCTGGTGCAACGCCTGCCCACTCGCCTCGTCCATCATGCTGCGGTCCATGCTCTCTTCGCGACTGCGATCGACCTCCTCCTGAAGACCGCGCACGGCGCGCTCCAGCTCGGACACTCGCTTCCGCCAGTTCTTCACGACGCCCTTCCGCCTCTCACATTCGCGCTCGCTTTCTTCTAGCCGCGAGTTGAGCACGCGAACCAGCTCATCTCGAGCACCAAGGTCCACCTCGAACTGGACACAGAGCTCTGATTGCAGCGCGAGCTGCGTACGCAGGGACCATATAAGGTCTTCCTCACGCGAAGGAGTACGCCCGTGCTTCTCCTTGGGCATCTGTGGGGGTGTCGGCGGCAGCATCGTGCCTGGCGTGTAGTACGTCGTCGCGTTGGCCGCGAAGGGGTCCTTTTCCTTTGGAGATGCGTACACGATCATGGCGCCAGACGTGTCATTGATGTCAGCCTCAGGCGGCCCTTTGTCCGCTAGCGGCGGGGGTGGTAACGCGTGGAACACGGTGTCGCTGACAGCACGGCCACGGTTCGCCTTTACGCTGTATGTGCTAGAATCGTCGCTATTGAGCGAGCGGAATACAGTCTGTCCGAAGCTGAACGAGTGACTACGGTCGTGTTGCACTTGAGGTAAGGCGGGCAAGGCTTCTGATAATGGCATGGGCAGCCGGTCATCCTCTTCTTTGACGTTCGCCGTGGCATCCGCCTCCTCCTCGGCCAATTCGAAGGCACTATCGAGCAGTGGCGTCTTGGTGCCCGAAGGAATGACTGGCGGCTCCGCCTCATTTGAGAGCTCAAATATGTTGGAGATATTAGGTGGCGGCATCTCGGTCAGAAGGGACGGCGTCGTGGGCGCCGAAAACAGTTCTTGTGCCGGTCGTCTCGACTGAACCTTTGCACGCTGTAGGCGGGCGGCGAAGGACATCTCCTCCGGCTCGCTGCTCGTAGCAGACACGTCCGGAGTGATCGTCTTGTAGGCATCTCGTGAGAAGAACCGCACACTTCGCCCTGATGCCGGCGTATTGCTGTCACGAAGGATCGAGCGGAGGGAGCTAAACTTGGCGTCCGCCGTTGGGGTGATGGGCGGTTTCTCTTGTGGTATTCGCATAGAGTCCTGCGATGGCCGTTGCGTGGGCGCGAGTTCTAGCGAGGGACGTACTATCGACCGCAGCGAACTAAACTTGCTGTCGGATGGCGTGTTTGGCGCCTTCTCCTGAAGCGGGCGCTGTGTTGATTCTAGAGATGGACGATGGAGTGAGAGGTCAGATACTAGGACTTCGTCAGTACGCTTGCCAACAAGGCTGTCTGCGTGCCTACCGCTCGAAAGAGTTTGCAAAGAGGACTTGACTTTCTTTGGTAGATTCAAGGGCGATATTACAGGCGAAGATGTAGCTGGTTCAGTGGGGGTGTCGATGCGTGGCTTCGGCCGTTTGAACACGTTCTTCTGGCCTGTGAGGGACGGTGAAGCTGGAGGGCTAGGCGATGGGAATGGTACTTCAGATGGTTCATGGAAAACAGATAGGTTGGGGTGCTGTTCGTAAACACTCCCGAGAACGTCCGGCTCGTCGTCTTGCTCGCTTAGGGCCGGTGTCCCTGGCCGGTGCTTGAGTACGTTGCTAAATTTTGCCCACATTGAGTTAGTTATACGCAATTGGAACGGGTAATAAAAGTGGGTTATGAGATATGCATGCGCGGCGGTAGCGGTGATGGCGAAGGAGAAGTTCGAACTAGCGCAAGCGCTTACACTGGTTCAACCGTCGCCGCCCAGCGACGCGTTACTCACGTGATCGCGTTCGACTGGCCGGTGATATATCTCTGAATCTCAACGGTCAAAAGTCAGCTGCATGATCACGAGAATGAAAGGCATTTGCGCACCTGAGAGACTGATTTAGAGCAGCACTGCGATTTTGCCTTGAAGCACAGGTATAAAAGTTTTAAGAGTCAGGATGATGCTAGGGTTGAGGATTTGATGATGGAGAAATTGACGATGAGATCTCTGGCCAGTATGCTCTTATATAAGCAACCCATCTCTTCGTAGCGACGTTCGCCAAATTCGTTAGAAACGCCACCATAGATGGCAAGAGGCGCATCAGTCTAGGCGCATCAATTCGATCAGGAATGAGCGCTTGAGCGCTGGCACGAGTTTCCTTGTTGCCATCATACTACCTCCTGCTCCGGTGAGTAGGCAAACATCTACGCTGTGCATACGATCGGGGTCGAGGCATCCTTTTGAGACTCCAATCACGCGAACAGCAACTCGAGGAGATCCTCTTCGTCCGTCTCTTTAGCAATTTGAAAGCTCCTAATATTCCATAAATTTCTACCACGCGAGAGGCAGTTCGCTGGCAATATTGGCTACGATCACTAGACGCGAACCGAATAACACATGGTCATCTCCTCGAAATGACTACATAGTCTCGGATGAATAATCTCCGCTAAGCAACCATCCGATGACCTCGTAGACCTGCTCAACTGGTGGGCATTGAGCATTGAGCAAACCTTACCTCAATGCCATTTCATTTCTGGACATGACGATACAGTGCGTAGCGACTATTATGCGATACTCTTCCGATTATAGCTACTCATGATAATATTTATCTCTGTGATAATAGGAGCATGCGTTTGCTCTCCACTTCTCTGCTCCCTGGCCGTCATCAATTTCCGTACGGCGGTGATGACCGGGAAACCAGCACGCCGGGATTATCATCGCTCCTGGTGTCGTAGTCAGAATGATACTCTCGCTTTGTAACACTGCGGTCCCCACAAGTAGCTGTGGCAAGCAGTTTTAAAAAGCTGTTATCTCCCTCCTAGTGGTTGGAGTCGGGTGATTGATGCTAGCTCGAGGACGCCTGCACCGTAAATTTCATTTATTTCGTGACCTAATTTCTGATCTGCCCGCTCGGCGCTGATTTCAGAAATCAAAGGTACGCCCTTGGCTCTCAGCCTCACCGACAATGTTCTGACGGTGTAGCAATGGTGAAGAGTACTCGCCTTTTGCACATAGCTTCTCATGCTACATTTTCAACAGTCGCAAGCGATAATCGTCTACCATGGCTCTCCAGCTGGGCATTACACGCTCCGATTCGCTTACTGGTCCAAGTCAGATCTGCATCATCGACAACCATCATCTCAGCGTGCGTGATCTCTGAATATGATTTTGGTTGAAGCAGTGATACGATCGCTGTTCCCTTCCTCTCCTCTCCGGCGAGGGATCCCCTGTATGAGACGTCATAATGACCCCGAAGTGCCTCGAAATGGTCTTGAACCTATCCGTTTCAATGCTGGACAACACCACCTCACTAGTCGTATGAGGATGCACCTGGGTCGGATACGGATATCGGGAACCCGCGTGAGTTTGGAGGAAGTATCACTCTGCTCTCAGGAGGCTAAAAAGATTATTGTCGCCTCTCGCGAAGCATGAGATGCCGACCGGTGTCTTGAGTGAGTATCTCCATTACCTGGTTCACTTTCGCTCATATGATCCCTTCTTCTGTGAAAGGCTGTGTCGCGTTTACATGAGCATACACCATTTGACATGAAACAACGAGGCAACCACGCTGACTGCTTCCCGGCTTATGGCTAACAATAGTACTTTACAAAAGATAAGTACGGCGTTGAATGTCCGAGAGCAGCATTACCTCAATGTGCAGGGGGCGGTACAAGGCATCAGATAACATTGGAGAAGACATGCCAACGACGTGCATTTACAGAACTTTCACAATCTACCACTGATAGACCGTAGTACAGCGCCTTCTACGAATCAGCTGACAGACATCATTGAATTCTCGCTATCTAGGAGCACACTGCCATCGAAGCCGCCAAGGTACAAATGCCCACCGCGGTTAAGATGCCCGTCACCTTCACACATTGCATAACTGAATTTCAACTAATCAACTCGGTATATAACAGACCTCGCCGCTGCATTGCATCCTCGGTCCCGACCCCACCGTCTCCCAAGCCTCGACTTGCACTTCACGACTATGTCGTCAGCTGCAAGCCCGTCTTCGATTATGTCTTCAATTTCGTCCAGCGTCCCTACAGAAGTCATCAGCAGTTATATCGTGTACGCAACATCTGTTCCAGGACCTGATTGGGGCGGATCTCTTCCCGAGAGCGAATGGTTCCTCAGCGCGGCGCAAATTCTCTGGTTCAACCAGTCCGTCAATGCCGCTGTGTACCTTGGCGCGATGGCTTGGGGTACGATGGCATTTTCTCAAACCTGTCTACAGCTGACACTGGTGTTACCAGGGCTTCACATGGCCATTTTCTACAGGGCGGCCCGTGCAGTATGGAAAGGCAGCCACCAATCTCGTGTTACATGGCTGCCTCTCATCGGTACCTTATGGGCAATGGCTACGATCAACATGGCGTGTAACGTGAGGTTCAACGAACTGGCCTTCGTGGACTCGAGCGGGTACAACGGCGGCCCGTTCGCATATGTCGTCGCATACCAATCATCTCCGGTCAATGTCGCGGCGGTATCCACGACGATCGTATCCCTCTGCCTTGCGGATGTCTTCCTGGTGTGTATTTTGCTACCTGTTCACAATCACTTGACATAAAATATACCAAGCTATACCGTGTCCATGTTCTGTGGAGGAAGTGGTACATCGCCGCACCATTGCACCTACTATTCCTGACAGCGCTCGGTTTGTCGATCATCATTCTTCACGCTATGCGTATAGCTCCTGACAATTTCAATAGCGTTCGCGATCTTGCAGGCGTGGGCGGTCGGACACGGCGATAGTAGCTTCTGGGTTGTTCCGGCATTTGGTGGCTGGTCTTTCTACATCATCCTGGCCATGTCCCTCCACTGCCTGCTCACTATCCTCCTACTGTGGGGTGTGCTGGATCTCAGCCGCAGGCTCGCCGCCAGCCTGACCGGCCATTCGGGAACTATCTACACCGGATATAAGGCGGTCCTGGTAGAATCGGCTCTCCCATACGGAATCATCTCATTTGTGTTGATGATTTTAACCTGCGTGGATAGCGATGCTGCCAACCTCTTTGTCCCGCTACTTGTCCAATTACAAGTGCGTACAATTTAATTGACTCCCGCCTTCGACCTGACAGGATTCGTCTTCAGGGCATCACTGTGGAGCTCATTGTCATCAGGATTGTGAACGGCTACGCCTGGTCATTGGTCTCACTCCGAGCCATCAATGAGAAGCTCATTACGCTACGCGGCCAGCTCGGGAGACGAGCGGGATCGGAGAACGTCTCGATGGAAGCGCTTGGTGGTAACGTTAACAATTCAGACAATTCGCTGGGTCCTAAGATTTTGCCTCCTGTCTGATGATACGGTTTGGGGCATGCGAAGACTTTTCACGCCTTTGCCGCTACGGCCATTCTACTTCCAAATGTTTAGGACTTCGGCGTCTCTGATGATGAATGATGGACTGAATGAAATGGACTACCAAGCGTTGTAAAACCAGATGTGTATCCGAGTAGTTCTTACGTTGTCGGGACCGGACTTAATTTGTTGGTTGCATACCTGAACGATCCGGGCAGAAACGTACTAGTCATGAAAGCATTCTTTTTTGTCGAGTACATACATGGAGTTCACGCGCAAAACCAGGAGTGGTTGAGAGTAATAACCCGTGCCATCAGACGCGTCGAACGCGTGACTGACGCGTGACATAACTCTGTGTGACGAGACGCGTTCAGCGCACGGGAGGCATAACCGTGACTACAGTTGCGATGAGCGGACCACCACCTTCGGTCCCATCAGTCTTGCTCCCTGAGCTCACAGGCTTTGTGCCCCAGTTCTTGCTAGACGATATCATCAACATTGCCAACGATGCGACGAGGCAAGCTGTTGACGCGATGGAGGCGTTCCTCGAACGCCGAGATGCCGCGCGCAACGAAGTTATGGACGACTGGAAGACTACGGAGGAGCTAGAGAAGGGGCTGAACGCGTTCCAGACGCTGTTAGAGTCGCATGTCGACATTGCGTTTGATTTCCTCGAAGCGTGGTCTCTGAGGAACATCTTCGCTATCCCTGCCGACCTCCCTGTTGTTGCGCCGCACCAGAAAGGATTGGACCTTGACCAGCCGCAAGAGAAGGAGACCGAGCTGCTGAAGGAGATCAAGGATTTGCGAAGAAAGATCCAAGCGGTAGGTTTGTATCTTATGACTCTCAGGACATAGCTCTGATGAATAGTAGCAACGCAAACTGCGGCGGCTGTTCAGCCGTGCGGTGCGGTCGTCGAATGCGCAACTTGCACATTCGAAAGCCCGACTGGAGCAGCTCTCGTTCATCCGCTCACCACAATTGCAAGAGCTAGGCTCCCTCGCGGATGAGTTCCTTGCCATGTACAATGCCGTCTCCGCGCTGCCCCCCATCGACCCCGCCTCCACCGCCATTGAACAAGCCCCTCTGCCTGAGCCAGGTAAACGGCCATGGGAGACAAGCAAGATGGGCTATTTCAACTGGGCAGTGGGGCAGCTGATGTTACGCGCGAAAGAACACGCTAAGGGAGAAGGGGAGTTTGGCGCGGGAAGCTCAGCTGTTGGTGCAGCAGCAGCTGCCGCCTATGATATCGCGAATGTGCAAGACGTGAAAGGTGCATTAGAGGCTATAGCTGGCCAGGTGGTTGTTGCGCAGTTAGGTACGAGAGAGAAGGGCGACAATCATATGGATTTGGATTGATTCTGCATAATTTCTGTAAAGTAGATGTACTGTTCCGGGTTGTGATAATGTAATACGACAATGATATTACAACTCAGGCTCCCAATATGCAATCAAAAGCTGATAATATTAGTGAATCCTAGGAATTGATACAAGAGAGGCCATCCTCGAATGTAATTCTCAATAGACACACCCGGCAACAACGCATGACCATAAAGAAATATATTGATGAGATATACACGACAGTCCAACTAATGCGACGAGCAAACCCTTGCACCAGGCTGTACTCAGAAGTCCACCTACGAGATTGAACTGAATCAGTATATAAGCTTGATGACAAGCAGGCGGAAAAAATCAGAGAAGCCGGTGTTTTCATATTTCCTGCAGCGCATAGCCCCAGCCCATCCGATCCAGGTACACCAAAACGATGAGTCAGGACACGCCTTCCACACACCGAAGCGCGACAGAAGGGGATGGAGCGGGATGCACCGGAGGACATTCAACGAATGGATGAACTTATTTTCGTCCCAGTGGTAGCCAATAGCCCATTGACTCACCTGCAGCCCAATATCCAGACCACCAGCGCGTATATACTTCACAAACGAATTGAAACCTGAGGGAAGGATCGATGGTCAGCAACTGAGCAGACGTTACAGAGCGAAACAGGAAGATCAGAATTGAGAGTTTTGGTATAAAGGTTTCCACCACTAGAGCTTACGCCCTACGATTCGGAAGCAGAACTGAAATAATGGCTCATCATAAAGTAGAGAATGGAAGTTGGTAGTCCTCGACGAAAGAATTGATACTCACTGTGTGTGTGCCGATGTGTACGCCGTCGTGGACGACACGATAGAAGTCGAGCGCTTTTGTATGGGAGCAACTGTACAGTCGTGAAACTCCGCCCGAAATGCACCCGGGAAAGTGCGCGTGAGGACTCATGCTCTGGCGCTGGCATTTCTGGCATGTATTCCTTTTGCTTGCACGACGTGCTCCCTTTTCACGATGTTCTCTAATAGATGATCAATGGCTATTCGCCAACGCCGTGCTGATGGTGAGTGGCCTGCTCTCTTTTCCCCACCTTGCTATGAAGATTGTTATCCATAACATTCGAGTGGGCGATTCCTGAGCCGAACTCTTTCATGCATCACCAACTGAGCTCCCGTATTTTTCTTGCATTTATTACTGTCTTGCTCGTGAGAAGCAGTACTTATGGTCATTTTTCAGATTCCAGCCTGAAACCGCTCGATGTATGTCGGATGTGTGAGTATGCCGACTCTGTAGGTCCTTGTGACGAGTCGTGTTAGCGAGCGACGAGTGTACACTCGGATGTGCTCATTGCTAGCATACACCACCCCCTGAAGGCTATATGCGTTGCTGCACTTGTCGCTGCCCATGGATGCACTTGTGCTGAGCTCTCATCGCAGACTTTGCTGTGCCGCACTTGCGCGGTTTTGTATGGTGAGTATTTTTAATGAACAATGGATTTCCCCCATCCTCCCCGTTTTACTCGCCTATGATTTTTACGACAAATAACAAGCATATGTCCAACGTACTTCTGTATGCATGAGGACATCATATGTTCGCTGAGGCCTTACCAAATCCTAACTGTGCTCCTTAACCGTGTCACTAATTATTCGCCTTCCAGTGCGCCCTCTACTCCATCTCGACAGGGTTTGCCCTGTATTCCCGTGAAGTTCTCTCTGGAGGCTCGATACTTTCCATATCTGCTCTGTAGTAGATACTATGAATAAAAGATGCTGCTTGGAGCGTGTTAGCTCTCGTGAGATCCGCGCTGACGTCGATGGCGCACATATTTCGACATTCATATCGACGGGAGGGAGCGGACGCGGGTAGCCGTGCCGGTGCGAGCGGTGTCATATGCACACCGCCACTGTCTGAACCGCTGATGGTTCCGCCCCTTTCTACGACCACCACCTACCTCCCCCCCCCCCCATTGAGCACTGAGTCAGGGAACAGCTCTCGCGGCGCCCTCGCTTTCCCTGTACTCTTGATTACGACTGGACACGCTGACTCTGGTAGTCGGTAACGACCTCTGGCAACAAGTCTTGGACGGGACGCCAATTCCCACCACCCTGCAAACGTTATGGCTGTGATGACTGAGCATCCGGTCGACGGCGGCCTTCCTACTGTGTCGCTTCCTCTGGATATCTATGCAGCTCACCCCAAAGACCCGTCCAACTCGACGTCTGAGTGGTCGTATACGGAGTCGCGCGCATCGACCCCCGACCTCGGTGGTGCGACCCCGCGTGCTTGGGACGAGAAAGCTTCTAGCGAGGGCCGTGAAAAGCAAGACGACAATTCCTTCGTGGGCATCGGCCTGCTCCCGGACGATGTGTACGTCCGGACGATGAGCAGCTGGAGGGCTGCCATCCGCCGGCGCGTGCGCGCAAATGTTGAGTGGGAGTCCAAGGTCATAGCGAACATGCAGGCAAGTGTTCTCTGCAGAAAATCAGGTGCAAACCCGCCGGGCATCCCTACAGCTGACATGATCGTGTTCGTTCTGCAGGAGCGTGTCCGCCGACCCATCCTTGATAATTACTTTGTGTATACGTCGTCCCTCGGTACACACACATTCTTCATGATCACTCTCCCCGCGTTCGCGTTCTTCGGACGTGTCGATGTAGCCCGTGGGTAGGTCTACTCTCGTGTAGCGCGTGCTGCAACCTTGCTCACCATATGGCCTCGACATCGGAACGCATTCCATTGCATGCCACCTCCAGTTTGCTCATGGTCCTTGCCCTTGGCGTCTACGTCGCTTCTTTCGTGAAGGATCTTGTCTGCGCGCCTCGCCCTTTCGCCCCTCCAGTCGCCCGTCTAAGTGCGTTCCTTGTCTATATGAATGGTTTATGACAGCTAACGGTGTCAACCAGCGATGGGCAACCATCATCTTGAGTACGGCTTCCCCTCGACACATTCGACGAACAGTGTTTCGATCGCGTTGTTCTTCTTCCAACTCCTCCATCGCCTTTACAAGACACCAGTGTCGTCGGTGGTCCAAAACAACGTCATGCAGAATGCTACCACTGTAATTGAAGGAATCTCGGATGTGGTGGCGGAGACTATGGTCTCCACTACCACGTACTACATGCTGTCGGGCGTGCTCCTCTTTTACATGTTCTCGATCGTGTATGGGCGATTGTACACGGGCATGCACTCGTTCACAGACTGCATCATGGGGGTATCCCTTGGAGCGGCGATCTGGGCTCTGAGTCTCGTATGCAGTGATGGTTTGCATGATTGGATCAGAGACTCCGGCTGGATTGGTGAGTGCATCCAGTTTGCTTGGTGGTTGGGAGCTTAACAGTCCGTACAGTGCCCGTGGTCGTGATTCCGCTATGCCTTCTGCTCGTGCACTGGCATCCGCAACCGATCGACGATTGTCCATGCTTTGAGGATGCGATTGCGTTCGTTTCCGTCATTATGGGGGAGGTCCTGTCCCGATGGTACATGCTGCACCACGGCTATGACGACAGCTACTTTGTGCGGGTGATGCCCGGCTGCATTTGGGGAGGTTGGGTCGACATGTTCACCTGGTGGTCCATGGCCGTTGTGAAGATGGTTTTAGGTATGTCTCGGTGCACCCCTGGGATGCATGCGCTCATTATTTGCGTCGTAGGGATCCTCATCATCTTCATGTGGCGTATTTTCGCGAAAACGGTCATGCACACTGTCCTGCCGCCGATTTTCCGTCTGCTCTCGCAAGCGTTCACACTACCGCATCGCCGCTTCTACACGCCCGCGACCGACTACAAAAACGTCCCCCCGGAGAAAGGGCTGCACCCTATCCCGTCTGTGATCGACCTGCCGAGTATGATCGAGATGGAGATGGACGGCGGCGGCTCGAGCGGTGCCAGTCTCGCCGCGCCGGGTGGTATTTACGGACAGTATAATATGAAGCTGCGCGGTTCCAAAGGCAGGGACAAGAGCGCCAGCTCCATGTCAGAGAAGAAGGTGGGGCTGGGCTTCGACATGGAGGAGTATGCCGGAAAGCAGGACGAAGTGGTCAAACACTACGATGCTGACGGTGGGTGATCTCATCCATGAATTTCCGCACTAGGCTGATATCTGTTGTTTAGTGCTCACGAAGGTCGTTGTATACAGCGGGATAGGAATGCTCGCGTGCGGGTTGATCCCAGTGCTGTTCGAGGTGCTGGGATGGGGTCTGTGAGCGAGTTGGGCCGACACAACCCCGACGTCTAGAATATCGCTGGGTCCGCGAGGAGAATGAGGTGTTATTTATTTATAATACTTACAGCCGTCGCGATCGAGTACCACCGAACCGTCGTGATGTATTACTGTCTATTGGATGCTACGTAGTTGTACCTGTATCCTACTACCCATACCCAATTTTCCATGTCCTGACGTGTCTCATGTTTTAACTTGCATTGGAGCCGCGCACCTCAGTCAGCCAGCCGTCTCTGACTCAAGACTGACGCGTCCCGCTCTACCAACGGCATCGGCGCCTTGCCGTAGCGCTACGCGGCTGTTTCTTGTCCGCCACTTCGACTTAAATTGTCGATCTGCATTCAATATGACCTCAAAAGCCCCGAGCTGCTGAACAGCAACATGAGAATAGGGTATGTTGCGCTCAAGGAAGGAGACGTATATGACCGTCGAATTATTCAAACACGTATCCCTAGCGTTCCGAGTACCTGAGGCATCACCTGTCACGCCCAATGTAGGCTATTACATAAGCAGATGATACGCCAGGAGCTGCGGGAGAGTTGCGGTGCGGCTCAATCCAACTCTCACCTCATCCACCACCACGACCGCCGCGACCGCCGCCGCCATGCTCGTCGACAATCCGTTACAGTCGGGTATCTCGATGTCCTCAGCTTTTGAGGACTACTTCAACATGGACCTTCTCGCTGGCCCATCCGATGCCGCTACAAATTCAAGTGGATCGCCTCGCTCGGACTCTTCGCCTTCCAACACTTTTTCGACGCTTCCTCCGACACCCCCCAACCCCCTCCTCGACTCAGCAATGCAGCCGAGCCCATTTTACGACTTCTCGCTGGACGATGACTTCTCTAAGATTGACCTCCCGGCGCCACTGGCAGCGCCAGGTTTCGACTTTTTCGGCGCCTTCTCCACCGCTGCGGCGCAGATATGCAACTCGGGAGGCGGATCGGGCAATGCGAGCTCGTCCTCGGGCTCGTCACCCGACAGCATCGACCCACAGCTCGTGAACACTCCGGCGCAATCGCAGCCGATGAGCGAGTTCGGCGACGATGCGGAGGACGAAAACGAGGAGGAGGAGGAAGCCGAGCGCGAGGATTCGCCCGACGTCCAGGATTCCTCCATCGCCCCCTTCAAGGTAGGTGGGAGGGGAAAAGCCAACCGAAAGGGCACAGTCCAGTCGGGCGGGGTCGTCAAGCGAGCCGGAAGCGAGAAGAAGGAGAACAGGCCATCGAATATGCTCTCGACGACGTCAAGCGAGCCCGACGATTGGCGACCGAGCCCTGAAGAATACAAGAAGATGTCGAGCAAGGAGAAGCGTCAGCTGCGAAACAAGATCAGCGCAAGGAATTTTCGAGTAAGACGAAAGGGTTCGTACCAAAGACATCCGTATCCTCTTCATTGCAACGTGTGTGATTGTTACCTGTGCGGAGCGTTTGCTGCTGCCTTGAATGACAGGGCTGCAGCAATTGCTCTCTTGTCCACGCATGAATCAGCATCTGCTATCGGGCGCCCAGCTGTGATCAGTAAAAATAAACTAATCATTGTCATGATATAGAATACATTACGACCCTGGAAGGTGACATCGCCGAGCGGGACCGCCTCATCGACGCCATCCGAACAGAGCTCGGAAGTACAAAGTCGGAAAACGTTGCTCTGCGCCAAGAAATTAGCGCCTTGAAGAAGGCGCTTCTTGAGGGCCGTGGTCGTCCTGATACTCCTATCCTCCCTCCTCCTGCACCTCTTCCTGCAATTCCCGCTTCTGTCTTCGCCGCGAGCTCGTCGAACTCTAGCTCGCCTGCCCCTGCGGCTCCCAAGAGCCCGTTGCTTACTCCGAACACTCAGAAGGACCTCCCGACGTCGCCACGGCTAGGTGCACGGGGCTTCTGGGGTGGTGCATCTGCTGGCGGAATTGGTGGCTTCGGTGGCTTCACTCCCGTTCACACAACTCTGGTGCCCGAATGGGGTAGTGTGTTGTCTGGCAAGGCGCTTGTGGGCGCTAAGAACGGCCGAAAGAGCCCGTCGCTCCAGGAGAACATTAACCCAATCCTCAACGCGGCTTTCCATGGAACAGACAAGAGCAAGGAGCAGCAGCCGCAACAAGTTGGTGGGCTGGACTCATTCATGGAGATGAACGCGTTCAACATGAACCTACTCGATGCGTACGTTCTGTATGATCATGGCATTGGACTATGGTCTTACTCATGTTCTGGCAGGTACCGCATGCAGCTTTGGCGCAACGTGGCTGTTCAGCAACAGTTCCGCAACCATCACGCCCATCAGCAGCAACAGCAGCACCAATCGCATGCCAGTCCCAGTCCCAGCCCCCTCTCGAGCCCAAGCGGTCTCGCAAGCGGCCTGCGGCCTCACTTTTTCTCCAAGCAAGGCCCAGCCACCTCTGCAGTCTTGTCTGGCAAGGCTGCCACGAACTCACATCCGACGTCCTCCGTCTTCTCGTCTTCCACCCACAATGTCACCGCAAATCAACCCAAGAGCCAGCCGACGCCGACGCCTCAACAAGCCATGCTCGCGTCGATGGCGTCGCAGACACTTGTGCGCAAGCTTGGCTCTGCCTTCTGGGATGCGTTTGCCGCGCGCCCATCGGGCGTCGCAGCAAGCGGTCGTCGCGCTCCTCAAGAGTTCGATGCAGACAAGGTCCGCCGGGTCATGGAGGGAAGCGCTGTCCTCCGTGTCGTCGATGTCGAGCCACAAGCACAGGCAAACCGCGCTGCAGTGCCGCAGCCGGCCTCCGTGCGACCTCCGCAGACTTCGCAGACGTCCTCGTGCGAGAGGATGTGCCCCATCAACATCACCGACCTGCTCGAGGAGTCGATGCGCACCTTGAGCCTTGGCAAGAAGTAAGTGGCTACGATCGCAACATCGTTTGCCCCTCGTTGGATGTACGGAAGGAGGACTGTCGGGAAGAGGGCAAGGCAATGGACTATGAAATTGAAGACGAAGACGTGCTTCTTGTACATAATCTGGATCGCCATGGGTCCATGTGTCATACCGGTGTCGATTATCTCCTCCTTGTTCTCCACTATATCACCCCCTCTCCCTCTTTTTCTTCCGCGCCGCTATCTCTCATGCGTGTCTTGCATTGCACCGCGCGTTGTCGTTTCACTCTCATCTACGCTCATCGTCTGTCGCTCCCTGCTTCTCCGTTTCCCGTCGTCCGTCTCGCTCTGCAGAATCGCGTCCGTTCTCTCGCTCGATAATTATTGTATGTCGCTTCATTCCCTATGCATCACCCCTCATAATCGAGAGAAAGTGTTTGCCGAGTCCCAATACCAGCGTAGTAGAAAATTTGTTCAATCTGGCGACGCACTTGGGAATGCATACAACTGCAACTAGTACACCTGAAGCGCATTTTATCGCAGCTGGCTGGTTTCATGCCATACTAAATTATGATTACACCATTCCTCATGCAAGTAGTCCAACACCTCAAAGCAAAAGCATAATCACAGCAGACATTCCATACCATCCGATAACATAATCTGGTCCACTACATCTCACCGGCTGCGATCTCAGCGACCATGGCTGGAACACCGATTGCGATCAGGATGGCTTTGTTGCGCTCAATGCGATCATCCGGAACATTCACCCCAGGGTAGTACCCTGAGTAGTACTTTTTAGATTGCCGGTTGTCCAAAGCGCGTACCACATCGGTTGAGGTCAATTCAGGCAAGGGTTGGTTCTGCCAGAAGATCATGAATCGCGGCTCATCCATAACGAGATTAAACATACATGGAACATGAATCCCCATGGGTAAGTTCCATTTCTCCAAGGCACTTCTTCGAATGGACTACGATCACCCAGCTGAACCTGCCGATTGTACGCCTTGTAACAGATGAGTTATTTAGAATGCCTGAAGTTGTTACGAAATTGTGGCATACACGTGCTGCACATCGTTGCGCATCTGCTTGTCGTTGTTTGATGACTCGGATATCATCTTTGACTGTGGTCATGTCTGTACTCAACCTGTCCACTCTGCCTGCCAATGTATTGACGTCGTTCTTCGTGACCGCGATATCATTCTTCATGACCGCGATATCATTCTTCGTGACCGCGATATCATTCTTCATGACTGCGATATCATTCTTCGTGACCGCGATATCATTCTTCATGGTCGTTATATCATTGCGAAGAGGCCCAATTGCGTTTTCTAGCGCTTGTTCTAGCATATGAGCAAGCCACGGCGGTGGTGCCTGCTGTGCAGCCACTGTCCCCAAGGAGGTCAGGCAATTTAAAGTAGCTTCATCAACAACGCACTCATATTCGGGGCCGCGGAGTTTATGACAGCTTGTTTATACAAGACAGCTGCAGAGACTTGAGCAGCGTCAAGATCTCCACTGCCTGCTAAAGATGAGAATCGTATCGGCTGGTATATTCGATAGTGCTTACCAAAAGCCATCGTACAAGACATCTCGAAATGGGTTGCCCGAGCGAGATCGACGTCAGTAGGAGGGTTTTGTGGAGGAGATGGCCTCCGATATGGGCGAGACAGTGCCGGTGGAACGGGCATGATGGATGTAGATAAAGCAAGTACTACTTAGTCCAGGTGTTGAACATTGGGTCATGCGCGTAAACCAGAGTCCCACGGTCACGCGTTTCGGAATGACCTGCGCAAAATGGGTAACTCTCTGCCAGCCGGCAATTTACGGTTATGGGGCGCTCGTAGATTTCATCGGGTCTAAAAGCAGTTTATGCAAGTCTAATCGGCGTCGGTCATTTGGGTCTCGCGCAAGAAACTTCTTTAGCAGGGCTAGGTGTCCTCCGGCTTTCGCCTGATGGACACCAGTAAAAAGGGATGTATTATTATTAGGGACATCTGTATCGAGAGTATGGCACAAGTACGTAGGGTGTGGACGGCGTGTAGTCACGAGTAATATACCAGCGTCGCCAATGAAACATCTACAGTATGTACCTGGTGGGAAACTGGAGGGGAATGGGAGAGGGCGCTCTCCAGCCCCTAGCCAGCCCACCAGGTTATAAGCGTATCCTACTCGATCGGTCAGCCGAGGGCAGATGTGCCCTGAAAGGAAATTGACTCTGAGTGTCGCGATGCTCTTACTGTTCGGCACGCGGGTTGAGCGCACTCTCCTGTCTTACCTCCAGCTTCCCGCCATGTATGTTTTAAGGCTCGCAAGCGCACTCGCACGCTGACTCCAGCTTCCCATCAGCGTACAGCATATATTACTTGAGCTACCTGCCATCATCATCCTCGATTCTGTAGCATCTGTAGCGGTAGCCATACTCGCGAACCAGATACATTTGTGCTATATTAATATATGTTTTTCTCCTGGTGTTCTGTCAGGCAAAAGCCGGCAGACACCGAGACTTGCTATACACTCCCGCATGAGATTGGCGACTGAGGTCAATTAGCTATTGAAAGTGGGCATCCTGGTTATAACATTAGGGGGGTTCACGGTACGTATTCCAGTGCGGATTTGAGCTCGGTTTCTGCGCTGGATTTCGCGCCACGGTTGATAACTGAGCATATGCAGCATTGTCCGCACACCGCTCAAAGAATTACATAATGAGCACATATCCATCAATTGCCGCGTGTTCACTTTAGCAGTCAATGTATTCATGTCATTCTTCATGTTCGTGATGTCATTCTACATGTTTGCAAAATCATTACGAATGTTCGTAATGTCGTTGCGAAGTGGTCCAATTGCATGTTCTAGCGCATGCTCCAACCATGGCGGTGGCGCCTCCTGTGCAGCCACTGTCCCCAAGGAGGTTGTAGTGGTCAATACCACTACACGGTCATTGTAGTACAAAACGGACTATTACTTACCATTCGTAGATAGCGATTTGTTTGTATCACGAGCGTGCACGCGCGCTGCGCTGGTTCCTGTTACGGTAATATCCCTCTCCTGCTCTCCCCCTGTTTTAGATCACTATCTCCATATGCACAGGTACACTACGGTCTCAATGTAGTTACCGGCTCGTCCATAAACCTGGCGTGCGTATGCTGTGTAGTCTCGTCGAATCAACACCAGTATCGGCACCCCTTTTGTTCGTGAATCCTCGCTTGTCTCTTTGCTCGCCCTCGACAGTTCGACGTCTGGATCTCTTCCACTATGCGCTTCGCTCGATGTGCCACCTAGGGCAGGTCCTGGAGGTATCTAGTAGACCCCCATCGGGGCGGTGGGAAATGGGTCTAATGAACACCATCCCCAGGGGGAGATCAGGGCCTATATCCCGATATGGATATAGGCATGTGTGTTGACTTTTGGGTATGTCAGGCAAGCGTCGCTGCCGGCCCGGGTCACGTGGTCGTGCGCCGGTGTGGGAATAGGACTTATGTAGGCGTCGCGCGCCGTAGGTAGCCCCATCGGTTTGTAACCTAATCACCCATTGATCCCTGTCCATCGAGGACGTTGTCTGCCGGCGGTCTTTCCGGCGTCGTTCTCACAATGTGCCTGATCACACCCTCGAGGCGGGTTAGACGCCCGCCTACCCTCCTTGGGACACTCCTCCGCCGTACCTTAGGACGCTCCACCATCCCCAGCCTCTGTGTACCCTCGCTATATTTGTACCTGTCTACATCTGGGACCGCAGCCGGTGGTATATGTCTCTGGGATGTGGCGAGCGGAAATCGATTGCGAGAACTCTACGGGCACATCAGTGCAGTAACACTAGTGAAATGCATAGACTGCACTACTCTTCTCTCAAGTGCTGCAGATGGCAGGATTATCACTTGGGACCTACGTGAAGAAGTGGCTCGATGGTCGACCACCGAAACAGTGAACGATTTCGAGCCCTTGGCCTTTTCATCGAACAATACAAAGCTCATCGCAGGCCTGGCTGATGGCACAATTCGCATTCTCGAGACTTCTACAGGCAAAGCACATGGGCCGGATCTTATAGACCATTTCAATCCGGCTAGTGCGGCGGCCTTCTCTTGCGACGGGGAGAGTTCACAGCTGGTGTCCGCTGCACCCCTAGACTCGATACATGTTTGGGATACTCGCGAAAGCAGTGATTATGTCTGGAAATCTCCACGGCATCACCGGCCTCCGCACAGAGTGTCCTTTTTCGCAGGCGGGTCGCGGGTCATTTCATGGCGGGATTATGATCCCACGGAAACCAAAGTGTGGTCCACAGGTTCAGGAAAAGAATTGATAATGAATCCGTACGACGACGAAGCTAGGCCCGATACTGCAGGCTCCTCACTTCTATCTTCCTTCGGTTTACCCATCGACCTACTACCCGGCGACGACGACGAGTCGCTATCGAGCTTGGATCACACGTCTCAACTGGAGACAGTGCCTCAAGAGTCGCTATTCAATTTGCAATTTAACCCGTATAAGCAGATTTTCGAGGACTTGTCACTTGGTTTGGAGTTTGATATCAGTACAGGAGTATTATCCAGGGGAGGCCAGATGGTATGGAAGCTCCCGAAAGAATTGGAAGCCCGTGCGTGTGCCATATGTCGCAACTACCTCGCACTGGGGTTGTGGAATGGCCGTGTCATTGTAGTGCACTTTCCCGAGGAGATGTTAGCGAGCGCCTGAATGTCATGTCAATGAGGTGTCATAGATTAAGGCACTGTAACTATTACGCAGATGAATCGCGGCTCATTATCCTGGTATGTGGAGGATGCAAACATGTCCCACTCGTGATGCAATGCGCCGCGAGCCTCATTGCTAGATGACTGCCAGTGCGCAGGTATCGGAAACAATTCGCCGCTGCGACGGTCCACAGGTGTATCATGACCAACGTTCCCGAGATATCAGTAGGAATTCAAGCAGGCGCTGTTTCTTCATTGCGACTGAGAGACGTCGGAAGATAACCCAGCTATATCTTGACGGTGTGTCACACTATGACCGCCCCCGCCCTTCCGCTCAGAGGCACGGCGCGCCGATTTACGGATTGCCCGGCTTGGGGCACCATTGCAAACGCGGCTTTAGTGGATATACGGATCCCGCACAGTAAGAATATCCGCCGCAGGGACGCACAGCCTGCTCGCGACATAAAATTTTAAGGGCACAGCTAGAAACGTCTCGCGAACGCACCAATCATGCGCGTTCGCGCCACACGTCCTGAAGAAGCCTACAGCATTGTACTTTGATATCAATTTAGAAGCTATGCTAGATAACCGCACGAATGCAGGAGTCACAAATCAGACCGTTTTGTTTGAAAAGTACAATGATATAAAGCTACATGTCCAAAAGCTAAAAAGAATTACCATTTAGTCCCCCGGAATGCAAGAGGATATGACGAAGGACGCACCACATACTGTACAAAGCACCATACCACTCACGTCTACGAGCATAAGCCCACCGAGCCGGCCAGTTTCCAAGAACACGATTCTCCAGCCTTACCACACGCCCTGCATTTGCGCTGCCGCCGGACTGGTGGGGATGTTCTGCGGCATGACTGTACTGCGCGGCACGTCCTCAATGGCCTCGAGGTCCTTGCGGTACTCGATCTTCTCGACGCGCACCTCGCCCTCAATCAGGTAGTATACGTACGTAACCACAACTAGGCCCTAGATGACCATTAGCGCGAAGGAAGAGATGGGGTCGCTGCGAGAAAACGTCTGCCATATGTAACGCGATGTGTAGGCGGGGAGCTCGAGGAACGAGTAGGCACGGAAGCGGGAGGCGAAGTACGGATGAGAGAAGAGTACACGCACCCGCTAACGGTGCCAACCCATGCGCCGCTTGCAGAGCCGGGGTTCACGAAAAGCGGCCGTCGTACTCGACTGCTTGGAAGCTGTTCAGGTGGCGGGAGCGGCGAGGTGCCATTCGGGGTGACTTCAGCACCCGCGGGACGACCTCAAGCGAGGGGACGCACGCACGTGTGTGTATGGCCTGAGACGAGCACGTCGACGTCGAGCTGGCGCGCGATGGCGCTGAGCGAGTCGAGGTCGCCCGTGGGGATACACTGGTGCCCATGGATGACCCCGATCTTGATGGGCGCGTGCGTCACGGTGATGGACAGCGGACGTCTGGGGCACCGACGGAGACGGGCCGCACCTCGTCGTAGTCACCTCGGGCGACGTTGACGTCGGGGGAGACGGTGCGGAGGTACTCGTAGGTCTCGCGGTCGCAGATATTGCCTGTGCAGAGGATCTGCTGGATTTTGCCTGGGACGAGGGGCTTCTTGAATTTTGTGGGAAGGTCGTGGACTCTGTGGGGGATGTGCCACGCGCGTTTTTCGTCCCTCCGCCTGCGCATCGTGCACCTCTCCGCCGCCCTCCCGCTCGTGCGCGCAGCCAAGGCGGCCGGGCGCCCGCTCACAGCCGAGACGTGCTTCCACTACCTCGCGCTCGCGGCGGACGACATCCCCGCGGGGCACCCCGAGTTCAAGTGCTGCCCGCCGGTGCGCGGCGCGGAGAACCGGGCGGCGTTGTGGGCGGCGCTGGAGGACGGCACGATCGACTGCGTGGATAGGAAGGGCCGGTTGGCGGTGGGATACGACGCAGACGTAGTGGTGTGGGACCCGGAGGCGGAGTCCACCGTGCATAGTGTTTCAAATGGTCTGGAAGGGCAGCTGACGGCGATGAGGTGACGCGCGAGGGGCTGAACTTTCAGAATAAGCTGTCGGCATACGAGGGCCGCACGTTGAAGGGACAGGTCGCGCGAACATATGTGGGCGGGCAGCTAGTGTACGAGCGGGAACGTGGCTTCGAGGGGCTCGAGCCGGCGGAGACAAGCTATTGTAGCCGAATACGGAGGTGAATCTATGCAAACGTGAAAATACAAGGCGCTGCTAATACGTATCAGATTGACGACTCTATTAAGCGGGGAAGAATGGATAGATCGATGTTGGATATGCAGCAGAATGTACGTACTGTGCCTCCCCGGCAGTGATGTGCGAGTCAATGACTAGTCAATGACTTGCCATAGTCATTGACTATTGATGCCCAGTCAAAAGTGCATCTGAGCGGAACGAGGCAGAACGGGGCTTGTCTCGTCCAACTGAGTAGAGCGGTGCAGATCTGAGCGATACATCCCTTATCTAGGCCCGTCACATCAAACGTCATTCCCAGTGAAAATGGCGGCTATTTTGTCTGATCACACTCCGGTGTTGCATGACGCGGATGCTTCATGCACGTCATAAGTTCCACTGGACACAACAATTCGTCATATATGCTGGACACCTTGTCTCCATACACGAACTAGATTTGATCATGTGACTGCATCCTCTGGCCGCGCGGCGCACTCTACATTCTTCTCCCTCTTACTACCACAATCAAGCACAAACTCGGCAGTATCCTATCCCTCTACTTGTAGAGACATATAGTAAGCATCAAGGAAAACCCACCACAGCATCTACGCACTACAAGCCCCCTACGATATCCTCATCGTCTGATGTCACAGCAGCCATGTGAGTAGATCGTATATGATAGGCCAGACGTGTCTCAACGAGGAACGAGCGAAGTTGTATCTAATGGCGTCCGGTCGCTCTACAGGAGGTGAGCATATGTACGGTACAAGGGGCAGTAAGGAAGAATTTGTGAGCTTCAGTGAGATGGAAACATCGACCGAAGCTCGTGTCGAGAAACCTAAGTGTGCGGCAGCACGGTGAGTCATTATTAACTACAGTACTCGGGCTAAATGAAGAGGTCCGAATCTAGTGCTGATCAGGAACGCAAGGAGCGCGACAATGTCACGCAGATCCTGACGCGATGTCGCGGCGTCATGCGCGTGCCCACATGCGG